AGAGAGAGGAGAGGGCATAACTACGGATATATCCCCGCCCCGCTGATTACTAACGTAACCCCCCTCGCCCCCCACCAATACAACTCAGTATGACGATAGGTTTGACCCCTCCGATGATTTGAGCGCCTCTGGCAGCAGTGCAGACAATCTTCAACTACAAAAACTCTTCCACCAGCCACAACCTCCTTCATACAACAACATCCCCATACCTACCACTCGCAACCAAACACAACTCGAAAGAATCCCACTTCCCAATTGCAATCATGACTACTTCTTTGGATCACCTCAAGGCCACTGGCACCGTAAGTTCAATCCTCTCCCGTCCTCAAATCGGAGACGTCGGCAAATAACGGCAGTGTTGAGCTGATGGCGATAACTTCAATCTGCACCTACGGACCTGCCTGCTAACCATCTGCTGCTATTCAGACCGTCGTCAGTGACTCTGGTAAGTTCCTTCTACCGTTCCGGCCATTGCTGAATTGAAGCTAATCTCTTGCAGGTGATTTTGCATGTAAGCTACCCCGGAATCTGACCTCAAATTCACATAACCCTTCCTTTTACGAACGAAGCACTAATGATGAACAGCAATCGGAAAATACAAGCCTCAAGATGCCACCACCAACCCATCCCTCATCCTCGCTGCCTCCAAGAAGCCAGAATATGCCAAGCTCATGGACGTAGCTGTTGCATACGGCAAGGACCACGGCAACACAATCGATGAGAAGGTCGATGCAACCCTTGACCGTCTCCTAGTCGAGTTCGGCAAGGAGATCTTGGCCATTGTCCCCGGAAAGGTTTCCACCGAAGTCGACGCCCGATTCTCATTCGACACCAAGGGATCAGTTGACAAGGCCCTGCACATTATCGAGGTACGTCCTCCTCGAATACACATCATGTCACAAATATTAACAGTATAACCAGCTCTACAAATCCATTGGCATCGACAAGTCCCGCGTCCTGATCAAGATCGCCTCAACATGGGAGGGTATCCAAGCAGCCCGCATCCTGCAACGCGACCATGCCATCAACGTCAACCTGACCCTCATGTTCGCCAAGGCTCAAGCCATTGCCGCCGCCGAGGCCGGTGCATTCCTCATCTCCCCCTTCGTCGGCCGAATCCTCGATTACTACAAGGCCACGACCGGAAAGACCTACTCCAAGGAGGATGACCCAGGTGTTGCTTCCGTCAAGGCTATCTTCAACTATTACAAGAAGTTTGGATACAAGACTATTGTTATGGGTGCTTCGTTCAGAAGCATTGGTGAGATTACTGAGTTGGCTGGTTGTGATTATTTGACTATTTCCGTAAGCCTTTTTCTCCTTTTGCAATATCAAGACCAGACCCTCCCTAACAATATGTTTTAATAGCCCAGCCTCCTCGAAGAACTCCAGGCTTCCACCGAGCCCATCCCTAAGAAACTCGATGCCTCTGCTGCCACAAGCCTCGATATCGAAAAGAAGACGTACGTCGACGACGAGTCTACTTTCCGCTTCGACTTCAACGAGGACCCTATGGCCGTCAACAAGTTGAGCGAGGGAATCAGCAAGTTCGCCGCTGATGCCGTAACATTGAAGGATATCCTCCAGAAGAAGATTGAGTCTTCGTAGATTGGTTGGAGATTGAGTACTTTATTAGATGATGAAATGAACGAAATTGATAGCAAGCATATGAAATGAAACTGTTCACTATTTGCTGTGCTTTGCTTTGTTTTGCGTCTATAACCAGCTATTCTTTCCCCTTGGCATTATTCACTCACTCACTCCACCCCAGCCCCTAAAACCGTCTTGCCCCACCCCTCTGACCTCCCCCACCGCACGATACTCCACTACACCGCAGGCTGAAGAAGCCGCTGCGTGAGTTTTCTGCTCTGCTGCTCCTGCTGTCCCTGGACCTGCTGTTCTTGTATTTGTATATATACCTGTACCTACTCCCGAACTCCCTACCCCGATTCTGGTTCCGGTTCCGGTTCCTGTACTGATACTGGTCATGGGGGTCTGTGTCATTGTTGTTGTGCCTGCGTCTGTGTCTGTGTCTGTTTATATACCTTTGGGTTATTGGTTTGGTTACGTTTGGTTTGGTTACGTTTGGTTTGGTTTCATAGGACGGGTTATGGGTGAGTGAAAGAGATGCGTGAAGGTACCTAGGGTAGTGAATGGATAGATAGGATAATAAAGGGATAGATGTATAGATGCATACACAAATACAAACAAATGAATACAAACATACTTACCAGAACCCTCCTATACGCTACTTGCGTCATTAATCAAAACAATCCCTTTGGTTTCCTGCTTGCCCTGGTGTAGTACGGGCATATACTGTATTGCATTTGTATTGTTGTTTGTTTCATGTCTAACTCCTGCTGTAGCTCTAGCTTCATGGCTAGGTTTTGTGGTTGTATTGTTGTATGTGTGTAGGATCTGCTGTTCTGATTGATTGATTGATTGATTATATCTATCTTTGCTCCTACTTTAATTTGAGCTTACCTTACTTAGGCTTGCTTTTTTATTGTCTTTAGAAACCGAATCAAGATGATATGTTTTTCTTTAGATAGTAGGAAGTATGAATCAAGTACGTAGAGCCGGAGGAGGTGGAAAGTAAATATACCAAGTGAGGTCACAATCATACATCTACATCATACTAGTAACACCACTCCACTCCCATCAACCCACCTCAATCTGTTTCACAGATAACACTTAAACTTATGCTAGGTATTATATCATATCATCTCATTTCCATTCATCGTACATCTATATCCTGCAGTACTGGTCTATACTCTCAATATAATATCGAAAGAATAAGTAGGAAAAAAGAGAAACGCCCCCAACGCCATGTCCTTTCATCCAGGGCAGGTACTGTAGGTAGGTATTAAAAAAAAACCAAAAAGAAAACCCCTTTGAACATTAAAACAAACGCCCAAATGCCGTTATGTCGTCAGAAGGGAAAAGCAGGCAAAAAAATAAAAGAGCAAAATGTCTAAATAATCCAATCCCCGTCGTTGATATGCAATGCTCGTGCTCCTGCCACCACCGAAATCATCACCACTCCCACGGTGGCTTCTTGGCTCGAAGGTGAGATGTTCATGGACACGGCCGCTTCTCAACTCATTCATTATGCCCCTCGTTCAGCTGCATCTCAAGCACAACCTGATTCCCCACCACTTCCGGATGCGCCATTGCGAGCTTCAGCGTCCTCTCACCCCCCTGTACAAGCTGCCCACCAGCTCCAAGAGGATTAATCCCATAATCCAAACACCTAACATCGCGTCCCGCAATGACCTGCCTCAACCGCCCATTCTCCGCATTTCGTATCTCCACGAAATCGCTATCGAAGAGTACGAGGTAGGCACCATACATAGCGGCTGTTTTCGCGCGCCCAACGAATTCCATGATGACCGAGCGCGATACATCGCCGTGCGAGTCGACGTACACGCCGCATTCTTCATAGCAGAGCAAGAACTCGGACTCTGAGAGACGGAACATGCCTAACGGGCGCTGGCCGTTGAGTCGATTGGTTATGTTTCCAAGGCCTGGGTTGCGAGTGTCGGGGATGGAGATGGGGACCTTTTTGTCGAGGGTCATGAGTTCGAAGCCTTTGAGAGTGGAGATGGCGATGGAAGATTTGAAGAGGTTGATCGTAAAGCATTCAGTCGGGATATAGAATTCGTCGAATTCGCGGAAGAATTCAGTTGTTGCACCAAATCTTTTGCCGCCGAAGAGCCGGGATTTCTTCTCGGTGGATTTCTGAAATACGGGCTCCAGGACTTTGAAGGTTGAATGGAGACCTTCTTTCTTCTTGTAGAATACGAGGGTGCGGTCTTTCATTCGGGCGGTGGCGAAGAATGAGACGTCGCGGGCTCCGGAAAGCTTTTGGGGCGCTCGTCGGCTGGAATCCTGTTGAGGAGCAGGGAAGTTCGAGACGGGTAATATGACATCTAAATGGTATGCTATTAAGGATTTATCTGCAATTACTAGACAAAGTGAGAATTCTTCGAGGACGGCAATTTGTGTCACACGGTTGATTTGTATAGCCTATTCATGGTTAGCTTCGGCCAGAATATTGGGACAATCCCACTCACCCTTGACCACCCCCGGGGATTCGATGTCTCCGAAGTATACACACCATAATCGGTTCCAATTGCCACCATAGACTTTCCGTAGCAATTGAAAGCGGTAGAACAGTTGACTTGAGCTCTACATACTGGTCCAGGTCGAACACCACCGCCATATATCCTCTCGCTCTCTCGTATTGATCGGTCCAGCGGGGTGCCTTTAACAGACATGACACTCTTTTGAGATACATTTGCCATGACATCGTAGGCAAAAGCAGTATCCGCCATTACCCGTAATCTGAATGGTTCTGCGTGCTGCTCGAATAGTGATGCCGCATGCCGAGTTTTGGCTTCGAGTATCTTGTCACACCAGTCTTGCCTGTTCTGAGCACTCGGTGCATACAGAGTATACACTTCCGTTTTGCCCAGGTGCTTGACTCGAAAGGGGTACATAGATCTCGCATCCGCCTCACTGTTCGCGCTCGGAAGTCGTGTTATTGACGACATTGTTGCCACTGAATTGTTCGAGTTTGTTTGCTCAAGGGTGTTTGTCCTCTCCAGGCCACTGGTTAACGATCGATTCATACCTAATCTCAAGTCTGAGGCAGAGGTTGATGTTTTTGCGGCAGTTGTAACAGCTCCAATACCCTTCACCGATGATTTCACTACAGGATCATCGTTGGTGCTCTCGAGCACTAGAAGTTGCATAGGAATAGGCTAAACATGTTAGTATAATTATAAGATGATGTTTTGGGAACTTACAAGTTTCGACACATCGTAAACCTCCCTTTTCCTTAAAGTAGTAGCTTCCGGCTTGACCACAGTTTTTGCTAATACGAGGTAATGATCGAACAGAATCGCATGTGTCTCAAGCCACGTAAAACGATTTGCGCCAGCACGTTGAAGATCACCCTGGAAAATAAGTTCTCGCCCGAGGTGATCCAAGTTGAGCTCAACACGCGTCATACCAGGTCGTAGGTGCAGTTTAGAATTCAATTCAATCATCTCGACCTTTTTCGATTGTTCATCAACTTTGGCATCACATTCATGAGTAACTGCCTTGATCTCTTCAATAGCGATAGCAAGGTTGGCCTTCTCTTCCGTGTCTTGCGTCATGTTATGATGCACTGTTCCTAGAAGTAGAGTATATCGTTGCAATCGAGTGATGGGCGCTTTGAGGTATGTATTCCAATCGAGACGGCCGGAACGCTTGTTGTCACGAGCTTGATCCAAAAACTGCCGGAACAGAAGATTCTTATCTGCTTCTATCCGCATGAGATAGGTAGCATAAGGAAATCCTGCAGCATATTCAATGTATGCAAGCTTGGCTTTCCGGATCCATTCTCTGAATATGTCGCTGAACCCCATGACCCAAGGTCCCTGTTCCTTTTGCCGGTATTTTAGTTGTGCTAGAAGGTAATTCTCATTGACATCCTTTATAGCCTCTACCTTGCCAAAAACAGATGTAATAAATTTCGGAAGCTTGCTTTTGGCGATGATAGGGGGCTCCCATGTCGATAGCTCATCCCTATAGAGTGTTCGCAACACTTCGATCTGGTCCATGTAGGTATCTTCAGACATGACTATTTCGTGAAGATTGTTTTGCCGTTGTATCTCTTTTCTGTTTACACCTTCAAGTTGTTCCTTCGTTAGCTTGAAGAATGTGACCCAGTCCTCGGCTTTCTTCTGAGGGCCGAGTTTTGCTGCCTGGAGATTGATCTTTTTGAGTGTACGAGTACAGTGATGCGAATAACATCTGCCATGAACCTCTTGCTCATGTACCTTGGGCGAATAGCAACCTGACCCCGTAAGTTGCCACAGAACTCCAGACACTGTCCCATTACCAAACTTGACCCATTCCTCATCCGGTAAAAGGATCCCAGCATCGAACATTGATTTGACCACTCTTTGGCTCAAAGTCTCGGCATCAGCCGTGTTCATTGTGGGTACTTTGTGGGTAAACAGGGCAACCAGCCCATCCTCAATCGCTTTCTCTCTCAAATCGGCTTCTCCTTCCCCAGTCTCACCGCCAGCCATATCCCGGATCCATTCTGCAATGCCACTCAACGCCCAAGGTTCCACGCATTTTCTATAGTCCGACGACGAAAGCCTAGTGGGAGAAAATTTCTTTCGTCGACCTGCTGGCAAAGCTGGAAGATCCAATGTTATCGAAGATTGAGGCGTGCCCATATCATAACCATCAAGACCGCTTGCTGAGCGCATCTTCGCAGCCTTTTGTCTGGCCTGGCGCTCTTCTGCATCAGTTTTTGATCGCACCGGAGGAACAGTCTGTGGTGTGCTGCTATGGCTTGATAGTGAGGTTGATCTGGGAACATACTGCCCCCCTGGAGTGAGCATGCTTTGTGCTGGATACGATTCCGGACCTTGTGGAACATACTGTGTCCGAGCAGCCTCTGTACTGGAAGAGTAAGAATGAGAGTAGCCCGAATTTCGATAAGATCCAGCAGGCTGGAGTTGAGGGGTCCTATTCTCGGACATTGGGGGAACTGGAAGTGGCCGGTTTTGATTGTATGACCCACTGCTACTCATACCAGGGTGATAGAATAGCTCTGGCATCATTTCGTCCCGTGATGGACTGTCACTCCCGGATCTTCCACTCAGCCGTGATTCTGACATTCGAGAATGGAGCGAAACCTGCTCATCTCCTTCATCAAAGCTTAATCTATGAGGCTGCGAAGTTGGCCTTTGCAACCCTCCAGTTCCGGATGTATCAACTCTCGCAGCTTCAAAGGCGGGGAATGGATGAATAGCTCCTTCGCTAGGGATAGAATAATCCGTCATGCCACCAAGACCAGGAGCTGGTGTGTGGTTGTGGCCTTCCGACCTCCCAAGATCGTACGGAGTTGGCAACGGCCGACTCTGATCTTCCATTTCGCTACTGTGCTCAGCGTGATCTCCACCCACATCTTTACCGTAGGACATATCAGCAGCATAACCGCCTCCAACAAGGCCTAGATCCATATGCTTATAATCACTATCACTGCTGTCATCTTCTGGACCTGGTTGGCCCTCATAAGCACCAAAAGCCAAGCCTGATCCGGTCGAAGCTCGGTTGGCGTCTTGTTCCTCCGCAATCCTCATGGCTTCTAGACCAGCAGCAGCCTCAGCATCACTCTCTTCACCGTCGTAGCTATCGAAGGTGGTTCGGCGATTATTATGATTCAACGTTGACGCTGTGGAGGCATACCGATCAATCCCGGATGGAGGGCTGATAGTGCTTGCTCTTGAGTCGTATCGACTAAGGTCTTTCAGCTCATTATCAAGTAGGTCCCCATTACGCTGGTCAATCCCGTGTGGCCTTCTCTGCCTTGGCGGGGATGAACCCCCGAGTGCATCCCCGATATCTGCAAAAAGTTGTTCTTGTGACAAGTTCTCTTCAGATTGACCATGTATTCCAAGGCCCCAGTCATCATTGTCCCCCGAATGCTCGTCCACAGGAGCACTTGGGAGCGGCCGAAGAGTGGGATGCCTTTGCAGTCCCGGTCCGTTGGAGGAATTAATCTGAGGAGAATTGGGATCATTGTAAGCTGGATATAACGCAAGGTTTGCTCCTTGAGAGTATGGAGAATAATCCGGATACGGCGCCTGGGCAGTTGGCGTTGTATAGTCGCTCGTGTTGTAATTATCACCATTGGTCGGGTAAGGAGCAGAAGTCGATAGTGGTTGATAAGGCTGCCTTGACGGTGCTGAACTAGGCGCTGGGTAAGTTGGGCTAGCAAGGGGTTGCTCGTATATGGTTTGTGGGGAAGGTCGTGAAACACCGTATTGCTGCGTATTCTGAGGATAATAGGGAGGTGATTGAGGAGTCTGAGCTTGTGGCATGGACGTCGAGTTATAAGCAGACCCGTACGAATTGTACCCCGAGACCGTGGTGTGACGCGTGGGCTGCTGCTGTGGAGATTGGTACGCTGCCGGATTGTACGGCTGGTGACTCGCATTTGCGTTGGTGGTGTAGGCAGGTTGTGGTCGATATTGTGCTCCTTGAGATTGGGATTGTGTCCTAGCAAAATGCTGTGGATTGTAGGGCATCTGTTGCGGGGATGTTGTGCCACTGGGAAATGGCTGGTATTGATGCTGATATCCAGACAGAGCTGGACTTGTACTTCCAAATGAACTCAGACCCGGCGAGTGAGGGCTTTGAGATATCGATCCCGCCAAAAACAGCTCTTCCTGGGGCATGTTTACAGGCCGCCCCGGCGGTGGGGGCGCAGTACTGTTATACCTGCTGTTGTTCTGATCAGAGAACTGTGCATCATCCCCATTGTTAAAGCTCGATTGTCTATGCAGACCAGAATTCGTGTTGTTCTGATCCTGCGAGCCTGGAGCTCCGTACTGTGCTGGAGGGACATGGCCATATCGTTGCGAATTTGCCCGGAAAGACATATTTGCGGAAGTACGCGGCGGCGCGCAGTTGGGTCAAAGGTTTAACGGCCGCGTTTGGCGGAAATATTCGAGGGGGATGGAGTACTGAGGGAGATGGAGTACTGAGGGATATGGCCTGCAATCTGTGGCCGTGGCCAGTTGTCCTTGTTGATGCAAAGGCTTGCTACATTTGCTGAGCCGCGTCCGAAGCTCCAAAGGCAAGCCAGCCCAACTCCATCCGATCGTCCAGTATCCTGCTCTCGAAAGAGCCGTCTCAACCGATATCCCAAGCTGTCGTGACGAGGGCGCAAGACTCGAGGTCGTTGTGGTGTCTTAGTCCTGATTCTGATTCCGAATCCGAATCCGTGCGCTGATATCTTTGCGACAAGGCAGATTATAAGGCACTAACAATGATTTCAAGGCTCAGCGGCTTGTGATGGTCTGCGGATTCTCTCGGTGCCTGCGAGAGGAATCATAGAGGATTGACTGATTCGTAAGGCGGAGGGAGGGGAGGTAGCGTGGAGAGGAAGGGATTTGTTGTCTGTCGGTGTCGGTTGCGTCCCGGCTGCGTATTCTGACAGCGATGAGCTGAGGCTGGCCAACGTGCCAATTCGCTTCCGCCTGCTGCACCGCGTCTTACCCTGCACTGCACTGCACTGCTGCTCTCACTGCTGCTTATGCTTATTTCCATGGGCTTTCCGTGCCTACGGTATTCTATTCATACCTATACAAATCTACGGATTTAATGGCTTGGATTTGCTGTACGATGTACGAGTAGGACTTGCAAAAAGGACTTCTTGCCATTCCTAGCAAGGTAAGATCTGCTTTCTTTTGCGCGTCCCTTTTCAATGAGGTGGCGCAGTCATATCCAGCCCTATATAAACTGTGGCTCAAGAAGGCGACGATGACAACGAATTCGGAACTTTAGAAGTCGAATTAAAAGTCGAATTAAAAGTCTTGTGCAGATTTAGTGTATGATTCAATCCTACACCCGTATATCTACAGATATTGTTCTTGTTACTTTGCTAAAAGTCGGTTTGTATAGGTAGCTAATGTATCCGTTTGATACCAAAGGGTCTCGAGCTAGGCCCGTTCTCCTTTGGCCCCCACCTTTGCTTCATCAGCGTTCAGTAAGAAATATTCTTTGTGGATATGAAATGTCACTCGTATTGGGTTAATCGTATGAGCGACCAATTAGGTAAGGCCTTGTCGAGTCCCTTGGTGGTAGGAAGCACCTTCAAGTCCTGGACTTTCAACCTCGATGCAGTCAACGGTTGACTTGATACTGTTGCATTTATATCTATATATGGAAGTGGGGGGACTACTATGGTGCAATTCACGTGTCCCGGTATGTCTACGGAGTAATTCTATCGGAGATATCGGAGTGTGGGTCTCTGGAGCTTTGCAATTCAACCCCACTTCTCTGCCATCATCTTCTCACAGCTTCTTCCCCTCAATTACAAATCTAACCTTCAACACTTATCCTAAAATCCTCTCTCCCATCCAAATATCAACCCAAATCAGTCAAAATGGTCAAAGCCGGTATGTCTACCATCTTATATACCCTTTCGCTACCCCTGTCTCCACACCATTCGAAGTTTCCCGTCAATTGCGGGGTCGCTAGAGATAATATGAGCAAGATATTAGACCGCAAACAAGCAATTTGCAACTTGGGATGGCTCCAATCTAAACTCTTTCCTTACAAGCAGAGTCTTTGATCAGGCTCTGGCCTGTCATTGCCACGCCTCTCTTGTTTCTGCCCTCGCTGACATGTTGTTTGTTACACACAGTTGTTCAGATCCGAGGTGACTCCAAGATCACCGGAACCGTCACTTTCGAGCAGGATACCGAATCTTCTCCCACCACCATTTCATGGAACATCACTGGTCATGATGCCAACGCTGAGCGTGGCATGCACGTTCATCAGTTTGGTGACAACACCAACGGCTGCACATCCGCCGGACCCCACTGTGAGTGGCATCGATAAAGAAACAATGTATGAGTGGCAGGGCTGATTGATATTATACAGTCAACCCACACGGAAAGACACATGGCGCTCCTTCCGATGAGGTCCGCCATGTTGGTGACCTTGGCAACTTCAAGACCGATGCTCAAGGCAACGGTGTTGGCTCCGTTCAAGACAAGCTCATCAAGTTGATCGGCCCAGAGAGTGTTATTGGCGTATGTAGTGTTCTTAAAGTTCTGATATCTCACTAACATAATCAAGCGTACCGTTGTTGTCCACCAGGGCACTGATGATCTTGGAAAGGGAGGAAATGAGGAGTCCAAGAAGACTGGTAACGCTGGTGGCCGCCCCGCTTGCGGTATGTTTTCTAGAACTCTTGTTATACTGGAACTACTTACTTATGCTCTTTTATAGGTGTCATCGGCATTGCTGCTTAGAAAGTTATGCCTTCTAGAAGTGCAATTCTTAGAGACAATTAGTCTAAAAGCAACCAGGCTTGGTATTCCCCAAGCTAGGTCCTAGATAACCAGAAAATTGAACGCGTATTGTCAAAAATCAGAGCCTCCAATTGTGCCGTGAAGTATTGTATGGGTAGTTGTGAAACAAAATCTATTAATCTACTAGTTAGTAATTGTAGCAGAAGCGTCATATGTGGCAATAGATCAAGCTGCCCGATGGGGTTAGCCCATGGTGGGGTTCATCAAGCACACGACTCACTAACGACAATATAAACAGATAATCTCCAAAATATTCGTGTCCGAAACATTTGGAATCTCACCACGTCCCTTACAAAATACACGAACAAAATAGAATTCACGGAATTTTGCTCGCGCGATCTTGAGATATCAAAAAGCATTGGATTCATCTGTAAGTGAGCAATGTTTTCTTTACCGTGAACAATGGAGAGAGGTGCTCTAAACTGAGTGTTGTCCTTACGGATGGCACATTATCAACGACGAGGACCACCATGTACGATGCGGATATCAGCCACAGCTGCAAATGCGAAATTGAATATGGACCGAGCCTACCAGTGCCCATTCGCAATTCTCCATTCAATTCGTCGTTCCTTCCTCCTTCAACTGGAGCGATATTGCAGACACAAAACATCCCACCCGGGCTCGACCTTTCTTTCACACAACAACGGCCAAAAAGCTGCATCTCTTAGGTCTATGAGAATTGCTACTACATTCGTTAAGATAGGTTTTTTCGAAGCTCACCTAGGCACATTCGCTCCTTTTACCTTTCAATTGCATTTGCAACTTCACCTACTCTCCATTTTCCCACGACGCTTTTGATCATCATGACGGTGAAGACGGTCAAGATTGGATATTCCACTCCGCAGACTGGACAGTCATACAACATTTCTGGATCTTCAATTGTTTCCCAAAATCTCGTGGACCTCCCTGCTAACCTTCCTGAACCATTTCCTAGCTCCGGCGCAAATCTCCAAAACCCCCCACCTCGTGGAAAGAAATTCCTCCCAAACGTCCCTCCTGCACGATACAGCAATATGGTTCTCAACCAAGCGAAAGTAAAGTCCGTCATGAGCGGCGACAGCCTTGTCTTAGCCTCGATTGACAATCCGGACCGCGAACGAGTTCTTTCACTCGCCTACTGTACATCCCCACATCTGAAGAAGGACGGCGATGAGCAATGGGCCTTCGAGTCTCGGGATGCTTTGCGAAAGATGGTGGTTGGGAAGCTCGTCCAATTCCAAGTTCTTTACACCATTCCCAACACTAAGCGAGAATATGGCGTAGTCTTTTTGCAAGATGGGCGCAAGTTGCCTGAAGAGATGATCAGCGAAGGCTGGCTCAAGCTGAGGGAAGACGCTGGCCGAAAGGAAGACTCGGAGCAAGCTCTCCAACAACTAGACAAGCTGCGCCTCCTCGAAGCAACCGCCCGTAGTGAAGACAAGGGTTTATGGCAACCTAGTGGTGGACGAATCGATGTTCAACACGACATGGGCGATGCGCAAAGCTTCTTGGAAACTTGGAAGGGAAAGACTGCCGACGGCCTGGTCGAGCGCGTGTTAAGTGGCGATCGCATGCTTGTGCGTTTGCTGATTAGCCCAACCAAGCACATTCAAGGTAGACCACCCCTGAATACACTCTATATGTCAATATCTAACCTTGCTTACAGTAATGACTTTGGTTGCTGGTATCCGTGCTCCTACCACCGAACGTGTCAATCCTTCTAATGGACAAACACAACCCGCCGAAGAGTACGGAAATGAAGCTCGTCGATTCGTTGAGGAAAGACTGTTACAGCGAAACGTTAAAGTCAACATCCTTGGTCTTAGCCCTCAGAACCAGCTAATTGCCTCCGTTCTCCACCCCAGAGGTTCAATTGCAAAGTTTCTTCTGGAAGCCGGTCTCGCCAGATGTACCGACTTCCACTCAACTCTTCTTGGTTCAGAAATGCAAGCTCTCCGTGACGCTGAGAAGGGCGCACAAAATTCAAAACTTGGCATTTTTAAAGATCATGTTGCCAAGGCTGCTGCTCCTGGAGGAAATCTAGAGGTTCAAGTGACTAGGATTTTCAGTGCGGATGTTATATTCGTTCGAAATAGGACAGGCGTTGAAAAGCGAATCAACCTCAGCAGCATTCGTGGTCCACGGCAGAACGAGGCAAGTGAGGCGCCGTTCCGAGACGAAGCAAAGGAATTCTTACGGAAGAAAGTCATCGGAAAGCACGTAAGATTAAGTATTGATGGCTCGCGACCAGCAACCGAGGAGTATGATGCCAAAGAGGTTGCTACGATTACTCTTAACGAAAAGAACATTGGATTACTTTTGGTCCAGGAAGGTTGGTGCTCAGTCATTCGGCATCGTCGAGATGACACAGATCGAGCTCCAAATTATGACGAACTTCTAATTGCACAAGAAAACGCCAAGGAAGAGAAGAAGGGTATGTGGTCTGGAAAACCCGCCAAAGCGAAACAATACACCGATGCATCTGAATCTCTCCAAAAAGCTAAGATGCAAGTCGCCTTTTTACAGCGACAGAAGAAGATCCCAGCTATTGTTGACTTCGTCAAAGGTGGCTCAAGATTCGTTGTTTTGATTCCACGCGAAAATGTCAAACTGAACTTCGTCTTGGGCGGCATTCGAGCCCCTAAATCGGCTAGAAATCCTAATGACAAGGCAGAGCCTTTCGGCCAAGAAGCACATGATCTTGCTTCCAAGCGACTAACCCAACGAGACGTCCTAATTGACGTGCACACCATTGACAAAGTTGGTGGATTCATTGGTGCACTCTATATCAATAATGAGTCTTTTGCCAAGATTCTTGTTGAGGAAGGCTTTGCTACTGTCCATTCTTATTCAGCCGAGCAATCTGGAAATTCCAATGAATTGCAGGCTGCTGAGAAGAGAGCAAAGGAAGCAAAGAGAGGTCTATGGGTCAACTGGGATCCATCGCTAGATGTACCCGAGGAGGAAGATGAGTCACCACAAAATGGTTCTAACGGCGATGCTCCTGTTACCAGAGAAAAGGATTACCGCGACGTAATGATCACCAATATCGACGAAAGTGGAAAATGCAAGATCCAAATCATTGGAACCGGTACATCAGCTCTCGAGACCATGATGACTCAGTTTAAGAGTTTCCACCTGAACCCAGCAAATAAGGCTGGACTCACTGGCCCGCCTAAGACTGGCGAATATGTTGCTTCGAAATTTTCAGCAGATGGTCAATGGTATCGTGCCCGTATACGTGCCAATGATCGTCCAGCCAAGGAAGCAGAAATTGTCTATGTCGACTACGGTAACAGCGAGAAGGTCCCATGGGCCAAACTTCGCCCGCTAAACCAGCCTCAATTTTCACCGCAAAAGCTTAAACCCCAAGCCGTCGATGCCGTCCTCTCTCTCCTCCAACTCCCCACCCAAAAGGATTACCTAGACGAAGCCATTGCCTACATCAACGAAATCGCAGCCAACAAGGAGCTGGTCGCGAACGTAGATTTCACTGCGCCCGATGGAACTCTTCACGTCACGCTATACGATCAACATACGAGCGAGAAACTCACCGACAGCATCAACGCCGAAATTGTCCGGGCTGGCAACGCCATGGTTCCTACAAAGTTGAAGGGCTGGGAGCGCGGATATAGCGATGTGCTGAAGGCGCTGAGGGAGAAGCAGGATTTAGCCAAGGCGGAGCGACTTGGTATGTGGGAGTATGGTGATTTGACGGAGGATTAGAGCGGATTTGATGATGGAAATGGATGGATTTGCGTCCAAAGGCCCTCTCCTCTCCCCTCTTTCTTCTTTTCTGCACAAAATCGCGCGCATAATGACGACTTACGAACTTTGAGACTGAACTGCATGGAAGGTCACTAAAAGCATTATGTAGATGGAACACCAGAATGAATGCATACATGAACAAAAGATTTCCTCTTCATTCATCTAACCCAACCCTTGTGCTTTCGTCATTGAGATTTCATTTTCGTAATAGAATACCCTGCTTCTCGCTGTCTGAATCTCGATCAAAATCCTCAGGGGGATATTTGCTTACTGTGGCGTGCCGTGATATTCCTCATCGGAGAATGTGCTCGCGTCAACCTCCCATATGGAGAAGTCGACCACCTGAGGGAGGGGAAACATTTTGTTTAGGATTTGGGATTGTGCGCGGGGTTTTGGTTGCTGGGAGGCTTGGAGGCAGTTAACGGTTGGTTTTGACCTCTTTTCCAAAGAAGATATAATAATAGGAATATTTAGCAGTTTACACGATTTACGATGTAAACATATATGAGCTACTGAACTATATAAATGCTCTCACCAGCTCTTTATGATTACATGACAAGGCTATTATATTGCAAAAAATGGAGTAGCAGTCAACCCTAGCACATATGTAGGATACTAACAGTTGGGAAGGACACCGGTATCTAGGGATTGCACTGGAAAGTGTTGGAGACTTGATGATCACGTGTATAGTTTCTGCACGCCAAAGCTTCGCATCTTATAGAGTTGTTTGTTTTCTTTCAACATTTGATACACCAGCGTTCCACATCCTCCACACTGTGAACACGACATGCGCCTCCATTTTTCCATGGTGGTCTCCAATGTGATCGCCGCTAAAAAATCCACGTCTGCACATTGGCATTCCCGTCGGCTCCCGTCTCCCTCACCACCGCTCGTATTTATCCCGTCTTATATCTCTAGATTAGTATAGGGAATTGTCGATTGGATCCATGGAACGTGCTTCCGTTCCTATTTCTGGTATGCGAAGGAGTCTTCCATCCCTGATATCTGGGCCCCGAGCCTGAGGATACTTACTCTGAGTAAAGCTGCTCCTTTTACTAAGCGGCCTTTATTTCAAGTATAACTTTTAGCTTTACACTGCTTGTTTTCTGGATTACAGCATGTTCTCAAACACTTCTTTTGAACTTTTGTGTGATTTCGATCGTTGAGCAGCTTTTCGAGACACATTCCTCGCTTTCTCTGGTGATGTTTCGTCAAGTGTGAAGAGATACACCAAGAATTAAAATACATTCTCGCAAATTTCCCCATTCCCAGGTCACGGGGTTTCACTCGTTGATGTCCATATTTTCTCGAATTCCAAGCTTTGAAAGACATAATTTCGAAGGTCCTCGATCGACTCCTTTTTCAGCACGTATAGCGTTGTCCCAGCTACGCATCAACGCTCCAATCGCCATAAAGATTCTTGGGTCATTTACACGATGGCTTCATTTATACATTTTGCGGCAGGCTGAACACGTCAAGGAACTTATGGTACCACATCTAAAACAAATTCGATGCCCGTCCAGAGTTTCCACCACAGTCTACCCTACGACATTCAACCACGAAAATTTGCGGAAGGGATTGTGCAATGGCTATAGATGATCTCGATTCGAAATTCTCCGGAACCCTCTACAGTCCGATATTCTCCTGGGAAAATGTGGTCCCCTTATTATATCTCATTTATTTTGAGCATCTAATAAGATCAGATGCTCTGTGTGATTTGACCGTTAGGACATGGGAACTTGGGGCTGGAGTCTGGCTGTGTACTGGAATCAAGACTTGTTAGGTGAGTTATGGACCAGAACTTCTAGGATCGAAACTGGATGATATCCTGGACTTCTTTCAACCATGTCGCTCAACCTACACAGGCCGAGTCAGGGCAGTCCCATGGCAACCTTGGACAATACCTAAGAGATATGGGTATACCGCATTATGAAAGCTCATATCTGAACTATGTATATCCGGATGTTGCATTTCCATATTTTACAAATGATTCGTAGAGATCTTTACTGACTCTTTTGTAATAGAATCTGGGTTGACGCTATCAACAATCCAAGCCGACGTGAACCCCTAGGTTGCAACGTTCTTTGCACTGGGAATAGTTGGACCCATCTGTTGCCAACGTACTTGGGAACATGTTTGCATGAAGACTCTCAGCGGACTTGCAAACATCACGTATATTATTATATCGCCCACCAGCTGGACTTGTACTCATCGACAACCTCGTATCCCCGGCCATTTCCTACTAGCCTTCGCCGTCGGAACCAAGAAGCTCGAGCTTTCCGGCACTTCGATTCCCTCGGAATTTTATAGCATCAACGTCCTCCCGTTTTCCTCGTTCTGCTTGAGTCGTAGCGTTGAGGGCTATAAATTCGCCAATACTAATTTACGTCCATAACGAGTTGCAGGCTTCTAAGCAGTTTTCGATCTACTAACACCGTCTTTGTCGACGTCGGCTCGCAGTAATAATATCATTGCCCTAATGTCAAGCTCTAACGTGTTTCCTTTAGTCAATTGTTTTACCGCGCTTACATTTTTCTCATGTCAAAGTTAATACTTCGGGGATGCTAATGATAGCGCCATCAGTTTCAAGCAGAAGTTCGAGTTCAGCGAGCAGCTCACCAACGCCGTTAACTACATCGAGTTCGAGTTCGTCTGGGAGCAATTCTATCCCGACAACGTCGTCGATCATCACGGCTTCATCATCTTCCACCCTTCAGGTCTTGTCTCCGTCTACTTATATAAGTGCCTCGAAGTCGTGTGAAGCGTCAGCCCCTGCAGCTACACCAAACCCACCTCCTAGCTCCAAATGTTGCTTATGGTATGTCGTTCAGTCTGACGACAGCTGCGATAGCATAGACACTATGTTTGGAATTACATTTGAACAATTTGGGGCCCTGAATCCTTCGCTGGACTCAGACTGTTTCAACCTGATAGAAGGATTAGCGTGAGTATCTCAATGCAAGTGCCAAGGTCCATACTGACGAAAGTAGATATTGCGTTGGCGGAACGCCCGACATATCTACATCTTCATCGCTTTCTGCGTCACAGGTAATTACAACAACTGTGGCACCTTCCAATACCCGCCCATCCTTGTCGTACTCAGCAGCTTCAACATGCCAGTCCACCGCCCCAACGTATACACCACCCGGAACCACTTCACAATGCTGCAAGTACTACATAGTTCAATCTGGCGACACGTGCGATATGGTAGACACTATGTTTGGCATTACGTTTGCCGATTTGCGAGCATTGAACCCTGCCTTAGACTCCGAGTGCTTCAACTTATTACTAGACATTGCGTATGTGTCTCCATCTCCAGAGAAATATCCTTGCTAATGAATAAACAGATACTGCGTGCAGGGTACACCTCAAATCATATCCACGACTACGCTATCTTCAAGATTTCTGAGTATGGAAACTTCTTCCAGCATATCTACATCCGTAGTCGTTTCTCAATCAGTGTCATCCTCGATACTTAGCGTGTCATCTTCGCAATTGCCTCCCACGGTTTCACTGTCGGCCTCAATAGAGTCAAGTTCGGCAGATTTCAGCCCCTCGGCGATCTCTTCGGCGCCATTCCAATCGACGACTATAACGCCCTCTGCGAGCGAATCGCCAACCATCAGTAGTTCGTTAACCGTTAGCAGTTCGCAAGAAAGCCCTTCAAGTTCAATCGCATCAAGTACGATCTTCCAACCCTTAGCGACGAGTGGAGCTTCCAGTTCTATTGTCACTTCACTAAGTACATCTGCCTCGAACTCTGGTATTATAAGTTCATCACTGCCTTACCAATCCTCAAGCGGCGAACAGAGCCCATCCGTTTCAATCACAGGCGCTGCGAGCTCTACGATCTCTCAAGCTCTTTCCTATAGCACCATTTCTTCGCCTATATTGCTTCCTAGTACTGTCCAAACTTCTGCTTCGCAGTCGAGCCAAACGTCAGAAATCAGTAGTGCTTTTAATTTATCTGTCACCACCGTGCTAAGCGCTTCTGCATCGTCGTACAACACTGTAAGCTCCTCATTGGCCTACCAACCCTCAAGCAGTGTACAAAGTCCGTCTGTTTCTAGTTCAGACATCATATACTCTGCCTCTAGTAGCCAGCCAAGCGAGTTTATCTCTTCAACGAACTCTGCTGCAGCAAGTTCTTCGGGGATCAGCGAAGCCTCGAGCACCCAGCCCATTATCTCTACGTCTAATTTTGGCGGCGCTTCAAGTTTTATCGTTCTCGACCAGACCTCAAGCACCCAGCCAATATCTACGTCTGTTTTCGGCACTATAAGCTCCACGGTCAACCAGGCCTCGGACACTCTTCTGAGTGCGTCTACTTTCACCGGACGAAGCTCGATTACTGCGATCGACTTTTCTAGCAGCGAGCCAATCTTCTCGTCCTCAGCTTTTGTAGGAAGCTCTACGGCCACAGATCAATTTTCTAGCACCGAACTCATAATATCTTCGTCCATTGCCGCCGCAACAAGTTTTACAGGCAGCAACCCAGCCTCGGTTACTCCAGGAAGATTCTTTCCGTCTATGTCTAGCGCACCAAGCCTTGGAAGCTCTAATATAGTCTCGAATACTCTGGGAACGTTCTTTTCTATTCCTAGCACAGCGAGCTTTGGAAGCTCTAATCAAGTCTCGAGCAGCGAGCTATCACCTTCTTCATCTTTCCTGGCAGCAAGTTCTACGATCACCAAACAGTTCTCAAGTAGTGGTCTGGAATCTTCTCCTTCAATTTACATCCCAATGAGTTCTACACTCCAAGGCTCCAGCACAGAGGAAAGCATGACCGCATCCGCATCAACGATTGTCGAAGGTAGCTCCACAGCGCAAGCCCAAGTCTCTAGCAGCCAGCAGACTCCATCCGCTTCGGCATCCACGATCCTTGCGACTAGTTCAATTTTACAATCACAGATCCCTAGCTCTATCAGTCAACAAGCTACATCTATATCAGTCTCAGGGTCTGTCCTTCCCAGCTCTGCAGCTCAGACGCAGGTTTCCAGCAGCGAGCAAAGTGCATCAGCTTCTGCATTTAATCCTCCTGAGACTAGTCCCTCGGGATATAACCAGACTTCTAGCAGTCAACAGACATCATATCCAAATGTAATTGTACCAGCTTCAGCGTCTGGCTCGGCCTTCACGCTTACCGGCTCCACATTTCAGACACAGCCTTTTAGTAGCTCGCAAGCTGGTTCAGCATCCGAGTCTGGTCAAGCAGTTTCCAGTTCTACAATATATAACCAGGCTTCTAGCAGTCAACAAATTCCTTCAAGTACACTCTCTGTTGCTATCAGCTCACGAAGTCAAAGCCAGATGTCTAGTGCTGAGCAAAGTGCTTCCCAGTCCACTCTACTTCCAAGTAATATCATTAGTGCAGCATCAGGTACTCCAAGCCAAGGTATTGGATTTAGTGTTTCAGCATCAGTTGTGATTTCAAGCAACGCAGCTCGCACATCCAGCATACAGGAAACCGCTACGACATCTACTAATACGGCCAGCACTGTGGTTGGGGCTCAGAGTAGTGTATTCAGCTCGATAACTGCGCTGGTGTCCCCTGCTGGTAGTCTGAGTACACAAGAGACGACCACAGCAGTTTCCATATCTGCCAGCCAGTCCCTATCCATCAGCAAGCCTACTCAGTCCCAGATATCGCAAACTTCTCAAGCTTCACTTTCCAAGACTTCTTCAGGGGCACTTCCATCAGAGTCAGCAATACAAAACTTCACCCGAATTGTATTCCGGGTTCTCAACAGAGCCATCCCTTCTGACAATGGCCATTTCCTTGGACCGTGCAGTCCGATCGTCTCTGGCACCTGCAATTCCACTGAAGCATTTAGGCTCTTGAACAGCCAGCTGATCTCAGGTAATGAAATATTATCAACGAATACCGGGACTGCTTGGCAGCCATTTGCTTTAAGTCCAGTTGCAGGTGACATTACTACAGTGGTCGGTGTTCAAGATAATCACCTGTTTTGGAATGATGCTTTCTTCGACGGCGGGTCTGCTATCTTTTGCGAAATGTCGAATGGCCAAATCAACATCTTATTCCAAGGTTTGGTTGATGAAGAGGATCCTACGTATCCCGTTGATTGTATGCCGGTGGACCTTGTCTCTTATCCAGGTAAGTTTATGTTTCCCACTCTCTTCCAAAGTCTGCTGTTTAGTACCCAAGAAAGGACTGACTCTGACTTCTTAGCCTCACAATGCGCCGATTCAACTTCGTCTTCAATTCCCACACTAGAGCCCACCCCATCCATAGCTTCACAGTCAATAAGCGGGGTATCTTCAGCGCAAACATCAATAAGCTTGTCCTCTGAAACGTTAAGGCCCGGGACTTCCTCGTTCTTCGGATCCGTAACGATATCTTCCGTGGTCTCTTCTCAACCGCAAGCAACGTCATCAGGATCTGCAAGTGAGACAAATCCATCGCAGTCGTCGGTGGTAACGGCCCCAGCTTCACAAACCGTTGGTACATTATCCCAAACCTCGGACGAGGCGGCTTCTTCGCAGCAATCTTCAACTGTTTCTACCAAATCTTCACTTCTCATAGAAAGTACGTCTACGGAGCAGATATCCACGCTTTCCTCGGGCATTTCACAATCACTCGTACCCTCATCCGCAACTGTCATAGCGAGCATAAGATCTACACCACTGGGAGCAAGTTCATCCGTATCAGTAGCTGCAGATTCAGGTTGCAGTTCAGCTCCGATACCGACGATTACAATATTTATAACAGTCGCGGGTCAGCCCGCACAAGAGACGACTTCCCTTGGGGCTTCTCAATCGTTGTTAATAACTTCTTCGGGTATCTCGAACTTAGAAACAGGGATATCGGTCGGGAGCGAGCGTATAACCTCCCAATCCAGTGGCACGACCACGGTTTTCTCCTCCAACACTGGGTTCAATACTTCCCCGCCTACAGCATCGGCCTCAATTACGGTGGAAGCAGTTTCAAGCTCAGGGCTGGGAACGACTGTAGAAACTCCACTCGGGCCATCTACAAGCCCACCAGTCGTAACATCATCCAACTTCTTCGGGTCGCCGACAACAGTAACATTCCAGCCACTGTCGGAAACCACCATCTTTTCTACAAGCCTAGAACAAACAAGCGCTTCTGGAACTCAATTGCCGTCAACTGCCTTTACGGCCAGTTCTGGCGACCCTGCAAGCCTAGGAGTAGCGAGTAGCTCTGAGATTCTGTCGATTCCGTCATCTACTGCTACCCAGCCAACAAGCCAAAGCAGCCCCGTTGCTACTAGTCTCTCTACGATAGTAGTACCAAGGGTATATGGAAGAGAAAGAAGGCATGTATGAATGGATGAGCAAGTGTGTGTGTATGGTGGAACAATGGAGTGTGTTCGGAAGGGAGACAAGAATTAATGCTGGATGTGGTAGTGAATGGAATCCTACGTGCGGATCCACAGATCGGTCATTAAAATGTTTTTTTTTTTCTATCTAGTTCTTTTGGCGGCGCGGTATGTTTGATTTCCGCGGTGATGGATTAATGTGCAAGTTGTGTTTCAACATTAGGCCGAGATTACGGATTATAGAATAAGTTATTAAAGAGATTATAACTTTACGTAATGTTAGTATTAGACCTACTTTTCTGTATTCGATAGTTAAGTTCCCCCCGACGTCCTCTTTACTAGGTACATAGGTACTCGTGCCTACATGTACTGACTGAGGTACCTATGTACGTGAGAGTTGCTGAACAGTCCGATTCCAGGGGCTCGCTTGTTGACGACGCCTTATAGTCAACAAACAGTCTGTACATATCGCACCCACAACACAACTCATAGCTATGGGCTCACTCTTTTCAAGCTTCCGTCACCTAGTCACAAAGTTCTTCTTTCAGCTACAGCTGCACTGTCTCTACAAAGTCCGGCGCCGCGCCAGAGAACTCCAGATTCCATCATGTCAAGGACAAGAGCGGGAAGCTTGTTGGTTTTAAGGTCCCTTTCCGTCGTTTGGACGTTCGAAGGATAATTCACTTCTCAAGGCTGGTTTGATTTACTTCCGGTTAGTGTATTTTTTCTCCTGGCTTTTCAATTTTGATAAAGTACCTCGTGTGGGCTGCCAGCTGACACTCTGAATTACAGCTATATTATATAAAGATTCACTGAAGAAAAATCATTATACAGAATTAATATTATTATGATCAAGTTACAGCAATGCGAAAGATGTTCGAAGGGCAGGTAATAGTGTCACTTCGTGGGTTTGAGGATAATTATGTGGATTTGTGGAGTGAAAATCGGTCAAAGTCTCATTTCACAATCGTTGTGTAGATATTCCTATCGCCTGAATCCCATGATACCCGCTTCTGATGCCCAACTCAAACGACGCCTCCTAAAACTCCATTGTCCTGTCTTGGTCAACCGGCCTTATCAAAACACAACGAAAAGTGTATTCGCAACTCAACGCTCAAACTCTATAACCTTGGAAGACACAACGCTCGCGCTCCGAGAACGACCAGCAGTCGGGGTCAGAGAATCCTGTTGTTTCACCTCAGAGACACCATCCTGCCCTCTGAGGCTCATTGCCTCTGCGTCCGCGCCTTCTAGAAGATCTCTATCCTCAGAACGAACAGTGCGTCCTGCATTGCCACCCGGCGTCCGAGGTTCATCGTAGCCTTCCTCGTCGTCCTCGTCATCATCGGGTCTGTGGACGGCGTTTTGCTCCAGCTCTTTCTGGGCCTCGTCCATGCGCCGTCGAACCTCGGCCGCAACACGCATACCATCCGTGACAATGTTGTCCAGAACGCCGCGTAGACCTTTGCCAGGTGGCACGAGGCCGGCAGAACTGGTACCGCCGACACTGGGCTGAGGAGTTGATCGTCCGAAGCCAATGTTTGAGAATGTGGTGAGGCTAGAAGCCGATGATGAGGCGGCCGCGACCATCTTGTCGGATATGCGGAAGGAAGCTGGAAACGAAGATTCAAAGAACTGCTCGAGGAGCTCATCGGCAAGTACGACCATGCGGAAAGTGGGTAGCGTAATATGGAGAGGTTTGGACGGGTCGAGAGCAGCATTCGCAGCTTCCGCATGGGCCTTGGACACGCTACGATTCCTAATGTCCGACTTATCTGATGCAGCGGGTATACTTGGAATGCCAGTCGGTTTCTTGCCCCGCACAGGCGCAGAATCGCCAAGATCTAGAAGATCTTCCTCTTCATCGCTGTCATCACCAATTCCGAAAGAATCGGGATCAGCCAAGCCGTCTGAAGCCGATTCCTCGACCTCGGTCACCTTGTTTTGTGGATGATCAGGATCCGCATATTCAAAACAACGCCTGATGAAGGCACTGACGCTACTCAAGAATCGCTCGTTTGTATTTCCTTGCATGCCTTCCGGTTGATAGGGGTTGGGGTTGTCAGCCTCGTACTCGCTCAAGCCTGTCATTGAGCTGGATGGAGTAAGAGAGCCCTCTAGACCCCGACGCGAGAGGAAAAGCAATGCTTCCGAAATGCGTAGAATTCCCTCGCGGTCCACTTTTCCATCTCCATCATCATCGTAAAGCTCGAAGAAATATGTGATACTGCCCATGATATCCCCCTTTCCCTTTATATGCGCGAGTCCCGTGACGACATTTTGAAGGGTCAAAGCCGAATTCATATCCACGTCCCAACGTCGAAATAATCGTTGCATAAACTCGTGGTCAGCCGGTTCGGGATTCCCAGGACCCCAGGGTGAAAGTGAAACCTCTCGTCGTCTGACGCTGTTGCCAAAGTAAGAATGCTTTTCCGATTCTGAAGTGTTATCTTTCCCGGGAGGACTTGGCGAATCTGTAATCGCCCATCTGGCCATACCCGCAAGGAACTCTCGGAATCCGTCATAATCCATGAGCGTGGGACTTGGTCCGAGTCCTACCCGTCCTTTCTCCACAACTTGATTTTCAGATAAGCCTGTCACAACCTCTGCAGCCTTGGCTCTTCGTGCCCTGTCCCGTCTTTCGGTCTCCTCCATTATGATCTGACTTCGTTGCTGGCGCTCATATAGCACTCCATAGAATCGGTCATACAAGGAACCAAGGTCGTCGACACTAAGTCGCTTGCTATCGGGTCCAAGGTTTCGTATCGAAGTCCTCTTAGCAAAGCTTTCTATGCCGTTCAAAACACTGTTCTTATGCTTCATACGTTGCTCCGTGATGCTGTTTTGAGTGATACCAGAAAATTCCTTGAATGCTACAACCATGAGCTCCTGAAAACGTGTGACGGCTCGTAATTTGGCGTTTTCGGATTTTGGATGCGCTGATTCGTCTAATTTCGAGAAGTATGACTTCAGAACCGATATAAAAGCTCCGTCATCGGCAGCGTCTAGAAGCTCTTCTCCATTTATACGCAAAATAGCCAGACCAACTTGAAACAGTACCTTTGGACCTTCTAAAAAGAAAACATCTAAAACACGGAAGGCAAAAACCAAAGGCATGGAGTTGATATATAGTGACAAGAACCATGGAAGTGATACAACGGAGAGCTGAACATCGGATTTGACCAGGTGGTCCCAAAGGATTGGCATAGTCTTTTCAACCAGAGACTCGAATACTTTCTGGTCGAGTAGAGTGCCGTACATGGTTGTTGAGTAGTATCCCGGGAGTAGCCGATCGCAGAGGGTGGATAGCAAGAAAAACGCCTGGGATTCGGACATGTATATAAGGAGCGCCGCAACCACAATATTCATAGCTTGACAGTATCCCACCTCTTCGTTGGTCCAACTGTATGCTGTGAGAACCCTTCTGAGCCGGCCGATACCCTCCTCGCTTTGAAACCCGGGGTATTCGGGAAGACTTCGATTTAGGTCTTTTTCGATCTCGTCGATCGCGAGAGAATCGCGACCTTCATACTTTGCCAGAGTGTCTGCGAACAACATAGGGTTCTCTAGTCGCAAAAATAGCGATCCAGATGTCTGTTCCCATATTTCCCCACGCAGTCGATTTGGCAGACCGACGCGGATAAGTTTGTGAAAAGTCGGTTGTCGAATTAATGTAACATTTCGTCCATAGTCTCGCAGATATTCTCCCCATAGTCTCATCTTGCTCCTATCCCTCAACTTTTTGTGATCACCGGGGTATCGAAATATCATTCCCAGCCCAGCATCTGGAGGAACACTGTCTTTCTTCCCATCTTTCTTGGTTTCACCTGGTTGCAGCAGATACTCAGAATAACATTCCGCGACGACCTTCTTCAGCTTCCCTACATCACCTACGCCACCCTTGAGGCCTTTTTTGAGCCCATCGCAGAATCTTTCACAAGCTTGTCGAGTCCCAGCCAACTGTATTGTTATTTTCTGTTGTGGGGCAGGGGTCTTGGCGGCATCGTTCGTAGGGCTATTGGTGAGGCCGTTCCAGGTCGTAATCGCCAATGCAAACTGAACCGCGGGTCAGCTATGAGTTCACAGGTGTCGGGGGAAGGCAGCATACCTGATACTGTTGGCTATGCAACCGTTCCACACGTCTGATAGCGCACAGAGGTAGTGTGAACCCGTTTCCTCCCGGTCCACCACCATGTGTTTGTCCTGTAAAGCCAGAAGATGTGCTTGTGCTCGCCGACTGCAGGAAGCTAGTGGGCTGTGTTGAGAAACACAGGTAGGCCTCACTCAGGTGCAGTTTTCCCTCATAGTGGTACCCTCTGTCTCGGTCCTTGTCCTTCTCGCCTTGTGTTGCATTCGGGGAGTACGCGACCGGTGGGGAGATTGTGATCTCCGCTGTGATTTCTTGCAGAGGGGTCTGGGAGTCGGGCAGACGAAACTGATGGCGGAAGAGAGTAGATTTGGCAGGATTGCGGTCAGAGGGAGAGATGTTGAGGGCTTGGGTGGGGTCAATGAATGACTGGGCCTTCTGCACAAGGCTCGAGAAGTTGAACATTGTTCATGGTATCTGCTGCGTAGCAGATACAGGAGACGTGATACAGGATCTCGTAGAGGTTGTTGATGTCTTTACGAGTATTCCATTCCTTTCAACGCTTCAGCTCTCCATGCGATGTCATGCCGCGCTTGGGGTCAGACGCGCTAGTGTTTTGCCGATTTCATTCGCTCGTTTCGGACCCCTATTTCATTCCAGGGGCTGAATATTTATTTTCTGTTCATCTCTCAACCTTGTTTAGAGCCATATGGTAGTTGAGTCAGAACAGATATAAGCTTTAAAGTTAGTATAAGGATTCGACATTCAGGATGCAAAGCACTTTTGACAAGGCTGACCATTTGACATATCACGAGTCTAGGAATGAACTCGGGGTAACCGGAAAGGGGTTCAATCTTTACAAATGTTGACTCTGGAAAACCCCAAATACTATTATAAATCTTGTATCAAGGTATAATATTCATAGACACGCCCTAGAGAGTATCAAGTACCCAACTAAAAAGAGAGTAACTAGCACTGGCCTAAATCAGATACCGTAGCTGACCTCTTCAGCCCTCCATCCAGTACTCACTTTACTATCCCCTACAAACGTAAATATAAATTTACTCGCAGTCTTTGCATCAACCTCAACGACCAAAGTATACTCCCTCGGATACAGAACTAAATCTCCATTTTCGTCCACCCTACTATACCCCACCTAACCTGTGGCAGCTGGTACGGACTCTTGCTCGGCAGTAGCGATAGTGGCATTACATTGCTATGTCACATTGAGAGAACATTCCATCATCTCGCTCATTTGGCTGGCACGATGTCACCCCGTACAACATAAGTCTGGATACGCGAATATCCGTTGTTGTGTCTGGACTGGAATCACCCTCACGCAAGTGACTGACGCGAACAACAAAACATGTCGGAGAAACCCGTTGGATATAGTTAAGTTTAAGCACATCAACTGACCTTTATAATATGCGGCTTGTGATTCTTTGTGGCCCGTAGTCAAATACATTTGTTCTACCTGTTTGTTCATTTCCCCACTTCGGTTCTTTTGATCTGCCCCTTTTCATTCAGAGTTCATATCATGTCTAGTAGCATATAAACAAATTGTCGGCGTTATTCCACAATTATCTTATCGTCAATCACCCAACCTTCTTCCGCTGATTTGCTTTCGATCATAAGCCATCCAGCATTTTATTCCAGCCAAGAAACCATCGTCATAGTGGTCCTCATGAAGAGCTTTCTTGTCTTTGTATCAGGCGTCGCTGCTCTCACTACTGGAGTTGGTAAACGAGATGCGTCGAAATTGAACAATAGTACAGCGACCATTGTCTTAAAAATCCAGGCGTTCACCGATGTTGCCACTAACTACACTGGGGGTACATCGCCGGCTATTTCAGTCTACGTCAGGAACCCCCGTATCATTCTTTATTCATGTATCTAACAAAATCGTAGACTGCAGACAAGGGTCTTCAAGATGCCCTACAACAGGGAATTGATGCAGCACATACGATTCAAAACCCTCCTATAAGCGCTGACGACGAGGAATTACTCGCGCCTCATCTCATACCTATAGTCCCGAAATCACAAGCTGCTCTTAAAGCTCTGAAGGACAAAAGAGATCTCCTCGTCGCCGCAAACGTTAGCGGCATTGTCAAGACTGCTCTTTCGGATACCAAGACTGCTAATGACCTTTTTGCGGATGCTGTCACTGCGGTCCTGCCAGCCGCAGAAAATAGTTTCGCTGTCCAATACAAAGCTGCTCTGGACGCAGCTTATGAAGATGCAATCGATTATTTCAATGCCATCTAGTTTGACATATCATTATCGTCACCAGATGTTGATTTATGTTGTCGACTTCCAGCGCGTTGAGAAGTTAAATTTGGGGCAGAATGTAGTGTGGAAGAATAACTCGACGATATTTTCATTGCGTTTGGGGTCTGTACTCGTAGTAGAAGCCAGCGAATGATCATGAGGATTTCGTGAATCACCCTTCGTTTGAGTTCTCCACGTCTGCAAAATTATTCTGTGATCTGGCTTGAGAGATAAACACGATATTGTTATGAGCTTGTAATTTCTTCCTTGCAGGTGAGAGACAGCAGGTTCTGGGCATCAGACTCGTACCTCATAACGTCAACTTCTTCGGCGCGATAATACCGTAGATTGGCATGCTTCCTAATTGTGACTGACTCTCTGCTGTCTATATGTAGGTGACTTCGTCTCTGGAAATGTTTGCGCACGGCGTCTGATATATATAAGCCCAAGGTTTGCCAAGTCTAATCCCAATTCAAGCTTACAGAAGCCCTTTCTACATGAATTAGAAAATTAACTCTAAATCTGATATATTTAGATAAATGTGGCTAGAATTATTGTGATTTAAACTAAATAAAGCTAATAATGCGAACGGCGCTTGTGGATTGTAAAAGCTGATCACCTTTACAATAGCCGAAGTATATAATTTAATCGTCTGGATTTCCCTTTCCTGCTTAAAAGCTCCTACGATTTGCCCTAAACCTCTGCCACACAAGCCCCGTCGAAAAGTCGATGGCGATCATATCATCTATGCAACAAGACATGTAGAGGTGCCGGATAATTCATCACATTTTGTTCTCTGCGACGTCGGAGATGCTCAATTTGGAGAGGAGACATATATTGGAGAAGTTATGCCAGATCTCTACTGGGTGCCAGAGATCGTGCTTGGAGTACATTGGAATGAGAAATCTGATATTTGGAGCGTCAGCTTAATAGTAAGTAAGGAAAAGAATATTCATTTCGGACTTTATACTGACTTTAATGAAGCTCTGGGGTTTTGTTTGAAGGAAAGCATATGTCCAACGAACGACTTCCAAGCAGAGATGCTTCGGTTCCTGCTCATATAGCTAGACTGGTTGCTTTGATGGGTCCTCCGCCAAAAGATCTTCTCAAAAGAGGGCAGTTCTCGGCAACACCTTTCGATGCAGATGGTGCGTAATTACATAATTTCAACGACATATATGAGACGAGTACTAATTAGCATAGGCAACTTCACCCCAGATATTCCATGAGCGCAGACCTCACTAGAGACTTTTAAGGAAGATGGTTCAATGGGTACCCGAGGATAGGAAATCTGCCAAGGAGCTCATAAAAGATCCGTGGCTAAATATTGATTGACTAAGCCAATCCAGCGACGTTCTCGACGATGAGGAATGCAAAGAAGTATGTCAATACGTATAATGGAAGCTCTAGCTTACTTTTAACACTTAATAGCTCGTAATAGAACTCTATTTTCGTTCGAGAATGATCCGACAATGGCCAAGATACTTATTCGAGTGGGTAATTTCAATTTACACAGGAACTAAGTCTCGATATGCATCAAAATTGACCATGGGTCCGCTGAAATAGAAATTAGTCCGGCATTAAGCACAAGGAGTTCGTGGTCACAAAGTCAGACTTGTTAGTAGTTGAGGTTTATCCCTAGACACACGAATATAGGCTCGCCGGGCACCGGGTAAAATCCCAGACTTTCTAGCTGGTTTCCTAGATAATCACGGTTATAATATACTGCTTATATAGGTCGCTATAATATGCTACAAAATGAAGATATATTCACAACCAAAACCAGAGTCAAGTCTTACCAAATGCATACTAGCTAGTAAGAAGTAATCACCCCTGTGATCCCAACAGGAGGTCTTAGACTTCTGATATTAATTATATTACGAGTATTTTAAATGTTGAATCAGCTTAGGATATTAAATAAATCAAGGAGTCTTATTATAAACTGCATTAAAGTACTCCATATCACTTGATACGGTTATCTGGAACATCATTGCGCATACGTGTGGTGTGTTCCGAATAAGGTCAGCGAGGGTCATATATTAAAATAAGGTAATTTCCTATAAAGATACACCATAAACAGCATCAGTGGTTTAGTGGTAAAATCCATCGTTGCCATAAAGGGTTAGTCTATACTACTATCCTTTCAACTTCGATGGGCCCCGTGTTCGATTCACGGCTGATGCATTAAATGTTACATTATGGACTGTTACCAATATCTTTTTGACGTTTTCTCTCTTTTTGTTATTATATTATTGCTGTATAAGTTTTGGCAGGTTGGAGTATTTTAAGTGCTAGAGCTTTAGCGAAAGCCTGAACTACAGGGGTTGGAATGCTGAGGTGTGGCTGCATTTATAAGAAGAGTGGCAGGAGCCAGCCACAAGTCTAGGTACTCGTGGGTGCCTCAGGCGACCACAGAGCACAGGCCTTCGCGCTTCGCCCCGTAATAGACAGGACAGGGTCTGTTGCTTTTTCATGACGTGCAAGCTACTTGTAACTTGTATGTTTCTTTTAACTTGTGCCCAAACAACTTTAAAACCTCAAGTTAACCTCGCAATGAGCTGACAATGGCGACTAGCAATAATGCTTCAATGGCTGACCTCAGCCTCTACATTTTGACTTTCAATTGCGGTCTATCTGCTATCGATGTAGATGCCTTTGCATCTCAACTATTCTCCGGCCTCACAAGCCCCACCTTACCCGACCTTCTCGTCCTCTCTCTCCAAGAACTCGCTCCCATACCCTATGGATTAATAGGCGGATCTTTTCTGGTCCCCTACTTTTCGAGGTTTTACCATGCGGTCCAAAAGGGGGCGCGAAAAGCCTCCAACGCAACAGACAATGCGCCAATATACACCCCGATATCTGCACGGAACGTAGGCATAACTGGAATAATGGTATTCGCCAAGGACCCGGAAGCAATACAAGATATTGAAACTGCAGGTGTTGGGGTCGGAATGTCAGAGATGGGGAATAAGGGCGCGGTGGGAGTACGGTTCACATACAGAGACAAAGGTTCCTCCACAGAGTTGACTTTCGTATCTGCACATTTAGCCGCAATGGAGGACGAAGTACTACGTCGAAATGAGGATTGGAAGAACATAGTTCGAGGCCTCATCTTTTCGTCAACAACTGCGGATCGCAAGCAAAACGCTGCTTCACTCCCGGGAGACCAGCGACCCCTCCTTTCAATATCGCCCCAAGACGCCTCAATCTACAAACCAACCTCACACCTCTTCGTAGCTGGCGACCTCAACTATCGCACCTCCACAATCAAACCCTCTCCCACCGATCATTTAGAAACCTTCCCACAACCACACGACGACCCCTCCTCGGAGCAGCATTACTCTACACTCTTCCTATCCGACCAGCTCAACCGCGAGCGCCACGCAGGCAGGACCTTACATGGCTTGACCGAGGCAAAGGTCACCTTTCCCCCGACCTATAAATATAATCTTGAAGAACCGTATCTTAAACTTGACGAAGAATTGTCTGCATGGCATTGGGCAAAGCACAGATGGCCCAGTTGGTGCGATCGAATCCTATACCTTGATATTCCCACGTGCTCTCTACCCAACCCGGACTCAAAATAACCCCACATAAATACTCCGCCCTCCCATTACAACCTACAACAGACCATCGTGCCGTTGCACTCGAGGTTTCTGTTCCTTTGGTGCCAATACCAGCTCCGTCTGAGGATGAAGAGGGCGATGATCCGAGGATACATCCGCCGTTTGAGATAGATATTGATTGGAAGAGTAAAAGGGATAGAGCCAGATTGCTCGAGTTGGTGACGGGTTACTCAATGTACTTGACTACTACGTGGGAGGGTAGAGGGCTTGTGATGGCGATGGTCGTCGGTTCTGTAGGCGCTTATTTCGTTATCAGGGCGCTGTTGGGGATGTGAGGGAGCTCTGACAAAATATCTAATTGGTAGGTAAGTAATGCAATAACATTCAATCAGTCTTGCAATAGGTTTGTGATCTTCTATTTTGGGCAGTGGAAAGCAACATGCAATGCGTGTCTGCTAATTTGAATTGTAATACTTTATTATTTTTACCAAGACGGACGCCTATGCTCATTTCAATACAGGAAGATGCGTTCTCCAATCAATTTCTGAGCTGGATGGATAAAGGTCAACATGGAAGTGAATTGCCGAGAAACAGACGCATGAAGATTTCGCATTGCGGCTTCTTGACCTCCCTCCTACGTGCCAGAACTTCCACCCTTCCACAGCACCAAGTTGGGTGAGAACAGCAGTGACTTCAGGGCAATCATTGCCTTTACCATCAACTCGACTTGCGTTTTTTCATAAAAGATAGGAACCAGAGGATTGGTGCTGTACAGAAGGTCTTTGACTACAAGCTATTCAGAGATGCAGAGTTCTTAGCTCTTTCTGCGTGGTCTGTTTTCAGCATAGATTATGTGATTTTGTCGTTTTCTCTGCCAGCATATGCACTTAGCATCGGACTGACAACTCAACAAGGTGCGATCGTTGGATCAATGTTGAAGGGGAGTGAGGCCAACCCCTTGTTGATAAGGTACGTAGTTTCGCTTAGGGAATAGGGGAGGTTTGACGAGGTCTGATTGCTTGGCGCGCGCGATAAGTTCCAGTACAACCCCCCGTTTATCGTGAATGGCGAAGAAGAGCATATGGTAAGTTGGAGGATGTTGATATGCCTGATAGCTGGTCTTGATAATGACTGCTTTGAGCTATTCTTCCGGGTAAAATAGAATGGTAGGCAACGTATCAATTATAAGCACGTAGCCACCAGATTGTTTTTGAATATCTTTGCAATTGAAGATGAACGTGTATATAGAACTGCCGTTTAACTAGGGTAGTACCGTAGATGTCCTTTGATCGGCCGAGGGTTGAGTAGGATTTTCGAAAGTGATAAGAACACGCAAGATCACCAAAATATGGCATACTGCATGGCTATTGAACCTTCCATCACATAAGGTAGTATAGCCTCTCAATCCTACAGTTACGTGTGCTGGATGTACTGCAACGTGAGCTTGTATGCAAGAATGGATAAGGGGGATGAGTCACTAACCATTCTCGCAGTTCTAAGCCGAGTTGTCAACCGCTATCGTGTTGATTTTCGTAGACTATTCGGTCCTTTTCTCTTCTATTCATATCATCCAACCTCATGGATACAGTAACGAGTGCTATTTCTGAGTTCCGCTTGGTCGCGAGAAGTTTGGAAAATGAAGATGCAGTCTTTCCTCACCAGCCAGCATTAATGCTCTCTTCCATTTTAGGCAGAGACTCGTCGACACCTTATTGTAAATAAGCAGGGATTGTGCAAAACGACATTGAAGATGTCCCGATGATCCAAGAGTATGAATAACTTTTTTCTTCTGATAGACAGTTATGCTATAATGAAAATTTAATCTTATAACTGAATATTTGTGGGGCCTTGGGACCAATAACCGTATTGCTTCCCAAGACATGAAATCAAAGATAGGACCAGTGAAATCAGTATGAAATTAGTATAGAATCTACACCGCGTAAGCAGTATAACTTTATCTGCAACTTTTGCGAACCATGACCAGTCCGACTCCGTCGATTGGTGCCACATAGTCTGCATGAAGTGAAGAACATGTATGAAACGGAATGCGAGGAATTTCTATTTCTTGGCAAGCATGACGTGCCTTAGCATTAGATGCCAAGTGATAAGGCGGGTATTCGTGGGTAGGGCAGGTGAGCTATCTGAGCAAAATCCTTCGAGTACGGACAAGGGGAAGGAGTAAATCCCACCTCCCTGTTTAAGCGATCTCGCTTAACGACAACCACCACTTTTTAATAAATATTATTTATTGACCTTACAATCCTTGAACTTCTATATGATCGCTTGTTATAGTGGGATAAATGATACAGTAAGAGTCATATTTGAGCTGCTAACGTGTGGCAACAATAGATACGCATCAAGTGCAAAGCTCTTAGTTATTATTATTGCAAATAGTATGACTCTAAGGTGTCATAGATAGGAGTTTAGGGGGGGGGGGGGGGGGGTGCAGATCCACCGGCATCGTAATATGTGACTGCCATGAGGAATAACAAATTCTTTCATTAAAGGATTTGCTACATGTAGCTAGTGGTAGTATCAACGTTTTATGAGAGTTGAAAAAATGCATATATCACATTATGAGAATAATTTTGGAATACTAAAAGTCTATTGCTTTTAATATAAAATCTATAAAATGAGTGCCTATAATATAGTTATAGTTGAGAAAGAAATCTTGTAATATTTCTACCTTATATTCATAGTAGCGCTATATAAAGTTGGAAATAAGGCTTGGGAATCTTAAGCAACGGTTTAATGAGAGTTGAGTGCAAAGAGACGTCTAAATTCCAATGTATCATGACCCATAAACAAGCAGCATACAATAAATGCAAGGGATATCTATCAACGCTTCAGTATCGCTATCTTTCAAAATCTTGCTCGAGACGAAAGACGTTAAATTGGCAAAATGGATCTCAGTTTACACGGGCAAGCAATCACGAGTCCCAAATTGGACCGAATGCTGGGATACCCATATACTCCAGATCCTCCACAAGTTTTGTCGTCAGCTTCGGGTTGGAAATGACTATCACGGCCTCGGACTCAGTTTCCTTGTAGAGCTGCAGTACTGTCGGCAATGTTGATGGTCTTCCCATCGTCGACGTATTGTGAATATGAGCACGCTTCCCCAGCGCCGTTATAATGTTCCCGATCTCAGTTCCATACGTTGTCAGAGGATCTCGCGTTGACCAGAAAAGATTGATGCGGGTACTGTTTGACATGATGACCGGTAAACAAGGGGCAATTCCTGATCCTGTGGCGACGAGCAGGACACTCTTGAACATCGGCGCTATCCGGAGGACTCCGCACGTTGGTGTTCGTCTGGCCCAAATTTCTCGGGGTGGGCTGTTGATGAGGGCCTTTGTCCAATCGCCGGCATTGGAAATGATGAGAGAGAACCCCTTTTGGCCGGGTTGAGACCAGGTGGCGAAGGCGTGCCATTCAAACAGAGGCCTGGAAGATAGACGGATGGTTGTTCCTGGTCCAGGAGTGGCGTAATCGAACTTGATGCGTAATGCATGTTTTGAAAGTTGTTCTGATTCAACCTTGACTTTCCGGCAGTTTAACCAGGTGATAATAATGCTGAATGTAGCGATGAAGAGAAGCCAGATATTGGGACTGCCGAATAAAGCGGAAGATAATTTCTGGCTGGAGCGTCGATTTAGATCGGTATTAAGAACCGTGAGAGTCCATAGAAGAGCCAAACTTGACCAGCCAGCTAGTCGGTGAACAATCTCGAAGGCGTTATGAAGCTTAGCACGGATCGATGGATGAGCCATGACGATCATGGACACAAGTAGACAATCCAAAATGTAGACGATGATAATGAGGATCCAGTGTTCAGCGGTCTTGGATTTTGTAGAGCAAAAGCTGATGGTGCTTTCGACACATAGAAGAATAAACCAAAAAGTCGCTGCTACACCACATCCACTATGAAGACCTCCCAGATGATAGATCTTCCCTACCCGGCGACGGAACCATAATGGAGCAGTGGAAGGCACGGCTGTGCAAATGACGTACAGCAAGTTGACGATGTGCTCCTCACGGATTACGATTGAGATGGCCAGGTTGATGGATACCGCTAGGGCACATGTTTTGTTGTTTGGATATCCTTTCCGAACCCAATTGAAAAGAAATTCGATGACACCAACTAAGTTAAGTGCAAAGACAATTGTGAATAGAAGGCGGTATTCAGAGCATGCGGCTCGAAGCCATTTCATGAAACGTGATGTTGTCTGGTTCTGGACCTTTTCGTTACTGGGATCGTTCGCTGTACTGGTTGCTGCCATTGTAAAAAGAGTGTCTGCTGATCGAAGCTTGAAGTTTGTTCCTTGAATGTTTAAGACGTCCTTGGGACTCGGGAGTCTATATTTTACCAGACGAAGTCATCGATGCACCGAAAATAAAGAGATGTCGTGTGTAGGTTGCTCTGGGTATCTATATACTCTGACATATTCTCCCCTGATGCTCGAGCCATGGCCTGACTGGTGGATATGCGGGACTTCCCGAACCTTTAAAGGTGTAACAGCTCTTCAATGTCGCCGTTCATGGGCCGGTTTATGCCGTCCAAAACCGGGAGAGAAGAAGAAGATCTTAATAAAGTTGAAAAGGATCGACCATTTACGCCTTCTTTCCATGCGATGAAAACGTGGCCGACCTTAGACCTTGCCAAGTTCGGCATAAGCCGTATCTAGTACGGTACTATACCACGAATAATAGTAAAGTTGTGGGCTGTCGCTCATAAGCCTCGTAAGACTAGCTTACTTTTATGGCGAGGGTACTTAGAAGTCTGTATAAGGCTGTATGTATATTGATAAGAATCCACTAGAAGCCCTCTTGCCAGCCTGGTATTGCCTTCACATAAATCTCCACTAAATAACATTTTTTCATTTACTTCGTATTAGGGGGTGGGGAGTGTGATGGCTTCTCTTTCCCCCACCCGCTTTATTTAAACTGCCGCTGTCCGGAACTACATATCGAGGAACCACACACAGATAAGAAACCTTTATCGCCAATGGTAGAGCTGTTTTAGGCTTGGCCGTGACGTGGTCAAGGGTCTCTCCGAATCAGTGCCTTATTGACGATCGGCGAGTGTTGCTATGAAGAACCACTATACTTGAGAAGAGTGACCACTCAACTCCTACCTACGTTTATCACCTATTCCTCATACCTTAAACCTTGAACTTTGCATATGTAGATGCACTACTTGCATTTTTTAGTTTATCGGTGGCGAGTATTTAGCCTGAATACCTAAGATCCCACCTATATGACTGGCTATTTTACCCCTGTGCAAATCGGTATAACCTCAAGAAAAATAATAGATAATGCAATCTTAAAGTGAGACTCCTTATTTGGAGCCTTGTATTTCGTCGGATCTGGACGCTTTAAGTGAGGATCAGGAAAGTGACAGTATTGAGCTAGCATGGTAACTACCGACACGAGATGGAATGGCGGAGCTAGCAGGGAAGAGTTTACCCTGCGCGGACTTGGTCCCAAAAGAAGACAGTCGGAATGTTGTCATTAGAGTGGCTGGGGTTCCAAAGAGTACTTGGCATGGGGGGCAGAAGTTAGCCACGGCATTTCTGCTGAGGACTCCACAAACCCCAATAATGGATAAGATACTCCTTTCACATAATGCTATCTTCACAAGTGCACACCCTTGTAGCATTCTAAGTCTCCAGTGTTCCACATCAATGGATTCCGGACCACCCTGCTATCAGATCAATGAAGAGATGATAGGTCTGTTCAGCGACACTAAGTGGAAATGTGTTAGACCACGACTTCTGCTATTCAGTAGTTTTCACGGAGCACCGGAAGCTTCGTAAGACAAGTTTAAAGCCTAGAATCAGAATGTGTTAAATAACAGAAGTGTTTGCTAATGGTCACGGCAGATAGACCAAACCAAGACTGTACTCGGAGATAGAATCCAAGAGAATTGCAAGCTGGAGTTGGGAATATGTCCCAGGAGCGGGCATCACAATGAGCCTGCTCTACTGATGGGTATACCCAAAAGTTTCGCAACAAAACATTGCATTCGGAATCTCTGATGTCGATGGATTGGTGGAAATATTGTCAGGCTACTACATAACCCACCGACAGAGCCAAAATACTTCCTTTCAAGTGTGATCATAGAATACTGAAGAATTCAGTTGCAGAATATTATATTATATACATGATAGAGGTGTCCGCGTTGAACGAGGGACGGGAGACCTTCACTGCATTGTCCGATTCCCTGGTCATAATACCCCGAACAAACGTCCAGTTATCCAGTAGAAGAAAGCTAAATCTGGTATCATTTAGTGTGTAGGGGTCTGGCTAGAATTAACATGCAACCGCCTTATGTGTAGATTGATGTCTTACCCACACATGGGCAGCTTGTTTGTGCTCATCGTCATGCCCATCAAAAGCCCCCTCGCTCCCATCTTTCGTAAGAGAATTCGATTTTCCAGACGCTTGATCAAGGTGGGCATTGCTGCCAGTGCCGTCATGCATGCTAGAGAGCTCATGGAAATCATCGTTTTGGTTGCGAAGCTTGCTCTCGATCTTGAACGAGCGGCTTTGGTAGATCCGCTGGTCGTGAGTGCGGCTGTTGACGCCACTGGCTGGGTTTGTTTTGATAGTACTATTGAAAAAGCCGCCGCTGGCGAAGTGTCCGAGAAGTTGGCGTATACTAGGCATGCAGGCACACATGATGGCGACGGTGGGCTCAACAGTGGACCATATGACGAGGCTAGTGTAGTCCTCTAATCAGATGTTAGATAAATAGTCAATAGGGTCACAGGGTGGAAAAACTTGCTGGTAGGATTTGTTGTACGTGAGTAACTAATGAGACTTCGAAGACGGATAATGCTGATGATAGAAACACTGCAGAAAATAGTGATCAGCAACAGAAGATACCAGGAAAAGCAGCAGGACTTACAAGAGGCCGACACCAAACATCATAAATAGTTGAATCTTCCTCTGCATTGACACCTGCAACTTGTAGAGTTCATGCAAAGGGAGAAACAAAATGGTGAAATCCTGAATAATGTTGATAACACCGCTTACGATAGTTTGGAGATTAATGTTATTACACTTCCCTGTAGAAGTTCCTTGCCATTGTGTCCAGAAATGCGAAATAGGGCGGCATGAGAAAATTGTCACCAGGACAAACGTAATTGCAACAGCGGCTGTGATGGCACCGACAATCCCACATGCGGCGCGGAAGGACTTGCTTGGAAAAATTTTGACAAGAAAGAGGAGAAGGGCGACTTTGGTTATGGCTAACATCAGAATATAAATGATCTCTTCAACGTAGAACAACTGGTATGAGACTGTTAGTAAGAGGTCTTGTTTCGAATTCTGGGGCTCACTTTGAAAAACTGATCTAGGCCATCGATATCTGTGTCCCAAATATTCAGACCAAGGCCGTGGTCGGTAACTGAATGTGTTAGATGGGACAAAACGTTGAAAGTAACATACATACGAGCAATAAGAAGATACCAGAATGGAATGAGAGCAATCTGTGCCAGTTAGAGTCTACTTGCCAACGAGTGTCAGAATGGCAACACTCACTCCTGAACCAATGATTGACCAATCATCGTAGTGAAGTTGTCGCGCAAGCTGCAGCTTCGTCCATACACGAAGAATTACGCACGCTTCTGCAAGAATACAAAATACATGTGTTATGATCCTGATTTTCAACTGCTGGGATACAACAGGCTCTCCACATCCCTCTTCTTGAATTTTGGCGACTTTAAGCTGTTCCTTTACAGTGCAAGACGTGCCTAAACATGCTGCTGCGGATGTGAGGAGGGGGGTATTTGTACATATACATGTCGAATTGGCGAGAGTACATGAAGATGCTGATATCGCAGTTTCCAGGCATAATAACTACCAATGGTGTGAGCTTCCACTATGCCACAAGGTCCTGTAAGTTTACTTACTCCACAAGCAGGAATTTGTGATGCTAACTCTGCGAGACCGGCCGCCTGGCTGACACCGACAAGTGCCGCACTACAGGCTACAACGATACCAAAGAGTCTCATATTGACAGTCCGGAGGGTTAGGAGAAGATATGGGAGGACAAAGATCCGGGTCAGAACGAGTTATCTGAAGTCGTTCTGAATGAAGAACAAGAAATGATAACTACGGGTGCCAACAAGACTCTCTACCTCTGAGGGAGAAAGAGTCGACACTTTGTACTTCGGACATTTCAATTGGAGCGAGATATCCATTTAGAGAAAGATATTCATAGAGAGAAAGATATTCATAGAGAGAAAGATATTCATTTGAAGAGAGCTATCAACACTCCAGCACACTCTATCAACTCGTCGAACAAGCATTCAAAGCCTTACTGTCTCACCACCCATGCCATGAGGGAAGAGTCTGCCGGCTCCGCAGAAGTGTAGATCAATGAACAAGATGAGATTGACGCTGAATATAATATTCACCGCCTATGATGAACAATCATGCGTAACCCTTTTGAGGAGAAAATCGCTTACTTCGGAGTCCCGCCGGCCAAGGAAGAGGGCAAGTTTAAACGACATCGTCGACTTATGCCTAGAGCCCTGATAGATAGATTACGTACTTCGTCCCAGGCCAAAAGTCCTACGCAGGGGTGTTACGCTAGGTTAGATCTCATAATATCCCCTGACAATGAACCCGTAGTCTTGTATTTATACGTAGGGTTTATTCGGCCTAGGATAAAGTAGAAGACAAACAAACAAATATAAACACTAAAGAAAGACTTATAGGCTCTATCTTACAATGGGTTTATTATGTTAGAATAACCAAGGTAACACCAAATGTAGAGCTTCTATTATAGCCCTCTATATACGTATGTGAATAATTAACCCACACCCTGTAAAGTGTCATTAACAGGCTTTTCATCCAATTCAATCAAAAACAATATGATATTGGTAGCGGCTTGACGTCTAGTCATGCCTATCTCTCAACGGATGTGGTCCGTAACAGCAGGGATATCTAAAGTAGGGATTGATTGGGTTGTCTATACTGTAGCGGGTTGTCACAGAGTATTATCATAAATACTGCACTTTTCCACTTGGAACCAGGTTGTGACTAGGCTAACACCGGATTTTAATTGGCGAGAAAAGCCCCTGGATTGAATATTTATGCCTTAGTTAGTGATCAAACTGCTAAAAGCCCCACCTTCTACTAGAATAAGAATGGGTCTGACTGCTGGAATCCATATAAACCCTGTAAAAGCATATATCATGGAAAGTTACAATATTTACTTCGAAGTATGATAATACCATACAGCTAATTATCCCGTATTCATCCACTTCTCGTCCCCGGTTTCCGGATTCTCACCCAGCCCCGTAAACTTCCCGAACGGTGATGCCTGTACTACTGTAGATCTGATGTAGATCTGAATACTTGAAGGGCAAGACCGTATAGGGATATGAGACTTCGTAGTTTAAATTTCTTTGTACTTTAAAGTACAAAGTATAATTAATAAAGGATTACCATCTGGTATCGGGCGTAAGAATTTGAGATACTCTACTTAAGGCTTTTTGAAAACATTAGGATATAAAAAAACTCTTGATCAAAAAGTTGACTATCTCTCGAGAAGAAGCTCTCTCTTTGCTTAATAGAAAGGGGTTGGGTTGGTAATACTTCGAAGTACGAAGTACTTTGTCCTAGGCGAAAACCCTGAACAGGGGTTCTGGTGCCGGGGGTTTATGCACTCCTATTCTCCTACTCCGTATAGGAATCCCTGTCATCACGACTGTGCGTAAATCTCTTCTCGCCTAGGACAATGCTGGTAGACTGCTCCCTGCTTTTTCAAAGTCTGACCCTCTCTACTATATTTACGAAGTACTCCATAACTTTATACTGCGCTCCACTTAAATAGCCGGGATTTGACTAAAGACAGGGCCCCATCCAAGAAGCCTCACTTTACTGTAAGATTGGATTAGTCCCGCTATTCTGGAGGCTTATTCTAGGGTTATATAACGGCTGTTATATACGCAGGGGTCTATAGATCCGCGCTAACTGGGTCGGTGTCAGATTGGAAAAAGACGCGACTTGAATAATCGGTACGGATGCTCCGTACTCAACGAAAGACCGTGCGCATCCAGCTTAGTACGCATGATCATACGCATGCTTCATCCACAGGCTGGGCCGTTTGAAGCGAACATATGGGCCACAAAGCCAGCAAGGAAAGAAATTCGGCAATGGTCATAGAATCTCCACACACCTGTTTGGACTCAGCCTTTTCGAGGGTATTGGATTACTTCGTACAAAATCTGAAGGCAGAACCCACGAAGTAAACTTAAATGCTAAGGGAAACCCACAACTACGTCTGTTCGTTCAACTAATTAGATAACCTGTGCTTTTGTACTCGCACTGAGGCAAATAGACAACTGAAGTTAATAACAAGCTTACCCCTATTCTTGCACGGGTCAGCGGCCTCTCTTTTCCTTATCCATGATCCCTAAAAGTAAGATGGGCCAAGACAGATTCAGTATGGCGGGGGTTACTCCTAATAACTTTACTGAAGAAAGGTTTTAGATCACTTCTACCACCGGAAGTTGAGGCTTGATCGATGCTAAATGCTATAGAAAAATAACTTTCAAGAAGAGAGAATGAATATTATAACGCCAGAAAGGTTTTGGGCTCGAAAGTAGAAACTTCCATAGGGTTTAAGAGCCGGCTGGGTTTTTCTCTCTAGTAAAAGCGACCCTAGCCAGTGAAGCCAGTTGATCAACCACTTTACAAAATGTAAATAGTGAGTTTGCCGTTCGTACACTGCAGCTAGAGTTAAGCCAGTTAAATGAGCCACAGCAGTTTTCCAACTACGGCGTGACCGTTGGCAATGCTGCGGCCCGGGATATCCACTTTCGTTGAGGCTGATCCAGCTGTCAACCACGTTTACGACCGCCGGAACGGTCAAACTAGGTCTTAAATTGACTTAAGCAAGTAATACAAGTAATTTACAGAGTCTAAACATCTGGTTGGACAAGATAACTTCTTGCAGAAGATCTCTCAAGAAGGTTTCGCGCTAGTGATACCTAGAATACTACATTGTAGGGGTCATAATTAATTGACCTTGGTAAGATTTTCGTCGCCCTTGCAAACACCAGAAAGTGGCAAGTAGCCGGCAGATCACCACCCACTTCGGAATCCATCCCCGAATCATCGCTCTTCCATTTGAAATGGAGCTGATAATGATGAAAGAAATGATCGACATGATATTGTCAGTATATAAGCCTTGTAGCATTCCCTCAAATTTACAAAGCATCAATCCATCACACTCTTTTGATTTTTCTGTTTTATTTTACTTCAGACTTCAATCACTCATTATGAAGCTGGTTAACTGCGTATCGTTTTTTGTTTTCTCACAGACATTTCATCATGTCTCCGCTCTCCCTGCGTTTGCGGAAAACGTAGACATGCATGCTCCCGTTCCCCTTGATGCTTTCAAGAAGACATCCCCTGTGGCCGGCCGTACGGCTGAGATTGGCGGGCACCACATCCCCATTGAGCACTGGGCAACACTTATGAAGGATTCACTGCTAGATGGATTCGCTGAGTCCAAACGCCCGAAAAAGCGGTCGACGTTCGACCCTGTGGCTCAACTTATTGATGGTTCGTTTCCCTATTAGCACCCCGAAGAATTCGCTGACCACCGACTTAGTACACGGCGACCACGAGTTCATCATGCCCAACTTCACTGCTGGCGATGTTCGTGGTCCATGCCCTGGATTGAACACGTTGTCAAACCACAACTACCTGCCCCGCAATGGGATTGCCAGTGTGAGGTAATTCTTTTAGCTTGCCGGACTCTTACTGACGAAGCATAAGATTGCACAATACATTGAGGCTACCCAGAAAGTTTGGAACATGGGCCCAGATATCAGCACTATTCTTGCGGTCTATGGTACAGTTTTCGGGGGTAACATTTTGTCGTTGAATCCAGGTGTCAGCATTGTGAGACTCTAGCCCCCTTCTAGCCTCCAGAATAATTCGAGGTTACTAATTATACGTCCAGGGCGGAATGTCCAGCAGTGCGAATCCTGAACAGATTCTGGACAACGCTGGTGGGCTTTTGGGAGAGGTTCGCGGCCTCTCAGGTACCCACAACACTTTTGAAGTCGATGGGTCGAACACCCGAAATGACAGATACGATCCTATTGGCAATGTTGATGGTAAGTTGGAATATTCACTTGCGTCTGTTGTCCAATACATGGAGGCTGCGAGTCCCGGATTCGTCCAGCTTTTGCTTTTACCTTGCTGACTTGACATTCTTCCTCTTTAGACACGAACATGACCTATTTCGGCCGCTTGTTCGATAAGCAGAAGGATGCAGAGGTCCCCAATTACACTTTGGACGTCATGTTTGAGTATGCCATCGACAGATGGTACCAGGACATTTCATACAACCCTAACTTCATCTACCTCCCATGGAGTGGATGGTTCGTCCGGAACGCGGCCATTATCTTCTCGGGTGAGCTGTTCGGCAACCACTCTGAGGAGTACCCAGATGGAATTTTGAGTAAGTCTTGAATCTTTGCTTAGCCTCATCGGAGCTGACGTCTCTTGTAACAGCCAAGGAAGCGTTGAAGAGCATCTATGGTGTTAGTGGTCCTGACGACAACATGGTCTACACCAAGGGAAGTGACAGGATCCCCGAGAATTATTACAAGCGCCCGGAACTGTTCTTGTTCATGGATGGAGCCAAGGACCTAGTCACCTACACTATCCTGAAGTACCCACAGCTGTTCAGGTGAGCTGTCCCAGATTGTCCGTATTGTTCTTGTCTAACTTTCACCAGCATTGGAGGCAACACGAACGGTGTGAACACCTTCACTGGTCTTGACTTTGCCGACATTACTGGTGGGGCTTTCAACGCAGCCAACTTGCTGGAGGGCAACAACGCGCTCTGCTTTGCCTTCCAATTCGTCAAGGAGGCATCTCCTAACATGTTGTCCTCGCTGTATGCCACCATTGGTCCAATCCTTGAAACCCTCACCGAAGCCCTTGACGTTATCTTCCTCTCCTTGGACTGCCCTGCTTACAAGGACTTGAGCGTCAACGGGACAGACTTGTTTAGCTACTTCAACGCCACCTACCCTGGTGCTGCTTTGACCAATGGTGCCATGTAGACCGCTCGATGTTCGAGACGTTCAAGTGCTTGAGACGTTCAGTGTTACGAAGATCCCATGCTGTATATAATTTTTAATGCCAATGAATTTACTTCGATTCTGATATTTGTGGACCAGTCTTTGTCAATTTTGGTTAGTGTGAGTTAACCCTTGAGTGGGTTGCTTTGATATTTTGGTGCCTAATATGCCGTTCGCCTGCGTTGCAGTTCTCTACTGAATGAACCCTTCACCGTGTCGCTTGGCGGCTAGTCAGGCGCTCGATGCTGGTGGCGTGGACTTCTTGTAGCGGCTCATCCTTGCGAGAGGTTTTGTAACTGGAATCAAGGCGCAGGATTGATTTTGTAATTCGAACTATCTAAATAGTTCGGCTGCTTTGGCTGGGTATTGCTAGTACCTATTTGGTCTTCCTCTTCGAAGAGATTAAAGACGAAATCTTCCTGTTAATTCAGGACGTAATCTACTTCATTAGAGCCTTTACGATTAACGCTTCCTGCGGTTTATCGTAGGATTAGTGCTGTGATATAATTCATAAACTTGGTATAAAACCCAGCTGCCACGAAATAAGGCCAAATTAACCGTCATTAGCAGAAAATCGTAATTAGACGTTGTTAGACTATATCTCTGTTCTTAATGAATTCTTTATTGCCGCGATTAGTGTATGCTTGGATGATTTGAAAGGGACCGTGGTTCCACCGCTCAACGCCTGTTCGCCTCGTATGGGTTCATCTGCATATAAGAGATAGAATAAAGGAACAAGGGGGTTGTTATTGACGGACGTCGTCAATTCCAGCGGCTCGGTACGGCACGGTAAGCGAGAAGCGGAGGGGAGGTAAGCGAAGAGCCATCCCCAGAGCAGAAAGGCTGAGCTGCAAGAGGCAGTGCATTTGGATATTGATCATGTCAAAAATTTAGAAGTCTCATCAGTTTGTGAAATGCATATAAGTATATCTAGATTTGTTGGGAAATATGCTAGTATTTTTTACGAAGCTTAAGAAACATTAAAGTGCTAGCTTTATCAAGGATGTCTCTTACTCCGGAGTACTTCCGTAGCAAACTTTGAGTCCATCTTTAGAAATTCTGCTACGAAGTAAGTTTTATCACGTAATCCGGGATTCCTGTCCCCCTCCCCCTGCCCTGTAGAGAGTGATGGTCCAAGCATTCCCTCCACTCCCTCTAGGACTCTCCTATAGGGCAGGGGGGACGATTACTTCGGAATCCGGATGCTGTCCGACACTAGGCTCTCGGCCTACTTCCTAGAGGTTATAGTGGGCCCGGTATAGTTCATTGTCTGGACTGCAGATCCCTCTTTCTCAATTTCTCCCCGCATAATCTTATCTTATCTCGAAAAGAAAAGAAAAAGGGTGAGATATAAGATTGCTTGCTCTATTTTATTTACAATATCGATTTAGTATTCTATATCTTGATTCTTGTTAAGCTTAGCTGTAAAGAAATACACTTTATACCAAGCCTTTTTCTCACCTTATACGAGTCATGTAGGGCTAGGTATACGTGGGGTGGGCTGGCATAGCCCCACAGTACGGAGTAGGTGCCAAGCTCCCGGCCCTTTCAACACTACGTATGAAAGGGGTGGGGGTCTATAGCGCCTACTCCGTAATTTACTAGCTTAGTATACGGCACAGACCGCCGACGACATCCTCGTCAAAATAAACTCTACGCAAGATTTAAAGGCATGGTTTTCCTGATAGGGGCTGCCGTAGAAAGCCAACCTTACTGTACCAGAATAACCCCTATGCGGGCTATTCTTTGCTTGGAAGCATACATGACGTAGCAGCCAATAGGGCATGGTCGTAAGCTGTCAGCCAAGACGCTAGTACTGCAGATGCATTTACAGCTTCTTCTCCCGCGACCCGAGTGGAGAGAGAGGAAGAGAGGGCAGAGAAAGGGGGCAAAGGGATGAAGATGCCAATCTATTTAGAATTATGCAAAGAGGAAAGCTAAAGTAAGAATGAAGATGTTGCTGTTATTGTTAGGTATTTTTACCATTTTATATGATTGCGCGCTATAGAAGTGTGCTTTATATAGGTAGATAGCTTACCTACTTATAGGTAGGTATATTACTTCCGCTATACCTACATGTGCACTGCCACACCCGCCACACCCGCCCAACCCCGATTACCCCGCTACATGTACCTACCTCCGCGTATGTACCTATAGGTATCAGCCGTTTATATCACCTCTATAGTTACATAGATGACCATCTTTTTATGGGAAGTAAGAAAATAATAGTATATGCATAGATCGCAAGCTATCACCATGCTATGAATATGGTTAAATTCTTTTATCGTGATTCTGATACGTTACTCGGCATATAGATCAATCATTGGACGATTCCGCAGCAATCTAGCCTTGCAGGAATTGTTTTCAGGAATCCAACTTCCTTCACCAATAGCAAGCATGGGGTTAAATGACTAGTCGATAGCGATGATAACTGCTGATCAAAAGTGTGCAAGCCATATACATATATGGAAGGTGTCTGTGATAAGTGAATGTATACAGGCCATGTCCCACTTTCCAACAGCCAGACAGGACTTGCAACTTATAATGCAATCCGTCCTCTTGCCTCCTCATATCCTTAATTTTCCATTGACCGTTTGACTCAATATCCAGGTTCTGCAGCAATGTCTAGCGCAGTAGAACGCATTGATGATGAAGTAACGTCGAGCCCGTATGGGTCTGAGCAGGAGAAGAAGACCCCCGCACCAGGTATCCAAGAGCGATTTGGAGATCAGATTCCTCACTTGATGCTCGAGACATTGGCTCCAAATGGCGAAGTGGACTACATCCTGGAAAAGATCAACAGCATGACCGAGGAAGAAGCCGTGGCAATCCTCGATGAGTCTGTCAAGTTCCATGCAGACGACTGGAATTTTCCGGCAGACATGCGAGATCGAATGAAGCGATTGCTTGAGGGTCCAAAGGCTTATGGTGAATTCTATGACCGAGATCTGAGGATTGACGCGACTATGATGAGATACTCGTCTCCCTACCCGGTAAGTCATTCCTCAAAGAACATATTCTACTTCCTACATCACGGGTTGGTCTACTATTGAGGCATTTTTTCAAAGTTAGTTTATCTTGAAGAAAGGTCTCAACTCCCGTGGAACATTGCAATTCCAATTCTATCACACCAGGCAATAATAACTCCATGATCTTGGCGTACAGGGAGTCAGAGCAGTGGCAGAGCCTCTGGATAACTCAGATGTTCCATTCGAAACCATTAGAGCATATTTCTTGGGTGTCGGCTGGGCCATTATTGGTACTTTCATGTCAACCTTTTTCAATAGTCGATTCCCCTCAATCAGTAAGTGCACTGTGCCCACTATGAGCCATCATTCCCTTCCCTGGCAGGCCTCGATTGTTCTCAATAACTTCGCTTGAAGCTCTGGGCGGACCGGTGATCCAGATCTTGCTGTTTCCCTGTGGTAAATTCCTGCAGTTTGTCTTGCCAGATTGGGGAATTACTGTAATGGGCACCCGTCACTCTCTAAACCCTGGTATCTGGAACTTTAAGGAGGCAATGTTCGCTACAATCACGTATAATGTAGCGATTTACACAACCAACAGCTACGGAATGATTCTGGTTCAAAAGTCACCAGTATTTTACGGCGAAACTTTTGTCACATTCGGTTACCAATTAATGTTGACATTATTTGTTCAGCTGATGGGAATGGGCTTTGCTGGATATCTGAGACGTTTCAGTGTGTACCCGGTCAAGGCTCTATGGCCTACAGTCTTGCCAATAATTGCAATGAATCGAGCGCTGACTCGACCCGAGCTGAAGGAGAACATATATGGATGGACGATTTCCAGATACAAGTTCTTCTTAATTTGTACCATCAGCATGTTTGTCTACTATTGGCTCCCAGGATTTCTGTTTACGGCACTTTCAACCTTCAACTGGATGACCTGGATCGATCCTAAGAACCTCACTCTTGCAATCCTTACAGGGTCCAGCTTAGGTTTGGGCTTGTTCAATCCGATCACTACTTTTGACTGGAATGTTGCAACATCTTCGTATGCTGCTTTGGCACAGCCCTTCTTTAGTACCTGCACAATGTACTTTGGGAGTATCCTTGGCGGCTTCATAATTCTGGGAATTTATTACTCCAATATGTACAACACGGGTTACCTCCCAATCAATTCGTCTTCAGCTTACACAAACAACGGTACCTCCTACAAAGTACAGCAAATAGTAGTTAACAACAAACTCGACGAGTCTCTGTATCAACAGTATTCGCCTCCATTCTATACCGCGGGTTACATTCTGACAGTTGGAGCGAACTTTGCATTTTACCCAGTGTATTTTCTCTACATCATGGTCAACCAGTGGAGCACTGTTTCGGAAGCCTATGTCAATTTCTACAAAGGGCTCCGGCACGGAAGGGGCAACTATGAAGGAGCGATGGACGTGCACAGCCGGCTGATGTCGAAGTACAAGGAAGTCCCCGATTGGTGGTTCCTCTTGATTCTAGTAGCCGCTATCGTCGTTTCGGTAGTTTTCCTCGAGATCTACCCACTTGATACTCCAGTCTGGCTCGTCTTTGTGATGATTGGCATCAACCTCGTCTTTGCCGTCCCCCTTTCTTTCTTGTCGGCAACAACAGGTACCAACCTGGGACTGGGCTCCCTGATTCAGGTGATCACCGGTTTCATCTTGCCAAACAACCCCAATGCCTTCCTGTTTGCACAAACGCTGGGCTCTTGGGCTCTTGCTGGATACGGAGACAACTATGTTCAGGATCAAAAAATGGCTCATTACTGCAAGATTGCTCCTAGAGCTGTATTCAGGAGTCAGATTGGAACAATCATCATCACTTGCTTCGTGGCGGTCGGCACGCAAGACTTCATCCTCACAAGCGTCAAAGGTCTATGCACGCCTGACCAGCCAAGCAGATTCACTTGCGCCAATGATGGATTCCCTCTTTACGCCAGTTCTCTAATGTGGGGTCTACTTGGATCTGACAGGATGTTCAACTCGCTTTACCCGCTCTTCAAATGGTGTTTCCTGATTGGTTTTGGCATAGCCGCTTTGTTCCTGGCCGGGCAACATTTCGGACCGAAATACTTACCGGGTGTTCGAGAAAAGTTGAGGTTGAAACTCAGACCGCGGACTTTTGAGCTCATGAACAAGACTTTGTTCCCGTTTTTTGCCTCGCTGCTCTGGCTAAATCCAATTCTCATCATCCAGGGAGTCCAGCATTGGGCGCCGTCTAATATGACCTACAAAACCCCCGGCATGATATTGTCCTTCGTCTTCATGTACTGGCTGCCACGGCATCGGCTGGCGTGGTGGGAGAAGTACAACTATACGCTATCTGCAGCTTTGACTGCGGGGGTTGCTCTCAGTGGTCTTATCATGTTTTTTGCCATTGGGTATCATCCAAAGAGTTTGAGCTGGTGGGGCAACAAGGTTAGTTCTGCAGGAGTGGATGGTTCGCTGATTGGCATCTTGCCACTTCCGGTACGAGGCTACTTTGGGCCTGAGAAGGGGAGCTTTCCGTAACTTAATCCATGGGCGAGAGTAAGACCCAATGAGTAGGTAGTTGAGATGGGTCCCTCTCCAGGGCATAATGAATGTTGCAGATCTGCCACAAAGGATCGCACAGCACAAGGATTTGAAATAGGGGCTAGGCGATAGAAATAATATTAGTCTCCAGGGTTAAACCATTGTCTAAACCATTCTCTAAAGCGAAAAAGCCGAAACACTCGTGATGCACCGAAAACATATTCCTAGACTATTGAAAGCGTAAAAACGAGACTTGGCGGGGTTAAGGATCAGTCGCAAAAAGCCGTGCCAGTTCTACAAACCAGCGCGCATTCACCCTCTCGCTTAAGAGGGGAAGCGAGGAGCAGAACACGCCGTGTAAACAACCAAAAAGAATAAACTTACCGCGCAAACCACCAAGGAAAAAGACATAAAGATGGAATCGTGAATAAAAAATGCAAAAAAAGGGCCAATGGTGGCGGATTGGCACCACCAGGCAATGTGTGTATGATAGTCAAGGACTACTGCTGTACAAAGTACAGGGAAAGCGATATCTCAATGTATCAACAACCTTCTACTAAATATAGTTAGCTACACAAGGTAGACTTGACCAGGATAGCAACCATTTGCCAGAATGCAGAAGGGGCCTCAACCGCAATAAATGTTTTGAGTAGAAAGTAGTTAATTTGATTTATATACCTACCTAAAAGGAATTGGGAGAGCGGAATGCTAATGATTGAATGGTGGCTATTGGACGGAGTCATGTTATGCCGCTCATAAAGATATGCATGAGGCAAGTAAATGCAATGTCGCTGATGTCTCTTGGCTCGTGTGTGATCAAAGTTCTTTCAGATGTTATGGCATCATTTGAACCTCAGTATTGTCTATGAGAGTTAGATACTACGTGGTCTATGAACTGACTGGTTCCCTAGAACCTCTATTATTCTTCACTTTTGTTTTGTATAATGATAGACCTTGATTTGCAATCCTTCCTTTAGCACAAAACCGTCTTTGATTTAGACTCAAGCTCCTACCTAAAGCCCTTGAAAGAAAGGAATTAAGACATCAAGAACGTGGTGATATTTAAAGAGGCCCACTGGTTCCGAGACATTCACGCTCAGAGATGAACTGAGACTCATTTCTAGTGACGGTGTATCAAACTCATGATGATTGGTGTACATATGTGGTGCAAGCGGAAGCCTCTTGGCAAGTCACGTCGTATTCTAGTTAAAAAGGCATCATACCTCAGTGGTATCCATTTCATCGCTGATGTGCAGTTCGCTCAAATTGTTAGCTACCTTTTCAGCCTCTGCATTCTTCTTCTTCTCTGCCGCAATTCGTTCTGCCACCATCGTCAGCATCGGAGTGATCGTAGCACAACAAGACATCTGGCTGTGTCGCATGGTCGGCATCCGTGTCTGGGGAATGGTTCTACGACGGGTTAATTCACCGTAGATAGGGGAATCCACTGGATAACCCACGATAATGTCCAAACCAGGCTGAGACATTGCCCTCTCTTCCCAGTATCTCTCGACCTGCTCAGGTGTCTCTCGGTTGTTGTTGTGCATGCCGCGTTTCTGAGCAATCATCAACAAAGGCAAGAAAAAAACACAAGGATAAGGGCCACATACTTGCCACATAGCATGGTTAAGCATCATCTGCTTCCACCAGAGCAGGCTCTCTATCTTACCATCATATTCAAATCCTTGCTCAACAGCACGCGCAGTGGGGTAGTTCTTGTAAGACCGAATTAGTAGCCTCATCCAGCCAGCTTCCATCTGCGGACGACTGATAACAACGTCCTTGTTGCACTGATCCATGTTTCTCCGATAGCCAATATATCCTAGGACGTTGACAATGTACCAGATGTCACCTTTGTACTTCGGATTTTTGAGATGGCGGGTCTTGATGGCGCTGAGTCGCTCATATTCGCTCGGAAACATGGGACATCCAATGTTGTTGAAGTCGATGATGGTCGATTGCTGACCGCTCTTCTGCATGTTGGCGTCCATGGCGACTCTGGTATGTCTGAGTTTGAAGAGTTTGACGAAGAGTTTGAGTTGGAAAGAAAGATGGGAAGTCAATCTGAGATTTTCTTTCTTTAAATTCAAAGCCCCTCATTAGCGTCTTCTTCCTCCAATTCACTTCCAGATTGTGGACCCTAGGATCATGATCCATTGACCTAGAAATTTGACATGCCTTGATCTTCTGAGTAAGCTTTTATCATTAGCAAGCAATCTCGCGCTTTCAAGGGAAGCAAGTGGGACCAAGCGAAGCGAGCATTACACAAAGAATGAACTTTAAAAGAAGTATATATTAAACCTGATACACGTGCAGATAAAGGCAGCATGTGGAAACTCATGGTAATCTCGAGATAAATGCTGTCAAATAAATAATTCATTCAGTCAATTCAGTAGCTTTAACTCCTCGTATCGCAGCACGTCCATGAAAGTAGCACACTGACCTAAGACAACGTCGCTCCGAACTCCCAGTCACAATTGATTACAAAACTATAAGAGGACTCCCGAATGGTTTGTATGTATCCAAAGTTCTTGTCACTTGAATGCCTAAGATAGCACCTCGAAAACCCCTTAAATATCCATTCCACCAAACCGAAACCCCCACCACCTTCCATTCACATTCAACATGCCAGACCCCCCGTATGAAAGCCTATCTATCTAATAACAAGAAAATAACATCAGTCAAACACGGCGCACTGGGTAGAGCATTTGCTTCCGCTTTTCTAAACCCAGCTTTCAGTCTCCTCCACAACAGTCCCCATTCCACGAATTAATCTACCCCATCGCGTAAACCTACGCCCCAAAACGCCATCTCAACACCATGACCTCTATTCTTTGCCCTTCAAGCCCTCCTCCTCCACGGAGAAGCTTCCCCGTCTTGGTCTTCTCTTGACAAGTCCTCCGTTCTGGATTTTGTATTGGTATAGAACATCCAGCAGAGTGAGACCCTGGTTTTGGAGCGTGCGAAGATCTCTTACGACTTCGATAGTGATTTTGCCGAGGTCCTTGAGCGAATTCTTGGTGCTCTCAAGTGGCATCTTGGTTTGTTGTGGGTATTTGCGGTTTATTTGGTAGGATTCGATGCGTGTTCGTTTTGATGATATCCTCGGGGGCCCTTTGAGGGGTATTGGGGTGAGCTTTAGGAAGTAACTGAAGGTGCAGGTAATGCGTGGATGCTGCGAGGCACGGAAGAGATGTGATGTGGTCTTTTTACGGGAGAGGCGCTTTAAACCAGTAGTAGTGATTGTTCTGGAAATCCTGTACAAGCCACCTCAGCTCATTCATTGTGAATCACCGTGTTTCAAAGATGCAGCCAGATATCTGCGAACCATCGTTATTCTAGTTGTATCGTGCAAAATCATGACAGAAAACAGGACGTAAATTGGCCAAGATAGCAAAAGTTGGCTGAAGGTTCGGTGTCCCAGATTAATATCTCTCAGAATAGTGGCCCCTTTTTCAAGCGAGGATGAATTTCTTGCGCAGCCTGGGAAAAAGTGAAGACTCTTAATAGAAATGGATCTGCAAATAATAGGACGGACCACAGAGAATGGAAGAGCTGGATAACTTATCAGCTATCCTAAGTAGAACATCTGGTTCCCAAAAAGGTACTAGTATAGGTAATGAAGGAAGCTGGTCATGTGATAGCGCGGTATGCATCTCCCTGAACCGACTATATAGTACCTTAGTAGATAGTTTGGGAGAAGGAAAAGATGTATAGTTTATCAAGATCCTCTCCTTGCTCGAACAATGAATTTGTTTGTGAATTTCATTTTCTAATACTTTGCCGGTAAAGTGGTGCCGAGATCATTTAGTCTCGCGTTTCGCGTTTCTCCTCCAACGCGTTCCTATGATAATGACGCGTGTGCTAATTTGACTACTCAAAGCCCCCCTTCCTTTATTTTGACAGTCTTCATTTTCCTTCTCCATTCCTTCCTTATTTATCCATCCATCGCATCCTAATGGCAACCATGTCCAGCTACGAATTTCGATTCCGAAGGCGACGACCAATCCCAAGTCTCCGACACAGATCGCAAAGTAACCGAAGTACACCTCCCCTCTTTTCCCCTCCCCAATCCATCCCACCTGATACCTAACACCTCTTCTTAAGGCCGATATTAAACCAATCGACCCCGACAAACCCCTCACCTGCACCTGCAAAACATCCTGCGCCACCGCGCGCTGCAAATGCAACAAATCCGGCGCCGGCTGCCCCCCCAGCTGCAAATGCTCCGCATGCATCAACCCGCTGAACGCTCTGTCCTCATTCTTCGCCGACCCGAGCATGCGCGCCAGCCCATGTTTCGCAAGTTGGATTCGGAAGCAAACAAAAAACAAGAGCAAGAGCAAGAAGCGGAAGCGGGACAGCAAGCCAGAATTCTCTCGCATCCGACGAGACGCGAGAGGCGTTGCTATGCCAGTTGATGGGCGTCGAAGACAGCAGCGAGCAGCCAGAGGGAGATACTTTTGACGAGGATGGTATGAGTACGGAGATGGAGGCGTGGGCTAAGGAGTGGGGTACGCCTGGTATGAGCCCGGAGAGGAGGAAGGAGATGGTGGATGAGATTCTGGCGTATGGACTGGCTGATAACGGGGGAGATTTTTATAGTTTTTGCAGGGATGATTGGGCGGAGGATATGAATACGAGCCATTGTACGAGTTGTGGGGATTGTATGAATTGGAGGGAGTGGCATTGTAAGAAGTGTAATCGGTGCACGGAAGGGGTTACGATTCCGTGTGGGGGGTGTGGCAGGGTGTCGATTACCTATCATGATTTATGATACGAATACGAATGGGAATGGAGGCCTGTATGACTAGGTGATTGAGACAAACGGGACAATGGTTAGATATTTATGATAATGTGGGAACAATATTCTATTATTCGTTATTTGTTAAGCTTCCAGGTGGTGACGTTGCTTAAACTCGCAAGACCTCCTCTCTGACGAAGAAATGTGAGGATACACAGGATTGACCTGAAAGTCCCCGATAAACTACAAGGTCCGCGCCTTTTGTCAAGATCAAGAAGGTTTTCGCACTCGGAGACATGTAGATTAGGGTCCGTGACGTGAACTACGCCTCGATATAAGATCTAGCAGACTAGTTCAGTCATAAGCCAAGAAAACATAATATATTCAGTTCTATTTGTACAATTTACAAGATCTATGAAGTCGTCCACCGCCCGTTGATTTGCTTCCTTTTCACCTGCCATCTTATTAACATGATTTTCCAAAGTGGGGAAGAAATGACTTACCATAGGCGCCAAAACCACAACACCAGCCCACAGTGCAAGCACTGTTCCAACCAAACTCAGCTTATTGAAACCCTTTCCAAGAATATCAAATGCAGCACTCGGGGCAACTCTTGTCCCGAAGATATCTATCCCATACGCGAACAACAGACTCGTACTCTCTAAGACTGCCGGGTTGGTAATAACATCTTTCACGCCAATCACCTCGCGCTTGTGTGTGAGCACGAGTTTGGGATCAAACTCGATATAAGGCTGGTAGCGGAAGACACCTTCTTCCATCTCAGCGGCGGTAGGGTCTCGGCCAACTGGCCTACGTGGATCGAGTAGGGTACGTGGGATGCCGATGATAGCGTTGTTAGAGGCAATAGTGCAAATGAGCTGGCGAGTAGTTATACCCTGGCGAGTCTCAGTGACTGACATGTGGCTGATTGCTTCGGGGATGAGAAAAGACTGTGTGGCAACAAAAGGTAAGGCTGGTCCTGCGTTGGGGATATCTGATGGCTCGAGGCTGGATGAATTGGCTGCCGAGCCAAGAGGTCCACGATCGTTAGCGACATCAGACTCATACATCTCTGACACAAAGATTTGATATCCCTTTGACGCTGGCAAAGTTTCTGTGGTTGGAAGTACATCAGCCCATAGGGAATACGCAAACCAGTTCTCTGTGAGCACTGAAGCGATTGGTTGGGTTGTGTCGACGCCGTCGTGGCTGATTGAGTAGAGAATGTCGCCAGAGACGGTATCAATCACGTATAGCGAGGCAGTGGAATGCTCGTCTGATACTGATGTTACTAGCACGATGTTAGGGTTTAGATACTTGTAGAGAACAGTACGATCGCCAAGAACTCGTCCGATAGAGGCCACAGGATCATGGGCCGGTCTTGAGACGACGTTGATAATTCTCTGACCAAGAGCAGGCTTAAAAGTCCAAGTGACAACGGGTTGCGCATTTTCTTTTCCGGCTTCGAATTTCAACCCTTTGATCTCGCCATTGCTTCCCTTGACAACTAGGTTCTCTTTAGGTGCCCATGTAGTAGGAACTTCACCTGGGTTTCCGTCAACGCCAATCGGTAGTAACCATTTTCCAGAAGGACTATCAACCACCGCCGTACTTGTTGTCGCGGGCCACGATCCGGGGTTCATGGCTTCGATTTTATTGCCACTCGTAGTATTGAACATGACATATTCACCATCAGCACCTCGTATGGTCGTAGTACCCTTAGAATGCTCGACCCAGATTCCTTTCACATCCCATGTCTTGCCCGCAGGTTGCTCAAAAGCGCTCGCGGACCAGACAATAGACCCTTGATTTCCAGCATCGATACCATAGACGCGTCCGCGTTGGGTAGCAACAATTACCAGCTTGTTGAAGCCGAATGTATCACGTACTAGGACTCCAGGTTTTGGGGAAACAATATCCCCAGGGAGGATGCTGCTCAAGAATCGTCTAGGGAGATCCTGTAAGTACCCTGGCAAATACTGCAAATCACTGACGTGTCGGTTTACCCGATGGATATATGCGGATAACGGGTTGCTATGCGCTTCAGCCTCCAATGTTTGGGCCAATGTTTCCGACTCAGGAATTTCAGCCCACTCGGCAGCGACTGCTCCAGAAAGTCCTTCAGGCCGAATCCAACCCGCTTTTCCATTGCGAACTAATACCCAGTCCTGGCCTGAGGTAACCAAGGCAGACCTCACCGCATATGTATTCGCGTCCCGTTGAACAACTTCCGAGACACCGTCAAGGAGCGAGCCGTGGTCACTTTCGAACTCCAGGGGGAATCTACCAAGTATAGCATGAGAAGCAGATGAGACAATAACTACCTCATCCGCTGTGTGCCGGGTAAAGTAGACATTCGCTTCCTGGGAGCTGGTGGAAATTGCTCCTTGTCCTGGTAGCTTTGGTAGTTCATAGGCCTTCTTGATGCTGCTACTTGCAAGATCGATATGATAGACGTCCGCGCGGTTGGAAACGCTCGAATGGGTGTGAACCAAAAAATGTGGTTGTGACTGAACAAGATTCGGCGCATGCAACGCTACGTTAACGATTGGCCCGTCTGACTCCTTCAAGGGCAGACTTTGCAAATCTCCAGCTTTGCCCAGTAAATTGACCTTCAGGTTCTTCAACGCCTTGTCCGTCCAAGCAATGATAGGAGCCGCCGAATTCGCCCCCACGAGTAGAACGTCTTCAGCCGAATGTACATCGGCTTTCGTTGACAGGATGTATTCGTTCGTTCGCTTTCCAGTGACCGGATCCAGGGCTGTAATCTTCAAATTATACCCTCCCCAAGCTCCGTGCAGAGACACTATGAAGATACTCCTGACATTCGTGCTGACCTGCAATGGCACATCGCCAGTCCCATCTTCAAACTCCCATGCCACATTTCCGCTTTCGCCCTTCAGTCGTCTCAGTATGCTCTTGCCTTCGTGTTCGAATAAGGCCAAGACATCCTTGGTCTCTTCGGCTCCAGCAGCCGTTTCCATGACCTCTAGATCCTTCACATTCCCCTCAAATATATTGCCCCATTTCTCTTTTCCGCCCATAGCATCCCAAGCATCAACTCTGCTCCCAATCGCAGACACAACCGTATTCTCTCCTTGCACCGGCCTTAGAAACCCCGTCTCATTGCCCACAACTCCAGCTAAAAGTTGCCGCCAAACTACTGTTCCAAGACCAGGATTTACTGCGCCAAGGACGCCTAGGTCGCTCAATGTATACAATAGTGTTGCCTTTTCATCTTTCCGCGGCCGATGGAAGAACGTTGTGTGCGGTAGTGGGAGGCCGAGTAGTTCGTGGTGGTAATCAACGCTGTAGGCTTCGTCGGAGTAAATGGCGAAAGCTGAGGGGAGAATAGAGAGGGTCAGGGAGAGAAGATTGATTGGGAGTCGCATGTTGGCGGACGTTACATGAGGGTTATGACCTCGTGTATTGCTGGAAAGATCGAGGGGAGTTCAAAGTGAAGCTTCAGGTGGCCTCGCGACGACGCGATTTTGACAGGGGTCTCGTCTGATTTAGCCGCTGCTGCTTATATAAGCGTACTTGGGCCATAAAACTGGCGCTGGGTTCTCTTCACACACATCACAACCCTCTTATGCTAGCGTCAAGCTCTTATTCGATCATCTCTGTGACCTACGAATTCTAAGAGAGTCTAGCTCTAGCTGCTTTTACGTGAGCATTGACCACTTTTTTGAGTCCAAATATGTGTTTTCACTAGCCTATATGTACTTCTTGAGTGACAATCTTTGATATCTTTTATTTGTTATTGATCTCAGGATACATTTAGGATGCGCCCTTACTTCGTACATATTTGTCATACATCAAGTGTGCATGTCAAGTGTGCATGCAAACATCACTAAAAACACACTGCCTTCTCATACGTGTGAAGTGAGGCAAAGAAGACCCAGACCGTTTCGATAAAAGGAAAAGAACTGGATGTGAACCTCGAGTCTGCTCCATGGCGTATACGAGAACTGCGCAAGAACCGTCTGGTATGGACGGACGCCATTTGTATTGATCAGTCAAACAATGAAGAAAAGAATCAGCAGGTGGCACAGATGAGTCAGAATACTAGCAAGACTTTGGAGAGTTTATTATATCGTCAATAAGAACTCTAGACCATTTTTGAAAAGCAATGCTAACTCTTGGCTCTTCAAAGTCGTGCAGAATACAAGATCGTTTCCCTGGGACAGGCCACTGGAGAAACCGATATTGTTTTTGGTGCTTTTCTCGTGCTCTCAAAAGTTCCACACTTTTTGAAGAATTGAAAGAGAATCTCCCCTGGAAAAGTGTCTTAACCCAACCTTAATTTACCCGAGTGCGGCTCTTTCGGGATATTGCTGTTTTCGAGATCCCGGTGCAACGGCTAGTACCGAGGACGGGAGAACCTGGTCGAAATCGATTACGAATATGAGCAGAACTAACAAATCGGCAGGACGGAGCAAATGCTTGTTTCAACGTCTTACTCGAGTACTAGTTACTGCGGAGATTCCGGCAAAAGTACCGCATGAATGTACAGCATCAAGCAGATCGATACACTAATAGGCCCTGTGCGGAATACTCCGTACACTAACTACGGGATAAACCGAGGGGGAGGGGTAACATACAGTACCATGTAGCGCACTGATTAAAGACTCTAGCCTAGTAAGTTAGCGCTAACCTTATAATAACATGATGCATCCCTTTTTGTGATAGGACTTTTGGCCGTACAAGTTACTCGGCATCTTGGATACATGACTATTGAAGTAAGATCCACACTACGAGGACGAACTTCTTAGCAAGGGCCGAGAGCTTTCAGCATAGGCTTGGCATGATGGAAAATACCAGGTTGTTAGAAGAGCCCCGTGAGAAGCAGGAACAAGATATAGTTCTTACAGGAGCAATGGAGAAGAATAGAATGCTGATATAAAATATAGCGCGTGTGAGCAAGGATATCTCGGCCGATGTATAAAGTTTCCTACTTCCAAGCTTACGTTTCCATCAAGTCTTAAATACATATAAGCGCCTCGATAGAACCAGGAGCCCAGCATTTCGAACTCACTTGCATGTTGCGGTGGACTGCTAAGCAACAGCTCCTCCCTCTTACAACGGACTATCGCCAATCGTCCCATCAACCGTCCCATCAAAATTCTGCAGGAACAAGCTCTTCCTAATCATCTGTGCCACAAAGTTCGGCATTCTCACACGCCCCCAACTTCCAGTGGAAAGCTGTCTACCCACCGAAACCCCAATAATTCCTAAACCACAGTGATTTAGCCAAACTTCCTCTTCGAATTCAGGAAAAAAGAAGAAATGAGGGAAGTGGGGTAATAGCTAAGGCATTATGATACTTACTCATGAAGAATAGTTTATAGGCAAGAGGTGGTTTGCCACTAAGAATCAAAGCAAAATTCTTGGCTAGAAAGGTAGACTGTCGATCCGCATAGATGAACTGCAAGGGCTCGACATTGCAGACATCCCCAATAGCATACACGTCTTCCGCTCCTTTAACAGCAAAATACTCATCTACGACCACAAATCCCTCTGCGTTGAGATGTTTGGTGGGAATGTACGAAGAGTTGGGGACCAATCCAGTAGTGGGGATATACAAGTCGGTAATCAATTTCTCTCCGCTCGAAAGTGAGACTTCGGTTTGATGGTTTGGTAAGGGGGTGGAGCCGATGACCTTTTGGGATAGCTGGATGTCCACTTTTAGGTTCTGGAGACCCTTCATTGCGGTCTTCTGTACGCTGGTGGGCGATTCGGGGAGGATTGCAGGGGTGCTTGAGATCTTCAATGTGCCAGTGAGTGAGCGAGTGAGTAGACTAATTTACCAATACTTGGTTGAATAATAAGTGAAGGAGAAGGTGAAGCACTTACAAGAACAATCTCCTTCCGACTTTCATACTCGAATGCCAATTCCCCAGCAAACTCCACACCTGTTGCGCCAGCCCCTGCTATGACAATCGTCTCCGCTTTCTCAATCTGCTCTTGGAAATCATGGAGTGAATCCTTCGTCACTTCCGTCGACGTTAGATTCTTAAATGGAACTTCTCCCTTTGCGTTCGAGCCCGTGGCCAGAATGAGGTAGTCATACTTGAGCATTACCGTCTCACCGTGGCCCGAAGAGATCCCCACTGTCTTGGCCTCTACATTTAAAGACTCTGCCATGCCGGCGACGAATTCAAACTGGCTAGTAGGATATTGTGCAAACCCAGCAGCGATCGGGCGAAACATCTCCGAGTCGCTGAGTTGTCCCGGGATCAGGGCGCGGGGGGAGGCCACGTTCCAGTAGAAATGGGTATTTGGGGACACGAGAGTGATCTTGAAAGGCCCAGTCTTCGCAGCGTGCTTGAAGATGCGATGGGCTGTGCTGACCCCAGCATATGAGCCTCCGAGAATAACAATATGCTTCATAATTCGAGGTTCGGAAGTTGAATCGGGTCTCTGTCGAAAGTAGCTGGCAGTGAGGAAGTGAAAAACAATGGTGATGGCCTGTTGAAGAATATTGGCCATATTAAAAGTAAGAGAAGGCAGTAAGAGATAGAATTGCATTACAAATTCGGGTCCCCGTTTATATAGTGTAGCACGAACGCTGCTCGTCGGAGGAATAATCACCTAATTGGTATGCTGCTTTCAAACCTCGTCGGGATATGGGAAATATCGTGGCCGAGAATACATAGTCCGCCTACCCAGCACTGCCGAAACTCAGGAATCTCGTAATGCTGCGGCCATGGCAAAAATCGGGATGGACGTCTACAAAAGGGAATAGCATGGCATCCAGGGGTACGTTCGGCGCAGCTGTGTCCAATCACAAGGCGTAGCGCAGTAGTCGTCCTCGCCGCGCCGCTAACAACCAACAACCTGAAAAGCAAACGCAGCCACCTAGTAGATGTACTTGTTTGATAATTATTAATATGCTGGTGACATTCCTCCCAGCGCCGCTTTTCTAGGGCTATTTTTGATTGGGTCCTAGAAGTGCACATTATGCTACTGTAGAGATCATTCGGGATTTGCATGGCGAATGGGGGTGAACAGCGCAGGTGGAACCAATCACAAATAGAAACATCCGCTACTATATGATAGAGCTTAGAAAAGCTGGCAAAGATTGGTGCAGGAATACCTACCGTTTAGTCACTGCTTAGAAATATAAGAACATCGTGAGAAATTGTTTGTAATCTCGTCTCCCTTTGTATGACTCTTTGATAAGCGTTCTAAATACGTTCAATTTGGGGATCAAGTCGTACCTTGTGTGATTCAAACGAGTAGTATATTGCTGGTATGTTGATCAAGAGCGTCTTCCCATGCAAAGCTAGGGTAGTTTTCCCTTCTGCTCCAAATGTCTTCCAGTATTGCCAAAATCCTTTCTCGGTGTTTCATCAAGGGATTCAGTACCGTAGGAGAAGAGAAGATATGACGGAACAGGCTCTGGTCTTCTTGATTCGAAACAGATCCGATGATAAACAGTGGAGAGATTAAAGCTGGTAGAAGACGTGACGGAACTTCAGTTTTCAGCATTGTGATGACTTCAGAAATGGCAGTATCTAACACCTCCAAGCTCTGAAAGCCACGAGAGACCAAGTGAAGGTAAATAGACGCCATATAGGCAAAGATCTGAGTGACAAGCGCGGTGTCTAGCATAGAAGGACTAGTCCCAGATTCGGCTTTAGAAATTTCGACACGTTCTAGCGACCCTTGGTCAGAACCTCTCTGGATCTCTCGACTGATATCTTCCACTGCACGCCCAAATCCTGTGCAATCAAAGAGACCTTGCCGCAAGGCTTGCGTTTTTTGGTCGTATAGTGCGGCAATGCGACCTATCTGGAGCATCACCCAGTTTTTACAAGCTATGATATCCTCAAGCTGAGTCTGTGAATTTGAAGCGAGTACTGTGGAGTGGTAATGCAGCAAACGTGGTGCTGTTCCTGCCGTGATCGAATACGTGATATCGAGCGAGATAAGTATGCCATTTAAGAATTTAAAGCTAGCAACCTCTTCAGAAACTCCAGGTTGGTATTCCGGGAGCGGAGTGTTCTCGAGTATAGCTGTCCTTGACGTAGCCGCCAAATCAAGGCTCGCTAGTTGGCTTTCGTTGGCTTTCTCGTACATGCTAATTGCTGCCTGCAGATGAGCCTGCCACGCATTGCCATCCCCTGTAAAAAGCTACCCCAGAGTGGTCAATACACAAACAAGCCGTGATGTTTTTCTTTGTGGAATAATACCTCAAAAAACATCAGTTGAATAACTGTAATAACAATACCCAATATATTTATTGGACAGGAGTTGTGAGCCAACTGATTGATTGGTGTTATTGCATCTCCGAGATGCTTCTCTTGCTGAATCAACGCAGCAACTCGGTACGTGGAGCTGCTCGAAGTAGTCATCCGATGGTGGTAGATGCTGGAAGCTAGAGCTGCATGATAAAGTGGCTGTATTTGAAGTAAATAAGGAAGAAGCCAGCCTCGTCCTCCTTGCGACAATTTTGGTCTGTACATGGGAAATTGTAGCGGGAATACATTGTCTAGAAAATGCATCACGAAGACGTGTTCGTGCAATGGGATAGAACTAGATGCGGCCGTTGGAGGAAGATTAGGTGCAGGTGAGTTAGACTTCTGTTGGAGATTAGGATCTCTTCTGTTTCTGATAGAATAAGAGGCTTACCACGACTCCATCTGACAGCGTGCCCGGATCTTCTCCGACTGGCCCTCGATCCAAGACAGACTGGCGACTTGACCCAGGATCAGAAGAGGAGTTGTCCACAGAGCCATTCAATGATTTGGGGGCTAACTTAACATTGGTAGTGCGTTGCTTGGTTGTTGCTTTACGCCTCCACGTATGCTTCACGATCTCCTTGATGCTATTCGCCACAGCTCTTTCCTTCTCTCCATTGTCCATGAAGTCAGGTTTCGGACCATAACCATGGCAAGTGATTAACAGCGACTCGCAAGTCGAACAATGTGGTCTGCTCTCGTCACACTTCTTCCTACGTATGCGGCAGGTCCAGCAACCCCGCTGGCCTCGAAGCGGATCGCTCATTGTGATTAAAGCTGTTCATCAGACGACGATATCTTGACTTTGAATCAGATCTAGACTTTGATATGATAGTAGTTGAGGTTATTATTCATAATACGGAGTTATTTCATCCGTTGAGGGGGTGGGACTTGGAAAAGGCAAGTCTCGAGGTCGTTGCGGAGGTTTGACGGCTATTCGCTTAAATGGCATCTGGTGGCATGGCGGGCGCCGCAACTGAAGATGGCAGACTTATTGAAGCTTTTCCATCCCATTTTTGTTCCCCCTGAAGATGTTGGATGTTTCCTATACTTTTTACGATCTTAAAGATAGTGGTGCTGATCAATTCTTACGGCCTACGCAGACACCACGCCAGCGAACTTTATATTGGGGTGTCGTGCTTGGATCGGCCTTACCCTTTATGTCCATTACCTCCGTGCAGTGTAGTGCCGGCGAAACCTCCACCTCCAGCTTCGCAACCTTTGTTTTCCTCCATCAGCAGTGGATTCAGCACCCAATGAGACAGAAGCTGCACAATCCCACCAATACGAAATACAGCGAAGGTTTCTATATCGCTACCCTATCTTACCCCCTTCACGGTCGAGATGGTAGAATATGGTCAACAACGGAAGAAGCGGAGCTTGTAGTACCTGTAAAAAGCGCAAAGTCAAGGTAAGATACAGATATTTATATGAAGCTACATCACTGATAACCGCTCAGTGTGACGAATCGCGCCCTTGGTGTCAGAAATGTCAGAAGATCGGCAGGTCATGCCCTGGCTACATGGATGGGTGGGACCTCGCGTTTCGCAGCGAAAATCAGCTTATCAAGCTCAAGGTCCACTCCAATGATATAAATCCAGCAACAGATAGTCCATCTATCACAACGCTGAATCGGATACTTCGGGGTGTACCAAATCAGGTGTGTAATAGTGAACACCACTGACATGTCCATAATCCCCCCGCTAATGCTCCTAGCTGACGCCGGATATTGGGCTGCAAGTCATCCCTCTCTTCTTTCAGCATTTTATACTTCCTTCTCGCAGTCATGGCTGGCTGGACTTCCTGCCCGACCTCTTTGAGAAAGTCTCTAGCAATTCCGTGCTACATCAAGCAGTCTACGCTGCGGCTTATGCAAACATCGCCGTAAGGTACAACAACACGAACCTTCGGTACAACGCGATAGGTTATTATTACAAAGCTATTAAGCAGCTAAATATCTTGTTGCTTAAGCGCGCCGCCGCTGCCAGTGATAACACTATCATTGCTGTGATGCTTTTGGGACTCTACGAGGTAGGTTACAAGTATCCCTCCGAAAAGGGGCCATGCGTGCTGACTATATTTCTGTGAAGTATGTTTTCGACTGTAACAAATTTACTAATAATTTGTCTCTTTGCCATATTCGCGGCCTTGGAGCTTTGGTCGACCTCCGAGGTATGCTGTTGACCAACTCTCATTTGTTGGAGAACCTGTGTTGCCAAATCCAACGACGAAACCTCGATCTCGGGCTGATGCCCGGCCCTGATGCCGAACGACTTATCCGAAGAATAGATTCATCTCCTATCGCAAGTCAAATGTTTAGTGGGATGTACTCTGTCAGTGAGTTCCAAGCATCAACGAAGGCCGATATTGCTTCTCATCGCTTGAACTCCAACGGCTGTGAGGTTTTCCTTCAAGATGCGTTGAGAATCGAAGAACAGCTTTGTGCATGGGCTAACAACGCAACCCGATGCCTTGGCTATGTTGTGTCGGCCCCTCCAGCACAGCATCGAGAGTTTTTTGCTAATCAGGAGATTGAATACCACGAGCATTCTGGTATCTGGGGAGTGGGAGCTTGGTGTAAGCACCGAGCGGTCCGAATCATCCTTCATCAAGTGATATTGGACGCCCTCAAGCGTGTATTCCCGAGAGACCCGAGAGATGAACAGCGTGTTTTCGAACAGATATCCACGTCACTTTCAGTCATCCACAAACAGGTTCATGCTATATTCTCGAGTGTAGCATTCGCCCTTGGGTCTGCTACTGGCTCGACGTCTAGGACCCCAGCGAGATCCAAAGGAGTTGGTGGATACTTTCTCATCTGGTCTCTGAAAGTTGTTCTTCGGTGCCCGTTCATATCCCAGGAACAATATCTTACAGCCAAACATGTACTGTGGCGAATTGGGAAGGAGTGTGGAATCGGTCACGCAGAGAGAGTCTCCATGGCGTATTAGATGATCCAAATTCGGATTTGCATGAAAGCTTCCCTAAGCTAAAAACGATCGATCCTGCTTTGCGAGGAATTATGGCAGTAGTAGCATGACTTTATTCAGCCACAGAAGCTCTACAGTACGGTAACACAAGCTTTTAAGCCACTCAAATAAACAGCCTCTTTCGGGTTAGATCCTTGCCCGGATATACTCCGGAGTAGACGCTCTTGCAGGTATATCCAGAAGCTTGTCCTCATTCGTTTAGCTTTCCGACCCGACCCGCATCGCATGCCGTCAGCCGCGTCGCTCCCTCCCACACTAGACAGACTAGTTCCATTAATTAAATTTTCTCCCCAAAGACCCCCAACCCTCCTACCAAATCTGACAAATCAATCTCAGGAGTGAATTCCAGAGCTCATGAACGTCGACAGAATACTACCCAAGTAAATACGAGTACCATCCTGCAAACCACATTTTCCTTTTCTATATGGTCCGTAAGACGTACTTAGATCTTCAGGGCTACTGCCTTATAACCTGCTAGCCTCTGCAAAATACTTGATTGTTTCATGCAATTCAAACATCAACATAACCTGGCGCTTGGTGTAGTGGCAGGACCGGAAGCTCCAGCAATCATCTCTCAAACCGACACCAGATTGTGCTCTTGACAGGACGACTATCCAACAGACATCTTCATACAAAGCCTTCAAGATGGATCCTACACCACAGCACTCACCCGCACATGCTGGGGCTGCGCCAGATGGAATCGCTTCTTTAGACTCCTCGCAAACTCTTGAGGGAGAGGAAAAGAAAAAGTCTGATGATCAAGTCAGTATAGAAACAGAGGAAATCGCGAGCGAAAATACATGGATAGCTTGGCTTCAAGTCTTGGGGGTAATCAAGCCCTTTCTTTATCCCTTCTCCTCGTTCTTGCTGTGTTTTGTCCTCGGCACTTGTTCTTTACAGATACTAATTCGTTGCAGGCCTTTTTCATGATGTTCAACTCATGGTACGTCGCGCTTAGCTCTTGATCGTATATTGGCACTGAACGCTTCACAGGGGAATCGCAAATACGTTTGGCGCTTACCAAACATACTACGAGTCTGGCTTGCTCGCCCATGAAAGTCCATCAAACATTTCGTGGATAGGTTCTATCCAGGCATTCCTGTTGCTCTTTGTAGGTGGCCTTATTACAGGTCCTATCTATGATGCTGGGTATCTGAGGGGATTGGTCATAGCCGGCTCGGTTTTAGGGGTTACCGGGATGATGATGACTAGCATTTGCAAAGAGTACTGGCAAGTCGTCTTAGCGCAGGGCGTTCTTGTGGGCTGTGGCTCCGGATGTCTATTGTTGCCTTCCGTAGCAGTCATGCCGCAGTATTTTACTAAGAGGAGGGCATTCGCTACAGGTGTTGGTGCTGCAGGAAGCAGTCTTGGTAAGCCAATCGTCTCAACTCACATTTCACGTCCTAATTATTTATCTTAGGGGGAGTTATATACCCCATTGTCTTTCATCAACTCCAACCACGGATTGGGTTCGGGTGGGCCACCCGTGTTATTGCCTTCATCATGCTCGGCACGCTCATGATCCCCATTCTTGTCATGCGCGCCAGGGCTTTCCCATCCACCCGACGCCCACTGTTCGATAAAAATATCCTTCGATCCGTTCCTTACGACCTCTTCTCCCTCGGAGAATTCTTTGGTTTCATGGGAATGTATATCCCGTTCTATTATGCCACATCATACAGTATTTCGCACAACATCGCCAACGAAAATATTTCCTTCTACCTACTTACCTTGCTTAACGTTGGATCCATCTTCGGTCGTATCGTGCCCAATTTCTTCGCAGACTTAACGGGGCCGTTGAATATCACCTTCCCGTTCATTCTCCTCTGCAGCGTCATCGCTTTCAGCTGGACATCCGTTCACTCCCTCGGCCAAATGGTTGTCTTCTGCCTCTTCTACGGATGCTTCTCCGGGACTTTCGTTTCCATCACCGGACCCGCACTTGCTACTTTGTCTAACGACATGAGTCTTGTCGGAACGCACATGGGGATGAGCTTCACGTTCGGTGCATTAGGTCTTCTGGTCGGAAACCCTGTCGCTGGCGTGTTATTGAAGAAGGGCTGGATTGCTCCAGCGACTTTTTGCGGGACTGCTAACATCCTTGCTGCTCTTTGTATATTGGGTGCTAGGGTTAAGAAGGCGGGATGGAACTTGAAAGTCAAGGTTTAATAGAATTAGAATTAGAATTAGAATCAATAAAACTTTATACGCTGTAGAGGTAGAAAAATATGGTGGGGAAGCCGTTAATCTCCCACCAGGAAATTCAAATAAAGACAAAGAAGCCGGTAGGTGACATGTTCCAACTTGAGATAGATAGAGTTACTCGCTGATGTATCAGCCGCGCGACTAGGAGGCGTGTTTCAGATTGACTCAAGACGCGGTGCTAAATGTACAGTACGACACTATAAAGATGTGGCCTTAGCTATAGAGTCACAGCCATTATGGTTTGCGTCTGCTAGTGCTACGACTCGAGCCACTGGACTTGGACGTTGAAATAAGCTACAAGTTTCTGTATGCTTAAGCAAATTCAACTCCCGAGACATAAGCTTCACTTCCCTAGAAATTTATGCGTCAGGCCTAGTACAACTCTGGCGTTTCAATTTATAGCTTTGCCACTGAAGCCCTATGAACCTGTTACTTCTAGAGGACGAGATATTATTTTGATGCACGCTCAATTTCAGGCTCAAGAGTCAATGACCGACAAGTGATAAGGGGTTGGCTGATTCCTAAATCTTCATTAAAGCCCTTTAATCAATAAACAGCTAGTTGCAGTCACGAATTCAGCCGCTGTATGAGCGAGTCCTAAAGCTTTCACTTGATATATCTACCTCACAGGATTTGGAAATGTGCATCCACAGGCTCCCCGCAGTTGATTTTCAATATATCCTAAAGACCAATTAGCATCTCGTCCAATTCCCGTTCTGATCTCTAGAGGAAACTAGAAATAGTGGACGTTTACCTGTGGACAAGCACTGAAAGCTATCACGAGATCCACCTCTGCCTTCAAGCACACATACTGTCCCTCCTTACTCGTGGGGGCTTCGAAAGACAATGTCGTATGATCATCGTGAACGGGGATATTCATGAAGAGATTCAGCGGTGAAGGTGTGAACTGCGGTGCTTTGATACCTACTCACTTTATTAGTTACCTCATCTCATCCCATCAAATACGATAATACGATAATACAAATAATCACACAAGAACTTACCCAGCACAGCCAACCCTTCCACCAAGTTGTCCGCACAGTTCCTATGCCCGCGCCCCTTCTCCCCAGCAAGCTCAAGATACCTCTCCTCATCACAAGCCGCAATCAGCGTATCGTGAATCCCCGCCGTCGTATCCTCAACCAGCGTCAACAGCCTCTCCCGCTTATTGTTGAACAGCCCATCTCCCACTTTCGGAATCGTGCTGTTGAGGCAGGCGCGCGTGTGCTGGTTGGACATCTGCGTCTCGATCGTGGAGGCGGGCGAGGGGGGGAATGAGGATAGAGTGAAGGCCCAGGTGTCGACTACTTGGGTACCGCGCGTGTTGATCACTTTTATGGTCGAGCCTTTGGGAAGGGGAGTTGCGATTCCGTGGCGGGCGGGGATGGTGGTAAGTGACATATTTTCCACTTCGATGGCTTTCAGCTCTGGAACCTGAAAAGTCGAGACGACGGAATAGAATGTGTCTGGTTAAATATCGAAAGAGAAATGCACATGGTCATAAATTTTTGTAAGACTGATGGGTAGATATCTGTGAGGCGTTTAGATAAGAACAGGAGGGTGGGGTAAGTATGGTTATGATATACTGTAAGGTGGGGTATCTTGTAGAGATGTTTTAATGCTAGATATTAGGAACCTAATAAACCATTGACCTTTTCTGAAGATGAGGCTATTCCCATATCTAAAATACAACCTTTTAATCGGATTGCCTCGGCAAATATCCAAGTGCTTTCCGGGTCGGGCTGTAGTGCATCATCCCAATGAACATTATTGGCTGAAAGCCAATGAGCCTGACCTGTCGCCGAATCACGCAAGAATTAAATACAATAGGATTGGTAACAGGATTGGTAAGATGGAAATATAAGACATGTTCATCTGTCTTGAACGGCACTTGAAGTCTTGAACCCTATGCGGCGTTCTAGGAACAACAGGTCCCGTTCCCGCATTTTCGTGCGTGAGCGGGATGATCCTATTATTATATAATCAAAAACTACGAGACTCCGGTAACCAAATTTGTAAGACATGACAGAGCTATACTTGATGTGGTTACTGTTCCGACATGCATGATGCTTCGTCGCTACAGTTCCATCGAACGGAGTTATCTTTCGGATTTACGAGCGCCTAAATACAACACTATTGCTGCAGGAAATGCAAGGCGCAAAGAGGTAGGTAGGTAGGTGTGCTTTGATGCCCTGTTAGTTTATCACCTGAGGGTTATTGTACAGTACCGTGATCTAATGTAGCTTATCAAATTACTACGGGAATGTAGGCCCCTGTCAATGGCTCTTGATTTCATCCGTCAGTAGTCTCCTTAGGTTTGTATATATATATGGCTTTCTCTGCTCCCAAACCTCGAGGCGGACCTGCACTTCACAGTTTCATCTGACCAAGAATCCCCTTATCATCTCGATCGCTATATTCCAAAATGCCTCAACAAAAATACAATAAGCTCGCAGGCAAGCACGTCCTGGTCATTGGAGGGACTTCAGGTACTTCCTTCCCTACCTATCCTTGTCTGGCTCTTATATATCTAACAATATGCAGGACTAGGATTTGCTGTAGCCGAAGCAGCAATAGAGTCGAATGCACGAGTCACCGTATCATCCTCATCCAACTCCAAGATTGAAGCATCCCTCGCCTCCTTCAAAAAGTCCTACCCAGGCGCCACCGTTGCCGGCTACCCTTGCGATCTGTCTAAACCCACCGTCGAAGCAGATCTAGAGGCGCTCTTCAAGCAAGTTGGACAGGTAGACCACATCGTCGTTACAGCCGGTGACAAGCTCGCCGTTGCGCCCATCCAGGAAGTCACCTACGAGCGTATCATATCCGCCGGCCAGGTACGATTCGTTGCGCCTATACTCATCGCCAAAGTCGGATCCAAGTATTTGAACAAGGGCCCCGAGTCCTCCATCGTTCTCTCAACTGGGTCTGTCTCTCAACGCCCAAATCCAGGCTGGAGTGTCGTTGCAAGTTACGCCGCAGGGCTCCATGGTCTGACGAGGAATTTGGCCTTGGATCTGAAACCTATTCGAGTTAACCTGGTGAGTCCCGGTGCTGTCGATACCGAACTCTGGAAGGATTATCCCGAGGAGGTGAAAAGGGGGTTCTTCAAGGAATTTTCTGACAAGGTGCCTACTGGTCATGTCGGAAAACGTGAGTATTGTTTGATCGATTGATGCAGATAATAGACTAACTTATTATAGCGGAGGAGGTTGCAGAATGCTATTTGTGGTTGATGAAGGATACCAACGCTACTGGAGTCGTTGCAGACACCAGTGCGGGTAGCTTACTTGTGTAAAGAGATGGCATGGCCAAAAGGGGGCAGACTGGGATGCAAAACGTTTCATTACTTGTTCTTTCAAGAAGCAGCGAGTAATTGACACGAGACCATTCCAATTTATCTGTTTTCCGTTGTGGCAGTTCGAACGGTCCTTGAGCTTATCATGTAGCTGTGCCCATGAACTTGATGATTTTGTTCCATGCTTTTTAATCAACAGCCGAGCATCCAGAATTACAAATTGGAAGTGAAGTGAATTGAGAGATCCACCTTATGTAGCGTTAATCGCACTTAATCTTTTTGTTATGCTCAATTTCAGACTTTTAGTAGTGAAATGTCTTTCTTAGATGTTCCTTATTCAGTGTTGTATATTTACTCCAACTATAATAGGAAAGTGTAAGACAAGAGTGGGGATTTGTCTTATAGTTAAATTACTCATTAACTCGCAGTTATCTAAACTATCAAATTTATCCTAGCTCTTGAACTCAAGCACAATTACCCTCCTGGTTAGCACGTGACCATTATACTGCATATCTAGGATATTCTAATTCCATTAACAATATTCTGAACTAGGTATTAAGATATCTACGATCTCTCATTACGTAAAGGAACCCTCCCCTATACCCGTACCGAGCACGGAACAGGTTAGCCGCAACAACCGTGATATACGCCGCTTACTTCGTCCCGAGCAAAGTTAACTTTGGGATTTTTATAACTTCATTTAGCAATAGTATAAACTGAGTTTAAATAGTCCTTGGCCGATAATACTTGGATGTTACGTATACTCTAAGAAATATATCAGGATCCTGATTCGCAATGCTGAAATGTCATTTCCGTATACGGACCGGGCGAGACCGAAGTACACTGCCTCACGCGGGTGGTTTATAAATACTGTCTTCATAAATGACCGGGAATAGATATATATCTAAAAGCTTCACTTTCTGTTCATTTATTGATTATACATACCTCAATGTCTTGTTTCACATGACTGGTCAGCGCAGCGATAAGCATTTATTATGTTAATCGCAGCAGCGAAATCTTGAGCATGAAAGATCAACCTCGCCTTCCTTCACTACACCTCTTCCTTCACTCAGCAACTTCAACCAATTGAAGATCCCCGCTCCAAACCCCCATGATGGCAACAACCGATATCCAAATCCAAATCCTTCAAACCGGAACCATCACCGTCCGCCCATCACTCTACACGCAGCCCCACACGCGCTCCCCCCTCCTCCGCCTCCTCCACATCCTCACCGATCGCCAATGGCGCTCCCCCTCCCTGCCCGTCTACACGTTCCTCATCACCCACCCCACCGAGGGCCGCATCCTATTTGACACTGGCATGTCGCCCTCCTGCAACGGCCCCGGCTATTTTGCTTGGTGGTTCCCGGCCATAAAATTCATGTCCCGGCTCTCCATCACCCCGGACCAGAGCATCGGCACGCAGCTGCTTGAACGTGGCATAGGTCCGGGCGATCTCACAGCCGTGGTGCTGTCGCACCTGCACCACGACCACAGCGGCGGTCTGAGCGACGTAGCAGGCGCGCCCGTATTGATGAGTAAAGAGCACTGGGAAGCGTTCCAGTCCCCCACGGCGGCGACGCTGTCAGGGGCAGCGCCGAATCACTGGCCGCGGGATTTCGCGCCAGATTTTCTGCAGGCAACGGGAGGGCCGGTGGGGCCGTTTGAGAAGAGCTATCCGGTTACGGCGGATGGGAGGGTGGTTGCTGTTGAGACGCCGGGACATATGCGGGGTCATGTGTCGCTGGTCGTGTTTGGAGATGAGGCGACGACGTATTTTTTGACGGGCGATGCGACGTATGATTTGGAGAGTTTGGATGCGGAGGGGACGGATGGCGCGAATGATGATCCGGTGGGGGCGGTCGAGACGGTTAGGAAGATTAAGCAGTTGGCGAGGGAGAGGCCGTTGGTTGTGCTGCCTTCTCATGATCTTGGGTCGAGGCAGAGGTTGGAAGAGAAGATAGCGTATAAGCCTTCCAGTTAGCAATCGAGGCTTGTTTACACCATTGAACTTGCCCTCCAGTTATTATTTTCCAATACGGTAGACACGGGATTCTAAATGGTTACCTGAGTAGTTGTTCTGAAAGGTTAGGACTGTGGAAGAATTCAGTGGCGGGGAGTGAAATTACTGCTCCAGATATGAGTGTACTAGACCCAGATTTATCCGTTTCACAAATACTTGTTGTTATTCTGGGTAATAAGCTTGAATTAACTGCTGTTCTATAGTGGGAAGTACGCTATATATATAGGGCCTGAAGGCCCTATTCCATCGACTATTGCATACCAAAGCTACTGCATTCCAACAATACTGCTCGCCAATGCTCTAGTGAGGTTTTAACCGCTTCATTGCTCAGGGCCCTATTGTTCTCGTTAGCAACCATGTAAGTCATGTCAAATTTTCTGTCAGCGCAGGATCTCATTGCAGCCTGCTGCCATTCGAAGCACTCGTATTCATTGAGGTAGATCAATAGCATCTTATAAGGAGCGGAAGCTAGTTATATCCGGTGAGCACCTGTATGCAATCTGGCCTTACCTACCGTGGTCCTCCGACCACCTCGAGCATATGGATCATCCTGCAAACGAGACAAAGACATAGACGCCAAGCGCTAGACCAACTAAAAGCCCCCTAGTAGGTTCATGGACTGTGTGTCCGAAAAACATTCCTCCGTCCGTCTGTTCGTTCCCTCCTAGCTCTGGTTGCCACGCATACTGAGCGATCATCTCTTTATTCCTGTACTTGGGCTGTGACATCGCCAGTCCCATGGGTTGAGTTGGGAAAGCTCCATGCACAAGCAAAGGGCTGTCGGTGAAAAGGCTTGGGCATGGACAGCCTCGCGCAGGACAGCCGCACAGCCAGCGACAAGAGGGTTGGCCATGCTCGTCCCGTTCATGAAGCACCAATAGGGGTCATCGTATGGATACGCTGGTCGTCTTTGGTGTGCGAAATTCGCGGAGAGCACTAATATGCCAGGTCCTACAACGTCGAGTTTGATGCGCCTTTCAACAGTGGGACCGCGACTGCTAAAGTAGGCAACTTCATCGCGATAATCCAGGTCGTTATCGGTAGCACCCACCGTAATGCAGTTCTTCGCGGCTGCTTCCGCTCCAATCTGCTTCCGCGGCGATTTTGGGTTATAGGGGTTGTTGTTATTACCAGCCGCGATGCAAATCATCATATCGGGGTTATCCCAGACAAATTGGCCGATGTCTTCAGCCCTGTTGGCTTCCCCGTAACGAAGTTGAGTTCCACTCCAACCGAAACCCCAGGAATTTATATGCACGCGCGCTCCGTTGTTATTATAAGGAGGTCCAAAGAGGTCCACAAGAGCACTTGGGACTCCGTTGAAATCTGGGCCAAGGCATTGAACAACGAGTTTTGCCCTCGGAGCGGTCCCTTTAATCTCAACTCCCTGTCTTGTTGTACCGTTGCCAACGGCCAATCCACAGACATGAGTTCCGTGGCCGTCAAAGTCATTAACTAAGGGGATGTTGCTCAGCGGATATATCGACAAGATGCGACTCTCTATCAGGTCGGCCTGTTGATCCAGAAATGCGTGGTGAATGTTCTTGATATGTCCGCTGTCAAATCCAGTGTCTGCGACGGCAACAACCTCATCTTTACCCTCGTACGTGTGGTTCGGCTGGGAACCAGGGTCCCCCCTGACATCGGCTCTCAGGATCTCCCGCGCAACGTGGCTTCGTGACTCGAGTTTATGGACCTTTACGATAGCTCGTACTTCGTCGATTAACGATAGGCTCACTAGGTATTGCTCTTGGATCATGTGCCGAAGTTTGTGTTGATCGAACTGGAGTGTCTGCTCTCAGATGCGCCATTTCTGCGATGGATTTTCTGAGGCCTGCGGGTTTCACGTCGTCGTGAAAGACAATATCAACCTCGTGCGGAATGCGGGAATGACGCCCCTGAGGACTCCGCGCCGCCTTTCCCAGGCTTCCTGAGATCTTGTATCCCTGCCTATAGATATCCATATAGGCGACATAGGACAATTGGCGAATTTCGTCTAGATTGGTTCCCCGGCGGCAATATAGGTATGTATTCTTAGAAACATACCTGTGAAGGCTAAGGCCTATGCTCTCCAATTCTTTCATCTGTGAGAGTGCAAGAGGCATCCAACTCTGGACCAAGATATAATTGGACTGCGCACTGCTGCCTGTGGCTCCTTCGATCTCTAGGTCAATCGTGTTCCCGTTGATCTCGATAGGGAACAGAGGGGTACTTTTCGGGGAGGTTGCTTCATCATATTCCAGAATATCCGAGTCCGGTTCACGTTTGAGGTATATCCAAGAACCAGCCGACACCTGATCATTCTCAAGGCACAATATCTTGTCCGGGCCGGTAAAGATACTGATGACACCAAATCCGTCCTCTCTCGTCCAGAAGGGAAATACCGCACTAGATCTCTCAGGGTCTCGCGCGTGAGGAGGGAGGGTCTTTCTGGTAGCAGGACCAAGGAACGACTGTCGATATATAAAGGTTAGAACATGCACCTATATATACACTTGTTGGTGGAATTGAGGGTACTATACCGTGTTGCTGAACTTAACATCTCCACCAGTGTCAGACGTATCGGGTGTTACACCACTCAGCAGGTGACCTAGGCGGTATTTTGACACTACAACGATTATGTCCTCAGCATGTTGGTTGATGAACCAAACATGTGGCGGGATGACCTTCGTATCTCCGGCAATAGTGTCAGATGGTTCGTGTACCTTAGCTGCAGGTCCTTGGAAGTAAGAGGACAGGGTCCCCCAATCGCTAGTTGTCTCTGGTGTCTGAAGCTCTGAAGCCGTGACTGGGCCTTGCTCAGGTTTGGTCTCTGTATCATCCTTGTATAGAGTTAGCAGATGTCTCTATATTTTGTAGAATCCAATCGATACAACTTCTCTATTAATATATCGAAACTATATGTTTGCTCTACTCGGAGATGATAGTACGACACTTACTTTGCCGCGTTTAGTTTCACCTCGGGAAGCTAGCTCCTTCATCCATCTTCCAAGAAGACGCAACACTTTTTTGTAACCAACTTCATCCCTGCTTGTGAATTTACACATTTCCTGGTGGTTAGCTGGTATTGACAGCGCCTCGTAGCCATGGAGAATAGTAGATGATACAATCTACAAAGTGTTAGGGTAGGAAGATACAGATGAAGAGCTCTTCTTAGACGTACTGTGTCCACTAATGGCGATGCAAATTCTTCGAAGAAGCAAGCTACCTGAACGTTGCTATTTACGCCCTTTGACTCTGCATAGCGACTCAGGTGCAGGAACTTGATGAACGTCCCTTCACGTTCGCTCAGCCTAGCTGAGCCCTCAAGTAGTTTGGCAGTGTCTTGGTTTGAATCCAATCCGAACAACTTAGTAAATTTCCGGCCCGTTTCGGCCCATCTTGCCTGACTAGACCCTTCATGCGGTGTCCCAAAGAATATTATTCCATGAGTGCGCTTGGCAACGATATCCTTATCAGGGCTCGTCTCGGCCATCACAACTGCCTATAGACAGTAAACATTCAGTTACATTCAGCCATTCAGACGACCCACAATTTTACAAACAAGACCTCCAAGGCTGTGGGCAACGAATATGATCGGCCGGTCATTCTAATTGAAGGATCCGGTCAGCTTGGCGGCTCTATCGATGCGAAGAAAGATAGAGGGATGCCGTCTCACGGTCTCCGTTCTGTGTCGATGCTTAATTAAGCTTTCGACGAGATCATGTGCATGCCGATCGATCTCAATCTGCGACGGGTCCCAGAAATGGTCAACCTTCGCATCGTACCCAAAGGTGAAGATACGAGCTCTAGGAACGTCATGTAGAAGGAAGTCTTTCGGCCAGAAGATTCCAGATTTCGTCCACGTCGTTATTCGATCGCCTTGAGCGCCGTGGATAAACACAATACTAACTCAATATCAGCGAGCAGCACAAGAGAAATCACCACGGAGCAAAAAGTCAGGGTTGCTCACTCCACCATCGCGTTGGCCGGATCAAGAAGCTGAAGGAGTCCGTAGCTCATCTTGATCTTTATGACCTACAGCTGACGCTTGGAATCGCAGATAGAATTGTGGTATTATAGGAAAGAGATTAAGGCGATTTAGTTCTTTCTGGCGTTTTTCAAGCTTGGATTCCGATTGTCTATTTTATCATTGGGGCTTACAATTTTGAAAATGTAGAGGCACATCTTTTGGATTGAGATGTCCCGCATCGCTGGGAGGCTGCCCCGCAGCAGCCGTGGAATCGGCATTGGACGAGTGCGAGGATGGATGCGGGATGAGACGGCATAGCCAGTACAACATCGGCTCTTATACCACTAGAAAGCTGCAAGCTTTCAGCATCACTTCTCATCTCGCGTCAACGCAATCCCTTTCTAGCCAGGTGCAGGCTGTACGGAGTATTGATTCGAGTGTGGGACCCGTCCAGCAACCTGAATGGTAAGCACAGGGACTGTATTAAGTTCCGAGCATACATTTGGCAGAAGTTGATTGGCTATGTCGGCTGGGATCTCTTCCATGATGCCTAACCTGCCACCCACTGTAGAGCAGGCAGAGAAGGCTGAGTTGGAGATCTGCTTGCTGCTTGGGGAATTACTAGCATTTTGTCCGTCCAACGCGTCTTCAGCGGTAGAATTGTCGTCGGGATGATCGCCCACCATTGATATACTTTAATATATTTGTGTATAACAGGTAACATGCTCATAAGGAGCGCCAAACATTAACGCCTCCTAGGCTTTGTAGTGTCGTCCTTTTGGCCCTTTGGAACTATACAAAATCGACGATCGACTGTTATTGCGGAGCAGTATTATGTGCCCTTAAGCCCGAAATTGTGGTAGAGAGGAGTTGAGTAAGTGCTTAACAGAGCGGTATCTGCTTGCATACGTTCAAGTTGAATTTGAGGCTTAGTCGGTCGTTGAGTGCGGCTCTCTTACGAAAATGGATCTAGTACTAGCTCTAAAAGAATCCATGACTTACTTTTTCCAATTTTAGTTAGCGGCAGTTGTAGCCAAGGGAGCTCAAACAGGCCCCTGTCTACTTACCATAGCTCACCTCCTTGGACTCACTGCCTAGCCTGGCTTACCCAGGCTCACTCACAGCTTAGGCTATAGCAGCAACAGCCCAGGCCTAAAGACGGAAATGGAAAATGTTCATGTCAAGACTCCGACGTCGAACTCCCTGTTTCGACTACGCAATTGCTCAGCAGTCTTCAAAATCTATGTACCAAAAAACCAGACCCCTCGGAATGCTGCTCCTCTACACCTCATGTCTTAGCTTCCAAGGCCCCCAAATACCAAGACTTATCGCCATCTCCCAGCTCCTTGGTCGAGAACCCATTACCCAGATACGCAAACCGATTCTGCTTATCGTACACATACACGAAATCCTCGCCTCTAAACTGCTCCAACATATGAAACCAATGAATCCTACTTCCAGGATGAACCCCCGTGACGGGACCGCTCTCTCGGCCGTCTTTGAACCAAGAGCGGCATGTACCTGCCCAGGCGGTTCTGGGCATGAATGTCTCTAGATGCTCGTAAAAGTCATGCAGTGCCACTTCGCTTGGAGCAATGGATCTTATATTCTCGGTCTGGCATTTGCGGATTATGTTTGCGATGTATTTGGCGACGTGCTCGGTGATTGTGAAGACAGATCCATGACCGATTGGGGCGTTAGGGCCGAGGAACACTTGGAGGAGGTGTTAGCTGCCTCGGACTCAATGACACGTTGTGGGGGCTTACTAAAGTAGTTCGGGAAGCCAGGTACAGAGTTTGACATGTATGCTCGTGGTAAGTTCTCTTTCCAAAGATCTTGTAGGTTCTTATTCTCCTTGCCTACTATTGGGAATCGAGGACAGAAAGAGACATTAAAGCCAGTAGCACAGACAATTGCGTCAACTTCGATCACCTCGCCCGTGCTGATTTGAAGTCCCGTTGGCACGATTTGGACAATCTCCTCTGTCACAACTCGGACGTTCTTTTGTGTCAGTGCTTCCAGATATCCCACAGCAGGCGTAAGTCTGCGGCATCCGACGGGGAAAGTGGGTATCAGTGCCTTGGAAAGACGCTCATCACCGCCCAGTATCATCTTCATGTGCTGAGAGAGCATGTGTATGGCATACTTAGCTAATTGGCTGTCTTTAAGGAGCTAACCATTTAAAATCAGCGCATTTTCTTATACTGGGCAGCTTGAAGGTGAGTCATACAACCGGGAATTTGGAATTGATTTCCTCCTCAATAGCTTTAACAAACTGAAGATAGTACACGGGGTCTGAACTGAACTTTTCAATTTGCGCTGGAGTAAATTTATCGCCATCCATCTCTATCTCGCCAAAACGCTCGCTGCCTTTGCTCGTAAGTAGCGTTTGCTGTTGTGGTGGGACAACCCAGGTAGGTGATCGGATGCAATGGATCAGTTCCTTGACATCTGACGGGCATTAGGTAAAGTCTCCGGGTTGATTGGAATCTTACCTTTTTGTAGGGCTGGGACAATCTGCACTCCCGACGCACCATTACCAAGAACCGCTACCCTTTTCCCGGCATACTCAAAGTCCTTGGGCCAATCCGCACTGTGAATGAGATGCCCTTTGAAGTTTTGAAGACCATCAATTTCAGGCCATTTCCAGTGACTGTTAAAAGCACGGTTAGTCCTTAAACAAGAACAAGAAAGCATGAACGCACTTCAAAATCCCAGTTGCATCCAGGAGAAAATGGCCATAGTCATTAAACCTCTCGCCAGTCTCTAAGTTCTGCACTTCCAACTCCCACACAGCTTTCTCCTCGTCCCAAACTGCCTTCTGGACCTGATGCGACGTCTTAATAGAAGGGCCCATTTTCTCTTCCTCACAAACCGTACACAAGTACTTCTCGATCTCTTGCGCACTTGCAAAGAACGTGCTCCATGCAGGGTTATGTCGCCAGGAAAATTGATAGTTGTGGGCTGGAATGTCACATGTACATCCGGGGTATCTATTTTCGTACCATGTCCCACCAATTGAAGGGTTCTTTTCGTACACAACGTGTTCGTAGTCCGTGAGGTGCTCTCGAAGAGTCCGGATCATATTGATGCCGCTTGCTCCAGCTCCAATCGTGACGATTCGAACATGACGTGTAGTTCCTAGAGGAGTCTCGGCGACGCTATAAGTGGAATCTGCATATAGCATTGGTGTCGGAATCGCAGGTGGGTTGTCCATTTGGAAGGTCTGGTTGGGTGAGCCTGTTGAGGAATGATGGATGGAAAAGATGCAGGAAATTGGATTCCCCCAAGGTTGATATTCAATTCGACTAGCTCACAGTATCATCTGAATATGCTTCTTACTCCGTGCATGGCTATCACTCCTCCCTAAGCTGCAATGGGGTTGTTTCAGGAGTGTTGGGTTGCAACTATATAAAGCCGACGTATCGCGCGGAGTAATTTATTTTCCCAGATCTCAAGAAATCACAGATTTAAATATTCTTCGTACTCGTCATATCTCCTTAATGTAGTACAAAAGTCAAGCTGCGTATGAAAGGCGTCTTGGTTGGGAGATTGCCTCCGTTGGTCGTATTTCAACGAATCAGCTCATTGCCTCGCCGAGGGGGCCCACGGGGCTGAGAGTTTGCTTTGAATACCTACCTCCCACAAATACCCGGAGAGCTTAGCCGGCCTGGCCCGTGTACTTTTTTGGCGGCGGCTCAAAGATAAGCAGTCATGGCAATTATTTTGGAGTTTCGTAGTTTTATCAGCGACTGTAACATTTGAACTATGGCAAGTATTGACATATGAGGATAGGAACATTGCGCTACCTTAATAAGTAGAATTGAGGGCTAGGTAGAATGAGAAGTTTCTCGAGATCCTGAACATATACTTGTGACAGAAATTCTATGGTTGATAAAAACATTATACTTTAAACCTCTCTAGCAGCTCTATCACGGGCGAATAGACAGTGGCGCACTAACTATAATTAGCATGCAAAATGTTACAACGATCCTTCTTATATGCATATTGACCAGAACAGGAACGGTTGCGGGCATACGTATTCGTGTCCGGATGTCTGGATCATGATCACCTGCTATAGTCAGTCATCCAGTCATACCGGAATGCAGTTATGCAACTCTGTTGCCGTCTCACATTACTCATAGACAGTGGAACATTGATAAAGGCAACGGGTATCATTTATTTAGAAGTAGCTAGCTAACAGCGCAATCTTCACCATCGACTATCCCAAAGGAAACTCTATTTCGACTTCTTGGGGATCGCTTTAGCACCCGGAGCATGCAAGTGGATATCAGCCTCACTTCCAATGGCTCTGTGGTAACGATCACCTAGGGCACCATCAAACGCAGGGTAGTAGATGCCGTCGGACTCCAGCCAAGTCTTAGTTGGGAGACTCATGACTCCAGATTTGCCCTCTGCGATCAAAATGTCACTCAGACCATGTCCGCCACCAGTACATTGATAACCACCATCTCTTCGGATCCATTCAAGGCCCTCTGGGCAAGCCTTTTGCTTCTGGATGACTGATTGGGCCCATGTGCTTTGCTTTGCTTGATCGATTATCGACATGGTATCGAAATCAACTTGTCGGGAAGCCATTTTTATAGCTGTACTGTCTCGATGTATGGAAGTCAAGTTGGTGGGTGCTCTGGAAGGGACTCTTGAAGAAGGTATCATGGTAAGAGTAGTGCCACCTCTGGCTGTGGGTGGGGCTTTGGTAGGACCTATAGATACGCGGAATTAGTATTGCCAGACCAAGAAAGATGTCAGATTTCCAGAGTATCTTTGAACATCATAAAACTTCTGAGATATTTGGAAGGATAATCAAATCCTGAATCCTTCCGGACGAGGAAATAGAATGACCAGAATATGAGAGGGGGGAACTGTACCGTCACGCTGGAAACTTGTGGCTGGGCCCCTCGACAAGGTTGTGGATATCGTCGAAGGTCGTCTTGATTGCGCAACAGACGAAACCCTCGAATCGTCCTGCTGGTAATCCTTAGGAGGACGCGTTTGAAGACGGGGATCAAAGCCTACAAAGCTGGCAGAGTTAGGACGGTCAAATGGAGAAGGAATGTAGGATTTGGAAATATTGTTGATGTATTAGAAACCCGATACATCCAAAGCTGGTCCGCGAATGTTAAAAAAGGGAATGGTATCATGTTACGTACCGGCCGATGGGGGGCCTCTTGACGGGGCATAAGAGGAAGTAGATGAGCCTATAAATTGACATTCAGTATTATTAACTTGAGGAGGAATCTGGGAGAGGGTGGGGAATTATTAGTATGTCAGAACTCCCGATGTATCTACCGCCAATCCGTATGAGTTCCAAGAAGGGAATAGTATAGATAAACGTACCGTCACGCTTGAGTTCTGTAGCTGCACCCCTTGATGCAGACGGGGCCGCAGTGGCATATGAAGGAGGTGCCTGGGAGTGCATTGCAGTTGGGAGCCTTGATGAACCGCTCATAGTTGGCGCTCTTGTGGCAGGTGCTCTGCTTGCACCGTAGCTAGACGGACCAGGCATGGTTGGCACTGCTGAGGTGGAAGGTGCTTTGCTAGCACCGGACTTGGACGATTGGCGCTCTGGCGCTTGACTTGACATTGTGGCAGGATTTCTTTGTGTGAGAGATGTTGATGATGGAAAGGGGTGTTGTTGAGAGTAGAGTATCGAGAGTGGGGGGTGGAGAGTGAAGTATTGAAGAAGAGTTTGGTTGGGAAAGAAGAAGAGATCGGGAGTTGCTTAAGTGGTCGTTCGAGCGGCTTCTGGTATTCCAAATCATCATGGTGATTGAAGACGGTGAAATGATTTACTGGACGTTATGAATGATGAAATACTAAAGCTTCCATTCACGACGCTGGCACTTGCTGAGGAAAGAGGTGAATCTTCCGTAGAACTTACTGAAGCTCGATGAGTGTACCGCAACTTAGCGGGGATTGTTCTATTCACCTTTCATGTACGATTGAAATATGGAAGGGTCATCGAGGCTTTCAACAGACTGTTCCCCATACAACACAAATTCGCCTCACTCCTTCCCAGAACTCTGTACAATTCGACCCTCCCTCTGTCACAGACTAAATTCCAACCTATTCCCCGCATAATCCCTGGCAAAAAACCTCGACGGGTACTCCACACCCACGGCTCCTGTCCCATCAGTCAGCACCGCCAATCCCACTCCACTCCTGAACCATTTCCCCCAAAAACACAAACTCACCAGAACTCTCCCCAGGCTTATCGGCCTCCAACGGCGCCGCCTGCTTTCCACTCTCAAAATGCTCATATATCCTCGTCTGCAGTTTCAACAAAGCGTCAGGTGACTCGACTTTGAAGCATGGGTGCCGAGAGGACTTGGGCTCATTGGTGCCAAAGGCGACGTGGATTTGCTGGCCACCAGGGACGATATCGAACCTGTGGTTTTTTCAGTTGGGCCTAGGAGCTGAGAGAAGCAACGAAAAAGCTTGGAGTTGAGGTGGGGGGAAAGGAGTACCATTTGAGAGTTCCTTTCTGTCTCTCTGGCACGGTGATAGATGTGAAGCCCAGAGTGCCGGCGTAGAATTCTTCGGTTTGCTCGAGCGTCCCAGGTGGGACGAGGATATTTACGTGAGCTATGCCTGTGATCATGATTGCTGAAATATTGGAATATTGGCTTTGAGTTTGGGTTTCTTTTTGGAGGTAAGGAGAAGAGTCGGGAAAGGAGGAGTGGAGTGGATGTGGATATGGATTGCGGGGTTTGACGGCTTAGAAATTAAGTCGTGCATTAATAGGAGAGGGAACACGTGATGGTCGGGTTGCACCATTCTCCCCCTTTAAAGCTACATACAACGACTGGTTCCCTAGTGGAACAACGCTTCAGCCTTTCAATATGTTTCCATCATATCGGAGAACTGTTTCTGTCACCGTTCAAGATAGTCACTATCCAAGAGTTCAATATGCATGTCTTTAAAACATTAACTCTACTTGAAATATATTCAAGGCGTAGCCCCCGTATCCTACCACCTATAGAGTCACACTACATTATGCCCCCCAGAATTATTATCTTACGAGTCTTGTAGTGGAAGGGAAGAAACGTTCATATTCGCTACACCTCACTTTCGACCCCCTCTTCGTTGATCTTTTCTAAACTAAAAATTCTAAAATCAATTCTGATGGCTAATAAGAGTTATAAAGAAAAAGAAAACTTTCCATGGGCGCGTGCTCCTAACATCAATGCAACCCAAAGAGCGCTCGCTCGATTTCTTAGGCTAAGCTCAGCTGCTTCCACACTTGCCTCTGATCAGATACAATTTCGAAATACAAAAACAGTATATAATAGGGAGTCTGTCTGATACAATGGGGAACCCCAGAAAGCATGCAAATCCCTTCGGTTTTAAGATCCATATTTCAGATAAACTCATATTTTCTGCGTCAAAGTAAAAACAATGGACTTGCCATTACAAGCATGAGTGTCTTTGAGTTTCTGCCGAGCGAGTATTACATGTCAACTTCGAGTTTTGCTTACACTCTTGTTGATGTTCCGAGTTCCCTTTCTTCTGTCATCCTCAGCACTAAACTACTTTGATTTTTCGCAACCAGTTTTCAACCTGCATTGACAAATCCGTAGTTTTCATAACTGGCAAGCTGCACGGGTGGTACATTGAGATAGAAAGTGGATATGTTAGTGCGCTGCATGATTTGGGCCCGGAAAATGACCAGGTGGGTTGATTCGAGTCCAGGCTTGCAATCCGAGTACTGTGTCTGTCCCCAACCGGCCAACCGCTACGTCACTGCAACGAGTCCGAGTCATTTCTGAGTTCCGCACCGCCACCCAGAGACATGGTAATGCTCATTGTCGGTTGCCTTGGCGAGACCGACTATCCTAAGCAGTATGCAGGACCTTACTCCAATTCTGTCTTGGGGGTTGGCAGCATGGCGTATAGACCGGAAAATGCAGGGCCTGCGTAAGTAGCCTGCGACAACTTTCTTTTGGCTGGGAAGAACAAATCCGAAGGTCTGTAGGCTTATAAGAAGAGCAGCATCCCAAACCCAAGCATTAACAGTCCCGTTCCAACCGAAATCATCCCCACCTCTCCCTTTACCCGTACCGCATTCGACTTACTGCCCGTTGCCGTAGCCGCAGCACTCGAAGTCGCTGTCGGTGTCAATTCAGCAGGACAAGACGCAAAGGTTTTCGACGCAGTAGCTGTAGTAGCTACATCGCCCGACGCAGTGGCATTCCCCATCGCCGCGGAAGCCGTACTCAGCGAATAATAACTCTGTTCCACACTAACACTAATCTCGCACATCTCATGAGTACTCGTATTGACCCAACCACAAGTGACCGATCCAGTCACAGCATCTGGTCCAAAAGCATCGGCATTTTGGTTTGACAAACAGTCCCAGTAATCGCCAAAGCCATAACCCGTCCCGTTATCGATTGTGCGTGCGAAATCTACATCGCAGTAGGCGAGGCATGAAGCACCGTTAGACGGGTCGGAGGGGGCGGTGGAGGGGGAGGTTATGTTAATGATGGGGCCATTGCAGCATTGGGTGAAGGTCGAGGGTTGGGTGGTGCCAATATTACTAAGTTTTGGGTTGGAGGCGCAGGGCGCGTCGTCGAAGGGGATGGTGCCACAGATGTAGCCAGAGAAGCCAGTGGGCCAGTTGTTGGCTCGGGGTATATAATTGACGTCGAGAACGATCGACATTTCGTAGGGGTTTGGAGGTTTTTCCGGATGTGCTAAATTAAAATAGAAAAGTTAGCCACTGCAATATCCTCAACTTAGGGTTGTACCAGTACCTTTTCTGTAGCTTGTATCAGCAAAACAAAGTACTGAGCCGGGTCTTTTCGGTATAATAGTGGAAGAAGGTAGGAAAAAGCAGCAAAAATAAAACTCATTTGCTTGAAGTTTCATTGCGGCAAAGTGCAGTAACGTAACAGCAGCCTCTTGGCTTCAGCCTTGCATTGACCGGATTAATTTCGGGGGCTATACGAGTATTGTAGATGTTTGATTGGCTAACGAACGAGGTACACTTCACAGCCAAACACCCAACTCACAGCCTCAATTGTTGAGAGGGGTTGCTTCCAAAGAAGTCCGGACAGAGTTTAGATCTCCAGGTGTAGACTTCCACCCAACTCCCTCACATATCCTACCTTTGTCAATCCACTTGACATTTGGAAGCAGCTGACCAATTACCCATCTTGCAGTAGTTGTATGCGTGCTGCCATCGCCAAAAGGCTCATCCATTCTCTCCACACGCTTTGGGTCTGATGTGGCAGTGTCGTTTGACCCTGGAATGCTGGACTTCCTTTCTGCAAGTGCTTGGAAAACAATAAGCTGATCTTGGAGATATTCATCAACTAGTCCTCCCTTCCTGACTTCTGCGTCCAGTTCGTCGACAACCTTCTGTGCAATCTCTGTGCTCAGATCGTCCAGAGGTTTGTTCTTGGACTTCCTGTCATAGAGCCAGTCTCGTCCAAATCGTAATCCAGTTGAGGTATGAGCAACAAGAAGGGTGTACATCCGCGCGTCGTGTCTGCTGTCCTCGACTATTACGAAATCTGCTTCGACGTCCGGGAAGACCAGTCCTAGTTCGAAAAGAATGGCTTTCTTGAGGGTTGCATATAAAGCACGAGGAACTATTATTGAAACGTCGATCTTTGTGATATTGCCTCGTTCCAATGGCCATTCTGGCGTCGTGAGTGATTGTCCTGGTGGAAGAGGAGTGACCTTGAATTTCACTGAACCAATTTGACGGCTGCCATGAGACCAGCCGCGATACTCCAATTTACGCTCGACTTTTACTCCAAATCTCTCAAGTGATGGCAATAGAACCTGGTCCAGATATTCGAATGATAAAGAAAAGCTAACATTGGTTCCGCCCTGAATGGTGGCTGTGACTGGAGAGCCTGTATCGTCCCCAGCAAAAAGTAGGAATGGAAGAAGTGCTTGGAAGACGAGCAATATGCTGGCAGCGGAATCTGCTTTGACCTGGATCTTTCGATTAATCAGATCCGCAGGGGACAGCTTTGACCTGAATTCCACAATTTTGCTTCCTACAGAACAGCCTGTGACTTCTGCTCCGGTAGCATCTACAAGAGTTTGAATGCACGCAGTATGCTGCGCTTTGAGCCCTGGATATATGATCAACAGTGAAAACTATAGAGCAGAAAAGAAACACCGCACCACCACCGGTACCACCACCACGGCCTCCTTTCCTATCACGCGTTAGGATGCATTTGATATGAGCCAGGGATCATGTTAGGCACCTGTTTCCGCGGACATTTTCAATCCTTACGGGCGACCCCGTGATAGCTGCGAGTGAAATGGCCAATCGCACGAGTTGGCCCCCGCCTTCCCCAGTTCTACCGTCAAGCTGGACCATTTTTTGAGACCGAAACTGCATGTCGGGAATGTTTCACATAGGAGGGGTTCTGGGTGTCGCCTATTCGCGTGTGTCTCGCGGCCTCATCCGTCAGCCTTGCGAGATCTACAGGAGTACCGGATCTACAAGCAGTACTTGTACCTACCTAGTGATACGCGTGCAAGTCGAGTACCTTTCTGCAAGGAGTGAGGCAACGTTGATCTCTCTGGATTCGGGAAAGAAAATGTCTGGGCATGTTTAGGCATATGTATTTTTTAATCGTGAGTCACGTCGGCGAGAAGGCTGTGGCTATTTTTAATGGCAAAAGCCAGCGGGTGGGGAATTTCCGTCTCACCTGTGGAAGCGTCAGCAAAGATCGTAAGCTGGACCAATTACAGCATACTCGTATAGCTGGGAATTGACTTTGTACGTACAAGTATTTCGCTTTAAAAACAATTTATTTATTCTAGATAACATTTACCATCAAGAAGCATGTCACATATTCTCGCACTCTTGTATATCTTCATTGAGGCTGCTCTTAAAACAACTTTATTTGAACGCTACCTATCGATTAGCTTCCGCCCCCGCCATCTGTCAAAGCCTTGGCATCACAACAGCCTTACCCCATCTTGTCAGCCATCCCATCCATTCTATCACCTTCAGACTCCAGGTCTTAATGCTGCTCAGATGATGTCTGATCAATGCAACATACTGCTCTACCCCTCACTCATGTACGACGACTAAGGTCAAGACCCGCAAGATGTCGTCCAAGATGATCCGCCACCCTTCACACGCAAGCAGCTCCAATTCCACCTCCAGTCCGAAATCTCGCTCGCGATTCTTCTTCAAGAGAGAAAGGGGAACTTCAATGTCTCGGAGCGTATTCTCAACTGATACAAGCAACGGGGATATAAATAAAGAGGTCGAGGTACTGTAGCATTGAATCCCTGATGCCCTCAAACAATGCTAATACCATCCAGCCGAACCACAGCGAGGACAATATTCCAAACTCGCTATTCCCGGACCTTGAGTTGACGAGATCGAGTGGCTTTCCTTCACCAGATCCCTATGTTCCTGCTACACACGATTTCGAATACCTGCACCTCAAAGAGAATATAAGGCGCATTCGCAAGGCTCCATCTGGGTCGGATCCGAAGAAGGTTGATCATGCATGGGAGGTTTACAAGAAATTGAAAGATAAAAATTTGCAGTTGTGCCAAAGCTTGCTACACAAGTCTCGTAGGTTCTACGCGGATTGGATATTTTGGGGTTATGGATGCTGACAGGCTGCAGAAAATACTGGTCGTAATGCTTCCATGGACATTAGTATTGGGCCGCTGGATACTCGATCATCCCACAGCACCGAATCATCTCTGCCATTCCAAGTCAACGACCAGTGGCGGGCCGCAATCCATGAATACAAGGCGACCCAAGAGCAAATGCTGGAAAATTTGCGAAATTCACTGTTGGCAATATATAGGTCCTACGAACCTGAAGTATCTGAACAACAGCTAGAAACCTTCCTATCAGACAAGACGATTCGGAGAAACATGATTTCCAAATGGCGAGATACCAGCGTTCATGCTTTGAAATCAGAGAAACCTTTGTTTTGGGAGCAATATAAAATACGATCCCTGAATCTCGATCGGCTGAAGCTTGACCTACAAGCTACTGAGAAGCTCTTCGAAGTGGCGGAAACTGGCACTTCCGAGAACTTGACCATCCGCGAGTACGTGATTGCCCAAAATGGAGATATGATATTGGAATTCCCATACGTATCAGAAACTCATCCGGTACTAAGGTTCCGCGTATCTTCACATCTCTTAGCCGAATCGTCTCCCATATTTTCGCAGATGATTTTGCCTCAGCAAGCAGGAAAAGGATTCTCGCTCGACCTGATGAATCAACTTCCTCCAGCACCTACCAAGCAGATATGTAAGGATGGTATGGAGGTCAAAGTTTATCGAATGCCTCAAGCTGAACTCAACCATAATGAAGCTCTCACAATACTTCTTCATGCAGCCCATATGCACAACGCAAAAGTCCCCAGAGAAATCGAATACCCAGTTTTTGTCAGTATTGCAGAAGTATGTCTGAAATATCAGTGTACCTCACCTCTAGAATTACAGGTGGAATATCAATGGCTCCCTCAATGGGTGCATAAAGCAGCCGATCCTAACCCGGATGGATTTCTACTCATTAGTTACGCATTTGGAATTCGAAGGATCTTCACTCGTGTAACAAAAACCGCCATTCTCAACGCCCTAAGCGACGCAGAGACCCAGAGCAAGGAACTTTGGCCCCAGGCTATTAGAGATAAGATCAAGGCCATCCGCGCCGCAAAGCTTGCGCAGATTCACGAATGCTGTACGAATGCCATCGAGGATTACTTTCGACCACCTTCTGAACACGTAAACCGTACTGCGAGTCTTGGATCACTTTTGATGACAACAGAGCCACGTTGTCCTAAGGGATCACATTTATGCGATGCCACGAATCTAGGGTGGCTAATGCTAGTCTACAATGAACTACGGATGCTTCCGAGCATTATGAATAATACCGGCTTCCATAATATCCCACCATCGCCTCAGCGAAGTTTGAAGGATTTGGTCGACTGTTTGAGACTGATGCCTAGTGCTCCTCAAGTTCACAGCGGAGTCTGCGACTACGCACCTGCTTTCAGATGCGCAATCGGCGATATCTACAACAGTATCTCTGGGTTTACTCTACGAGATGTTACAGGTCGAAATGGTTGGGCTTTGTCGAAGCATGCTGGTTCGACGGAAGATCGATATGATGACAATCCTCGAGATGTCGTTGAGCTGGGAGCACCACTACCCTCTCCGAGAAAAGCGAAATGGTTTAGATCTTCGTCGAACGAAAGTGTCAGCCTGCGGGTTCTCTCACAGATTGACAACCTCGAAGATCTTAGTTCAGCTGCGATGATCGACAAAACCTTCTACAGCGCCTACAAGAGGAACGAAGCTTCACTACTGAAGAATGTCATGAAAGCAGAAAGAAGAAGGACAATATCACAGATTAACCCTGAGATTCTAGTCTTCCGGAATTCCCGTGCTGTTAACTCAGATGACCTGAGCGTATCCACCAACACTAAGAGCGTAGACTCCAAGCTCCGCTCAGACAAGCGTCACAGTCGATCTGTCCCACAAGTTAGAATCGATACTTCTGGCGAAGAATTATACGATGGTTCCTCATCATACTCACCTACCGACTCCGAAGTTACTACCGACCCCAAAGCACCCATGTCTTCTGAAGAAGCTGAACGCATTCTCTGGCCAAACGACGAGTCTAAAGATGATTCTCCGCGCCCAAATACAGGACCAAATGAGAAGTTTCTTATGGGTGGAAGTCCGCATATAGAGATGCCGAGAGCGCTTGAAAGGAATCTTGAGCACGTCGAAGAAAAAACGAGGATGGTGGAGGATGAGAAACATTTAAGAGAGGAGAAGGAGGCTGTTTTTGGTGTGGGGGTGAGTAATTGGTGTGCTTGTGAGCTTTCATTAGTATTAGGCTGATCTTTGATAACAGCCTTCGAAGAAGCCTAGCACATGTACGACCGATGAGACGAAAGATTCCGACTCGAAGCCTTATGATGCCAAGGATTGTGTATAATGGCCAACATGATAATTCCCCTTTCTGGGGAAGCAGTCAAGACGATAGTAAGATCATGCTGGGAGCGCTCCCACCGAGTGATCCATGACCACCTGAAACGTCTGGGTCCAGTGACAAAGCTAGGATCTCTTCCAGGGGTCAGAGTCCCAGTATTGGACTTCCCACCTACCAGCTTCTGTCTACAGTAGCGGTGATTCACTATTCCATGGACCAATTCGGGGCAGTGTTTAAAGTCTGTCAAATAAAGACTTCTCGGATTAGTGAATGGATAATCAGCTTCAGCCGGACCAAGTTGAATCCTGTACTCAGTCTTGTCATGGCTGAGTCAGAGTTGAACCGCAGGAATGGAGCTTGGCTCCATTTTCTAACCAGGCTCGTCCGTAGCCAAATCCCCATGTCCGCCACAGCGGAATGAACACGCAAGGCAAGATAGGATACAAGCACTCAGACGACTCCCTGGTATGATCAAATGAAAAATGAAGGAAATGGCGGAAAGTTCCAAGAAACAGCAGACAGACGACTTATGATTGGAAGAAAGTATTTGATTATTCAGCACGGCGTTGCTGGATTACGAGATGATACAAAGTAAACAAGCTTAAGTTTACTACATAGCAATATACCCTGTTGTTTAGCTGTAATCCAATATGATGTTTTCAATTCAGCATTTAGTTCCTAGATATGGGGAAGTAGACTCAATGAGATTTATATCTGAATTTGTATCCTTACAATACAGACACACCACTATCCATAACTTTCAAAGCCCTGGATTTAAGTTCTTGTGTTTATAAGGATATCTTTGTCCATTAAGTAGTATACTATTTGGGTTGCAAGATGACTGCTGTTGTTTTAGGAAGTGCGGATTCTTCTTAGAGGTAGGGGGGTGAAAAGAGGGGTGAGGTTAGATCTAGCGACCAATCAAACGAGCCGAGGCTGAGAAACATCGAATCGCGAAACCTTTTAGATTTTGCAAAAGCAGCACACTTCAACACCACCGCAAAATATACAATGGATACAACGCGCACCATGCGTACCCTGCAAAATGGACAGGCGCTATAGCGATCCATATCACCATTACTCGGACGAAGACAAACTCCCCCCCTGGGAGCAAGAAGCGGAGGAACAGGAGCACGAGGGAAAGAAAACTGGTGGCATAATGACAACCTGGTTCTCGCGCGAGCGTATTCAGCTAGCTGCCACAGCTGTCGTATCAGGCGCTGTCGTCGCAGGGGCTATATTAGGGTATCAGCATGTGAGGCGGATAGAAAGGGTAGAGCATCTGAAGAGGAGTGTGCCAGAATTGGGAGATGGACATGAGGTTGACAAGGTGGGTTTGCCCTTCTGGGGAAGGAACACTGATGGGGATGATGTTAATAAAGATACATCTAGCTTACAGATTATGGTGCTGCTTCGAAAGCTACGGCAATGAGTAAGGAGGATGAGAGGAGTGCGATATTCGCGGAACGTGCGCTGAAGGGGGATTATGATGATGGTAACCCCCTCTTCACACCTCTTCAGAAGCCCCACTAACAGAAAGCCTAGAACTCATCCTCGAACAACTAGCCCGTAACCGGGTCTTCCTCACCGATGCAGGCTTATCCAAGCTACGCTCAGCATTTATAATTGTCGTTGGCTGCGGTGGTGTGGGTTCTCACTGCACCGCAGCACTCGCCCGGTCCGGCGTCTCTCACATCCGCCTAATCGATTTCGACCAAGTGACGCTCTCCTCCTTAAATCGTCACGCGGTTGCTACACTCGCGGATGTAGGAACACCCAAGGTCTCTTGTCTACGAAAGCGTCTACAGCAGATTACACCCTGGGTGCATTTCGACCTCCGAAATGAGCTATTTAGTCAATCGGCAGCAGATACGTTGCTGGGGCCCGGGTATGATGGCAGGAAGCCTGATTTCGTAGTGGATGCGATTGACAACATCGAGAGCAAGGTTGCGTTGCTAGAATACTGTTATAAGAATAACCTGAAGGTCATCTCAAGTATGGGGGCCGGGTGTAAGAGTGACCCGACACGCATATTCATCGGTGATATATCCTCCAGTACCGAAGACCCACTCTCCCGTTCCACCAGACGCCGTTTACGTGCCGTCGGCATAGCGTCTGGCATACCAGTCGTATATTCCACCGAGAAACCAGGCCCAGGAAAAGCGCAACTATTACCCTTGCCTGAAGAGGAGTTTGCAAAGGGGTCAGTTGGAGATTTGGGCGTTTTGCCGGATTTCAGAGTTAGGATCCTCCCGGTTCTCGGAACGATGCCAGCGGTTTTCGGGTACGCGGTTGCGAATCATGTTATTTTGAATGTGACGGGGTATCCGACGGAGTATGTGCCTGCGAAGGGCAGAGAGAAGATGTATGATGGCATTTTGGCGCAGTTGCAGGGCTTCGAGGAGAAACTTGCGAGGGCCACGACTCCTAGGGAGGATGCGCAGGGATTGAAGCTGGGGGTTACGGCTGGTGATGTGGGCTATGTGGTTGAGGAGGTTTACAAGGGGAGGAGTGCGATCAGTGGGGTTTCGACAAGGCTCGCGCTGGTGAGGTGGCGGAGTCCGGTTGAGGGGTCTACAATTGACCTTGGTGTTGAGGGCCAGAAGACTAGTAAAGTTAGGTTAAGGGATCTGGTGTGTATGACCAAAGAGGAGGCGGCTGTACATGAAAGGGAAGTTGTTCGGGGTGCAAAGACCCCCGAAGATCTGTATGATACCGAGACAGTTCAGGCAGTGGAAGCCAGGATTAAAGAGGAGATTAGTTATGAGGAACATAGATGAGTAATTTCCCTCTAGTCTACAGCAACCAATATTTCGGTATATATTTGCATTTTGCTCCATCAAATGATAGTCTATCTATTTTATTCGGTCTTTTCCCTTCAAGATCCGAAGTCACGAATACTTGTATCATCACTACATTGAGAATCTTGTTTGTTTAGCTACTAAACGCTTTTCAGGAGCCTCGAGGTATTACAAGGTGCAGGAAGCGATTACTTTTATGTCAATTTACGTTTCATTTAATATAGGCTTTTGTTATATTTGCGATGTTCCGGTTACAAGTCGCTTTTCAAGTCTCAAATAGGTTATTGCCGGATGCGGAAACTTTCTTTGTCTTTACGCGAAGCGAGCTGTATGCCCCTGAGTCCACGACCTACACCGTCATTTATTCAAGTGAGACATAACGATTGCAGCAGAATTCTTTGTTCCCATAGTATCAAATATTGTCGAAGTTTGGGTTCAGTCGTATCATCAATTTCTTTATTCCTCAACAATACCTTTTACAGCCAAGCTCCAATTCCAATGGCTTCCTATCTCGCGCTGACCATTCGATATACCAGCCTTCTTTTGCATGCTCAAACTATAGTACTACATCATGGGCACCCAAACTCAACGGTCTAGGTACGCACGGCGGGCTAGTGGACCATCGAATGCGGAAATCGCAAGATCAGTCTTTAGAGCTAATGTCGGACATGCGCAATTCCCAGAAGCGACACAACCAGTTGAAGATATTGCGAGTCTACATGATCCTCGCAACTTTCTGAGAACCTCACAGGTAGCGACCGCTACTAGAGGAATACACTATGGCTACAGTAAGCGCCCTCTCAAATCTCCAAACAAAAGAGTTCCTCACTAATCAATCAATCAATATAGCTCCCGGCTCCCCCACCTTTCCGTCCCCTCCAGGTCTCTGGTACAAGTTCTGGCGGTTTGCCTATCTCGCAAGTCTCATATTCGCCACAATACTATTCTTGCTATCTTTGAAGGAAACACCCAAGGGCATCACGTTCAAAAACAAAGACGAGTGGGTCGCTGGCTCCCATGGCGTTGGTGAGCCGGCTCATTCATGGGTTAGCAAGTTCTTTGAGAATGGAAGGACTAGCGGGAGCCCTGAGCCTGAAGTGGCCACGGTCGTAGTCGTGAAAACGCCGGAACCAGAGGTCACGATACCTGCTCGAAAAAGGTGGTTTGGTCTGGGAAACGAGCACATATCCGAAGCGCAACCAACTCAAACGTCTCCAGCTTTGCCAACTTCGAATGTAAAGGAGGCCATTAAAAGTGTTATAAATCGTTTTGATGTTAGGGAATGTGACCTGAATGTTAAACGACATGTACTTGGGCAGACAAAGCCCACCAAAGAGGTACAGACAAACACAAACACTTGGAATTTGAACGTGAAACAATTCCTCGCAAGTAGGCCGGCAGAAGCGAGGGAGAAAGAAACCGCAGCGCAAGAGACGCTGTCAACAGAGAGACCCACCTTCACGTCGGCAGGTGTCGCAGGATTAAAATCCGAGTCCTACACGACGAAGTTAGCAAGTATCGATTCCGAAACGGAGCCCAACAACTTTCATGCCCCGGCATCCAAGAATGAGGTCTTCCCCAGATTGGTCAATGTGGCACTCAGCCTTTATGAACCAATCTTGGACCACGAGCCACTCGTTGTACTCGTAGCAAAAGTCAGGGTCGCCCGCGAAGTATTCCACCGCGCCCAACAAACTCTGCAGGGCAGAAACGCAACTTTACGTTTGGCAAATAAGGTCCATAAACTCGAATTCAAGAGTGTAGAAAATGGTCTTGGCGACTATAGATTCCTAGGCCGAATCCACGCTGACCAAGTCTTCTCGGAGAACCCCAGCAAAATACTCCGCATGATCGACACCTTCCAAAAGTCCGTCGCGAAAGCTAGGACGTCGACGAAGGAAATACAAGCACACCATGAGTTACTGGGTCAGTACAAGTGGGAGTTATTTCATAGCTATTATTCGCACGCCCAACAGTGGCTCTATAAGCTTTCGCGGGCGGAGGAGGCTGTCTCACGCTTGAGCAAATACACCTCGAGCACCACACTACTCATCCATACAAACTTCGACATAGAAGCCAGTTCCCGCCAGGGCAAAGACCTCTCGGACTGGCTCGTCGCAGCGCAAGCTCGGAAGACCGCGCAGCTGTCGCTAATCATTTGGATTGAAGTACTGTGTCGATCCGCGGAGCATTCGCTTGCGACTGCGCGCGAGAGGGTGCAGGCTGTGCTGGAGGGGAAGGCGGAGGACCAGGCTCGGTTCGCGAGCAAGAGGGAGACGGAGTTGGGTGTTGTTCGGGATGTGGAGGAGCAGAGGGAATTGGTTACATTACTTAAACAGGAGACGGATAAGAGGTTTAGGGTTGCGGATCAGGCGCTGAAGGAGATTGTGGCGAATAAGGGCAAGAATATCAAGGATGATCCAGCGTTGGCTTAGGGTTTGTGTTGGTAAGGGAGGATGTTTGCATGTTTCCATTCATTTATAGGTTTCAATTTGCATTGTATAGTTCAAAGGCATTTTCGAATGGGAAATATCAATGTAATGTGCTTTTGGAAGCTGCGACCTGCAAGAAATGCATATTAGGAGAGTTAGAAGAGTTAGAAGAGTTGCCAAATGAGCTCTGCAGCTTAGAAGGAATGGAGCTGTACACTGAAGTTGAATTCATTATTTCGTTTCCTAGAAACACACTTTCGTCATCTAGGAATTATACAGATCTGGAAGTGTCCAACTCATGGTTTTGGACCCCTTCAATGTACTAATACACTAACGAGAGGCTTGGAGACCGCTCCTTCTTTCACAGCAGGTATTCTGATGGGAGCTAGTTCAAGACAGCGGGAACTACCCAGGAGACGTGGGAACTCCAACAGCATCAAACATAGCTCTCAGTCGCAAACACAGTTTCAACAGAATTAGTGCAAGCTGCCCAGGCCATTTGGAAACTTCCTTGTCGGTTCATGTGTAAAGAATCCTTAACTTCCCCTATGATTTTCGATCTTGTTCTCGACCTCGGAATAACACACAGTGGGAGCTACATACAGACCCCGAAGCGCTCCTCGACAAAGGCTTTTCAACCTCCTTTTACCAGATATACCTTCACAACGATATCGATTGTTGGCTTTATATACTCGACAGTCCTCAAACTACATCTCATTATCGGACAATCGACCAAGTTTGTCCAATTACCAGTGGATTGATGGCGCTCCGCAACCCCAATTTTCCCATCGAAGTGGAGGTGGAGGAAGCGGAGGTAGAACGCTTCATGCCCCTCCTAAAGCCGCTCTGGAATCCTATCTCAAGTCGCCATTACTTCAAAATACTCAAGATTATGAACTATCTTTCGACACGGCTTGGTGATATTTCCCCTTACATCCAATATCGGGCCGGACTTTGTGGTGCATATACTATGGGAGAGACACCTGCCGTAAGGGAACCAAAAAACATCACTGAAGTGTTTAAAATCGTGAGCGAAACAGCTGATTTCAAGAGACACGGACACCTCGGTCATTTGAGGATAATCCTAGAAGAGGCAAAAAATCATGAATGGGCCGGGGACGCGAAAGAAGGCCTCGAATACTTGATTCGAATGGCACAGCGCTTAGAAGAGACTACGGGGACTATGGACATACCAATAAGACACCGTCTTTTAGGAATCGTTCTACACGCGGCGACCCCAGCCAACTTGTCGGGACAAGACTGTGCCATCTGCCTGGGGGCAATGGGCGAACAATTCAGAAATGTGGCAAAGATACTATCGATATTAAAGAATGTCGCGAGCATCTCGGGCTCAGATTGGACTTCAATAACCCATTTAATGGAAGACTGCACGAGATACGTATTCAGCCAACCCGAGAGAGAGGATATCAAATTCTTCCAAGAAATGCAAGGCTTTATTCGCCAACTTGCGATCGTCTATCTCCGGTATAGGGCCCTTCAAGAAGCTTCGCCTCGGGCCTGTCACAACTGAATGCGGGCATACCTTTGGCTTCCTTTGCCTCGATGTCTGGATTCGACAAAAGGGTTACCAGGCTAAGTGCCCATATTGTCGAAGCAAACTGGTAAGCGAAGCAGCGAGAAACTCGCGGAGGAGAGAAATGCTGGATCATTTACTTCGTACGCTACAGCAGTAGGAAATACTCACGATATTGTTGATATGATGGTCGGCGTCCCTGTCAGACCATCATGTGGGTTGAGAGGGGAGCCGTAGATTACAGAAGGGGGCGCTTGTAAACGCTTCTTGGGCCTCTTTAGCAAACACAATATAGGTACAACATGGGCATGATTCGGCGCAACCAAATTGTGTTTGCCAGAGAAGGTCTTAGATGTTCGTTGAGGAGGTCGAATTGGAAGCGGTTCGAAGTCCGTTGTAAACAAAGCTGACAATGAAGCAAAATGAAAATATCACCATGGAGATTGTAGACAAACTGTAATATCACTTGTTCTACCCGAAAGTTTTATATTGACACAGAAATATTGAAGTGAGATCGGCAGGGAAGTGGAGTTTGATATGCGCGGCTATTTAATAGACGCGGCGCGACCCCCTTGCAGAAGACACATCTTTGTGTGATGATCTCACAGCGACGTTCCCTTGGAAAAGTTCCATCTCTTCTTTTTTTCTTTCTTTCCCGGCAACAAGATGGATTTCCTTCAAGTATGCCACCCCTTCCAAACTTCCATTTTTGCGACCCAGCTAACAAGTTCCAGCGCCTCGCCCGCGCCCTTGACAGGCCTCTATTCCCCTGGAAGAAGCTCATCATCGGCTTCTCCCTCGCACAATACGTCTTCGAAGGATTCCTCTCCCTCCGCCAATACCAAGTCCTGAAGCAGACCAAACCGCCCAAGGTGTTGAAGAATGAAGTGTCGCAAGAAGTCTTCGACAAATCCCAAGCATACGGCCGCGCGAAAGCCAAGTTCGGTCTCTTCAGCGGGCTCTTCGGCCAGATCCAAAACACAGCATTCATCTACTACGACATCCTCCCCAAACTCTGGGCCCTGACTGGATCATGGCTCCTATCCTACGCACCTGCACGCTTCAGCGGCGAAATCTCGCACTCCATCGTCTTCGTCCTCACGTTCATCGTTATCCAACAGGTTATCTCGCTACCAACTTCCATCTACCATACCTTTGTGCTGGAAGAGAAATTCGGGTTCAACAAGCAGACGCCCAAGCTCTTTGTTATGGATATGTTGAAGTCGCAAATGCTGGCTTTTGTTCTGGCTCCTCCGATCTTGGCTGGTTTCTTGGCTATTGTGCAGAAGACTGGGAATAGCTTCTTTTATTACCTTTGGATGTTTGGTGCTGGATTACAGGTCTTCATGATTACTATCTACCCGATTACGATCTTGCCGCTTTTCAATAAGCTTTCTCCACTGCAGCCTGGCGATTTGAAGACTGGTGTTGAGGCACTGGCTGAGAGGTTGAAGTTCCCGCTGCATGAACTATATGTTATTGATGGTAGCAAGCGGAGTGCGCATAGCAATGCGTATTTCTTTGGAATGCCGTGGAAGAAGCATATTGTCATCTATGATACATTGATTGAAAAGAGCGAGACACAGGAAGTTGTTGCTGTTCTTGCACACGAACTTGGTCACTGGAGCTTAGGTCACACTACGAGGCTGTTTGGAATCTCTCAGGTATGCAGTTTCGCGAATTGGGTTTCTCTTATTAACCAACTTTGCAGGCTCATTTCTTCTACATTTTCGCCCTGTTCTCCGTCTTCATTAACAACAAGTCCCTCTACCAATCCTTTGGCTTCCACAATGAATTCCCCATCATAATCGGCTTCATCCTATTCTCGGACGCTCTTGCGCCAATGGATACAGTCATCAAGCTTCTGATGAACATCCTGAGCCGGAAATACGAGTTCCAAGCCGATGAATTCGCGCAGGGGTTGGGATACTCGACAGAGCTGGCTCGTTCTTTGATCAAGCTCCAGATCCAGAATCTGAGCACGATGGATGCGGATTGGATGTATGCTAGCTACCATTTCTCGCATCCGATTTTGTCGGAGAGATTGGGTGCACTTGGATGGGTTGATGAGACGGATGTAGTGTCGGATGAGAAGGATGAAAAGGCCGAGAAGGCCAGTGGGAGAGAGCTGTAAAATGTATAACCACCAATAAAGCGATTTCCTCCAATATTTCGTCGTAGTGTCTTGTATCGTTGTGTCGGGTTGGATCCGTAAAGTTCAAGCCTCCGCCTTCTTCAACTTCTCGGCCGTCCTCTGCTTCTTCTCCTCCAGCTGCCTAGCTTTCTTCTCCTTCTTCCTGGCGTCCTTGTCTACTGACTTGGCCACCTTATCCGCAGGCTTATGCATCGTTTTAACCTTCTTAGCCTTCGGCGCCTCGACATCCACCTCGGAATCATCCTCAGCCACTTCAACCTCCTCATCCTTCCCCAATTCAACCGTACGACTCGTATCCCTACCCCCCACATTCCCAACCTCAATACTCTGCTCCCGTTGATACTCCTCTAAATCCTGCCACCCCTCCTCTGCCGCTCCCACTGCCGTCCCATCATCCATTCCCTGCCCCGCGATCTCCTCATCTCCCCCCTCACCATCCCCTTCATTCAACTGCAACGTAGGAGCCAGCCATTCGCCCCTAAGCCCCGCTTCCACGCGCTGGAGATTGTGTAGTGTGACGGAGGAGCTGGAGCCTGCTGTTGGGCCGGACGCTTCGAGGCGCGCGTTGGGCAGGAGATGCGCTTTGGTGGCGGTTGCTGTGAGGTACGAGGACAGGTATTTGAGGGCGATTTCTTGGGAGACTGGGATTGAGGGGATTGATTTGTGGGGTGGGAAGGCCGACATTATTGATTTTTTAATTCAAACAACTGCTTTGGCTTTTTCGTACAGTGTCTGAATAAATGCGCCGTCGTGGTTTACAGTCTTACAGTCTTAAAACATCAAGCTCCATATCTTTTTTTTTTTTTGGTCGAAGCGGCCGCTAGCGTTTATATTTCCATTCTGGAACGACAACTTCGGATATCAACCTCGAGCTTGTGTTCTAGCCATTGACCACCGCAATACCGCAAGATGTTGTGTCTCCGCTGCTCGAGGGGCTTGAATGCCTTCTCCAAACTCCCCATCGCGTCCGCATCACGAACAGCGCACCTAATAACCCGCGTACCCACCTCCTCAAAACGGTACTTCCCAATTCTCTCCCTCCCCTCCCCATCCCCATCCCCAATGCCAAACCACAACTAACATCTCCTCCGTTTAGGACCTTCACATCCCTCCCCTCCCTCCGCCCAACCATCATCCCGTCCTCCCTATCCTTCTCCCTACGCCCCAATCCCATCACAACAACAGCAAGCAGCACCACAACCGACCTAGATGCAGCAGCGATCCTGCCCATATCAACGCACCCATCGATGAACTTGACACAGATCCGGTGCGCAGGCCGGAACACGTTTAACCCAAGTCATTTTGTGAGGAAGCGGCGACATGGCTTCTTGGCGCGGGTGAGGAGTCGGACGGGGAGGATGATGTTGAAGAGGAGGAGGGCTAAGAAGAGGAGTACGTTGAGTCATTAGGTGGATGGGCTGGAAGGGGGTGTATGATAAAGAGGAACAGATGGGGGTGTATAGTCTATGAATGGATGTGGAAAGCATGGAAGAGCAAGTATTCGAGGTGATGTGTGTATGATATTAGAAATGGATATCGACGTATCTTCCTCCACTATTTTCTCGGTCTGTGATTGTGGTAATCGGAGTAGTTCTGTGTTGCAATTGTGCTTGACTCTCTTGGAAAGTTTTCATTGCAAGTTCTATGCCTTCTCGTGTCGTGCAAGTTGGCCATCATGCCACACTCACGGATCCCCTCGGGATCTTGTTTATTAAATCACTCGCAAGTACTCGAAGGGTCAGAACCCCCTATCCGAATATGTATCCGAATATCCCTATCATTTGTCTTTCTTCGATTTACATATATCTTTCGCATCTGCTCTTTCAAACTCTGCTCCAACATCCTTCTAGGTCACGGGGGCACATTCTTCAGACAATGCAAAGAGCATCACAATTTGAAAAGACAATTCAAGTTAAAGAGAGCGTTTATTGGTCTGTGAATATACGCCTCTCAATAGTCTATGGATTCCACAGACCTTAGTAAGAAAAGTTACCATTTGCAATCCTGTTCTGCCGATTCCATGAACCCCATTTCCTTCAAAACAATGGATCTCCGACCTTGCCAGTTCATTAACTTTCTCGCACCATAACAATACAAATGTGCGCTTCTCGTATGGAGTAATAGCTTCACGCCTCATTTCTCTTACGTCCATGACAACTGCCCCACGGTCAATGAGCTGTTCATGTCACGAGCATGGTAAAGGATCATGAGTTCCAAGTGATAGACAAGCATTTCGTCTACATCATTATCGGATCCGTCTAGTGGTGGTTCACTGGAGTCATATGTGAATAGATCTGTCGCTGCAAAATCCGCGCAAGGGATATCGGCATCGACGCTGTTCCACTGCATTAGTAATGTTTCATCCATACAGGTTATGGCTTACTGTTCTTGGCTGCCACATTTGGAAGTTTGGCAATTGTGTTTCTTGACCGGAATCTCGACACCTCCCCTCCCAACCCTCTGACCTACGTAACCCCGCGCCGCCTTTGCTTAGGTGCTTAGGCAGCGTAGCTCAACTTCGGCTTAAGTCCGCTTAGGTCTGCGTACCTATCTTACTAGGAATCGTCAGCTTTCAACAAGGAGCCCAAAAGGCCCCCTTTCCTAGCTAAGGGTCCCAAATCTGTTCCTACTATACGATTATTCCTAGACAATTATCCAAGTCTGCCTATCTTGATGCATAGGACCTTTTTCTACCTTTAGGTTGTTTTACGCCGTCCTCTACATTTTGCCTTCAGCTACGTATTATATAACTAGTTACTTTTTGTCTTTACCTCTCTTCTTACCTATCTTCTTACCTATCTTCTTACCTATCTTCTTACCTATCTTTTTATGGTCTTATCTATCTTCTTACATATCTTTTTACCTATCTTCTTATATACTTTCTTATAGATAGAGTTCGAATGTTAAAGTTCGAATTGCATAGCAATACTCGGTGTAAGAACTTCAATAAACAAAAGAGATGCCGATCTGAAAGGATCCTAGGATTTTATGACATCCATTTATTACAAGCTGCAATTTTCTATACAGCTAGCGCATCATGCGAGTTTTCCTAAGAAGCTTCGAATAGTTCATCTGCATGTGCCGCACGCTTGGCAAAACGGAGCCGCATTCCCAGCCTTCCTATTCCTTTGCTAAGGATGATGCTGTTTAGGGATGACCTATGCCTTTTTCGATTATATGACATCGAACAACAAGCAGCGGGCGGTTGGAGCTGACCCCACGAGTTCAGATCACCCCACCAACTCCAACAGCAGAGGGAATGACTGCCAATCAAGTCTGTGTAACTGCGCACTACCTGCTTTGAATGGGGCTCCCAATTACTGCCGACAAACATGTACCGAAAGTAACATAGGGTGCATGCTGCATTTGGAACCCTCCGATACACGCTATGTAAATAGCCCACTATTTAAAAATGGATGTGAGGGTTTCACGGATGTAACTGTTTTCCGGCGTCTAGGATACTGGAATAGTAATCGTTATAAGAACCCGAGAGTTCGGTCGCCCCGCTTTCCAACCGACTAGTGCGTGCCCAATACAGTAGCAAAAGAACGCCAAACTAAAGCTGTGATTGCAACAGACACGGACATTAACCGGCCAAATAATGTTGGTGATTCAATGTCAGGCATTGAAACTCGATATATTGGCTGAACCAACTCCAACAGCAAAAATCCTCTTTGATACGCCTCGGCCGAATCTATTGACCAAGGGTGAAAATCCCCTCTCCTGTTTTCTAATGTCGATCTCTGAACTTTGGCTCGCGCGGCGCTATTAGTCTTCTGTGACATGGTTTCCGAGAGTAGCGGGGCCGGTTAGCGGCAAGATACGCCCTACTGGGCTCCAATCAATGGACTTTTGAGTCGCAGCTAAATAGACTGCCTAGACAATGATATGCATCGTATTTGCTTCCGAGACACCAACGCAGAGGCAGAATGAAGGCGGTGACAAAGCCTGCTGAACCTGCGTCAACACCAAGGACTACTTCAACAACGCCATCTTGTCTAGCTACATGCGATTCCCGCAACCTTTTCCGTCGTTTACAAGCAATTCTTGGATAATTTCCACATAGCTATCACAGCTCGTCTTATTTATACATTATCACACTATGAACTCGAGGTTCTTCACTTGCTCAAGGCCGGGATGTGAACGGCCAAGTGTCAGAGCTGTTGGTGGATGCGATGCGTGCAACAGTTATCTGTGTGTCATTCACATGTCCTCATCTTACCACAAGTGCAACAAGGTAAGTGGTATAGTCTTTTGCCTTTACTTCGCTCTTCTAAACCAATACTGAGTGTTCCTGAAATAAAAGGCCTTGGACGATGCAACCTACACATTGCAGACTGCTGCTGAAATTGAACGTCTCTGCTCTCGGATCAACGACGCGGCAGTCTGCAAGCATGCTTCAAGTCTAAATGGTGGTCGGAGTTGCACCATCGAACATTCTTCCACGATTGGCCCTGGTGCTCTTATGGGCAGCGCTAACTACCACGCCCGTATTCGTTTCCACGATGGCTCTCCTTCATGGTTACTGCGCATTCCACGTGTTGCTAGCTTCGCTGTTGGTCTTCCGTCTTCGCTAGTCGAGTACCTTGTACTCAGCGAATATGCAACCCTGAAGTTTCTTGAAACTACCGCAGTACCGGCACCTCGAGTATTTAGTTACGGTATATGTGGCACTGAAACAGACCATGGTACTGGCGTCAGCTTCATTCTCATGGAAGAACTACGGGGGACACCATGGACAGGCCAGGGGGTGTCCGGCGGCAAAGCTAGTGAGAACGAAAAGGCAAAGGTCTGGAGCGGTCTTGCGGACATTTTGATGCAGTTGGAAAAACACACCCTTTTCCTAAAGCTGGTTCTCTGTGCTTGCAATCATCTGAAGTCGAGGTATCAGCCGTTGCGAGCGACAGGTTTCTCGTTCTCACTCCCACAGGTCCGTTTGCTACATCTACCGCCTATTATGCTGCTTTTGCTGAGCATTACTTGGAGCTCATCGTGGATGGCCAGCTCTATACCGAATATCCTATCGATGCTTATCTAGTGTACCGTTTTATGAAGGATAACGTGACCTAATTGGTCTCGCAAGAGGAAAACCAAACGACAGAGAGATTCTACTTGAAGCATGTCGACGACAAAGGCGACCATTTACTCGTCGACGAGCAGCTGAACATTACTGGCGTTATTGACTGGCAAATGGCACGTATTGTACCTCGACGGGAAGCTTTTGGACCATCGCTTGTTACAGCAGATATGAACGCCTTGTGCAATGGGAAATTCTCACTGAGCCCCGACGATCTTGTACTGGCTGATATGCTGCGGAAAAGAGGCCTATCTGATCTGGCCAGCAATATGATTGATGAAAAAGTCAGAAGATTCTTTTTGGGCCTGGCCTTAGAACCAGAATGGAAGTACGCCCTGCCGTTGGCAAATGCAATATTGAAAGCGTTTGGGGCGGTGGAAGGTTGGTCGCAGTGGAAGGAGAGCGCGCTGAAAGAATACGAGACTGATGAACGCCTAAAGGGCCTCATTGGTCGTTCTTCACAGATGGGATGACAGATGTATCCAGCACAGCGATAGACCATCTTGGGAAAGCATAGACAATTGCATATCTGAATATATATAATACACTCAATTGTTTCCAGTAAAGACGTTGCGCTTCATGTCTGCTTTCGATGTTAACATACAATAGGATACAATCTGGCGGTTAAAGACGTCGCCGGGCCACGATAGGCAGCCTGAGGGCGAAGCCATCTAGGAGTTTAATAATAAGGTAAATATACACCTTAACAATTAGTGATATTACTAATATAGAGTAGCTTAGACGCTGAAGGCAATCCTATCTTTTCATTATCTGGCCTCGAGCTCCCTCTTAATAACTTCGCCGTCCAAGTACTATCTAATAAGCTCCCCGATTGCTCTATTACAGTTGGTCCGAAACATTATACACATTGCTGGCCGAAGTAGAGAAGTGGAATAACAAGTCGATATTACTACAGGGTATGAAATCTGCACGAATAAAGCGAAAGTATCATTAGAGAACGCCGGACGAGCAATTTATAATGTTGGACGAGAAGAAGGTTATAGGGGAGGAGCGGAGGATGCGGAGGAAGATAGAGAAGGCGGATAAGTCCTATGGCGAGGAAGGATTATCGGCTGAGGCGAGCAGTCAGGAAGCGATCTAAAAAAGTGAATATGATATTCTGTGGCTCCAGAGAAGGGTCTGTAACATTTAAATTTCAAACTGGCGTAGACAACATAGTTAGCAGTATATCTTGTGGAATAGGAGTGGTTTCACATGCCTGCCTCCAGAGCCGTCTCTGCTGATAAACGCTGAAGTTCTCAACGGTCCATGGAATAGGATCAGCGAAGGGCAGTGCTTTGCAGACACCAGCGATAGCGGAAAGAACGAAGGGTGCAGAGAGCTTCACTATGCCGCGATGATCGTCGACTTGATGATGTTGATAAGTACTTGATCTCTTGAGATATTTTTATTCTCGTTATGGATGATTCTGCGATGTTCATGGATGGATGTTGATTGTTAAGGAGGAAGAAGACCGAAGACGAAAGGAAGACGGTTTCATTAAGCCGTTGCACATGGCGACAAGTCAGAGGGTGGTAGTTTCAGTTTTCGTCGTAACTGTCTTCGTGGATGGAAAGAGCCATTACAGGTTTATCGAATCCAAACTTTAGCTTCACTCAAAACCTACGAGACAGCAAGAGCCATGGACTCAGAGTTGCTAAGACAGTACGTGCCCCTTTCTGTCCCGTGCCATATCAAAGCTCTATTACCACGAATCGGCTTGATATGGATCTAAAATAGGAGACGTTAGCGATCCCTAATAAGTTAACCATGAACAAAAACGGGAACTTATTGAACCCGCTCAGCGGATGAGCTTATCTCCTCCGGAATTTTGAGTCTTCACAACGTCACAAAATCAATACGGCTTTAATGTCTATGTGTAAATTTTGATAATGTCATGGAACTAGGGTTTTCAGAACATTTTTCAAGTATATACAGATCGTAATAGATATAACTTAACCCTTCCCCTATTATCTCGCTTAGCTTTTATACTTCACATCTTTCGCGGCCTCCGCCATTATAATTTCTCATCAAGCATCATCATATAAATACTTCTCTATTACACGCGTCTAGGCGGATAGATAGATAGATGGTAGAGAATGACGAAAAATCCGTGGAACCTGTGTGATATAGTCCTTCACGTGGCACAACAAGGCGGCAGTTCGGAACTGGGGAACCTCGGCCCGCCCCGACTTCCCCACACCATACCAACTGCCGCTAGTATTACCCCAGATAATGCACTCACTCCATATAATTATTCTTCCCCCGAATATACATTATTCTTTCTCCAGGTAATCTCATACATCCATTTCCAACGTAGACTACACATATCCTTTTCCCCAGAATGGCACCCCAAGGCCCAATAACTACCCCCCTCACCACCCTCCTCGGAATCCAACACCCCATCCTCCTCGCCGGAATGGCTCGCACCTCAGGCGGGCCCCTCGCAGCCGCCGTCTCCAACGCCGGAGGCCTAGGTTGTATCGGCGGTCTAGGCTATACGCCCACGCAATTGCGCGAGATCATCCACTCCCTAAAAGCCAATCTCCAGTCCCAGACGCTGCCCTTCGGCGTCGACCTCGCGTTGCCGAAGGTCGGCGAGGGGGCGAGGAAGACGAATCACGATTATACGCATGGCCAGCTCGATGAGCTGATTACGGTGACGATTGAAGAGGGCGCGAGGCTGTTTGTAAGCGCGGTGGGCGTGCCGCCTCCGCATGTCGTGGAGCGGTTGCACGACGCGGGGATTCTGGTTATGAATATGGTGGGCCATCCGAAGCATGCGAGGAAGGCGCTTGATGCTGGTGTTGATATCGTTTGTGCGCAGGGAGGAGAGGGCGGGGGACATACGGGGGATGTGCCGAACTCGATACTGATTCCTAGTGTGGTTGACGTGGCGAGGGGTTATAGGCCTAAGATGCTGAACGGGCAGACGGCGCTGGTCGTTGCGGCGGGGGGTATATACAATGGGAGGAGCCTGGCGAGTAGTTTGATGCAGGGCGCGGCAGGGGTTTGGGTTGGGACGAGGTTTGTAGCGAGTACGGAGGCGGGGTGTAGTCAGATGCACAAGGAGAGTGTTGTTACGGCTGAGTTTGAGGATACTTTGAGGACTTTGACGGTTAGTGGGAGGCCGTTGAGAGTTAGGAGGAATGAGTGGACTGATAAATGGGAGGAGCAGCCTCAGAAGATCAAGGAGTTGACTGAGAAAGGTGTTGTTCCTATTGACTTTGACTTGGAGGCTGGCAATGATGTGGATATTCCTCATTTGATGGGAGTAGTCGCTGGAGTTATTAAGAATATTCAGCCCGCGAAGCAAATTGTGGACGAAATGGTTGAAGAAGCTGTTGATATGTTAAAGCAGGGCCAAACCTTCTTGGGGGGTGGAAAAAGCAGATTATAAAATTTTAGAATATAATAAAATACCATTGTCTTGATTTGATGAAATTTGCAGACTTTTTAAGTACCTAATATTGAAGCTCATTCTACATGTTTCGCAGGATACGTCACAAGTGTCTCACACTATCTGATAGACAGCCAAGGAAATAACAACCAAAAGCCAGCTTCCAATTGCAAGTTTATTCCGCATCATACCAAGAAATCGGCACTCTTACATTTGTGACCTCCCCCTCAACCTCCTCAGTGCAGCTTTACTTGAACGCCCGTCCCGCCCAGCCTTCAATGAACTTAAGACGGAAGATCCAGTCAAGTACAACCATATAAGCATATCATATATTCGTCACCAAAAAGAAAATCATCTAGTATCATTTTTAGTGCATTCTCTCTTTATATATAAATCTCCGCATCATTTTCTATACTCTATAGGTTGCGAATTCTCTGATTGTTGGGATAATGGGCTGTATCCCGACCTTTATAATTATGTGACCTAGCTTAGTTATCCGCTTAGTTAGTAAAAGATGCATATTATCTTTTGCCTATAATACTATAAATACTAAGTATTATCTACTAGAATACTAGTATTATATTAACTATGCATAGTAGTAACGTGATCACGTATTAACCTGTGATACCAATACTAATATATCTATGGGAACTGGAAATATGCTAATGGTTCATTTTGAATTTCCTTTCTAGCTGAACTTATGACTACAATATCACTTGCCTTGAGCAATCGATCGCGTTAAATAAAGGCAGCGGATATTTGATATGAAAAGTTGATGTTATAGATACATCCTAGAAAGTCGAAACTACTAGAGTAATCCTCCTGTTACGTTGCCAACGTAAGGTATCATGAAACTCTATCTTCACACAAGGCTCCCGATACTCAAGTAATTAAAGATATGCTATTTATCTTCTAAATAACCTAACCCATTTCAACCCAAACGAAGCAGCGAGCGCTTCGCATGCTTGTGTAAAACGCCAATCATCTGTTTCGTCCCGCCCAAGTTTGAATAACTATGCCCGCCTGTTCATTCACCAAGAAATACAACTTCACCCAAAGTTCGGCAACCTAGCAGGCACGAATTCCTGATCCCGGGGTTCTTTCGGTGGAGATTCGCTCATTGGTTCCTTCTCCCGTGATTTAGCCGACACTTCATCACTCGCTTGCGCTTCTTTGATATCTATATCTTCTGGTGCAGGTATGGCTTCCACCACAGATGCATCAGTCTTGCTCTCCGCCATAGCCTCGATGACATCATCCTTTCTCAGCCCACGTTCCGCAGCCAACTTTGCAGCAGCTTCTCGCTTCCTTTCTACTTCTGCGTCTTCTTCTAATCGAAGTCTCTCGTCTTCTTGTTGCAAGTCCGTTAACGACGGTATCTTTACATCTGGAGACGGTAGACCCGGGGTTTGTGGTCCTGAACTCGTATGCTGGCCGTCTAATGATGGCCTGGATTGAGAGGAAGCTGCTGTCCTAGATAATGTTCGCGAAGTGGTCCTTGATCCAGCCGGTCTCTTTCCTTTACTGCTCCTTGTTTTCCCACTACTCCTATCATCCATATTCGATATGGTTGTCCTCCTCTCGAGGACCATGGCGAATTCGTCAGGTAATGGCACCGCATCGTCTTCCCCATCACTCGGGAATAAATCCCCCCTCGAGCGAAATGAATCCAACGTCTCCTCCGAACTAGCAGTAGAGCTTCGTTGTCTCTGATGCCCCTTCCCCTCATCATCCTCATCCGTGATTAGAGGCTCGCCTTCATCCTCCCCATCCTCACCCACCGCCCTAAAATCCTCACTCCTTGCCCCCGGATGCTCCTGCAAATCCGCTGCACTGGGTTTATACCTTAGTGTGCCTCCCAATTTAAACGGCAATCTTCCCAAGAACCCCAATGCGCTCGTACTAGGAATAACCGTCGGGTCATCCCTTAAATCCTGACTCTTCCTCCTCCTCGGCCTCCCACTCCCACCAGCACCACCAGTCCCATAACTCATCCCCCTCTTCCTGCGCGGCTGATCCCCCGGCCCAGTCCCCGACAACAGGCGATCTAACTCATCATTCCCCCATCCCCCAAGCAATCCCTGCCTCTCCCCACCATTATTCTCCTGATCCCAATCATCGTAGAAATCAAAACTAAGTTCCGCGCGCCCGCGCGTCCGACCGCGCGCTGATCGATCGGGGAAACAATGGCCGGTGCAGTGTGTGAACGAGGAGGAGACGGAGGAGAGACATGGGTTTAGATAGCGGTGCTGGAAGGTCCAGATGCCAGCGGCCGCAGACTCGGTGGCATGCTCTGCATTCTGCGAGAATTGATTCCAGGTTTGGCGGAATCGAGGGTCTTCGAGGAGGGGTGCCATTGTGGGGGTGGTTGCGATGCGGTTGTTTTGTCTTTATATCAGTTCACTGATTGTTTGATTGGAGAGACATCAATGACGTCTTGGTGATTTTGAGAGGGTAGTGGTGTCTATGCGATGGCATGGGTTGTAGCTTGGTAATATATTCGTTTTACAGAGCTCAACATTATTGTGGGGTGGGTGAGGGTTATTGTATTGTATAGGTACTTGGAACACTTTCAGTGGAAGTCGTCCAGATTCCGAGACGCTTGGGCCCGTCTGCAAGCGCGCCAAGGTTTGTCCGAACAAGGCTGAAGGCAAGCAAGGCTGGGCTGGCTGCGAAGAAGTTTCAGTGTCTTTGACTTGTAAACCCTTACTCACTACGACTAAATGCATGGTGAATCATGATTTCTCGAAATATGAATCTCGCCCGGAATGTCTCAGCTTTGGGACATTTAGAGCTGAAAACATTATACCCTGGGATAGGAGCACGTCCCCAATCAAAAATGCTGGAAAAGTACTGTTACAAGACGGGAACTGAGTAACATTATTTTCAACAACATGGCTATCCAAAAATAATCAATGCTGCTTGATACCATTTGCAGCGGCCGAAACCCCGTTTACAGCAGCCATTGTAGGTGGCGGAGGAGGACCAAAGGGCTTAGGACCTTCGACATGCTCTTCCTCAGTATCCTCATCATACTCTCCCTCCTCACTCCCTTCCTCATCACCATCCTCAGCATCTTCATCTTCATATTCATACTCACTCTCCGTACCCTCCATATCACCCTCGGCATATTCCCCCTCTATAGTCCCTTCGGCCATCCCTGCCATTCCGCTGGGCATCCCTCTCCCCTGCTTTTGCATTTGATTGATAATGCTCGTAAGTTTCTCGTTCTTTTTTCGCAACTGCTCCAAATTTTCCAAGTTGGCTTTACGCTCTTCGGCCATTTTAAGAATATTCTGGTTCGTCAGGTCGTGCTTCCGCGTCAGAGTCACATTCTCCTTTTCCAGCCGCTTGGTCTTTTTGGACATATCTTCCATTTCTTTTCGAAATGTTAGGAAAAGGTCGTTGCTATTGTTGAGTGTATCCTCCACCTACAGGTTTGTTAGGTCTGATGACTTTGTAGATGGCAATATATATTGTTCTCGAACTTGACCGCAGAATTAAAATTAAATGTTTTGCTCTTACCTGCTTGAATTTTTCCACATAGATATTCAACTGATGGCGCAATTCTGATTCGGTCTTTGAGAATGTCAGAACCTGGGCATTCAGAGCCTTAGACCGAGTGCCTTCTGCTTCTGCAGCTTTCTTCTCGCGGTCAAACCTGGCCATGTGATACTGAAGTTCCAGTTCTTTTGACCTCATTACTGAATGAAAATGCAGTTCCCTCAATTCATATTGCTCAATTAAGGACTTGAAACGTTGTTTGAACCTAGAGAAATTAGCAAATGCCATAGAAACCGGGATTGATAACAAACAATTCTTCCACCTCGATATTGACAACTTGAGCTTGAGGATGATCTTTCGCTTCTTGGTATTCCTGTAGCTGCCATAAAAGGTGGTGGAATTTATCATCCCACGCTTCATGATTACTCTTGTCAGAATCTTTCAGATCTCGGTTCTCGGACTATATTGAGCCATCAGTACTCTAGGACCTAATTCGACTTCAGATGAACAAGCGGACCTTGAGTCGATTATTCTCTTTTTGTAGCTCCCTGCAAAGCTTCTCCAATTTCTCCCGCATACCACTTTGCTTGGTGAGCTCGCTAGTTCTCTGGTCCTTCTCCTTCTGCAAATCGTCCGAGCGCTTTTGATTCTTCGAACTCTTGCGCTGCCACCTTTTCATATTTGTAAGGTGCTCCGTGACCTGCTTCTGTAGATAATCAATCTTTCCCAAGTCGTCCATCTTCGAGGTAAGGTTGTTCAGCTCGCGGTTTGCTTTCTTAACCTCTCGCTCTGTAGAATGAATTTGTTAGTGGAGGCGTTCTGCTGATAGCTTCATAGGTTTCCAATGAACAAAGCGCAAATGCGGAATTATTTGAATAAAAATCTATAATAGGTCGCATCATCCTCGTTCGGGTAGCTCAAACTGGTCTTGCGCGGGCGTACATTCGATTTTGCTACAGAGGACCGAGTAGTTGTCGTGAATCATCCCGATTGCCGTGGGTTGTCCAAGACCATATAGAGGACGGAGAAGTTCGGTATACTTTGAGAGATCATGTTTGTCTCGAATTCGACGTTAAATCGTGAGATGGTTCCTTATGCTTTTTATTTCCAAGATAGGTGGATCATGAGGTGCAAGTTTATAAATACCCTCCCCGTGTACGGCAAAACGATAGTTTTCCGCGCCTTGCTATGCTCCGGGGGATAGTTTTGGCGGTTATATGGCTTTTGAATATCGTCGAGATGGCGCATAATGTCGCGAGTTCCTTAAAAGCCCTCAAGAACAGGTATATAATAGCAAATATCTCCATATATCTTCGTCCTGCAAACATTCGAGGCAAACCAAGTCCGGCAGACAACTTCACAGCAAAAATTCAAACGCAAGAGAAGGAAATGAGCATAACCAACCAATTTCAGCTTCCTGCTCCTTATCCTCTGCAGCTCCTAGCTCCAGTTGCGAGATCTTCGCTGCGATCAACTTGGAGGCTTCGTTCGGGTCCGTCGCTTTCTTCTGCTTGCCCTTCTTCGCAGCATTTGCCGCCGCAGATTGGTTGGTGTTACCAGCATCGTGATGATGGTGGTGGTTGCCATTTGTGTAGGCAGACTCCGGATGGGTATGGTTCGAAGGAATCGAGGAGGCTCTAGAGGGCGCAGGTACAGTTGTATGAGTTGGATTATTGGCGGTCGACATGTTGCATTTGGGATGGATCGCTGGGTCGTTTGCTCGGGGTGGGTGATCGAAGCTAGCTGGCGCAAGCACAGCTGCTGGGCGAAGATGTGTGTACTCGGGAACAGCTTCGTCCTTGTGTTCTGATCGCTCGTATTCCCAAATGCTCGTCCTGCTTGCCCTCCTCTAGTGTTTCCTCTCGTGAAGTTGTTGCGGAAAGAGCGTAAGACAGATAGAGACTAGCGGGCTCAAGTTTCAAATGAGGAGGCTCGACCCGGTATCGTGGAAAGGGGGATACAGTAATACTTATATAATAATGTCATGGGAATGGAACCAAATACGACATGAAAGATTGTTAATTTCGAAAGTATATTATTTTATGTTTATTAATACAGGAATGATATAGTGTAATGTACTGATTGTTATGCGTTTAAGACCGATCCATGCAATACGATTTACTTTAAAACGCTGTTGATTGGCCTATCCTGGTTTTATGCACCACTGAATAATTTCTGTCCGTACTGGACTGGACTGGTACTGTATGCTTTTACGCGAGGCTCCGAGCTGGCCTTGCATCTAAAATCTCTGGATCTGCATCACCCTCTATATCTCCCCATCTCCCATCTCGACCATATACTCGTATCCCCTATCGTCAAACAGGATGTTACGGAACGCATCCAAGGGGACTATCCGGAAAGCAGTCACAGAGCTCGCCCAATACCCAAAACCAGGGGAGAAACTCCATGGCTTCACTCTCGTGCGCTCGAAACATGTCCCGGAGCTCGAATTGACAGCTTTACATCTGCAACATGACAAGACCGGCGCAGACTATTTGCATGTAGCCAGAGAAGACAAGAATAATGTCTTCTCTATCGGTTTCAAGACGAATCCGCCGGATGATACAGGAGTACCGCATATACTCGAGCATACAACACTATGTGGGAGCGAAAAGTAGCTAGCACTCTAACCCTTCCAAGGAGTCATGCTAAGTATGATTTTAGATATCCCATTCGTGACCCATTCTTCAAGATGTTACCGCGAACTCTCTCCAATTTCATGAACGCCTTCACTGCCTCGGACCATACTTTCTACCCTTTCGCCACCACCAACGAACAAGATTTCAAGAATTTGATGTCCGTATATCTCGATGCCACATTACACCCCCTTTTGAAGGAGAGTGATTTCACACAGGAGGGATGGAGGATTGGTCCTGAAAACCCCAAGGCTGCTGTAGAAGGAGACGCCGCAAAGCCAGAAGACAGTAAATTGGTATTCAAGGGCGTGGTATACAATGAGATGAAAGGGCAAATGTCGGATGCTGGATACCTCTATTACATCAAGTTCCAGGACCACATATTTCCAGCAATCAACAATTCAGGAGGAGACCCTCAAAAAATGACGGATTTAACATACAAGCAGCTAAAGAAGTTCCATGCTGAGCACTACCATCCGAGCAACGCCAAAGTTTTTACATATGGAGATATGCCATTGGCCGAACATTTAGAAGAAGTCAATGCTCAATTAAGTGCTTTCAACCGTATCCAAGGAGACTTCGAAATTCACCGCCCTATAGACCTTAGTGGCGGACCACAGAACGTTACAGTGGCGGGTCCAATAGATCCGTTGGTGGGCAAGGATATGCAGTACAAAACATCGACGTCTTGGCTGATGGGGGATACCACGAATGTTCTTGAAAACTTCTCCGTGGGCTTATTGTCTACCCTGTTGATGAACGGATACGGGTCGCCATTATATCAAAATCTGATTGAAGCTGGTCTGGGAACCGAATGGAGCCCTAACAGTGGATATGATGGTTCAGGAAGAATAGCAATTTTCTCAGTGGGACTCACTGGTGTCAAAGAGGCCGATGTTCCCAAAGTAAAAGAAGCTATTAGCAAGACTTTCCAAGAAGCTCACAAGAATGGATTTAACAAATCGAAAATTGATGGATATATGCATCAACTGGAGCTTGGCTTGAAGCACAAGACAGCTAAATTCGGCATGAATCTAATGCAAAGAATTAAGCCTCACTGGTTTGAAGGGGTAGACCCATTTGAGTCTTTGGCCTGGAATGATACCGTCTCGGCGTTTGAGGCAAAAATGGCTGAAGGAGGTTACTTGGAAGGACTGCTAGAGAAATATTTGTTGAACGACAATACCCTCACATTTACGATGACCCCATCAACAACCTACGCCGATGAACTAGTCCAAGAAGAAGCTACTAGGCTTGCGTCAAAGATCTCTGAAGTTACGAAGCAAGCAGGAGGCGAAGCAGAAGCCCGTGCACAGCTGGAGAAACGTGAATTGGAGCTCCTTGAAGAGCAAGGCAAATCCAATACCCAAGATCTCAGCTGCCTGCCGACCGTCTATGTCAAGGACATCCCTCGGCGAAATGTAATACACGAAGTGAGGGATTCAAAGCTTGGAGACGTGAGCGTTCAGTGGAGAGAAGCGCCGACAAATGGGCTCACCTATTTCCGAGCAATCAACACCTTTGAGAACCTGCCAGAAGAGCTCAGAGCTTACCTGCCACTGTTCTCGGATTCTATAATGCGCTTGGGGACAAGAGACATGTCAATGGAACAGCTTGAAGACCTTATTAAACTGAAGACAGGGGGGGTGAATACAGGATATTATGCCTCTCCATCTCCACATGATTTCAAATCATGTACAGAAGGAATAAGTTTCTCGGGAACAGCTCTGGATCGCAATGTGCCATTCATGTATGACTTAATCCGAAAGTTGACCCTCGAAACAGATTTCACGGATCCCTTGGCAGGGGCTCGAATCAGACAGCTCTTGCAAGGTTCTGCTGATGGTGCCGTGAACAGCATTGCATCTTCCGGACATGGCTATGCTCGAGGCTACGCCGAAGCAGGCCTCACAAACTACGGCCGAATACGAGAACAAATCAGCGGTCTATCCCAAGTCCAACTCATCACCCAGCTCTCGTCATTCACGGAAATGGCAGAGCTAGAAGATGTGATCGATAAGCTCGAACGCATCCAAGAATTCGCCCTCTCATCCTCCAGCACTTTCCGCGCAGCGATAACCTGCGGCGCCGAAAGTGTCGCCACCAACGAATCAGAACTCCAAAACTTCCTCTCCTCCATCCCCTCGAACAGGAATCCAGGATTCAAGGTCCCGGTCCCAGAACTCTCTCGCAACTCGAAAACCTTCTTCCCCCTCCCTTACCAAGTCTATTACGGCGCCCTCTCCCTCCCCACAGTCTCCTACACCTCACCAGCAGGCGCGCCCCTACAGATTCTCGCCCAACTTTTAACGCACAAACACCTGCACCACGAGATCCGCGAGAAAGGTGGAGCGTACGGTGGCGGTGCTTACGCGAAGGGGATCCAAGGCATTTTTGGCTTCTACTCGTACCGTGATCCGAACCCGCAAAATACGCTGAGCATTATGCAGAATGCGGGACAATGGGCTGTGGACAAGCAGTGGAGCGAGAGGGATATTGAAGAGGCGAAATTATCGGTATTCCAAAGCTTGGATGCACCAGAGAGTGTGTCCGAGGAGGGCATGAGTAGGTTCTTGAGTGGTGTTGATGAAGAGATGGAGCAGAGGAGGAGGGAGGAACTGCTTGATGTTACGGCGGACCAGGTGCGGAATGTGGCGCAGGAGTATGTGGTTGAGGGCTTGGAGAAGGGGAATGAGAGGATTGTGTTTTTGGGGGGAGAAGAAGGCGTGGGTTGACGAGTCGTGGCAGGAGAGGGAGTTGAAGGTCGCTGAGGGGGAAGTTGTTGAGGAGGAAGAGTGATCTGAGCCAAGCTTGTAAATTGGTGTACAGTATATATAAAACATGTATTCCACTCCTGTATATTAGATTATGATTACCATCACTCCAAACTAATGTCTCTCGAAATGAAGCTGTTAAGAACTTGTCTGGGAAGGAACGAAGTCTGCTCTGCTTTGTTTTGTTTTGTTTCCGTCTGATTGTACCATCTTTGTAGACTTTAGGTTATTTATTCCATAGACCTAAATGAGTAGCTATTACTACTACTACTTGCGCAGCAGTGTAAAGGGCAGGTAGGGCACGAGTAGGGGAGGACGGATGCAGGATAATTATCAAGTACCTACCGTGTTTCAATCCAACTCCCAAGGCTAACTGAGATGGAAGGAACAAAGACAGGAGAAAAGAAAGGGGGGGTTCCCTTGTATGCGATCTACAATTCAGCGGCCACTCTAACTAAGATATACGAGTAGTACATAAGCGAGCTGTTCCTACAGCCTTCCAAGTTCCCTCCTTTCCTCAAGTACCTAATATAGGTAAGATTCCATCGCATTTCTCTTTTCCGAATGCAATGTGTGGTATGCCAAGCTTCAGGATTCAATGCCAAGACACAAGACCAGCCCAGCTATGGCTAGTGCGGAGTAAAACCTAGCTTAAGTAATACGAGATATGTACTTGCCTTGCTTGCATCCTTCGCTCTTTTATGGAGTACTGTTTTATAAAACTTGATGGTAATAGGTAATCGACAACTCTCATCTACGGCAGAGTTACATAATAAACTCATCGGACTACGTTTCAGAGACCCGGCACCTCTTCGTGCGTGCAAGAGATCCCTTGCCTTGCCTGCCTTGCACGACACGAGTGTGGGATAATCACGGCTGGTTGTTCATTCGTTGCTCAAGTCTCGAGTAAGCACTGCATTGCAATGCGCTCTGCCGACATAACTCTATTTTGAGGCTCTGGTAGCCCCGGTGCCAAGATATAAGGTTGTGGACATTTTGGCACGAAGGATTAGAATTGAAAAGGAAGACCACACCACCTACTGTATCTGGCTGATCCTGCGATTCCGCCTTATCCTGTCAGCCAACGAGCGAGTCAGTGTGGGAATGGGATGGGATGTTTCCGTGTTGAGGTGCGGTCACGGCTGTGATTGGGTTAATTGGAGTATGAAGTATCGTACCGTACCGTACTGTTTCTTTGCATGACATGTACAAGGCCACCAGCCGGTAGGTCGAATGAAGGAAGGCTATGTATAGAATGGAGAATAGGGTAGGGAAGGATGGGTTGTGTTGTTTGTGTTGTGCTGATGGGGTGTAGGATTTCATGCTCGGGGAAATAAGTATTTCGATCTTCAACTCGAGCGGGATTGAGAAGTATTAAATGAGCTTGGTTCTTCACAGAGTAGAGGGAAAACTTTTTTTCTTCATCGACTCTCGCTTTCTCTCTTTGTTGTCCTGTCTTTCGTTTACTAGCAGTCAAGCATGCACCATCCACTCTCTTTTACCTCGTGCCTAGCGCTCCTCTTCTCCTCAGCCTCAGCTCTCCCTACCACCGAGACCACAGCTGCTCTCGGTCTGCATCGTCGCTGCGGAACAGTGTCCCAATTCTACGGCCAGACGGACGCAGATTGGCAGAGTCACAACACGGATGCTTGGCTGAGCACCTGGGTCAGCAACCACACGTCCGACATCAACGCCAACAGTCAAGGCTTCGCGGGGGCTTTCGGACAATGGGCTATTGGGAACCCGGACTGGTCATGCCGTGACGACGGGTCACCGAGTGACTGCGACTTGGATCCGTGCGACAATCGGGTATTGAACGACAAGGGAAATGATATTCGGAATGCGTACTATGTTGCTGAGAGTGTGAATCGCCTGCATTCGTATTTTATTGGGTTAAGCCAGTCTTTCGAAGTCAGCGCTATTGCTGCGGCGCTGAGCAAGGACTCGTGGGCTTTGACGTTTTATAAAGATAAAGATGATAAGAGTGCCACTGTTCTGAAAGAGATCCTGAATCTGGCGGCTACCATCGTTGGTATTGGCGCGTCTTTTGCAGGGCTGGTTGATCCGGTCCTGGGTGCCATGGCTGGAGCTGCCTCCTCTATCGTTGGGGGCGCTGTTGGTGCAGCAGGTCCATTAGTTGGTGCGCAGTAAGTGTAACATCCTCATTGCTTTCATGCTTGCACATGTTCTGACTAGCATCTCACAATAGCCAAGATGATACATTTCAGAAGTCTGCTGATCTAGGAGGCATCCTTGGTCAGATCGTCGTTGGCGCCATGAAATCCTTCACCTCAGCCAACAACGATCTCATGCACGGCTCTCAGTTCCAAGGAAGCGATATCACCGCCTACCTAAAGGGAGGCGCGTTCGTCGATTTCCCTGGGGTCGACAAGAATGCTGTTATCGACGTGATGAATAACTTCCTTGTCGGCAATGCCATCAACCTCCTCTGGCGCACCCAGAAGATCTTCATCATGGGCGGCGGAGCTTGCGGCGATGGCCAAGATATTGGTCAGGGACCACAGGGCTCCAGCGTTTGCCGTGATGGCAAAGCGTGGTACCTATACTATTGGCAAGAGAATGATGTGGTATCAACGACTTCCCATCAATGGGGCTGGGTTGCCATGCCACCTGGTGGCGATCAGCTCGGTCAAGGTGACTGGTCTGGCATCCAGATTGCAGTACGTCGAGCCCTCTCCTCTCCACCTCTCCATTCTCAATAGATAGACTAACAAACAACATAGGATGTAATAAACTCCTCTCTCGACGCCTACGCCGTCGCCGAATACAACTACAACTCCAGCACCGCCACGTCCCGCGCCGAAGCCGCCCTCTCCGGCGGCTGGCGCAACCCGGGCGCCCAAGGCGTTTCCTGGGAAGGTACCTTCACTATCCCCGTGTGCGACGTGAGCAACGCGATCGGCTCGGATTACTCCGACAAGGCGTATATCCTGCAGGATTACGGACATGATAGTCGGCCGGTCTGGTGCGGTCCGGTTTGTAGCGGGGATCTGGGGAAGACACAGAGGTTTATCAGCGCAGCGAATCTGGATGGGTTTAGTAGCCCGAAGCATTTATGTCAGGATGATCCGGGGTATTGAGAGATTAGTGGGGGGGTGTTGTGAAGTAAGGGCGGGCTGAAATTGGGTGGGGTGTTGGATTTGGCATGGTCATGGCTGCTCTTGGAAAGGGGGCTCTTTGCCTGATAATTAGATGGGTGATTATCATTTGAATTTGAATATGCTAATATAGTGCTATAAAACGAAGCATGTTTTAATAAGAATCGGCCCCGTATTTTCAATAGAATAGAATAAAACCAGATTCAAATGTTGATAGTAGTTTGTTTTGATACGAAAGGAGAGGGAGAAGAGGTCTGGGCTTCTCGATGATGACTAAGCGAGCCATAACCATTCCCTCTTTCTTAAATTTTCGCCTGACTGACAACTAAGCACCATACACGACCGGACCTGACTTGCCTGGAATCGAACAAAACGACGCGGATGGGAATATCTGAAGCGCTGTTGATTGTATACTGGGGCTAGAGAGCAGTACGGCGGTAGCTGATGGGTCGTCTGGCTGGCGTTCTGTCTGTGGTTTGACTTGACTTGGGCAGCGCACCAGGAGCACCAGGAGGTAGCGCAGCTTCGGCTGATAGATGCGATAGGTACCGCACCGTATGATCTGGCATACCTAGACAGGTACCTTGCCTTGGATAGGTAGGAATCATACTTAGGTATGCTTGCTGGCTTACCTTGTATGTCAGTGGTTAAGTAGGTTCGAGATATGTATTTTTTGTTTCAGTCCCTACCTTACCTACAAGGTGAACGACCACGCGCTACGAACAGATAACCACGTCTACAGTCCCCTTCAATGGCTGGCAGATCACAAGTCATGGCTTCACGAAGCCTAGCGCAAGAGCGATATCAGCCTTTTTTTCTCTAGCAAGTCATTCCCTGAGTAACCTGGCGTAAGGTACTTAGGTATCTTGGGTTGTGCGTTTCGAAGGGGTGGATTGGGATGAGAGATTGGCTGGCTGGCTCCGTCTTATTTCAGAGCTGTTGTCCTGGAGTTGTGGGATGGCGGACTAAAGATGTGAGGACATGATGTTTTGTGGGGTGGGTTGGGGATTGCGGATTGGGGGAAGAAGATGATGGTGGTGGTTGGGTATGGGTTCATGCTGTTGGATTCAGAAAGGGCGGGTGTGGAATTGGAGAAATTCCAGGGCAATGGTTAATGTGTGGAGTGAGACATTGACATTTCCCCATTTCCCCAGACGTGCTATAGCATATACTCACTCGTACTCGTCGTATTGAGGGGTTTGGTGAGACATTTTTCGATTTCGTGGATTGCTAGTCTTGTCACATGGTTGTTCTTACTCTAGAAATTTGCAGCCATTGGTAAGGTAGTAAACTGAATACATATTTAGATACTCTCTACCTATAGAGTCTAGACCAATATCTGGATTTTTGAAAGAGGCTTAATCGTCATGTGAACCAAAATGCAGGTACAGAGGGGGGATTTGAGGCATTTGTGTGTTGTTTCCAAATGCCAAGATTTCCCCTTTTTGACATTTCCATCAGGGGAAAGATGTTCAGTGTTAGAAGAGAGAAAGAGACTGTATTGCACATTTCCTTTGGTGCGTTATTTTCTTGCAATCCATGTTGCAGTCGTAGTTGCAAGGATTAGGCGGCTAAAGAGCTCTTGGCCCGAACCGTTCGTTGCCAAGTACGAGGAGCGATGACCACACATCTAAAAGCAAAAATTTCAAGCTCCCCCTCGCCTTCGTCTTCACTCGTCAACACAACACTCTTCCACACCTCGAAGTTCTACACACTTTTCCACCCCCTAGACGTCCCAGTCGTCGATACTCTGTATCTACAACAATACCAGAATCACGAATCTACCTAGTCTCTGCATTCAGCCGCTTGCCTCTGGTAAGTCCCACCCCTCCATCTGCCAGAAAAGGCGGTGTCATTGTCATACTGGACCCAGATCACCCTCGGTGTTTATACCCATCACGGCAACACGCACACAATTCGAACCCATACACATCTAACACATCCCCAATACAGATCCCCACGGATCCCTCAATAGCCCTCGACTGCCTTTGGTCTTCTCAAAGGCAAACATACCCACCACGGCTCCTGCGGCCGGAAGTCTAGTCTCTGATCAAGATTACTCTCTACGACCAAACAGGGACATCCTCAACACCCGCCCCCCTCCTCTTGCTGTTCACTTGGCAAATTGAGCGAATTCTGTTCGACTTGTCATACAACACCCCCGTTCCGTCCCCAACTTCTCAGCTGCCGCATAGGACGAGTTTACAGGTTCTTCCTCTCGCAGAGGAAGAGTCGAGCCGACCTCGTCAGATCAGTTCAGGATCTGATCGATACAGACCTCCCTAACACCCCTTTAGAGTATTAAGTATGTCTCGATCAATCTAGATCAATTGGATAATATCAAAGCTAACATGTGAAAGGCTTTTACCACAACACAAACCCCTCGTTCTTTTTCGAGGATATGTCATCTTCCGCCACAGAAACTCTTGTAACCACACCAACTCTCGATAGGTACTTTGAGAATTCAAAGTCCTCCTACATCGAGCTCAATGGCGTGAACACCCCCAAACAACTGATTGGAAATGCTCTGAAGGAAAGGGTCCAAAATATCGATCATGATATCTGCGAGCCCGGCGATGAAGACACTTTCTTCGTAGCTGATCTCGGCGAGGTTTATCGGCAGCATATGAGATGGAAGCTGAACCTCCCACGCGTCAAGCCCTTTTACGGTAAGATTCCTATTACATAGTAAAATTCCTCATGCTAAGACTTTGCAGCGGTCAAGTGTAACCCTGACCCCCAAGTAATCCGACTTCTATCGGAGCTTGGAACTGGCTTCGACTGTGCCTCCAAGGCCGAAATTGAGATGGTCCTCAAGGCAGGCATCGACCCAAGCCGTATCATCTATGCCCAGCCCTGCAAGACCAACTCCTACGTGCGCTATGCAGCCAACCAAGGCGTTAAGCAGATGACATTTGACAATACGGACGAGCTTCACAAGATCAAGAAGCTGTACCCAGGAGCCGAACTCTACCTCCGCATCTGCACCGACGACTCATCCAGCTTATGTCGCTTGAGTATGAAATTTGGCGCCGCAATGGACACTACAGAAGAGCTTCTTTCCCTAGCCAAGGAGTTGGGCCTCAACGTAGTAGGCGTTTCTTTCCACGTTGGATCTGGCGCCTCCGACCCCCTCGCATTCATGAACGCCGTCCGCGATGCCCGGACCGTCTTTGACCAAGCCGCAGACCACGGCTTCTCCCTCCACACCCTCGACGTTGGTGGTGGGTTCTGCAGTGAGACTTTCGAAGACATGGCTGCTGTTCTTAGCGCTGCCCTGGACAATTACATGCCATCCCATATCAACGTCATCGGTGAGCCGGGGCGTTACTACGTCTCTTCTGCGTTTACCATCGCATGCCACATCATCGCGCGCCGCACCATCACGCTCCCTGAGACTGGCATCAAGAGCTACATGCTGTACCTTAATGATGGTCTATACGGCAATTTCTCAAGCATCATATTCGATCATCAGAATCCCATTGCACATGTCCTGCAGACCGGAGCAAACCAACGCTTTCACTACAACGCGCTCTCTTCCCAACAATCTCACCACAATGAAAGCACTGAGTATTCTATCTGGGGCCCTACTTGTGATGGCATTGATCGTATCGCAGAAAGTGTGCGCTTTGATCATACACTTGATATGGGCGATTGGCTGTACTTTGAGGATATGGGAGCTTATACGAAGTGCAGTGCTACCCGATTCAATGGCTTTAGTGATGCGCATGATGTTGTGTATGTTTGTAGTGAGCCTGGGGCTAAGGCACTGCTGGGGATGAAATAAGCATGGGTGCAGGAGAGATGGTTATGGTGGTGGTGGGAGGACAAAAATACATTTTCATGATTATGGTTTTCAAGCAAGAAATGAAGGCAAAAAGAAATACATAGAGGATTTGTGCTTGGTTTATAGAATCACATTCTTTACGCTCGCTAATAGACGATATTTCAATCCCTCACTCTTTGACCAAGTGATGTTTTTATTCCATGCAGTCTATGAAATGCGTCCATGCTTATGCATACCTAGGTAGTTTTGGCGGTCGTTGAAAGCCATGTGTATCCTATTCCATCCCATCCCATCCCATGCAAAATCCGTATCCGACGCCGAGGTAATGCATGCTAATGCTAGACCTTAATGACAATCCCAATTCGTGAGTCTTCAGTTTAGTAAACACCTGGTAATTCCGTTCCCAAACTACCTCGTCTCATCGCGTCCTCCATCTTTCACATCCTCATCCGCATCCGCATTCTTGACCTTGACAGGATCCGGTACAGCGGTCCGGGTATACTTCCTCTTAGCCACCACGGGCTTCTCAATCTCCTCTTCTTCCTCTCCTTCCCCGTCCGTCTCGATCTCCAACCCCTCCGCCACACGAATCGGCAGATTCAACTCCGCATGCCAGGGCCGCGGCGGCGTGGGCTCAAGCGCCCTCCTCTTACACTCCAGCGTATCGAAAAGCTGCACCCCCGCATAACTATCACTCGCCGCATACCGGATCTGCTCGAGGTTCAGCGCGCGGCTCCAATCGCTGCTGCGCACCACGTCGCCTTTGTACATGGGCAGGTGCAGGTGCTCTTGCACTTGCGTGGCGAGCGAGACGAGTTTCTTGTTGATGAGCTTTTTGGAAGCGAGGTCGCGCGAGGACAGGGGCGAGTATTTTACTAGCTTGTAGAGGTGCGAGAGCTCGAAGAGGCCGCGCGGGTGGATGTCTAGGTGCGTGCGCAGGCGCGTGCAGTCGCTTTTTATGCTGACGCCTACTTTCGTGATGGTATCGTCTTCGAGGATGCGTTTTAGCGTTGGGGAGACGAGGGATGTGCCGGGGTACAGAGCGATGTGGAAGAGTGCTATGCGGGAAGACGAGGCGATTTGGATGAGCGAGACGTTTTGCTTGGGCCCGGAGTTGCGGTGGGCGGCTATTAGCCATTCGATGTCGAAGCCGATGAGGGGTTCGTTAAGGAAGTATGTTTGTAGGACGCGCTCCGTGGTGTGGAGGGATTTGCAGTAGTGGACTGTTACTTTTTGCGTTGGGGTCGTGGTATGTCGGTATAGGCTATGCGACCAGTATGATTCGGGGGCTCCAAGGGGTGCGTTTTTCGCGGCGCGGAAAAGTTCTTCTGTTGGTTTCCATTCGGAGGTTGAGGTTGGGATGAAGTTGTATTTTGGGTCTTGAGGGGGGAGGTCGGCGGGGAGAGGGGGGTAGGTGGTGGGGGTTTCGGTCTTCTCTTCAGGCAGTGCTCGAGATGTCGTTTGCAAGGGACCTAGTATATAGTTTTCTTCGATTTTTGAGTGTAGCATGAGATCCTGCTCTATTTCTACTGCGGCTGTGGTGTTCATTCGAGGTGTGTCAGGTCCTGGACTGAATCGGATGCCGTGGCTTGGATGCCATGTCTTTGGCTGAGGGGGTTTTGGACGACCTGAAGTCGGAACCTTAGGGCTACTTGGATCATATTAGTCTCTGCTTCCCTTTCAACTACATAACAGGAACAAAGTACTTACGAAGTAGCCATGCTGGCGCGAGTTGACCTCTCGCCTGAAGTCATAAACGGATTCCTCAAAGCACTCTCGCCACTCATTCGGTAAACAATCGGTCGAAGTGTCTTGCCCAACGTTGATGCTCCATGATGGCAAAGGAGCATGACGCGAGCAATACACGCATATAGATAAATAGGCTGGGTGGGAGAGGCGTGTGTTGATTTTAGGTGAGAGCTTTAGAGGTAGACGCGCCACGGTTGTCCAGTCCAGCTAGTGCAAACCGAGCAAAGTGTGAACGCCAAGACCTTTTGGGTTGATATCACGAGAATTACAACAATATCGAGGCCTCTGTATCTGTGATCAACAACACGAAAGATAGCGATACTTGATCTTGATACTGTTTGTATTGGAGAGCGAGCCTTATTCCACAACCTGTGAGTATTTAAGATTCTCTTTGTACTCTTAATATCAACCCTCACGTGCCCCGCCTCGAAAGTTGCCTCAAGCTTCTTACAGCCATCTGAGTCTCGCTGAGCAGAAGACTCTCTCAAGGCCAAAGCCCACCAACGAAACACTCTTCTGATCTGATATCTCATTTCTAGCCTCGCCGCTTCCTCTTCACCATGACATCTCAACTACTTCCCCTCGGTTCGTCACCCTAAACCCTTGCTAAAGCTCTCTCATCTCCTCTGACTTCCAATTCTAGAGCTGATTGACAAATGCGTGGGATCCAAGATCTGGGTTGTTATGAAGGGTGAAAAGGGTATGCGTTCTCGTAACCTACTTCAAAACCATCAAGTCTGTAGACTGACACGGATTGGATGAACAGAATTCAGTGGTACGCTCATGGGTTTCGACGACTACGTCAGTAAGTACACGCAACTCCTCGCTCTTGCCCACATATTCTAATCAAAATATAGACATGGTTCTTGAAGATGTCACCGAGTTGTATGTTACTTTCTATACTCTCGTGTGTGTTGTGTTGGATGCTGATAGACCTCGTAGCGATTATTCTGGAAACCACACCAAGCTGTCAAAGATCCTGCTTAATGGAAACAACATCTGCATGGTACGTCTGATCTTAACCTCTGAATACAATCACTGACTTGGACCAGTTAATACCTGGTGGAGAAGGTCCTGTGGCGTCTGCTTCATGATGATGGGATGCCGAAATAAGGGTCTTGGGAACTTTACAGAAATGAAAGGGATGCAATAGGTATCTATCATACTACGCCGAATTAAATCCAAAGTCTTGACCCAAAACCTGACCCAATAGCGTTTCCTCGCCTCTTTACCTGGGCCTTTACGCTTCCTGTGTTCCTTCAAGATCATCATACCTATCCCTCCAGTGAGGGAACCCCACCTCCTCCTTCCCAGCAAAAACAACGCATACCACCATACCATACCATACCATACCATACCATTCCATTCCATTGCACTCCATTACAACCACCTATTTCCCAATCAACCACATCCTTTCTCCTTCCTTCCATCAATCAAGCACAAACACACCCCCACATCCACCCCCAAAACCCCGCCGAAACCACCCTGAACACCCCAACCATCATATCATAACCCGCGAACCAAAGCACAAAAAACATGCCCGCAAGCCCCAGCATACAACCACCCACCAGATCCTCCGCCCTACACGGCGACTCCCTCGTTATCCCGTGTCGAGGGGTACCTATACAAGTACGCAGCGCGCGAGGTCCTAGATCGCGCTGCCTTGCTCGACATTCTTTTGTTCCTTTTTTGCGTCTTCTTCTTCTGGAATCGGGGTTATGCGGGACGTGAAGCGCTTTGGTAATGATGATGATGATGATGATGATGATGAGGCCATGGCTATTAATGCCGATAGTTCGGGTTTGCATTGTCGCGGAGGCACATCATCGTCTTGCGGCGAGACTTGAATCCATTGCTCTCGTCTGTGCCTCCGTGAGCAATGATAGTTGCGATTTAGATTCAACTTGTGTCTCCTTTCCTAGCATTATCTGCCTATCTGTCTGTTGTTAATCCGTGAGGTGAACCTGAAGTGTGAAGGGTGGATTTCTGTTTGGCGATGATGCTTGTTCTTGCGGAGTTGGAGTAGGTAGCGTTGCGGATTCATTTTCGGGTTGGTGGGCATTCATTCACTTGGATAGATGGTGGGATGGTTCTTTCAGCCGTGTACCAGGTGGCCTGTCTTTGTCCTGTGTCTTGTTCAATCATGTTTGTATGCCCTGTGCTGCCTTACATCGCCTTCGGGAGAGCAAGTAGAATGGGTATGTGGCTTCTGGAATTGGGATTTGGAAGTTGTGGTATGTGAAATTGGGGATGCAGGCCATACCTATACATAATCGATGTGGTCGATGGGTAGAACGATGAGTATGGGGCAGGGGTTATTAAGTGTGTAAGATCAATATTATTATTGTAATAGTAACATGGCCCGCCCTTGCGGTACCGTTATAAGACCTTAAACGCCAGAAGTATCTAGACCTCTGAACTCCTGTCCATCCATGTGACCCCTCATTTGTCATGACGTCGTGTTTGCATATTATGTACATGAGGTAACCTAACCAAAATCCCAAAGTAAACGCCTCAATTCATCGAAAAATGAATTGTAGTACGCCGAATACATGATATATGTAAACATAAATAATATGAGAAGAAAAGAGAAGATTTGTTGCACACCTTCGAAGTACCATACCCATATGTATAAGAAAAAAACATTGACATAGAAATAGAAGAGAATTAAAAGAGATCAAGAAAACTACTAAGTCATTGAGAGAAAGGGAAAGGTACAAAATCGGGACCAGCAAAAGCCTGGTCGTCGAAACTTTGAGGAACAGAATCATAAAACGCCATTGCGTCGTTTGTGAGATCGGGAGAGAAATTATGAAAGCTGTTTTGACTATACATTGACGTATCAATGCATGAACTCTGCTGTGAAGGGAGACTGAGAGGCATGTTTTGCATGCTGTAGATGTCGTTGGGTGTTGAAGGATACATATTGTGTATCGGCGAAGAGTTAGCGATGAACGTGTCGTTGAAGTTGTTGCTTCCGAGCTGTGGCGATATGGTTGAGGACTGGAAGACTTGATCATCGAAGTTACTTTCGTTCTCGTTCGTCTCGTCATCGGAGATGTCGGCCTCGTCTTGTTGAGATTGTGACTGAGAGTAATCGGTTGCCGGCTCCTCCACTTCCCTCATCCAATGCTTCAACTCAGACATTGGCGGCCAGTCCCCTCCACCCTTGCCACCTCGCTTCTCCCCATCATCACCCTTGGAGGTCTTGCGAGCCCCCTTTGCCTTTGGCTTGAAATGGGTACGTCGAAGATGCGCTGCGGCGTTGTAATATGCCCCGTACTTCTTCCTCTGCACCCCACACGCCTTGCATTTCGACAATGGGAGCTCGGGCTTGGCATGACCATGACCCGTAGGCTCGATGCATACCCATTTTTTGACCAACAGCTTGTGTTCTCGGTCTTGATGTCTCCTCAACTCATGCTCGCCGCGAAACCCGTCAGGGTGATTATCGCACTGTTTGCATAAGACTCGCTCATGCTTTGGACGCTGATAAGTAGGCTTCGAGATAGCAACTTTGTCATGGGACCCGTCTTTTGATTCGAGGCGACTCATCGATTGTGATGAGTTTGCTCGCGATATTGAGTCTTCATCGCTGCCACCTTTAGGCATGATCGGTCGAGCGGCGGCAAGACTAGCTTGCAGCCGCTGTTTGTTTCGAGAAGCAGATGACGCGTTCGAAGAAATACTTTCATTCGATTGAGATTTTTCCATCTTCTCACCAAAACCAGAAGATGCAAAAGCTTCTGCAGAAGAAAAGGAATGTGAAAATTGAGAATCATGACTAGCACCAGCCCCAACGAGAAGTTGAGATTGCTCTTCGTTCGATGAACGACGATTATGACTAGAAGATGCAAAATGAGGATTGAACTGATCATACATAATTTGATCGGGGGAATTGACATCTGAAGAATAAGAATTGTTCGAATTGAACTTCATCATTTGAAAACTTTCGAGCACAGGCTCGTTGCACAGACTATTCTGTCGACTCATACTACTTGAAAGTGTAGTTGCCGTAGTAAGCGAATCGGTTGTAGGAGTCGAGGGTGTTGCGGTGTTAAAAGAGGTTGTCGATAGCCGATCATTCAGTGTGCATGAGGGTGTTGAGAATGGCGGTGATAGTGAGAGTGTCGGAGGACCCATCGTGCGTGCAAGGAAGTCGAGGGGATTCTCTCCGACTTGGTCCAGTTCTGGGACTTGCTCGAGTTCATAATTTCGTTCGGATGGTGACCTTTGCAGAGGAGCTGATGGGTGAGAGCGGAAGGTGTAGGAGGGGTCCTTCATCCAAGTCTCCATAGAAGGGTTCTCTCGAGGCTCGGAGCGAAGTGGTGGAGGCATTGCACCATTCTGAGTGAAAGGCATGTTGCCGCTTCGAGACGACGATGTACCCTTCGAGTTCGTTCGGGCCATGGGAGGTGCTGACCGCTGGGAGAGTGTCCGTCGCTGAGATGGTGCTTCGATTCGATCCTAGTTGTCATTAGAGCCAGTAGAGAAAAGACCAGAGGGTTGTCCTACAGAAGAGAGATGCCGGGCCATGGTAGCACCAGTGGAAGACATGCTTCTGGGGACATTGCTGTTTCGGCGATGGTGTTTCTGTACTCGGTTTTGCGGTTGATATGATGAGGGAGTAGGAGCGCTTGAGGAGAGGGCAGCAATCTCGGCATCAAGGGCGGCCTGGGTGGCAGCTTGCCTGCTTTGGAGTTGTTGAATTCGTCGAAGTCGCTGGTCCGCTTCGAAGGAGGTGTTTATCCTTAGGTCGGCCGACATGATGGGCAGCTATGGTTTGAGTAGTTTGTATAGGGAGGTTATTGAGAAGTTGCCTCGAAGCTCGACGACGATCAATCTGTAACGTCTACAGCCTTACAATATCAGCGAACGAGTTCTTGCTGCCCATAGGACGGATCGTGGGATCGACAACTCACTGCTAGTCTCCGCTATTGCACAAACAATGAAGGTGATGATAGTTCACTCTGATGTTTGAATAACAAGTAATGAACGCTGATGCTTGCATTCAAAAAGTAGGGCGAAGGAAGAGAAAGGATGGATGGAGGAGGGAACAAACTTGATATTTCACAACTGGCGGAAAGCCAAAGGTCATTCTGGGGCTCTATTGAAATTCGGTGTCGATCGGCTGGGTGAGCTGGGAAGAGGCTTGCAGCGGTGGAGAGATGGCGCGCGGAGAGTGGTGAAGCATGACGAGAGTGGATGAGAGTGGATGAGAGTGGATGCCGCGATGCTTCTCGATGCATGCTAGGAGCTCTCACTAGGATGGGATAGGGCACTTGGCATCTTCCCTTGCAGTCCGCGATCTAGTGAAGCCTTCCGCGTTCCTAGTGGATGAAAACTGGCAGCAACCCTGTATGGGGTTTCTACTGGCTGGCTCCAGGCTCTTGGGCGTCACCCTTCAGGGCATTTGAACCTATCGTGCCCCTCCATCTAGGCTGCCATTCAGTAGATTATCACCCAATTCCATACCGTCCGGGCGCACCCACCCTGCATGTGGTGGTGCAGTGAAGGACAACACGCAGCCATGGGAAGAGTGATGGGAAAAGTGACCCTGTCCATGCAAAGCTACCCAGCCTATTCCAAACTTGATAAGTGAAGCAGCGAATCACACCGCACGCTCTCTCTAGTGGTCTGTACGGTTCGCTCCGGTTGGTACCACGGTACCACCAACCGCACTGCTCTAACTGCCACCAAAGCAAAGTGAGGCAGACACGTCGTCCGCGAGTCCGCCTCACCGAATTTCGCGATTCTGATTGATCGCCGCCAGATTTTCGACAAGTGGAAGGATCCCAACTCGTATCCACCGTCCAGTAAGCCGTACCACGTCGAGGAAGTGGAACTTTGGAAGTCGTTGGCAAACTCAAACAGCCCAACGTTGAGCTCTGCAATAATGAGTCTGCATAAAGGAGTAAGGCATAATCTAGTCACGTCCACAGCAAGCACCTCTCTAACTGGCTCAACCGCATGCTGGAAGTCCTTCCGCACTCAACGACTTTCCAGTATCACCAACCACGGCTTGACGTTCTACACCACCGACTCCAGACTCGAATAGCATTCTGAGAAACTTTTCTTTTTGGAAGACGGGCGTACTGAAGGTGCAGGTCGCATTTGAGGCATTAATTCAAGGCAGTCAGACGGCTTTAAGGTCGCCGAGAGCTTGCCTGACCTCGTCTTACGAAGTTACGGCCTAGATTCTCTCTCTTGATGCCCGATGCTTTTTCAACACCCGGCTCGACTTGAGAGACGCCGTGAAAAAGAGTTGAAACTTCAATCTCAATCAAAAATCATTTTGAAACAAAGACTTTGCGGAATCAAACAATTTAATGGGAAAAGCAATGCCTAATGCTTGGGAGATTCTAGTCGATATCTAGCCTTACTTCTGAATCACGTGATTGATCTATGAATCGCCAGGAATGAGTGCTTTTCCGCTCCGCGCTCACATGGCTGATAAGCACGGCGGAGGGTAGCGGAGCGGATATCTAAGATGACAGATGAACAACATCTCATCTTACCAACGTCCATTGGGATCTTGCTATCAGTCCCCTCCTCCATTTCGCATATTCCATATGGCAAAATGCATCTGATTAATGGAGCCCTTTTGGCATCAATTCCAATAGTTCTGGCGAGTCAGACTGTGTTCAGTGTGCACGATGATATTCTTGCTTTCCCACAAGTAAGTAGCTCTTGATCATCCTTTGCGCCGGACTGACACTTCTTCAGTATGAAGTTATCTTTTCTGATTCCTTCATCTCAGATGCAGCTGCAAACCACATAATCGAGCAAGCTTCCTCGTCAATCCAGGAGCCTCCTCCAAGCTCGAATACAAAGAGCATCGAGCCCAGCGGTGCCCCCCATACGCACCATGATAAACCGTTCGACCCCACCTACGAAAGTTACGAATTAATGTACTTGAATGGGGAACAACATCTTTGCACGATTCCCATTGTTAAATCACCGCCCAGGAACGAAACTTCGGAAGCGGAAGCCCGCGCGGCCGAGCAAAAAGAGTTGGCGCGCGCCACAGACCGAGGTTGGGAACTCCTCCAAGAGCTGGAGGGAAATTGTCTCTATTATATTTCGGGATGGTGGTCATATGCCTTTTGCTACAATGCAGATATAACGCAATTCCACCAGCTTCCACCTCAGCCGGGTAAACCGCCAGTGCCACCACTCAGAGACCCAAATACCATGGAATTTGTGCTTGGTAGAGCTAGGGGAGGTGGCATGAAAGCAGCTGAATGGGAAAACCAGTTAGACCCTCCAAAGGGTCAAAAGAACCAGCCGCCGAACACAGAGTTACAGGTCAAGGGCGACACGCGATATTTGGTACAGAAGATGGAAGGGGGCACGACATGCGATCTGACTGGTAAGCCAAGAAGAGTCGAGGTCCAATTCCACTGCAACCCACACGTCACGGATCGGATTGGCTATATCAAGGAGGTAACAACATGCTCTTACCTTATGGTTGTTTACACACCACGTCTGTGTAACGATGTGGCATTCATGCCACCGAAAGACAACAAAGCACACCCTATCACGTGTCGGGTCATAGTTCCAGAAGATGAGATTGATTACCGGTTGCAATTAAAGACACTAGAAGCTGAGCTTGAGACTGCTGGGCAGAAGAAAGAGACGAAAATCAACGTCGGCGGAGTCGTTGTCGGAGGTGGCCAATGGATGAATAATGAAGGCGCCCGTATGCCAATACCCCCGAATTTTGGGAAGGAGCCCCTTGGTAGCCACACTGAGATTATTGCCAGGGCGAAGAGCAAGGCCGAGGGCGGACAGGTTGAGATGGCAAGTGATGCAGAATTAGCAAAGCTGGATTTGGAGCCGGAGATGGTGGACCAGCTACGAAAGGAAGTGCAGAAGATGGCGAAGGAAAAAGGTTGGAAGATCGAAGTTGTCGATGCCCCTGGAGAGGTTAGGGAAATTTTGGGAATCGTGGATAATGACGAAAAAGATGACGACACTACGCCTGAAGCTGTAGAGACCAAGGCCGAGGGCGATGAGGGCAGCGAAGAGGTCTATAAGGATGAGCTATAGGTCTATTATTTTGCTAAGTCGCTATTGTACATTTATACCCGTTTCTCAGAAGCTACTGCAATGAGCGTCTGTCTCGGATTCCTCCTTTCCCACTGATGGTCCTTTGCTTCGAATTCTGCATTTCTCTGTCTTCGAAACATTCAAGATATAACCACTCCAGCACAAACACTTTTATGGAAATACATTACCCGCATCTTTGTGGGACAATGCAATATGCAATGATCTCTCCATTTCTCCATTTGCAAGCGCTGCAGTTATCATTATTGGCTGTCCATTAAACTACAGAGCGTTATTCACATATTTTTTCCATTCACCCCTTCTTTAGCACCTTTGTTGACCTATTAAGTGCTACCTCGCACCTGAAAAGGAGAATGGCACTTAACCAATTATGGCCACGAAATCTATTGACACCCCGGATTCACAGCCTTACGGTGGCTCAGTCCACCACGTGCAATCATCATCTTACAGTATTTTTGTCACCCATGCTTTCTTTTGACAGCTAGACTCAAGCTGCGAACACTGCGTTTACTCTCCGTCACATCTCAACAAACCTGCTTTCCCTTGGCTTCGAGGCTATTGAGCAATGTATCTTGCGATATGCAGCTTCCTGCTGCTGATACTAGGAACTGTCGCCCTCGAAACGCCACAACCTCTCGGAACTTGGACAACTTCACCAACATTTTCTTTCAAAGAACCCGCCACGTTTGGCTGGAAGGATGACGGCGGTGAATTATTGCTGATGGAATTGCGCGTAACTGAACTTCCAGACTTCAATCAATCGATACGTTTACCTCGTAAGGGACCCACTCCGCTCCAGTGGGAGATATGCTGATTCAAGTTGCGACCATCAACAGTGGCGGATTCCCAATGTTTTTATCAGGCATTCAAGCCCGACTGCCCATAGTGGGTAAACAATGGTTCGTTCACGTTCGGCGGCTCTTATGCGCAGGGACTGAACACATCCACTAAATATCAGTTTAACCTTACTTGGATATCCAGGGATCTGAAAACGTCGTCAAGTACATTTTCGAATGTGTTTTATATTGTTGATCCTATCATTTCAAGTTCAATGACATCCACATCATCCAGCACCGCTACTACCAGTCTTTCAACAATGTCATCTGGAAACTCAGTCTCGGAAAGCGCCTCTTCCACTAGCATAGCAGCGCATTCCCAGCCCACAACGTCTACCGCCATCTTAGAAAGTCCATCACCAGCACGAAGCAAGGGCCTTTCAACAGGTGCCAAAGCAGGCATCGGCATTGGTGCAGCAATAGGGGTGTGCCTAGTTCTCCTTGGTGCCCTTTTACTCTGTCGACGTTGCCGTACGCGGAAAACTATAACACTTCCCAGAGCACTGGACGCGGCATATGATCGGTATAACATACCTGTCGAGTCCAAATCTGAGGGACTCGATAGGTCGTCTCCTTTACCTTCGGATCAAGCAACAGCAGCAACGAGCCACTACGAAAGAGAACTGACGCTTCCCGGTACACCGCTAAGAGGAAACAATTCCCCTCCACCTCCTTCCCCACGTGAGCACTGGACGCCGAGATCAGATGTTATAAACAAGGGAGAAGATACCTTCGCATTGGATCTTGAAGCTGATGAGAGTCAAATGACGCCAGAACAATTACAACAGTGGGAATATGAAGAGAGGATGATAGACCAGGCAATTGAGGAGAGTGAACGGAAGGAGATGTTGAAGATAAAGAGGGAAGAATTGCAGAATGGGATTAATGCGTTGAAGGGTGGGTCTATGTCATAAAGTGAGGTACCCGAAACCTAAGACTAACGAGCTTCTTATAAATCCAACTGTTCTTGTCCAATCCCTCCCGCCATCTACAGCCAATGCGTGATAAGGCAAGATCGATCACTGTCGTGCTACCTCGAGAGTTCTCAAGCTGTGGTGGAACGATATTACCCTCTTGCAGTCATAATTGGGATTACTCAACATTACCCTGATCCCCTCCCCATTTATACACTAACTTCATACCTGGGATTGTTGTCGTCTGAGAGCTGTTTTTTAAATGTACGCAACGTATCAACATGATTACTTTACGCTTACAGATCATGTATTATCAATCTCTCAGATCCAATGCAATTCATGGTCTCGGATCTTGTAGAACGGAAGTCGCTATGAGGGTCACTGACGTCTTATGACTATCATGCAAGGATTGCCGACATATATATTTAGATGCCATGTCTGATTAGTATCAGAAATGAAGTATATATAAAACAGTAGCGCGCGCTTCAAAGTGTCTTCTTTGATATCAAGCACTCCAATCTACTTTCAGAAGCCGGCAGAGTTCCTTTGCAACCAAGTCCAAAACGCTATTCTCTTCGACCTCTCAACCTGCATATAGATTTCAGGTTCACCAAACATGGCTTCTGCAAAGACTCAAAAGGCCCTCTTTGTTACCGAATTGGGCAAGCCAGTAACGGCAGGCACTCGCGAACTCCCAGCCCTGGGTCCTCATAAAAGTAACTACAACTCAACGCCAGTATTCTCCCATCCCCAGAGCTCCAGCCAATCTCCGATCAAAAGCCCAGTCCTTCCCCACGATACGTATGGCCGCGACGTGGGACTCTTCTTCGCAGACCACCTCCCCTACGTCTTAGGTTCCAACATCGCCGGCACAGTACAATCACCCAACCCTGCATACAGCCTCGGGACACACATCTACGGTCCCGGCAACCCTCTATCCTCAGTACCAAACTACTCCGGGGTACAAGAGTACACACCCCTCACTGTCTCGAATTCTGCTCCCATCCCAGAGGGTATCAGAGATGAGGGAGCAGCCACGTTACCGATTAATGAAGTGTTGTTCCACCCCAATCATATTGCCCTTTCTCCTCCTTGGTCCCAGGAAGCTGCGAGCTTTGAATACAGCAAAGGGACGCTGGTGGACTATTTGCCAATTTCTCGAACACCGTAGTTGGCCCCTTTCATTCGACCGAAGTGCACTGTTGCAATGCAAGATTATGTGAATGATCCCTTAACACTTTGCAAGCCGCCTTGAAACATGACATCTTCCTGTTGCTGTCACTGAGATTTTTTAACTATTCGTGGTGAAGAATGCCTCGGGTTCGTCATCAGAACTAAAGTTGTTTGTTTCAAGTAAGTCGATACCATCTCTTGTTGTGTGAACGTTTTAATGACATCGCTCTCGGGATGAAACCGAACCTCTAGCATATTTCTTGTTCCATCGATGCTTTCATTGACTAAAAGGCCAACGAGTTCGTAAGGAAGAAGATTTCTGATCATATTCTCGAGCTCGAAGTCAGCACTAACTTTATGAGAAGGCAGATTCAACCTTTTTGGACCCGGGTACAAGATTGCCGGGTATCGCTCAGCTACGTTTGATTTTCTGGGCGATTCGAAATTTGTGAGGCTAGATTTCAAACCTTGGAAAAGTCTTAACTAAGAATTGTTCTTGGCCTGGAGTTATCATTTGGGATCTGGGAAATATATTTATAGTTCCTCCGACGTCCTGCCGATTGGCTCTCCTCTAGTCTGGCCACATCACGTGATATCTTTACGAGTAATTAAGCACTTGCTGCTGAAGGCACGGATTCTTTTTCTTTTTCTTTTTCTTTTCTTTTGCTAGGTATTCTTGAAATTCTGAACCTAGCGGTTTCAGTCAAGTACAACAATTACAGACTTTCAATCAGCGCAAATAACCGCGAATTTATAATCCAATAGAAGATGAAGTCCTCTTTGCACAGAAATTGGCCCCCACTTGTATTTCTATCCTTGTGGATATTGATTGCAGCTCATTTGATCATCCAGCTCATGATGCACTTTTTTGCTTTAGTAGTTCGTCAAAGTTCAAAACTGCTTTACCCAGCGTGAGTGCGCCCTCGGCACAGTCTTCTTTGCTGCTCCACTCTTTTGCGGAATGCGAGATACCATCCTTCGCTCTCACAAAGACCATCGCTGTGGGCACCTTCAAAGTTGTCATTGTGCTATCATGCCCAGTGCCAGTCCTTGATCCTATCCCCTTGTCCCCACAAGCGCGTTTTACACTGATATAAGTTAGTGAGAACTTTCGATTAAGATGAAGTGAAGTTTCGTTCGGGAAACAGCTATAGCTGGAACACTTACCAGTCGACCGCTTCAGGCCAAAAATTTGCTGGAAGGAGATGTATGTCCCGATTAAGATCATACTCCAAGCCTCGCATTTCTGCAATACTCTTGATTCTTTTGACAATCTCTTCCCCCATCTCTTCTAGGCCTTCCGTTTCTTTATGCATCAAACAGAAAACAACTTTCGTTTTCGATTGAATGTTGCAACTTCCGAAAGGATGGCTATGGATTCCAGTCGTGGTTGTATATCCATGCTTCTCATAGGCAAGGTTTTCGAGCTCAGTAATCAACTTTGCGGATGCAGCGAGAGTATCTCTACGACCCCACATCGGCTTGGTATTGGCGTGACCATCGTCGCCATGAAAGACAACATTGTACCAAGTCATACCTTTGAAGTGTTAGTCAAGGCAAGCACGAGCTTCCAGGTTCCTTACCTTGCCATCCTTCCACCCAGCCCACGGGCTTATTTGCTTTTTCAAGATCGGTATGCTGCTCCACGTGGATCTCAAAGTGAGCAGAGATAGGATAATCGTCAAAGTAATTAGGCCCATCACCGACGTATCCAATTTTTGCTAGTTCGCTACCCAGGGTGAGAGCAGAGTTATCAGTTGAAATTGATGCGTGTGCTTGTTCGACACTAGACTGCCCAGCGTACACAGCAGACGAGCCAAGTAGTGGAAAAAATCGAGCACCTTCTTCGTTTGTCCACTAGGTGACGGGGGTGTTAGTTATTTACTATTCAAGACGGTTTTAGGAGTAGAAGGAGCTTATATTTTCAATTTATGGTATTTATAAGAGGATATAAAGCATATAAGACGAAATATAATAGAAGGGAGTAGGGTGAAATCAAAGAGCCAATTATCCTTACATTTATGAGGACTAGTGGAGCGTTTGTTTTCACATTTTGTTCTCTCATGCTTCGCAAGACTTCAAGACCGCCAATGACCTAATACTAGTCAGCAATTTGAGGTATGAGCAGTATATCCCATGAGATTTACCCCAAGCGGTCCATCAAACCTTCCTCCAGTTGCTACGGTATCCAAGTGACTTCCCATAGCAATTGGTGGGATTGAGTTATCCTCTCCTTCGAAATGAGCGAATTGAGTTCCTGTGGCATTTACCTGCGCCGCTTTTAGCCCTGGCCCATAGCTGCTCGTTGCAGTACTTTCATCTGTAACACACCTTATAGCTTGCTCCCAGAGCAAGAACCTGTTCTCGAAACCAATCTCGGACCTTCTTGTCGTTTTCATCTGCACAGAGACGAGTAACACCTCCCGGGGATGGGGCACTCCATTTTGCCGTTTCATGAATGTCATTCTGTGTTGTTCAATGAGCCGAACCTTCTTATCCCAACTGAAAGAGCCTTACCCATAATCTGTCTCCATTGATGCTGAACCTGGTGGCACTGGGAGCACAGGATGAGTAGGCACGCTTAGCGATAGATTGCGTAGCACGTCTAAAAGCTATCATTTTGAAGGTTGTTGTGGTGGTTAGCAGGAGTTTCGTGATTTTTAACGAATTCAGAAGATCAGTTTATGGTGGTAATATGTGAAACGCTGCCAAATTCTGTCTAAAACCATCATTTACTATTGTTTTTATAGGTGTCTCTCATCGCAAAAGGATTCATAGTATCCGAGAAGGAATACAGTGGCTCCTTATCGTCAAGAGTGGACTTTGCCACTACGTGGGATCTGTAAAACTCCAATTAAGAAGTGATTGCAGAGTATCTGGGGGCCCATGGTGTTGTGAGACGCATCTCACTAGTACGTGATGAGCAAAGATCCGCACCCCATCCTCAGACGTCGAGTACCTGCTCCTGCGTTGTTCGCTATGTTACCAGCCAATCCCACCTTATGCTGACTCCTTGGAAATAACACGGCCATAATATTTATTCTTGCGTAACATATATCCTTCTCCGGTTCCTTATCTGGTTATCATGTTCGATCCATAGAGTATCGCAGGGTACACCAAGTACCTGCATTGCTTCCAAGATCGCTAACCACCATTCTATACCTACTCCTCGCGATAACATCAATTCTTGCGCATATCCTATCTCTAAATGGAAAGGCAACCCGAATTGTTATCTGTCTATCATGTTCGATCGCTGCGGAGTGGACGTTCATAAGGCACAGTTCAAAACAATAGAGATGCCTCGTATCGTCATGATAAAGCTATGCAGCTTATTAGCGCCGGGCAAGTTATCTTGCACTTCTCTACTTAAGACCTTACGTCTGAGGTTCAATGAATACGCAAATTTATGGCGAATAGCAAGCAAAATATTCCACAGCCGAGCAGACGACGAGACGTCCGTACATAAACCCTGGTAAACGGGTCTGTTCCTGAGAACTACCTCCTCTTGACTATCTATAAGCTTTTGCAGCATCGATAATCATGTCTTCCGGGCACGCCTTGCCAATTCTGCCAGTCGGCGCCGGTTATGGCGTTGTTGTTGGCATCGGGGTATGTTGGAATCAACGTTTGCATATTATAGAATTTAGGTTAATATCGCATAGTTCTTCTTTGCTATTGTCATGGCTGGTCTGTCATACATTCAGGTAAGGCACCATCTTATGGTAGCCGACAGAATCTAATCGAAATGCAGAACAAATACACAAAGTATTCTACGCAGGCCAGCGAGGAATTCAACACTGCAAGCCGGTCCATCAAATCAGGGTTGATAGCTGCTGGCATAGTTTCAGCATGGACATGGGCTGCGACACTACTGCAGAGTAGTACAGTGGCTTATGAGTATGGTATCTCTGGGCCGTTCTGGTGTCAGTAGACTATCTCAATAGAGAAGTATAAGCTAATGACTAGGTATAGATGCTGCAGGAGCCACCGTCCAGATATTCATGTTTGCAGTGCTAGCCTGCAAAGTGAAGCAAAATGCTCCGAGATGCCATACCTTCCTCGAAATTATCCAGAAACGCTATGGCACCGCGACGCACATTGTTTTTATATTCTTTGCGCTTCTTACGAACGTCCTAGTTGCTAGCCAACTTCTACTTGGTGGGAGTGCTGTTGTGACGGCTCTTACGGGAATGAACGTCTATGCTGCAGTGTTTCTCATTCCACTAGGTGTTTGTGTATATGTTGTTCTCGGTGGATTGAGAGCAACCTTCCTATGTAAGTGTATTTTATCCACTCATAGCTATATACATATTAACGCTCTATACCAGGTGATTATACGCACACTTTTATCGTCATGATCATTATTCTTTACTTCATGTTCTCGGTGTATACCTCGAATGCTCTTATCGGATCACCCTCTGCTATGTTTGATCTATTAAAGAAAGCATCCATCGCACGACCAGTCAAGGGCAATCAGGACGGCTCTTATCTTACTTTGAAGTCCAACTATGGGCTCATTTTTGGAGTAATTCAACTATGTTCGGGAATGGGAACTGTATTCCTCGACCAAGGCTATTGGCAAAGAGCTATTGCAAGCCGTCCAACAACTGCAGTGCGAGCGTATGTTATGGGAGGCATGGCGGTAAGCAAGAAGCCTAAGACAGAATTAGTGATTTATTTATGTCTCTACTAACTTTTAAAAGTGGTTCGCCATCCCGTTTGGCTTTGCTACAACCCTTGGACTTGCAGCCGTTGCTTTGACCGATAATCCAGCATACCCAACATACCCTGATAATATGACTGCGTCTCAGATATCATCCGGATTATCAGCGCCGTTTGCCGCTGTAGCTCTTTTAGGAAAGCCAGGGGCTATAGCGCTGCTTCTCACGCTTTTCATGGCTGTCACGTCCTCCTCATCATCTGAGCTAATTGCTGTATCCTCGATTTTGACCTTCGACGTATATAAGATATATATCAAGCCGCACGCTACGCCACAGGAGCTAATTAGGGTTTCGCATATTATGATCTGCGTGTTCGGCTTGGTCATGGCGGGTTTTGCATGCATATGGAATGCAATAGGCATCGACCTCGGATGGCTCTTCCTGGTGATGGGACTACTAATCGGCGGCGCCGTTTTCCCTGCTGCATTTGCAGTGACTTGGCGTCAACAATCGAAGTGGGGAGCCATGGTCGGCGCCATCGGTGGTCTTGCAGCAGGATTGATCGCGTGGCTCACCATGGCCCAGAGCCAATTTGGTGAGCTAACTGTCGCGAGCACAGGATCAAACTATCCGACTCTTGCGGGCAACATGGCAGGCGTCTTTACGGGATTGATCCTCACTGTGGTGATTACTTATATTAAACCCGATAACTTCGATGTAAGGATAACTGGCTCTTTGATTTTGCCCTACCCCCTTCTATTATGTTTTGTCTTGTATGCTCTACATCCTCCTATAACTTCCCTAAACTGGAAATATAAGCTCCTTCTACTCCTAAAACCTTCTTGAATAGGAAATAACTAACTTTCCCGTGATCTAGTGGGAGATCACACGCTCGATAAATCTACCTGAACTCTCGGCACCCCCCTCAGTCAATGAGGAGTCTGGTGCGGAAATTGGCTCAGGCGAAGAAAAGAAAGTCCCCTCAGAGCCCGCGCCATCTCACTCAACGCTTCCCACGGTCGTTCACGAAGACCTTGAAGAGCTCGAAGATGCCGCCATTATGGAAGACCCAACACGGCTTAAAGGCGCATTGCGTTTCGCGTATATATCTTCTACCGTCCTCACGCTCATAATGTTGATCATTGTCCCGGTGCCAATGTTCTTGTCACATTATATATTCTCGCTCACCTTCTTTAAGACATGGGTCGGGATCAGCTTTGTGTGGGTGTTTTTTGCGTTATTTAGCTGTGCGATTCTACCGATCTATGAGGCCGCTGGATTCTTCAGAGATTTTTGGAAGGAGACGACAGAGGGGTTTAGGGCAAGCAAAAGCGCAAAGGCAAAATAGATGCTGGCGGCGGGTAAAATACATCGGCGTTTGCAATTCCTCGAAGCTAGTGTATATCGTATAGACATAGATCCAAGTAAGAATAAGATATACAGACTCAAAGCCCCTGACCCGTATGCATTGGCATCCCTTGATTCGTCGCTCGGTGCCTCAATTCCGGGTACCATGGAGTGTTACTACCTGAAATGCAGCCTAACCTAGGCTTTCATGTCTAGCCCTACCAAAAATGGCAGAGCGTACATCATTTCTGATGAATTGCAGGAGGTTCTTCAACAGAGCTTTCGGAGACCTCCACTTGAACCAAAGGTGTAGCCCTCGTGGTGAAGGTTCTATTTGAATGTCGAAGAATATTGACAAGAGCAACCAAAGAGTTGTTTGCAGACGCTGTAATATGAGATACCGAATCCTTGCTGTATTCTTCCAGATTATTATCGCGAGAAACAAGTACGATATGCAGTTCACGATGAACTCGCCCGGATACATTCTTTCGCTTGTATCGATTGAGAGCTGGTCAAGGGAAGAATTTGTGAAGCTGCTGATCAATACTGTTGAACTGGCTAGACTTCTCCGATATACATCAACATCTCCTTTATGAGTGGCATCTTGACAAATAGCCAGACTTTGGAGATATGTGTCGTTCTGATAATTGGATTAGCTGTTGAAGTTTGTTTCCTTGTAGGTGGAATCTTACTGGGTGGGAACGACAGGATTCCTTTAAAGCCAAATTGTTCGCCTTTGCAGAAAGTTCATATTGAAGAGCAAAGTAGATCGCCGAAGTCACAAGCGCCAGAATTGTAAGGCTTAATGGGCTTACACACTTATTGAGTGAAGCTATAACTTCTGTTTGTGTTGAAGAAGTGGTTGAAGGTGCAAGCCTGGCTGGTTCGATACTTAATTCAATTTGAGCCACCTCACTTAACAAATTTAATCGCTTAATCTTGAGTGCGGCAATATCGTCTTCGCTAAGATTAGTAGTGGGCGTATTAACAGTACTATCTTCATTACTGGAAGACTCGCTTCTATGTCCTGTACTCAATGGCCCCATTTTTGGTTGAGTTAGATTCTGTAGCGGGCGAGTCGTGGCATTTCCGAGAGCGGTCATATCGCTATTTGAGGGCTTCATATTTGACTGATGGATGTCTAAGCTCAAACATGACAAAACTCAAGCTGGGGCTCATGCACTATAATTGTACCCTGCCTTAAATGCGACGAAGAGAGATGTGGCGTGGTCAGAACGTCTGTCACAGGAAGTTTGTGGTCAGATTATCAATGAAATCATGTATTTTGTAGCATCAGGCTTCCCATGAGGCTTTTCACGAACTGCATGCATGGCGATGCATATGCAGATACCGGGTCTTCGAACCAACCAACCAGCTGTTCTTTTGACTTGCACAGCCTTGTGACTTCTAACAGGCAGCCAATTTTGATATACACATATTTACGTACTTTGGATCATATCACATAGAGTTCTTTTCCTCAATTGGGAACAAGCAAGCCACGTTTCTATCATTTATGATAGAAACTTTGAGAAATTGCACCTAGAGAAGTTCATGGTAACATTATTACACAGCCCGATACGTGCATTTCCGGGAAAGATTATCAGTGTAGGGTGGAGTGCGCATCAAAATACGATGCGAGTCTAGCCTAGACAGGAATAAAAGCTTAATTGTCATTGTCTTGATCATCAGTCTTCTTTCTTCTAGTTCTTTCGTCGGATAGGAGAAAGAGGTCTTTGTCTGAGTATAGTACGAGAACGCTTGTGTACCAAAGGCAATGGAGTATCATCTTTTGGGTCTGGGTAAAACCCTTGCTCTTGATCAAGCAACCAGTCGCCTTTCAATAACTGCTTCTGCAGCTCTTGATACGACACAGCCCAACCGAACCCCCTTAGCAATTCCCACCTCGAGAGCTGAGGAGGACTCGGTTGCCATTTGGCAGCGCGCATCTCTTCTTTCACACTGAGGCCTATGGAACAGAAAACCTTCCACTGGACCTCTTTCTGTAAAGCGGTTTGTAGGCCAATCATTGCGTTAGCCCATAACGGACCATGGCCTTGACCAATCCCCCCTAGTGTTACGGATTTCATAATCTTGCTACATTTCTGGCAGTTGCAAGCAAACCTTTCGATAAACGCATGCGTCATCTCATGCAGCAAAACACAAATATAGTATTCCTCGTAGCTCAGTTGAAACTGCTCTAAGAAAAGCGTCCGCCTTGGATGTATAAATATGGTGATCAGCTTCCGGACGATGTCATAACGGCCCGCAAACTGAAATGGCTGCATATTCGTGACATCTGCTGTGATTCTAATACTGCGGGTAACTTTAAGCAGGCTATTGAAGAAAAACATCTTGTCGAATATGATGTACCATTTCGACAGTAGTTGTTCTAAAGCAGTTAGCTCAGTGTTGTTAGGCATAGGGCTTTTTATAAAGGCTAATTCTTCCTCATTAAGTCTTGAAAGGGTGGTTTTAGTGCGGTGCGAGTAGAGTATTTCCCCAATGTTTGGAGGGTAATATGATTCGAGCCTAAGCTTTCCTCTGGTTTTGTAATCCGCTTCGATTTGAGGATACCTGCTGTTGGGGTGAATATCTTGATCAGTTCGGCCTCGAGAGGCTAGTCTGGAAAACATCATATATCAAATTGTCCTTGTAGGATAATAAGACGAAAGAATCTTGGTATCTGTAGACAGCTTTGGCATGTACTAGTATTATTAAACTGATGTAGAAATTAGCGGAGTATTCAAATAAGAGTTCCAATAAATTATCTTATTTCGAATATATATAGTATAGAAACTTATTTATTTCTGTTTCAGGTATTCAGAGAATGGCATTGTTGTCTAACAAAGGAAAGTCGCCCTCTCTTTGTCTAGTGGAAAATTGTTTATTATGTTTAGAAACAAAAATAATTCAGAAAGTGGGTCGAATCTAGCTTTTGTTCTTTTCGGTTTGCTCTATGCAAATTTGACAAAGCAGTATAATGAATTCTTCTGAAAATGAGGGCCCGTGAATACACAATGGATATTTCTCCAGGACCCAAGGACCGTTGAAGACTGTTATTGTCTTGCTGCGCATTGGTAGGACTCCCTCGTCCCCATCCCGTGGTAGTCTTTGTCTAAGCACTCTGATATATAATAGTAAATGTTTCTAATACAAATACGGACGGTTTAAATGTGAAAGTTAATAAGATTGATGATATTATATAATGTATTAGTAAGTATATGACTAGATACTGACTAAGCTATTCGTGATGCATTATTTCTCGTACTGGGTTATACGTCGGTAATCATATTAGATAATCTTAGATATGATGCATTGTACCTCGTCGTGCTATATTATATCACGTCGAGATAAGATCCAGGCCAATTACGTTAGCAGCTTGTATGTAGCGCTCAGCCTCATTGCGAGGCTGCCCAATAGCGCCTGCGCTTATTAAAAATCCCGTAAGCATTTCTATATGCTGATTGATGTATTAGTTACCGTCATTTCACCCCTCTATCTCTTTCCATTCTGTTCAATCTCTCCATGGAACATTCTTTTTCCTTGTTCATTATTTCATACAAATACCCAAATCCTTTCCGATGAGATTGCTTTTGTTTTTATTCTCTATCACTATTGCACTTCTCGCAATCGCGTTTGGACGAGACACAATTGTCAGCCAATTTACAGCACTCACCAACCTCTTCACGAACACCACGTCTATTCCACACGCGATCTACGGCGCTCCGAATACAGCGAATATGACCGTTTCTCGAGCAATTCGCAAAGCGTTCCTCGCCGTCGAACAAGCCGAGGGTGTAGGCGCCCGAGTCAGACGTAGCATCGGCACACCACAATTACGAAACTTTTCGCCCTTCCTAATGCTCGACCACTTCACATCTTCACCGGGATCTGGATTCCCTGACCACCCACATCGCGGACAAGAGACCATAACGTACCTTCTGCAAGGGATGATCGATCATGAAGACTTCGCCGGCAACGCAGGCACCATCGAAGTCGGTGATCTACAATTCATGACAGCAGGGAGGGGCATAATGCACTCAGAGATGCCGAGGGATAGCCCAGATGGCACACCTGTCATTGGTATGCAGTTATGGGTTGATTTGCCTCAAAAATTAAAGAAATGCGAGCCAAGATACCGAGATCTACGAGCGAAGGAAATTCCCAATATCGACGTTGATGAAGGGAAGGTTCATGTCAAGATTATTAGTGGCCAAAGCCACGGAATTGACAGCGTGAAGGAACTGGCATACACCCCCGTTTGGATCTTCGATATCGAAATCAAGCCCGGCGGCAAAGTCACTCAACAACTCCCAGAAGGATGGAACGCCTTCGCCTATACTTTAGGAGGAAGTACTGCTTTCGGGGTTGGAAAAAATCAGAGGAACGTGGGGCAATACTACAATGTAGTCTTTGAACAGGAGGGGGATGAGATCTTCGCTCAAGTGGACGCATCTGCCAAAGAGAATGGCCGTTTCTGTAAGCCATCTCCTGCCCATCTTCGCTTATCTTCGTCCCATCTTCGCCCATTTTTGTAGGAATACCCCGGTCTTATTTTGCACAAGCCCTCTCAAAAGAAAACCAGCAAAAGGTTATTCTAGTGATGATATCGACGCTGCATTATGAAGAAGCTAGAATGCATACTCCTTGCTGCTTTAGCATCAGCCCAAGAAAAGGTACTGCAAGCGCAGCTAGCCTGCGCAGCACCGCTTCGAGTGAGGCCGGTTTTTTTTTTTGGCTCTTATTCTGCTTTAAAAAAGCCAAAAAAAAAAAGAATGTCTCTTATATTGCGTTCGCCGGGAATCGAACCCGGGGCCCATCGATACATGTACTATACTAGCTTGGAAAGCTGTTTAGCCAATGGCAACGATGGATTTTACCACTAAACCACAAACGCTGGTTTCTTTTTGTTGTAGTGCATTTGCTTATGTTGATATCTATCAGCAATTGTCAAATTTTTATTTTGTGCGTTGAAGAGCCAATGAGAGCTTGAGCTGTGGGGCATTTCGCCACGTTAGTGCAGACTACCTTACCCTCTTAGTATCATGATACCAGAGAGCTAAGTAAAGAACATTGAAGTTTTGGTCAAGGCGCCCTTGTGATAATTTTTCCTTGTCTCTTCTTGCTAGGTCAATATGGTTCAGGGGGCAAAACCTGCGTATTTTGTTTCCTCTCCGCCTCTTGATTTTTCTTTCTCATTTCGATTATACATAAACTTATGTTCTCATTTGATCTACTTCAATTATTCAGAGAAGACGAGCTAACACAATGCAGATCTAGTAGCAGGCCAGCCCCTTGATCAAAAAGTCGTCCAATACGGACCCTTTGTCCTAAACACACAAGCAGAAGTTCACCAAGCGATCATGGATTACCAAACTCATTCAAACGGATTTGAAAGGGCTGAAGGCTGGGAGAGTGAAATTGGGAAGAAGATGATGCATTAGAAGGAGGATTAACGATGAGATGATGCATGGATTCAAATTAGCCGACAATGACGATTGGTAATGATAGAAATGAAAATGAATAACCGTTGTGCCGCATGAATTGAGAGCTATTCATGATTTGTTCTTTGTCCTTTGTTGTTAGTAACTACATTGCGCAAATTAACTCTATCTATTGCCTTGCACTCTTTTAATTGTTATTCCTATTGCGAACTCAAACACATGCGCCTCACATACCCTAACTGTGGGCATCCATCGCTATTCTCTCTATCCTCGACTTTAAGATCCCCCACGGCAGGAAGATAAAGTTGGTTCAGATACTGTTATATCAAAGAATAATGAGCTAGGGAGCTAGCTAAGAGGTAAGAGGGGGTTCTGCCCAAAACTGCGTTGTGAATACGACTGAGTTGCATCGTTGTACTTGCTACTTTCACCAATCGGCCTGCATCGCGATTCATGCCAAGGTATATACAGACTACATTCAGATTACGCTTTCTTTAGACCTGTTGATCCATCCCCCTCCTAGACTGTATTCTTAACAGTCCACGTCCACAGATAATTCTGTTTCTCGATCTCACAACTCGCCGCACTAGTCATAGTCTCCTTCCTCCCATCAAAATCCTTCCCACTAGCCTTTCTACTTCCCTGCGGCGCATGCACGACCGGGATCACCAGCTCTAGAAGCGGTAGAAGATGGCAACATCAGATAACAATCTGGAGACTAATTCTGTTTCGAAGTAGATAGAGGTTCAACTAATCTGCATCTGAAATATCAGGAGCAATTTAACGGCAACTCTAAGACTTAATCAGGTACTATTTAAATTGCTTTTGAGCTTAAATACTGAGCTTAAATATTGACACATGTGTCCATGGTTCCAAAAATATATAAGCTCCCCTGCGAAATATCTTATTACCACCGATTAACTTCCTTGTAGTCAGCTTAGCAGTAATGCTTATCTTGTAAATATCTCCCCCTCTTAGCCAAAACAATCAGGCCTCGGACGTAAGATTATCGGCAGCAGAAGCCAACCCATCAATTTGGTGACGTCTGAAGAAATCCTCAAAGGTCATCGGCACGACGTGAGGATAGTTGGTATTATCCAAGTCTCTTTTCAAGCAGGCGTCTTCGTTTTGGCTCCAATAGAAAAAGAACCTTTGGGATAATGTTAACTTCACAAGCCTGATACTTCAATTTGGAGGGATCGCTTTGAAGCATTGTTAAGACATGTTGCAAAAGTAATGGGCAAACTCACTTAGGCATCCAAGCCATAACATCAGCAGGGTTTGACTGCAGACTCTTATGCATGCTTTGGTGCAAGTCTTCTAATGAACCAAGATTGCGGAGATTGGGTTTATAACCGTAGACCTTGGCGAAAACCTCTACGATTTCGATGAGGCTTTTGCGATCACCGAGGACTGTTGGAATTAGTTTTCCCCTCACTTGCTAACTCAAGAAACGTTAAAGTACACTTACACTGCTGAATTCCAACCGCCGTCTTATCCATCGCTACTGCGACTGTATAGTCGGCTTCAGTCCCATAAGTTGTTGACTCCCATATTTCGTAGCCTGTACCCCAGTGAGAAAGCTTCTTCTGCTTTGGGTCCCAGATTTGCATAAAGTCGCTCCAGAACGTCTCCATAAAGACCCCGATGAGGATATGGACACCCTGAATATCAGTTGAATCAAGATATTTCATGATGTCTTTGCATGGATCTTTTGGAGGAAGAGCACCGTATGGGATGTTGGTAATATCAACCGAGAAGTCGCCTGCAATGTACCGTGGAACATTCTTCGTCACGCAAGCATCAATAAGGAGTTTCTGGCCCTCGGACATGAGGTCTGCGTTGCCAAGGTAGCAGCAGATCACCACATCGGTACCTGCCACAAAATCTTGTAGAGAAACCTTGTCGTTGAACTCTCCTTTGACAATGTGGATCCTAGATGAAGCTGCGATGGACGCTGGAAACTTGCTCGGGTCTCGACAGAAGCCACGCACTGAAATTCCAGGATTCTGGAGTAAGCTTTTTACTACACAGCGTGCAAACTTTCCAGTAATTCCAGCGACGCCAACTGTTTGAGCCATTTAGAAGTTGGTGTAGTCTCAATGTCGATAAGGTGTGATGCTATACACGCAGACTTAATTGCTAAGATTCAAGTGACGGATGTGAGCAGACTCGACTCTGGAATCAGAAGCCTATTTATATCTGGAAATCAATATCTTCTTGTTTCGGCATACAATAATTGAGCAGAGAAAGGGCTAGTCATATTCTACTTTAGTGCCTCACTTATTCTCTGAATCTTAACCCCGCACGACAATCCTGACGTGCAAGGAATTTAGTCTCCGCGAGCCTTTGTATTGGTGATAGGTTCTTTTTGACCAAGTCATCTTACAGCTAAACTGAAAACCTGTCTGCGGGAGCGGTGACTTTCACCTTTTAAGATATCGGTAGTAGTTTAACTGTCTTCATATAGTTAGACAGGCCACCGCTTTTTAACAGGGGATCAACAGCAGGCGAGTGCATCAGAAGTGACTGAATTCCCTATATACTAAATAGGCCAATGCTCTCTAGGACTGCCAAAACTGGTTAAGAAAGCGACTATTGTAGTAAAGCGATCTGCAGCATGCTATGATGCGCATGGACGGTGATATGGAGCCCGCACTATACTCAATGTGGAAGGATTTCGAAGGGACCACAACCTGTAATAGGAAACATAAGCGAAAGCATAGAACTACAGAATTGACCTCCTCATCCGTCATCTTTGTGCGGTCCGAAGGGAGCTAAGAAGGAAGACTGACTAATAAACCTAGCGTCATCTTCGTTATTCTAAACAGATAATGCTTTCGTAAATCATCCTACTTGCGTTCTAGCAACAACTAAAACATTGAAGGGTGCATATTTTGCTAATATTAGCAATGGCTAGAACTGCAAACGGATCACCTCCTGCCTCTAACATAGTCATCTTTGACAGTTCCGCATCATCCTCTACCACCTTTCACCCTAATGATTCGATTCTTTATTCTTGTCGAGATGGTCCACAAAAGCTGACTGGACTTGTGAAAAGAGGGAGGCCTAGAAAAGGTTCGTTGTTCAGCAACATCTCTATTGCCTCTCCTGTCCTGACTCATCATATTATAACTGGACAGAATGCCCGAGATCTCCTTGTGGAGAATGTAATCAAGAATCGCAGATAAACGAGTACTCATCGACGTCAAAGTTTAGCTTCGTCACATATACTGCATCGCCTCAAAATGCTGGGCCTAAAATCCAAAGGCGCGTTCGAAGACGTGTGATGCTTAATTATCGACGACAAGAGAGAGAACGGAAAGCTATATCTGAAGAAGCAGATAAATCCAGGGCTAGTTGTCCAGCTAATCAGCCCTTCCCTGGGGAGATGAAGGACGACGATGAAGTGCTTCGGCAGTACGTCGCTGATGACCGCATGAATCTCGCATTACCAACGACAACTAGCAGTCTTTTGCCGATGGAGATCATAGCTGTCGAACCTTTTAATGCCTTTCCTATTAAAATTGAGAGGTACATGTTCGAGCTCCTTTCTTCTTGTAAGTGTCTCCCCTCCTTCCTTACTTTCTTCTGCCTGCGTTCTGCATCTAGGAAAAGGGGCTAGCTTTGACTGATCCAGATCACTTTTAATAGATACAACTTCCATTTACGAGACCATGTATACTATTGAAAAGCATGCAAATCTTAATCCACCCAAGGACTACTGGCTGCCCATGGCATTCCAAGACGCCGCCTTGCTGCACGCATTCCTTTTCTGTGCGGATGGACACGGCACCATTTCACAGGGCAGGAAAGAACGACCAGCTGCTGTGATACATCTAAAGAAAGCCATCCAAATAGTGAATGAAAGGCTTCAAGCGCCCGTGCCAAGTATTACAGATGCAACTATTGCCGTGGTATGCACATTTGCTCATACAGAGGTACGTTGTTAGCTAGCCTTAGAATTATCTCCTTCCAATGCTCTCCATCCATGTTTCTTACTTTGGCTTTAGATATTAAATGGCAACCGTGATAATTGGATGGTTCACATGCGCGGCTTGAAGCAGATGGTCCGATATCGAGGAGGTATACAAGCTTTTGAATCGAATTTACTAGTGCGGAGTAAGATCAATCGGTGAGTTAGTGCTGTCAAATTCTTTAGCCTTTTTTTCAGTTCCGTGCTAATCTCGAACCAGAGCTGACTTATGTGGATCTATTGGGGCTGTTCAAAGTCCTTACTTCGAAGATGTTCTTAGAGAGTTACCAACAATGCCAGGATATCATCAGATGACAACAATAACAACACCGGGATTTTGTAGAATCACAAATTCTATCAAACTAGATGAAACACTAGCCCGGATCATTTGCCAGATCCAAGACATAACGGCTAATCTAAACATGTTTTATCATCACAAGACGCAGATACACCCCCTAAGCTTGCGAGAGGCCATTACATCATCTCAGTACTTTTTGCTCTCCTTCGACCTCCCGCAAAGTCACACCATCCGTGAAACCTTGATCCACGAAATGCTGCGACTTAGCTTGTTAATATACCTCATTACTCTTTTGAATGAGTCTCACCCAGGAGTATCACTTTATGATATGCTAGGCGCAAGGTTAAAGTCCACTTTAACAGAAATCAGGCAGAACGGTGGTTTGAATCTTGAGTACTCGCTCTGGATTATGTTCATCGCAGCTTCAATAGTTAGGGATCCAGACACCAAAGGTTATTTTATGGCGTCATCCATCGAGAATCTGGAGCAATTGGGTATTTCCTCCTGGGATAATGCTGAGATCCTGTTCAGATCTTTCTTTTGGGTAGAGAAGATTCATAGAGGGAGTTTCAGAGCGATGTGGAATGCACTGGAGACTGTGATAATACAGCACTCGTAAAGAGTAATTTAAAGAAAGCCTTACGCGCTGATGGCCGAGGTAGATCATATCCAAAACTTCATCAAACGTTCCTCTATATATGCGTGAATGATCAGGTTTCAATGTCAATCTAACCTTCTATATCGCTGGAATGGTTATGCTATGAAGCCTCGTGTGTCACAATATGTACTATTCTGTAGAATATATTCCTCACTCGCTTTCTAGTAGCACTTCATTTCTCAAATTTGCGTCTAATACTCAAATATTCTAAATGACTGATGTTATATTGGCTCTTTACTCCGTCACTCTGTTAACCATGTGTGTGTCTAGTATTTCCTTTTCGGCTTAGCGGCGGTTTAGCGCTAAACGTGCACCTAGACGACACCTGACACCTCAACACAGACTGAGACATCAACGCGACAGACCACTTCGACATTAAACCTATCTACGCATAGATGGATTCAACGGACATGGACCCGTACACGACCAACCCAGGGGCAGTTTCGCCTTCGGTCACTGATGTTCCCCCTGAGATTTGGACAATAGTGGGAGATCATGTATGTACGCGTGCGCCTTTGACCTGCGGGTCTCTTTATCATGTCAGCCATGGCATTGGGTTGAGAGGCTTCCGCAAGCTCTTATCAATTCACCAATCTTCATTTCTAAATCCCGCTACCTATAATTACGGACCTTGCAATCTGACACAATATTTTAGATACGGTGTCAAACAACCCTCAAAGCGCTTATTCGAACCTGCCGTGTATTTCACGAGATCTTTCTCCCAAAACTACATTCCCGCCGTGTTGTGTATTTGGATCGCTGCCCAGTTCTGGGACTCGCTCAGAAAGCTCTTCCGCCTGGCCTTTCGCATTCTAAGGACTTGGAATTCCGGCTCCGAGAGTTCTCCGAGAGCAAGTATGAGGTCAGCATGAATATTGATCTTGCTGCATTTGTCACGCGAATTCTAAAAGAAATGCCAAACATTCAGACTTTCAGGTATGTAATGAATGCAATCCTAGGGACTTGCACTTCTTTGTTCATTGTTGAAAATAGCAAGCAGATGGGCGAACTCATGTTTTGAGAATTCGTGTGATCCATGTCTTATGCTAAGTGACCCTGAACTTCTTCGAATGTTGAAAAACAGCCAGACGCTCAGAAGCCTCTCAATTTTGTTCGAATCACGATCACTTGAAGGGCTTCAAGATGCAGAAAAGTGCTTCATGCCGTTGAAAGGTTTTCAAAATTTGACCTCCCTCGAACTTTACAACTTTTATGGTACCGAAACTCAGCATGTCAAGGACCTCGCCAACGTGCTGATTGATTGTACTAACCTCAAAACCTTGGGCCTCGGGCTGCTCTGCGACTGCGACATTCAAATAACGCCAGATATTATTATATTAGATGAAGAGTGCGAATTTCTGGAGCAGCTATGCCACTACTTTGCATCTAAAGGGGCAACACCGTTACATCTTCAGAAGTTAAGGTTAGGCACTGGCATGTGCCTCATTGATTCTACGGGTAGCTCCCATGAAGATAGCTCCCATGAAGATAGCTCCCATGAAGATAGCTCCCATGAAAATAGCTCCCATGAAAGAAACAGCTTCCTTGCAAAGCTCGTAGATCTTAACGAACTCAAAACCCTCCATGTATTTAACGACTTGGTTAAGAATGGCCTCGACGATGATGTCTGGGGGCTCGAAATTGACTGGAGTCTGTTAGATGGCTGCACAAATCTTCAGCAACTCTCGGTTTCAAGGTTTGGAGAAGACGTGGTAGCATGGGTCATAAATAACCTGTCGATCCAAGAGCTCATCATTACGCATCATTACGGGATGTACGACAAAGATCTCCACAATTTCAGCCATTTGTTACTCCCACATTTAAGGGCGCTTTTTGTCCGCGAGATTTCCACACGGAAACGTAATGACGAGAACGATTGGTCCGATATCAACTTATTCGATGAAGAGTCAGATAGTTCCACTTCAGCAGAGTCTGATGCTAATACATCTGATTCCGCTGATTCCGCTAATTCCGAATCATCAAGCACCAACGATCAGGACTCAGACTCTTCATCCAACTCTAAGATTACGAGGCTGGACAAATCAACCATTAGTGTTCTTGATCGAATCCCTGATGGCGGTTACAATTTAGAACAACTTAGTCTATGTCTGGATCTTGAGACGCAATGGGTGAGTCTTAGATCTTCATTCTGCTTGCATCGGCTAATCTAAGTAGGAAAATTTTGTGTTGCACCTGCCACGGTTGACTCGTCTTAAGCAATTATGCCTTGCTAAGAAGGGCCATCAGGCGGGCCGGTACCCAACTAAGAAATCTTCTCTCTGGGATGGAGTCCAGAATTCCAAGGAGATTGCCTATCGCTATGCCCAGCTCATACATTCCAAATGCCCATCTTTGGAATACATCATGATTGATTATTATGCCTGGCATTTTATGATAGATACGGGAACTGCCACTTCAAATGCATCTCACAGCTCTGTTCGGCTTCGTGAAATGGCGCAGGACGAAATTTTGTCTTTTGAGTTTTTCGCCATTGAAACATTCCCGACTCAGTCAGGTCTGTCAGGCAAGGAACAAGTCCGGCGGGAAGTTTCTGAAGAAGAATGGGATTTTACGGAGAAGATGGCTGCCGATTTTGATGCGGCATATCGTCTAGGAATTCTCGATCAAGTAGCGGCGCAATGGGTGGCTGAAAACCCACCCCCGGGAACGCTCTTTGGTCATCAAACTGGCTCGCAAACGCAGGGAGAAGCCCAGGTGTAGGAGTTTGAATGATGACTTGTCTCGAGTCCCCGTGGATGCTTTATAACTTGTTCTCGAGAGTAGATGATTCATTCAGCAGCATACCATATCTCGAATATATGCTCATCTGGGATCTGCAATTCGAAATTCTGGGAGTGACCAAGCATATCAATTTGTCTTTATCTACTCAGCTTGGATCACTCCTTCCATGCTTCTTTTCACTTTCAGAGGGTTCCACTTCACAGATTCATCCTCTTCCAAGTAGATGCTGTCCAGCTACCCATCACTGTCGTCCCAAAAGCCCAACATCCGGTCATGTATCATCTAGTTCCCTACTTCGGCAGGTTCCTTTCGTTCTTTTTCATTTGCTTCTTCACCCCAGACGTGCGCCTTTTCACAGCTTCACGGAGGCTGGAAGTTCCATACCCGAGAACTATCTGCTCATGGGTCTCGGATCGTTGGACATAGGCATCAATAGCGGAGTATGCTTCAGAGTTACTAGTACTATTTTGCTGCTCTGAAGTGGACATATAGTATTGATTGCTTTATTTTGTAAATCTGTTAGCTGGAATGCGCGTTAGACTTTGCATTAAGAAAACATCTCAGGAGAGGTGAAGTGACTCACCTTGATGCGGAGCCGTGTGTACCTGAATTCGACATGTTTGGATTGCAACGGGTAGAGTGAGGAGAAGTGTTGCTTTCACGATTTTGGTGCTTGGACTGCTTGGAAACTGTTTTATCAGGAAGGCTGGAGCTGTCTCTGCTTGTGGTGGCTCGGCATGATGAATATATAGGTGCGAAGAAATGACAATACACCTCTTGTCCATGGCCTTGTTCCCGACATGCGGTTTGGGTTGTTTTTGCGCATCAACCCGAACACCATTTAAGCTACGCTAGCGCGAGCAGTTCCCACCTCGATCCAATCACCATATCATCACAGATCGAGTGATGTTGTTTTTTTGGTGGCATGTGGCATGCTCTGGGAAACCTTATGCGCTTTCGATTGGACCTATGGAGTTTCTTTTGTACGAGTCTAATGAACTTCAACGCGCTTATTTCTACGCAAGGAAATATCTGTCAGCTTGCTTCAGGTTCTTGCGCATAAATAGCTGCGGACGTGCATAAGCAGTCAGATCCATTAATATTTAGCTACCTCGTACAGGGTATTGTTTCGTTTCCTAGGTGTCTACCACCGCGCCCCACCACACCACCCCCCTTTAAGAGCCGCACAATATGCGCATAGGTATATTTTTACAGAATCGATAAATCTTGGATTTATTTTTATAATACTACGGACCTCTATCAGTGAGGGCATTCTCGCGAGAATATCAGAATAGGAGTTGAGTTTTTCTCTAGAAATAATCTCTCTAGATATACAATATACTCTTGATCAGTTCTTTGAAAATTAATTCGACGTGTTTGTATCATGTTGTATTTAACAAGAAACTGGAACTGAGGAGCCCAGTCAGGGGTATGTTATGCAGGAGCAAGTAGTGCAGGGTATATTACAGGGGGGATGATTTGACGACCTCACTAAAGCTCCTTCTCTCACTTGCAAGTTTTTGACATGGAACAGGCTTCTTGTTTTTTCTCCGTAGAAGCACCCAACGATGCCAGCCAGCCAATCCCCTGCGGTTAGGCACTATTATCCATCTCTTGCCCTGCACCACATCCCCCACGGCTGTTGTTCTAGCCATTTTTGTCCCTGAAAGCCCGATCCAACGCCGCCGATGCTAGGTAAATTTACTATACGCGTTCACGGAGAACTAATCCGGTATATACTATAAGGTCAGTTATAGTCACGGAACAATGCTACGGTGCATGTCGCGGGTGTTTTCTGAGGCTGGTAAAAAGTTGAGGAATGTGGATGGGACTACTATACTTGAAATGGATCCCGCATTGCGGGATCCATTTCAGGCATAGTCCATGTCGTTGTAGGAGTGTGCCCAAGTTTCCCTTGTCTCTCAGCCACCTTCGATCTAAGCCAACGAACGCGGCCTCAGTTTGACGTCGATCCGACCTTCCAATATGCTCCCCCGAATACTATCTGGTTTTTCTTATTTTGTATTGACTGTTGAAGCTAACGCATCCGAGTATTCTCGGCGAACTATTCAGAATGCCCTTGCGCATAAACTCGTCCCAATCGGAACGAAAATTTTGGGATGAAATAATTGATGACAGCAGACAGCAACCTCCGTCCTTCATCCAAGAGACCTTCTTATGCCCAAATATCACTTAAAGGGAGGCTTTGTTGTGATTTACGCCCCAAGGTAAATGGACCATGCTGCGAATGTGGATCTCCTAGCTTCAAATGGCATCTGTTAAATTCGTCTTTATCGTTTTCGACACAGGTTCTGGATAATTTTCAGGACTACTTCGGAAATACACAGCTCCACTTCGCTGCGAGCTCTCCAGGCATAGGCCAGAATTCCAAGTTAGTTAGCAGTGGCGCTGATGTCTGTGGGGAAAAACACCACTGGGCAGACCTTCATGTACGTTTTAGACACCGAGACTTATATTGCGTTGGAAGGTGTTGCGAGCTACATAGCGCTGTTGCGGAAGCTCGAAAGTATTAACTTCCCGTTCTCTCATCGGGACTGTCATGGTCGGACACTCGCCCACATGTTTTCCTCCGAAGCCATTTCACGCCTGGCATTTGGTTCATTCCCAACAACATCCAGCTTCTCCGACATATTCTCGATCTTGGATATCGATTTGAAGTCTATGGATGACTGCGGCAATGAAGCTGGATCTCAATTAGTGAGTTGGTTTCATGGGGAGTTTTCGTCCAGCCAGTGGGAATCTATCAAACAGACGACACTGAACGACGAAATTCGGGGAATATGGACAAAGCAACGGGGCACGCTGAACGGAAATATCAGCTTTCGGCGAAACCTGGCCTCCAAACTCAAAAACGTAACTGGGAGTAGAGATATCAACATGTGGATTGATTGGGTAAAGTGTGCTGCCCTTGCCTCCTGGGTTGACATCCATGGCGACACCCCGCTCATAGCACTCCTCAAAACATGGCGAAACGGAAACGACGAATCGCACGACGAAGATCAGCTTACGCATGCAGTTCAAAGACTTGTTATCATGAGTCCAGATCTAGTAGATATAAGAGACAGAAAAGGACACACAGCACTTGCAATTGCAGCCATCCGAGGATCAGAACCCTCCGTGAGCTTCCTCCTGAGGAAGAAAGCAAATCCTAACAGCCGGAACTACCGGGGCAAGGGCATTGTCGCTCTGGCTTCTAAAAGAATGAGACTTGCGAAGAGAAAAGGGGACATCGGGTGTTGGACAAGGATTTTGATTTGTATCAATCTACTTGCTGACAATGGAGCTAAAGTCAAGCCCACAGAGCGTGACGAGTGGCTATTGCCAGAGCTGAGGGGAAAGTTCGATGCAGTCTAATAACCGGCACTGCTAGGGACACCAAAAGCTAGGTAATATTCCGGGTAAGGGCTGCGAGAAATATATACAACACTTCAGTCGCGTCTGCAATCTCCTCTTCCTTGCCAACATCACTGTCCATGAACTGATAGCCGTACAGGGCGAGGGCCTGGTAGTTGATGCATTATATGAACTCCTTAGTATCCATAGACATTCAATATCCTGAAATCTACCCACGCTTTTCGTCTCCCAGATCCAGAACGATATATACAAATCTGAAGGTGAGATTCGAAGATACCCATGCGCCCCTGTGCAACCCATTCCATTATGTCGTAAATAAGCCATTATCCAATTACATAACAGTGCAGCATCCCTCCAGCTTCCTAATGATCTTAGGCAAAAACTTCTTGGCCAGTTTCTCAAGCTCATCATTATTGTTGTTGTTATTGTTGTTCTGGTTTTGGCCACCCTGCTGTTGATATCCGCCTTGTTGCGGGCCACCAGGATATCCACCCTGTTGTTGCTGACCATAGCTTTGCTGATATCCGCCATTGTATTGTTGATTCCCTCCGTGGTGCTGTTGCTGTCCGCCTTGCTGGTAGGAATGCGCTGGAGGCATCACCGCCGGCCCCCCTTGCAGATTGATATACATGCGCCCTGCATTCTCCTCCGTCGCGAACTGCAGACCCAGTTCCCGGCAGACTTGTTCGACTTTCGGCTTGATCTTCTGAACATGATCTTTAGAGTGGTTGCCCTTTCCCACAATCCTACGCGTCCCCGAATGTTAGCCCCACTTCCAATAACGCGTGGGGATGGGAGCAGCACTTACACATGCAGATGCGTCTGCCCGTTCTGCTGCGCATATCTAATTCTCTGCTCGACGATGTTCTCGGCTTCCTCTACAAATTGCCCGTGTAGATCGATCGTATCGTCCGGGACGCGACCTGGCGCGTTGTTCTCGCGGAATATGTAGTCGGATGCTTGCTTGTTGTACTGGTCCATCTTCGCAGCGTGTGCCTTGCCCTCCTCGGATAGTTCATGCGCCAGCCCTCCATTGCCGCTCTCGTATGCCTGGTGTGCCTTTGTGACTCCGTTAGAATGACTTTCAAGACGCGGTTCCAGGCGGGAGTACGCGGTCAAAACATGAACCTCTCTTGCTAGCTTCTTGTCGTGCCAGATCGCGCAAGCGGTCGTATTCAGCCTCTGCGCTTGAATTGGTATCGTGATTGAAGGCTATTGGGCGTGATAATTGTCAGTACATCTCCTAACTAGCTAGATAGCTTGATGGGGGAGCTTGCGCGCATACATACCATTGCCCCCAAGCCGGGCCATCGGGATAGAAGAGGATACCATATTGGATGCCGTGTGGTGATGCGACCTGGTCGACGAGGAAATAATAGAATTGAAGTCGGAGTAGTGGTGCAGGTGTTAGCTGTACCTGAAGAGGTCGAGGAGCTAACTTTTAGCTTCTTGTGCTCCCTTTCAAGTCTGGGCCACCATGGCCTTTCCTTTGTTTTTCTCTCCAATCCACCAGTGTTTGTATTACGTGCCGAAATACTTCTGATTAAGCAAAACCCTGAATTCGTTGTGATTCTTAAGTATTAGCAAGATGCTGTTCTTGTACTGCTTGCCTGCATGTTGTTCGCGACGGAATTTCGATTCAAAGTTGCTTTCATTAGGGTAATGAAAGGTTGTTCGTTATGTCACTACTATTGCTAGATTTTCTTTGCTGTATCCCACAGCAAATCTCATCTTTGTCGTTATTGGAAGTGTTTTGCTATATGCTCCGCATACATATCTTATTCTTGCCCCTCAATTCAGCGTCAGCAGCCTATTTCTACCCATGTTCACTTCAAGCGCGGGGTCGATCACTTTCAGACGTTCATGTTAATACTTCATAGCACCTTTGTATACCTATTTTATGTACACGGCGCTGTACCACGGCTTCGACAGATGGGCTAGATGTGGTGGTCAAGCCCTATTTCAGCTGTTTGGTTCTTCTCTCAAGATCTCTACTCAACTCCACCAGCTCTTTACGGGCAATGCGAGTTTGCTAGGCCCTCTAAACATCAATAAAACCATTTGACATACCATGAAGAATTAAGATTGGTATCATTAGAAATATATGGAAGTGGATGTCTTTTTACATATCAGGGAAATGATCCCTTACACTACCTCTAGTATCAATATGGACCTCCCACGCACTATCAACTCGAATCTCCTGCAGCTTCGCTTTATCCGGCCTCTCTAGTCCATCTATCTCCCTCGGCACCTTCTCACCGTCCAAATCATCCATTCGAATCACATCCTTCATATCACCGTCCCTAATCAAATCTTCATCGCTACCCCAATTGTTCTTACTACCTCCTATGACGATGGTACGAGATTTCGCCGTCATGTGGGATGATCTGCGCTCTCTTTCCATGTTTCGTTGTTTGAATTTCGACTTTTTGTAGCCGCGGTCTTGAAGTAAGGAGGTGAGCACTGTAGCGTTGGCGGTGAAAGTTGCAAGGAGGATGTCAAAGGAAGCTATTAGGCTACGGATTGGTTGCGCCCCAAGTGAGTAGATTATGTAGGGGATTGAATACACAGTCAGGGCGGTGCTGAGGAGGGGAAGGGCGAGGCGGAAGATTATGCTTGCTTTCCTGCTTCGCATGAGCATCAACCGCCGTGGGAAGGAGGCGAAACAACTTACTGTTTTCTTGACAGGCGAGAAATGAATACCGCGGGCAGAGCAAAGAAGAACAAAGCGAAGTTTGTGATAACATTCAAGCTCCCCATGGTGATGAGGAATACATAGCCGCCTCTGCAATGCGATCCGGGGTCTGGCATTACCTGCCAGTAATTCGCAAAGGGTTGACAGGCTGCAAGGTCACTGACGACCACAGCGACAAAGGTTACGATGAGGAAGGCGTGAAGGAAGCGCATAAAACTTTTGTGCGAACTTTGCCAGAATGATTCTGCGAGACTGCGTATGAACATCAAGGTGCTGTATTTTACAGCCCATAGACTGATTCGGTTTTAGTAAGTAATGCGTTCTTCAGGAAGATACTGCTTACTAGGTAGTGTACATAATCCTCGAAACTAGAACGAGCTGACTTCCTATCTCGCGACGTCGTACATCCTCCACTGATAGCTTTGTGACGACGGCATTATTGGTTCCGTATAGTAGCACGACATGAATGAGAGCCATTCGAATGAAAAGCGGAACGATAGCCAAGAGCATAATGCCATCTTCGGTAAATATCTTTTCGGTCCTAACATATCGTCCACAAACGCGGAACAATATGACGGTGACGGCATAGAAGGTACACCACCAGCAGACAAGCAATGTTGGCTTGTCGTCTCGAAAGGTCCGAAGTTCAGGAGCCTCACTCACAAGACTTCGAGGTAACTCCATGACACCTGACTACTAGTAGAATCAGCATCATTGCCGTCGAAGTGTTCCAACCGAGCCTTGGTGGGAACGAGGGGCTCTTCAATCCAACTTAAATCTCAATACGGCATCTCAAAAGTTTGATGAGATGGGACCTCAGCTTACTTCTAAATGTGACCTTGTTCGGCCCGTGAACACAGTTGGGTTGGACGAAGGGAACACGAACACCAATACCAACACAAACACCAACTTTACGGCCGGGAAATTGAAAGAGATACAGCAGAGGCCGAGGCATCAAAACCCCGTTCTCGAGAAAAGCAAAGTATATTACTAACAAAATCGAAACATATTTCCGAACGAAAAGAGAACGAGTGATTGCGAAGAGGTACAGACAGTAAAGTAAGTGTGTTGCTCTGAAATTCATTGGCGCTGGGATGACTTTATCCCCTCGCGAAAGAGAGACCAACTGAGTGGAAGCAATTTGACCATTAGAGCAGGAGGCATATTGAACTGATTTAAGTGACAGATAAGAAAGCACAAATGGAGTTTGAATACGCCTGTGCGGGAATATAATGTTTGGTGGGGAAGATACTCGAGAGGGATAGCTCACCCATGGTGTAACCCTATCGGTGTCCCGCATCGACCCCTGAACGATATATGCCTGTACCCCGTACCCCTGGATATGCCTCGAAGTCCCTGCTTAGCTACACTGAGAGGTCCGGTACAGCCGGTACGGCACGATTGAGCGCCCAGTCATGAGGCGACATCTTCTATCAAAGTTCTGGCGCTTCCGTCACATAGAGTGGGACGCGAATTGTCTCCTGAGAGGTCTTCTTCCCCTCAGATAAATAAGAATTGATCGTCTATACACATTCCCCTTCGAGGCTGAACTAGTGGTTGGGACCCGGCCGACCCTGTGATTCGGCAACATCCCGAAGTTTAAGCTACTGTAAGCGTCCTCTGGGTTGCGCAATACCAAAGCGTCACATACGATCAGCAATCACGTTTCACTTGTGCTACTGATACGCCTTAAAGAGCTGGGTCTCTTGATAGATGTGTGATGAGGCAGTTTGTGTTGGCCAGTTAAGTATTCATGTCGTGATGTTTCTCTCGTCCTGAAGCTGGATCGATACTTTGCCGCTGGCAACAGGTGTAAAATCATTTCTTCATCACCCTCATGAGCCATCCGCACAGATCACCACGAGAAGCACAATCGTCTCCACGCTTGGCCAACGCTCGGCTAACGCTCTTGCATCTTTTCCGCTGAGAATACCTCGTTCCAAACCCTTAATTTGACCAGAAAAACTGCGCGAAGTTTTTCCCGGGGAAGGTTCTTGTCAAAAGAATTTTTTTCCAATTCTTTCTCATTATTGCAGCTACTCGAACCATAGCATACTTTAAATTGTCACATGCCCATGTATCTCTTACTTATCTAGCGTGTTGGTCCGGACTCTATTAATGCCTTGTATGCACTCATCGGCATACACTTGGTGTTTTTACTACTAGTTGAGGCCTCGTCAACGCGGAACGCTCACTCCTTGACGACGTCGCCATGGAGCCTCAAGTATCATATACGGGGTCAACATCCACGGTCTTGCCATTGCTGGCGAGACCGAAAGGAGCCAAACTTTTCTCAGCAAAGGCTTTTGACAATTTCCGAAGTGGTCCTACTGGCGATTTCCACCCTGCGCTGGGCGAGGGTGGGAGGGTTTTCGACGCCAAGGCTGCGGCATACAATACAGCAAATACACATTTGGTCAGAAGACTGAAAGGTCGACATCTTCAAATGATAGCAATTGGTGGCTCAATAGGTAACGTTGTCAGACCTCAAGTCATGGAACCAATCTAACACAAACAGGAACTGGACTGTTCGTCGGATCAGGTCAGGCGCTAGCTACCGGAGGACCTGGGTCTCTTCTTCTGGGATTCATCATCATCGGAAGTGTGCTTTTTTGTACAGTACAGGCTCTTGGTGAAATGACTGTGACGTTTCCGGTTGCTGGTTCCTTTAATGCTTACGCTACTCGGTTTATTGATCCCGCATGGGGCTTTGCGAGCGGCTGGAACTATGCTATGCAATGGCTCATTCTAATGCCGTTGGAGATTATGGCAGCATCCCTCACGCTTGAATACTGGTCTCTGCCTATACCTGGATGGGCAAGTATCTCAGTCTTCCTAGGAATCATCATCTTCATCAATCTCTGTGGTGTCAAGGTTTATGGTGAAGTCGAATATTGTTTTTCTATTATGAAAGTCACTGCTGTGATTGGATTCATGTAAGCCTCCAAGAAAAATAAAAATCTTACTGTGCTAACTATACACAGCATTCTGGGTGTTGTAATTAACTGTGGCGGAGGACCAGGCTCAGGCTATATTGGAGGTAAATATTGGGATGATCCAGGAGCTTTCAACCATGGATTCAAAGGCTTCTGCAACATCCTCGTCACGGCAGCATTCTCTTTTGGTGGAACCGAGCTCGTTGGTCTCGCTGCAGCAGAGACCCATAATCCTAGCCGGGCGCTCCCTACGGCCATCAAGCAAGTCTTCTGGCGTATCGCAATCGTATGTAGCCCTTCCTGCGGTGTTCAACCCTGCTTTCTAACCGTAATGTTTAGTTCTATGTAATCTCGATTGCGGTGGTCGGTCTCATTGTACCTTACACCAGTTCACAATTGATCAGCCGAAATAGCGTCGACTCCAAAGCCTCACCATTCATCATCGCCATCAAAGATGCCGGCATTCAAGGGCTGGACTCTGTCATGAACGCTGTGGTAATGATGGCCGTCCTCTCTGTTGCCAACTCCTCCATGTACGGCGCAACGAGAACCCTTGCAGCACTGGCCGAGCAAGGCCAAGCCCCAAGAATATTGGCCTATGTCGACCGCAAAGGCAGACCTCTTGTCTCAATCGGCCTTGCGTCACTCGTTGGCCTGTTAGCCTACCTCTACGTTTCTCCCATCAAAGGCCCAGCGTTTACCTGGCTCCTCGCTCTCTCGGGTTTGTCGAGCATCTTCACCTGGGGCAGCATTTGTTTCGCACACATCCAGTTCCGCAAAGCTTGGTTGCAGCAAGGGAATACACTTTCAGATCTCATTTATAAATCGCCCATTGGGTCCGCTGGCTCTTGGATAGGTCTGATTTCTCTTACACTCATCCTCGTCGCTCAGATCTGGGTCGCTATTTCACCCTCAGGAGGCACGCAGGATACCGTGGGAGGGCAGGTTGCGGATTTCTTCGAGGCTTGTCTGGCGATGCCAGTGGTGATTTTGAGCTACGTGTTCTATAAGATATGGTATCGGACGAAATGGGTAAGGATTCGGGATGTGGATTTGAAGACTGGACGGAATGATTGTGAGAGTGACTTTATTCGGCAACGGTGGAAGGAAGACAGGAGTTTGTGGCCGAGGTGGAAAGTGATCTATAAAACACTTTGCTGAATTCATCTCAGCTGTATTTTACCCAAAGGCTTATAAGTTAATAATCTCAAAGATATCCACGTCTACGCCCCATACTCATAAAGGAAATAGCGAAACCGGAATTTCAGCTTTTTGACTCCTTGAATATTTTCTTTTTTCAGGGTCTCCTCCACAATTGTTATCAATGTTTGTTATCAGCTACTCACTCAGCCCCTGAACCTAGACCTTTGTACGACAAGCAATCCACATGACACTTTACTCGAGAGACCTATGCGTGGACGCGCAAGCCACCCGGGTTTTGGAATTGTGGCTCGCGGTGATGCGATTGGCCAGAATCGCGGCGACGTGCATTGTCACGGTCGTACAAATGGAAATTCTCTATGGATGGAAATGTACCTCTACCTCAGGTACATATCCAGAGGTGGAGTGCAGCTTCTATACGAGTAAAACCGAGAATTGATTATGCAAGGGATATGTACATAACACGATGATGAAGTGGATGGGATGGGATGGGATGAGAAGAAATTGTGGCTGGGGGTACTATATGGAACTGATTCCTACTGCGTTGAAGAATTGAAGTCTTATTCTTTTCAATAACTCAAAAGAGAGCTGGGGAATTTCCGCGATAATGGGAGATCATTTCGAGCGTCGTGCACAGGAGTCTAGCAAGAGGAACAATTGGGGAGCTCGATCTCCACCACGGACTCGAACATTTGGATTCGAACCAAAGACAATCCCTTTCTCATCAGGATTTAGCACCCTTCCTGTCTCTGCGATAGTCGCTGAATCATTTCAACCAAGCCCCACACCCGAGATAATACAAATCTCATGTTTAGGGGACTGCAATCCAGATGGAGGTGGAGCGTCTAGTAACACGGCCATCACCATTTCCATATACATATCAACAAGCACCCAGCTTTTAATACCCCAACGTGTCTCAACAACAGAACACGCAACGTCGGTGGTCGTGGTCTCAACTACACCAAGCCCAAATACAACTACAAAACCAACTTCAAAAACACCAGCAGATGTGTCCTCGTCCCCCCAAGCATCTCCGAAATCCACCTCCGCGTCCTCAGTCGATTCCCTAGCCCCGTCTTCTCTGCCATCATCAGCAAAAGAGATACGCATTTTTACTGTACCAGCATCCAAACCCTCCTCCACGACTGCAAACCAATCTCGAAGCACCAAGAACAGCACACCGAGCGTCATCCATAAAATGAGCACCGATGCGAAGGTAGGCGCTGTGCTGGGTATAGCGCTGCTGTTGCTCGTCATATCGGTCCTGACGATCCTCTTTTGCACGCGTAAGAGACGGCGACAGCGGTTGTTGGCCGCTAAACATTCGTCACTTGATCGAGATCCTCTATTTGTTCATGAGAGGGGTGGAGGGGAGGGGGAGAGGGAAGGAGAAGGAGAAGGAGAAAGCGAAGGGGGGGAATGAGAATGAAGATGAAGCAAGGCGGAGTCTGGATGAAGAGGGGATAAGGTGGCCGGAGAAAGTGGAGTTGAGGGGGGAGGCGAAGGAGATCTTCGAGTTGACGCAGGAATTTGAGGGGGAGTATAGGGGGAGGGAGAAGGTTGCGATGGTGGGGAGAGCGGAGTTGAAGACGAGGGAGCTGGGTGGGTCTTGGTGATAGCATTGCGGCGAGTTTACTATTAGTTCACCGGTATCGATATTGTGGTAGGGGAGAGAGGGTTAACAACATGGCAGAGGAAAAGTTGAACACCATAAGTAGTGTGCAAAAAAGACATATATAATAATAAACGTTGAAACAATCGCTTCGCCCGTGGAAAATCCAGTCATCCATTAAGTTTCTCGGATGTCTTTTGGTTACAGCCTAAGCTCAACAACCCGCCCGCCATTGTCTTGTTTTGATTTTGTTTTTTAAGTTAATGTGCTTGTTTTGTTACATATTCGCTACATATTCCTCGGACCCCTTTTGAAAGAGCTAGTTCGTGCGGTACTCGGCCATCAATTCCGTGACCAAGTAAAGATAAACTGCACGTAAGGGAATACCCATGAAGGCCCCCCTTATTTTCCCTCTCTTGTTCTTTTGAGGCCGTGCGTGGTGTATAATGAAGTCTTATCTCTATAAAGGTTGATGAGGTTACGACATACAATAGAAATATATCTCCAAACTACTAATCGGGTGATTCACGGGGGAGCACGAGTTGAAGATTAGGCCAAGGAAAGGGGGCGTGGCGTTCGCTTATGACAGGGGAGGATAAGCGAGAGCGAGCTACCCCCTACCAGTGGGATTTGCAATGAATGAAAGAAACAAGAAAACACCGAGCTGCAAATAATGTTGGTAGATAGATTAACCTTTGCATAGGTAGCATAAAGATGCAAGCAAGCTCAAAGATATGTATCGACCGTGCTAATTACATCAACACATTCAACATATACTTTACTTAGCAGATGTCCTCAATCTTCTGCTCAACGCCATCATGAGCCCCCAGGTCCAGCTTCAACGTACGACCAAACAGCTCCAGAAGAATCTCAAAGCAGATCTTGGTGATAGCAGGATCATATCGATTCTTTGAGAGTTCATCCCTGATAAACGCATCTATACCCCATATCATATTAGCACTTCCTGCTTTAAACTTCCTACCAAAAGAAGAAAAGAAGAAGAGGAAACAAGAAGACTCACGCTGTGCCCCCGCAACTTCATACCAGCTAAAAATTACCCCCTTCTCCCTCAATGTCTTCCGAATCACATCTCGTCCCTCAGCTGGCACGTGGTTGTCCAACGTGCCATGGATCATGGCCAGCTCGGCTTTCATCTCGCTCGCGCGGGCGAGGCTGTCGTCTTTTTTGCCTAGCCCGAGAGTGGCGCTGTGCAGGTCGGTGGCGAAATATGTTACGGCTGCGGAGATGCGCGGGTCCAGGGCACAGCGGTAGGCGAGGTGGCCGCCGAGACACATACCTGTGGAGCCGATGCGGCCGGTGCAGGTTTTTAAAGAAAGGAGGGTGGTGATGGCTAGGGAGGAGTCTTCGTCGTAGCCGGCGAGGGTCTGGATAGTGTTAGTTGGTGTGCTTGAGGGGGAGGGGGTAAGGTGATAAGGGGATAAGGGAGTAGTGATTGAGTTGAAATGAGGGGACAGTACCTTTTTGACCTTGTACTCGTTTCCTGCGTCTGTGCCGGGACCATCGTAGGCCAGGGCTTCCGGGCCTGTGAACTCGTGGTAGGAGGAGGGTGCGGCTACGATGTATCCTTGGCCAGCAATTTGGCGAGCGAAACGTGCTACTGGGCCGGTGACTGAGAAAGGGAGAGAGAGGTAAGTATTGGGTGAAGATGGAGAGGAGAGTAGGAGAAGAAGATATGTAGTACAGCTGAGACCAGGATGACTTCTAAGGAGAGGAAACGAAGATGCTTCAAACTATTGATATTATGCGTATATGGGATTTGTATTGAGTGAGCGTCCAACAGAAATCTATGTGTGCAAGCGGGGATCAAATTGCCCTGACTGATAACAATTCCGAATCTTGAAACTACCCCGCAAGGAACTGCCTTCCTGTGCTAAGACATAGAAAATTTGCCTACCTTGATAAATCTCACTGAAACACACAACACCAGGAAAGCGGCTGTGGGACAATCAGCTACAATGTCCTTATCTGATAGCAACACGACCTAACGCACGCATTGGGATAGTTCGGGATAGAGGGGTGGAAGAGGAAAATCCCTGCCACATATCAGCCCTATCCTATTGCTGACGAGGGAGACACGTGATATACTCATAGATCCGTCTTTGCCGTCAGCCTTGGTGGCCACATCTTTATGAGTCTCTTGAATCAACATCTTGAGTGTTTGTGTTCAATATTGTTGGTTTGTTTGTCCTTGCACAAATCAATGTTTTCTTCAGGTGAGAGGAGGGGTGGTGTGGTGTGGTGTAGTGTTGGGTGGGTGGTGCGGTGGTGTTGTCGTGAGGTGAAATACACTCGTACCCCTGGCACTGATTATGCCATGCCATGCCGAACCCCTGCTGCCTTAATGCACGAATGACGGCGTCCGAAATCTCCGGCAGTATTGTAATGTAAATGTACCAAATAATTCATTGCGCACCCAACTCACTTCCCGTACCATAACCATTACATGCGATAAGGACGACATCCAACTTGAACACTCTCCTTCGACCATCCCACTTCTTCTTCCTCCTTTCTTGCTACTCTAATTCTTCTATTCTCCGTCCGACTTTCTCCAGCAAACTGTAACTCTCCAACCCGACTCATCAGTAAGCGGATACCTACGTGTATACTCATTTCGTCTGCGAAAACTGGACACGCGACAATACTTCTGAACATTTGCGATAACAAGACATGTCGAGCGTGAGAACCCGGCGGCAAGCAGCTGCTATTTCAACTCCTACCACTCCATCTCCCGCTCCTAGAGGAGAACAAAAAGCCATGAATGGCAATGGTTTAGCTCACGGAGCTACGAGGGAGAAAGAGCCCAAGGAGAACATCTTTGTGTTCTGGCCGAACGTTATCGGTCAGTCATTGTTGCAGCAGCAGCAGCATCAATATCAATACTGACCCATCATATGCAGGATATGCGCGAATCGTTCTCGCTTTTGCATCGTTATACTACATGCCTCTCCACCCGAAAACCTGCACCTTCCTATACAGCGTGTCCTGCCTCCTCGATGCGCTCGATGGTTACGCAGCTCGATACTTTGAACAGTCGACCAAATTTGGAGCTGTATTGGATATGGTGACGGATCGTTGCACAACGTCTTGCTTAATCGTCTTCCTCGCATCTGCCTGGCCTCGATACGCTCTCGTATTCCAAGGGCTTATCTCCTTGGATCTGGCAAGCCACTACGTTCATATGTTTGCTACCTTGAGTATGGGAGGCTCGGGTCAGAGCCACAAGACAGTGGATGTTTCCAGGAGCAAGATTCTGAATCTGTACTACACGAACAAGGTACGTCTACACCTGTTATTGCCCTGCATGGTTGCTGAGTAAAATACAGACTGTTCTATTCATCTGCTGCTTCCTCAATGAAGCATTCTTCATTGCGCTATACCTCCTCTCCTTCTCCTCGCCCTACCTCTCCCCCTCCCTCCTCGAAGTCAAGAAACTTGGCCAGCCCGGAGTGACTCTACAACCGGGAAGCCCATCCGGTGCTTCAGCATCATCACTGATTTTCGCCAATCCCCACAGCGCAGCAGCTTTGGAGCTGGCACGCGCAAACAAGATGGACTCGTTCGTACCATGGGTTGTCGCTGGTGTCAGCCTTCCGGTTATGGCGTTCAAGCAATTTGTCAACGTCGTACAATTGGTCAAGGCTAGCAGATGGTTGGCGGAAGGAGACCGCGAAACGAGAAGGGCTGCTGGTTTGCCAAGAAAGAAGAACTCTCGCAAGATCAAGTGAGGATGAGAGAATCGATAGCGATTCTGGTCATAGGGGATTTCTGTGTGGTCAGGTTTTGACGGTGCGATTTATGCATAGTTGATTCATCTCAAAGCCCTGTAGAGAGGGTTCTAACTTTCGTTCATGTACTTTTACTGGGAGCTGGCATGCTTCCACTTCTACATTGCGTTGGTTTTCTACGCTCGTTCTTGTACTTCATTTAACTTATTTTCCCACTGTCATTAGATGGAGGTTTGGCGTTAACGGACGGTGCATACCTACCTGCAAAGCAGAAATGCTAAATTTGTTGGAGGGCTGAATTTGAAGATGCTGATAATAATAATATTGAATGGCCTTTTAAGTACCTGAAGCAGAATAGCCCGATGAAACGACTAAAATAGTTCGGTCTAACAAACCTGGGTAATATAATAGGTACCGATCTTGATCCTGGCCCTGGCTTTCCCTGTGAGACTCGGGCCCCTTTAACGTGGCACCCCACACCAGACTCTGTGTCCCCCCAGACCCCGCGTTGTTGATTCATCACATTCGCCCAACAAAATAAAAGTGAAAAACGTACCTGGGATTCCCGACTTCCTTCATTTCGAACATTCTTGCTCATGCCACCTCGTGACAGGAAGATGCTGTCCTAGGAGTATGGTAAAGGATTCCCGTGGCTGAGTGGCATATCATATTCAACTGATTAATTTACGTACTGCACTTATGCCACGCACGCTCCACCCCGCAATAGAGAAGACTTGGATTGATACTTATCACATGAGAATACATTATTATATTAAATACATATTGGGATAGATTCAATTATATGCAAATAGGGGGGTGGTTGAATAGCTAGCTGTCAGATCTGCTGTTCTTCGCCTTTGGCCGCTTGAGAGCTATTCGTGTCCCCGGTCCAATGGTACATCCACACAAGGGCCAAGCTCAACGATCCACATTCACAAGCGTCACAACCCACATCTGCTGCTGCTTCTGCACTGCACCCATCCAAACTTTTGATCACAAGCACAATCGTTACTCCCAAGGGAATGCAGACTGTTATTCACGAAAATAGGGATTGAACATCCCTCCATCAATTCCACCAAACTCTGTGTCAAGAATATGCCAGACACCTCGCCCCCGCCATCGTCCAGGCGGTTTACACCGACCCCAGTCGAAACAACGGTCAAGAAGAGTCGACGATTCGCTCCAGAACCCGTGGAAACGACAAGTCGTAGGAGCAGGAAGGAAGATGTGCTCAAAGTCGAGGAGGCTGCAGCATCAGCATCAGACAAGGGAAAGGAAGCTGCTCCTCCCCCAAAACGCCGTTTCATCCCGGAACCTGTTGAGACTACATTTAAGAGTAGTAAACACCACACTGCGAGAGCTCTACCTACCCCTGAGTCAACGCTCAACTCGATCCCCAAAACCTCTCCTCCTTCAGAACCCCCAAAGCCCAGGAGAAAGTTTACTCCAGATTTGATTGAGACCTCACGGAGGTCCAAGAGGGCGGGCGACTCGAGGCCTGCCACGCTGCCAACTGATAAGGTGGGTGGTCTGATATTATGCCAATATTCACACAGCTTGACTGACTCGTACCTAATAGACCGATCTTACACCTGGAGTCCCAAATATATACACACGCCCCAAGCGGAAAACTCCACGCCCTCCCGCCGTCCCCGTCCCCTCGGTTCCGGACAATACCCCAACTCCAAGCGCTGCCAACATACACTCCACCCAAATACCACCCCTTCCACCTCGCAGACAGCCTTCAATGCGTCCACATCCTAATACAAGACGAAGCACGAGACAAGATTCCTACCAACCAGAGTTGGAAACTATAGAATCGTCTGAGTCCCAAGACCTAGAAGATGAAGAGGAGGATAGCGATGGCACACCGTCTCTTTCAGGATCTATGGGCTCATCTGAAGATTCCATCCAGCGCCTACAACTTGCCCGCACCCGCGAAAGCTGCGATGACCGTTTCTCAGGCTACCTCCTCGCGCTCGCCGCCAAAGCAGCAGAGAAGCAGCTTCGCGAACAAGCGCTCGCCGCCTTTCCAAACGAGACATCCTACGAAATAGTAGAGCACTTTTACAATGAGGAAATTGAGCAGCCTTCAGATGAAGACGAAGTGGAGGGGGTCGGCCTCCTAGATCACAACCATAAGTCACTACGTAGACAGTCCACAGATGTGGGCTGGGCGGCGAAGGAAATGCAAGCCCACCAGGAAAAGCTCAATCGGATGCGAGAGGAGGAAACGAATCAGAAAATAGCAGACGAGGCCACGAAACCCACATTCAAAGACCCCTTTTGGACAAACGGCATGACCGCCCCTCCAGTCAATAAAACAGTCAACAAAGCCAAAGAAGCAGAGTTAGAGCGTATGCGCAGCGCTGCTTCTCCACCTATGCTTGGCGCGGATCTCAAATTCAGAATGTGCCCTTCTCCCAAGGCAACGAAATTCGAGTCAGATCAGCGTATCGATGTCCAGCATATTCAGCCCAGGAAAAGCCAAAACGGAGGTGGGCTTTGGGGAGGTTATTGTGTAGCTGATGAACCGGGTACCATGATCACTCCTGGTAAGCGCGGACCGGCGCTGATTCAGACTCCGCGTGACGAACGCGAGGATCCGTTTAGCTCTGCGTTTGCTTCGGCCTCTGGTGCAAAATCCCCTCGGGATGGCGCAGGGGGTGTGAGGATGTTGACGGGCTTGGATGAGAGACTCAAGGCAGAAGTAGCTCGGTCTAAAGCCGAGGAATCCGTGCTTGCGGAATTCAACGATGCGTTTGTGACACAAGTATATAATTACCTATCGCTCGGCTACCCTGCACTAGCCCGTCAGTATGACGAGGAACTGGCGAGGATCTCTAGAATTGAACCCGAGGAACTCAGGGGCGATGATCATAAGAAGAACGCAAAGGGGCATATCGGCCTGGTCGATGCACCTGGGACTGAGACTGGGGAGGGCGGTGCGGTGAAGTGTAAGAGGTGGAAGGCGCTGCGGATTTATATCCTCGAGTGGGCGCGGCAGCATCCTGACATGGGCGTTGATGGACTGGCGAGTCCTGGCGCGTGGGGTGTGCGGGCGAGGAGGGGGAGTTGGGCTATCTAAGTGAGATACGCGTTTTCCAATTGAACATGAACAGACAGATTGCAATAGTGAATGAACAGGGAGCGAGTAAGCAAGCGAGGCGTTGGGGGTGTCAGTGTCAGACAGACTTGGCTGGTTAAAAATCCTTTTGGTTTTTCTCCTTTTTTTCTTCGTTATTTTCTTTCGTCCTTTCCGAGTATATCTTTAGGGTGTCTTCGGGTCTCCTATTACTTTGCTATTTTTAGATGCATGGCATGATGCGAGCAAGGGAAGATAGAGGGAGATAGATAGATCATTACGACATTATGAGGTGGTACTTTGTGGATGTGCGTGCGTATGGTACATATATGTGATGTGAGGGGAAACCTTGGATGGATGGATGGAAAGGGGGAGGGAAGGAGGGGGTTGTTTATAGTATAAGGGTTTTCGGAAGAAGGGAAGGGAATGAGATAGGGGGTTAGGGAGTTTAAGAGAGAATGAATAAATAAGATGAATTAGTAAAAGGGAGGGTTTTCTGCATGTTTTGGTTTTTATGTGCGTGTGCGTAATGTGTTACTAAAGGCAGGTAGGAGTTCGATTTTACTCGAACTATAGGATCCTGCAGTATTGTTATTACGCGTCTTTCCTCTATTAAAAGTCTTTTACTACAAGCTACTTCTTTCGAGGTAAGAGGTGAAAAGGGGGTATATCTATATCACGTGTTATAGATAATGACTTATAAATCTCTCTCTCAAACTGCGAGCTAGCTTAGGACAAGTATAGAACAACCGGCACCCTCTTCTTCATAAGAGCGGGGTTTTATATGGTGTTTACTATAGCGGTTGGAATGGAGTACGTGGATTGTGGATTGTGGATTGTTTATATGCTAGACATGTGCAGTGGAATGGATCTCTCTTGCTTTGTATCTGTATATCTTGGGTAGGTAATTTCTCTCTAAGCAGAAAGCTAAGGAACTTATTTCCTGTGGCCTTTCTTGTGCATCTGCATCTGAAGATTCTTTCGTCTTGCTCTTTATTTACTTTGGAGTATTATTATTTTTGTTGTGTTTATGCCCGCGTGACTTTACACGTGACTTGTACTTGCTGTGTAGGTACTTTTACGTGATATCTTCTGATGATGTCATGCGGGGTTAACAAATCACCACTTGATATAGGGTTTAAGAAGTGCTTTCGGAGAAAACGTTTCGGAGAAAGATTACACGTAGTAGGTAGGTAGCTTTGATTATGTTAATGGTACAATAATAGAGTATTTCGTAATAGTATTCGTGTATGATACGTTATGAGTACGAGAAGGAGAATTAATCATTAGATGAGAAGGTAATTCGTCATAGAGAAAGAATTAGCTTTTTCAGAACTCCGAGACTGCCCCGCACCGACTGACTTAAAACAACAACATCCCACCACTCCTCCATAAGTTCTTACTTTTAGACTCGTCTCTTCTTTTCCTAAATACCTACCCAATCCACGATCAATCAATTGAACAATTGAATAATATTCAAACCAAACTTCTAACTCAACAACAACATAAACATCACCATGGCACCCAAAGTCCTCTTCGTCCTCACCTCCCACGACAAAATGGGAGACACAGGCAAGCCAACAGGATGGTACCTTGTACGTCCCCTCCACTTCATCCCATCCCAACCCATCTTAATTCAATGCGTGGCCAATTTACTAACATCCCTTTCCCTTCCCCTCCAAAAGCCAGAATTCGCACACCCCTACGAAGTACTAGCCCCCCACACCCAAATCACCATCGCATCGCCGAAGGGCGGTCCTGCGCCCCTCGATCCCTCATCCGTCGAAGCCAGCACATCGGACGCCGTATCGGTCAAGTTCCTGAAGGACCGTGAGAGCTTGTGGAAGAACACTGAGAAGCTATCCTCGTTCTTGGGGCGAGCGGGAGAGTTTGAGGCGATTTTTTTCGTGGGCGGACATGGACGTATGATATCTCCATTTTTCTTTCTTCCTCTCTTTGCTTTTGATCTCGATTGTTTGGGGAAGGGTTTGGGTTAGATGTGCATATGGATTCGAATGTGGATGGAAGGCTGATGAGGGTATAATACACAGCGATGTTCGACCTAGCAACCGATGCCACAAGCCACACCCTCATCAACGAATTCTACACGCACAACAAGATAATCTCCGCCGTCTGCCACGGCCCCGCGGCCCTCACCCACGTCAAGCTCCCAAGTGGCGGCTTCCTGCTGGACGGGCAGCCCGTAACCGGCTTCTCGAACGCCGAAGAAGATGCGGTGGGTTTGAGCGCCGTTATGCCGTTTAGCCTCGAGGATAAGCTGAGCGAGGCGTCGGGGGGCAGGTTCGAGAAGGCGAAGGAGCAGTGGGGTCCGCATGTGGTGGTTGGTAGAGAGGGGAGATTGATTACGGGGCAGAATCCGGCGAGTGCGGGACCGTTGGGGGAGAAGGTTTATGAGGCGATTTTTGGGGATTTGAAGGTTTAGGGGAAGGGAAGGAAAGGAGGGTGAAGGAAAGTGATCAATTATGGATATTTGATGTAGCTTTTTGATAGAGAGATATAATTTTAAAGCACCACCCTTTATTCTTCGTTGTGAATGAATTAAATTGTTGGAGAGTAAATCCTTCCTTTAGATACTCGCTCTTCCTAAATTTGAGCCAAGCTTGTCATTTATTGCTTCTCTTCCAGTGCGATCCAACCAATCTGACTACTAGATTCCAAAGAAATTGCTAATCATAACTCAAATCCAATTCGGTCCAGTCCAGTTCAGTTCAGCCCGCAAAGACAAAGCATTTGGATTTCGTTTCGGACCTTGACTAGAAAGGTAAAAAATTACAAATTATTAAAAAGGCTAGAAAGGCATAGAAACTTACCTAGCTAGCAGTCGTTAGAAGTAGCTTCTGGTTTGTTGGATCAAATACGACATGAAACTCATAATTTTCTCAAGCATTCTTAACGCTGTACGTTCTTGCTGAAAGACTACGAACTTGAAATGAGTAGTAGATTCCCAAGTCGCATCCACAAGTCTCGCAATGCGGAAAACCTAGACCCTACTATCCAACAAAGGCGCTCTCTCATCATCATTTCTCCCCAACCCCCGTCCCCCAACCGCCTCGCCATCATCCTCCACGTCCTCCTCTTCCCGCAGAACAGACTTGACATACCAAATAGTCCACAGCGCCATCAGTCCCGCCAACGGAAACGGCCCCGCCCACCCCACGGCATAAACAGCAGCAACCGGCAGCCAAAACACAAGCCCCGCGACCAGCACCGCGAAAACATAAAACGCCAGCATCCACACCACGCTCAGCGTCCAGATCATGCGCCGAAACACCGCACTGCTCGCGTACCGCTGCGTCCACGCGCGTCGGTACTCGGCCCCGCCGTTGCCGTCCACGGCGACCACGTCCTCGACGATGTAGTACACCGCTGGGCGGAGCGCGTTGCCGGGCTCCAGACTGCCGAAGCGGAAGGGCAGCGGGAGGGCTAGGTGGTGCAGGAGGAGGGAGAGGAGCGTCAGCGTGGCGAGGAAGAACATGAGCAGTGATGCGGGGAGGGATACGAGGCGCGTCTGCAGCGAGTGGTCGTCGTGGTCGGAGTCTCCGCGCGCGAGCGCGGATGTGATGAGCGCGGAGATTAGCAGGAGGGAGGCGAAGTAGCCCCATTGGAAGACATCGAGTGCCCAGCGGGGAGAGGCGAGGGGGCGGAAGGTAGGTGGTGTCTGGGTTAGTTTGTAGATTCTTTCGAGGATGGCGAGGGCGGTGAAGAGGCCTAGGACTGCGGTTGGGATGGTGAGGACTATTGAAAAGGGGGTTAGTGGAAGGGATGGTGGTAGTCATGTGACTTTTATTTTGATTAAGGGGGGCTAACCGGCTATACGATCCATGTGTGGACTGCCGTACCAGAGCCCGTAGAATAGGCCTAGGTTTATGAAGATTGGCGGGATGGTGATGATGGTCCAGGCCAGTGCTATGGAACGGTAGCGGCTGTGGAGGGAATATGGAAGCGCGCTTTTGACGGCCATGTTGGGTGGTTGGCGACAGCTGGCTGCCGCTGCTGATCCCGTCTGATATACGAAAAGAGCAACACAGGTAAAATAGGATGTGGTTTGTTTATCCAGTGTCTTGCTGTGGAAGAGATGTTTTGCATGTCGGGATAGTGACGTGGGCCGGAAGACTCGGGTAAATGACTCAAAACCTTCATCGCTTGAGGTGGCGCGCAGTCGGAATAGGGGCAGTTCGCTTATTCTAGCGTGTGAGCCCTATAAGCACAGTGAGGTTCTCAGGATAAGTAGGTAAATAAGTATTTTCTATTAGCTAACCTTGAGATAGGAAATGTTTTAATAACATTGAGAAAGTAGAGCACTTGATATTAAGTAAACTAGGTTCTTTGAATTCTATATTCACATAATTAGAGATATTTAACAAGCGCTGTCAAGCCTGGGGACGAATCTCCCTAGAAACCTTACCGGACATCCACGTACTGTTCTAACTGAATTGAATAGGTAGTTAGAAGTACGAATGAAAGCAAAGCATGATTTGGCATCTAGATATTTTATACTAGATGAATTTCATAACCGGGTCTGATATTAGTTCTTGTTATCTAATCCAATATAATCAGGAGCTATAGAGTAAGGAGCAAGGATCTGTTATACAGGGTAATAGAACTATGAATAAGGACTTTTTGCTAGAAGAGAATGAGTATCGAATTCAGGGTTTGATTTCGTAAAAAGGGAAGTTGACTTTGATTTGGGGAATCAAATACGGATGAAGTACTTTGTATATTGATGAAGGTTGTTAAGGTAGGTTACCCGGTTACTCCATATGAATGGATATCCCACATGCGGTTGAAAGGATATCAGGTAATAGCGGTATCAATACATGAAACTCTCAAGTAAAATATTACTTGCTTGGATCGCATCTCTGGATAGAGACAAAAGATGCAACTCGGCAAAGTTTCCATTTGCCAATTTATCTCAGCGAAAGCGGCCGCTATCTGATCTGAATGCGGGTGAGCCGAGCCCCATATTTCCCCACGTCAGAAGCCCTTTCCTTCGTCAGCTTAGAAGAAAGGAGGGCACCCAGCACCCGTCGGCTGTACGAGTCCATCAAGCTGTACTACTTACTACCCGTTGGCTCGGCTGAGTGGACATGGAATGTAGATACACTTGTACATAGGTACATGGCCTCTCGACATCGAGTACTGTAGCCTTACCTGCTAGCGCTCTCGCGATGGCCTCATGGAAGACCTTCTCTTTCGTCCTGTTGGGAGATCTCTCTTTGTTCACATGCCATGCGTGCCGAGTAACTAGACTGCCTTACCCCCACTCTGTGGAGTGATAAATAGGAGGGGATGCTTCGGTGTTGGGGATGGTCACTTGCTCTTCTGCCACGCTCTAAGGTAGTCATCAACTCGCTGCTCGCGCCGCAAACTTACGTCGATTCGTCAGCTCGTCCTCCCTTTGCTCTTTCCCTATATATGATATATGACAGCCTTCTCCCTCTCTTTTCGTGGATTCCTCAGAGACTGTTTGTCGCTGCGTCGATCTGGAAGACGATAAAGTACCTAAGGTATACAGTAAAGTGTTTAATTGTCGCTATGGCTATGAATGTGGAAAACAAAACGGCTATTATCACCGGCGCTGGCTCGGGGATTAACTTTTGCTATGCGAAGCTTCTGTTGGGCAAAGGCTGTAATGTAGTCATTGCAGACCTCATGCTACGGCCAGAAGCGCAAGCGCTGATTTCGGAATACCCGTTGGAATCGAAAGGCGCGAAAGCTGTTTTCCAGAAAACAGATGTTGCGGACTGGGCGCAGTTGGAGACGATGTTTGAAATCGCAACGAAGCATTTCGGGGGCGCGGATATTGTGTGTCCTGGAGCTGGAATTTACGAGCCAGTAACTATCCACCTACCATTGACAGATCAGGTCTCAGCTGATGGTTCTACAGCTCTGGTCCAATTTTTGGATTCCTCCGGGAACAGGGACCTCGAGAGATACAATTGAAGGGTCGAGATACGCGATATTGGACATCAACGTCACGCATCCAATCCGAGTGACACAGATGGCCATCTCGCATTTTCTGAAGAGGAATAAGCCAGGCGTTATAGTGCATATCTCTTCAGTCGGTGGACAAGCACCGAATTTCCCAACGCCTGTATATGTTGCCACCAAACATGCGATCAATGGCCTTGTGCGATCCCTGGACCGGCTTGAGGACCCCCCGGCGCACCTCCCCAAGATTAGAGTCAATGCTGTAGCGCCCGCAAGGATTTTGACGCCGCTGTGGACTGATAACGCGGAGAAGATGGCAATGGTGATGAAGAATAACCCGGGCTGGGTGACGCCGGAAGATGTGGCGTTGGTGATGCTGGACCTGGTGGAGAAGGAGGAGCATGTTGGAGGGACGATTCTTGAGGTTGGTGCTACGGTTGGCCGGGTCGAAACGTTCAATGACGGGGGTCCTGCGAGTCGTGGTAATGGGGTGAAGAATGATCCGGGGTACGAGAAGGATATGTGGGCTATGATGGAGAAGATTGCGGCGGAGAAGTAGAGATATGGGATACATCAGATTGAAAGCCGTTATTCTATGGAATTTGTATGGCTTTGTCCTTTCATTGACAAACAAAACGCAAATAACTAGGTAGGTAGCTACTGTTTTCGCGAAAGCGGTAAACCCTCGCTTGACTCCAGTTACACAAGAACCCCTTTCTTCCAAGAAGCTTGGATCTGATCTGTACTTCAAACCCCGATCACGTGATGCCTCTCCAATTTAAAAAAAGTAAATTTTTCAAATCAGTAGTCTCGCTAGACCCTGTTCCTGCCGGCCCTTGTTTCACCACTTTTCCCTCCACACGCCACCCCGCGTGCGAAAGAGCCAATCACGATAGTCGCATTGTTGTACTATGCCACATGCAGGAGTACGACGACGCCCATTCCTTGTTTTGCAGTGGAGCTACCCGAGCTAGACTGATAGGCAGGTGCTTGGCGTGAGGTTATCAGCGAGCGAGAAAGAGATCTGGATCCTGCAAGAGCGAAAAGGGAAAAGTGGTGATGTGTACTCCGTACAGTAGGACGGATAAAAAAGAAAGTAGACGTGCAGTGCTACCCTAGTACCTTGTCCTTGTCTGCTTGCTTGCTTGCTTGTGCTGTGCCTTGGATTGATTGTTTGGTGACTGGCCTTGCATCTACCGGTATCCTCATTCCTAACCTCGTCTCCTTTCCCCATCAACACTCGAGACTGCCACCTTCGTTCGGCTGCTGCTATTGCTTCATTCATTCGTTAGCTAGAGGCAGAAGTAGAGGAAAAGGAAGAGGAAGAGGAAGCGGACGCGATCGAGAAGAGACGCCAGAGACTTTACGTTCGTTAAAAGAAAAGGAAGGAAGGAGCCCAAGAGGACAATACTACATTACGAAGGATATCACAACAACACCACACTCGCTTGCTCAATCAATCAACGCGTTTTCATTGCACCAACATTCTTTCATAAACCTTCGCCATGTTCGCGAACATGTTGGTTAAGAGCGCGCTGCTTGCAAGCTTCGCTATCAGTGCTACAAATGCCATTGCCACCATCACTACCTTGGGCAACAAGTTCTTCGATAGCGATGGCAATCAATTCTTCATGAAAGGTGAGACTGTCGCCGTGAGCTCTTGGGCAAGGACTTTGCTAACGCGGACTAGGTGTTGCGTACCAATTGACCGAAAAGGACCCCTTAATCAACGAGGATCAATGCAAACTCGATGCCTCCCTCATGAAAGATCTAGGCGCGAATACAATCCGAGTTTACCACGTCGATGCGTCTGGTGATCACGATGGGTGTATGTCTGCATTTTCTGACGCTGGTATATATCTTTTGGTGGACTTGGATACTTTCAACACTGCTATCAATCCCGTAAGCCTTCCCCTCCCCCACCACAGCAGCAATGGCTGATAAGTGCAGATTGTTGCTTCCTGGAACCAAACACAATTCGAACGCTACTCTGCCGTCATGGACGCCTTCGCCAACTACGACAACACAATGGGGTTTTTCGTTGGGAACGAAGTTGTAGCCCTCAACAACCAATCCCTCGCCGCACCCTACGTTAAAGCTGCAGCGCGGGATCTTAAAGCCTACAGAAACTCCAAAAACTACCGCGAAATCCCCGTCGGCTACTCTGCAGCAGATATCGCTGAATTGCGACCAATGTTGCAAAACTACTTGGCTTGCGGCACAAACTCCTCAGAAAGCATCGATATGTTTGGCTTGAATGCATACGAGTGGTGCGGCGACGTAAACCTCCAAACCTCCGGCTACGACACCCTCAACACCTACGCGAAATCCCTCAACATCCCCATCTTCTTCTCTGAAACAGGCTGTAATACCAATCGACCCCGTACCTTTGACGACCAGTCTGCCATCCTCGGCCCAGATATGAACGATAATTGGTCTGGTGCGATTGTGTACGAGTGGATTCAGGAAGCTAATACGTATGGTCTGATCTCGTATGGGTCGACGGTGGCTGCTACGGCTGTCGCGACTAACGTCCAAGGTGGCTTCTCAATCGCTGGGACACCCACTCCGGTTAGTCCTGATTTCTCGAATTTGCAGGCACAGTGGAAGACTCTTACGCCATCTGGTGTGCAATCCTCGACGTTCACACCAAGCATCACGGCACCTGCATGCCCTGCTTCTACTTCCGGTGGCTGGCTGGTTGACGGAGATGTGAAGCTGCCTAGTGTGGGCGAGACAGAGGTAACAGGCACTGCGACGGCGACGGCGACGGCGACTACCTCGGGGACTGTAAGCGCGACGGGAACTGCGGCGAGTGCGAGTGCTACCGGAAAGAAGGGCGGTGCGAATACGAATGGTGGGAAAGAGGTTGCGGGGATGGCGGTTGGATTGGCTGGTGTTATGGTAGGGTTTATTTACTGGCTATAATTCATCAAGCGACTCATACTCTACGAAAGCAGCGAGGATGTAGAAATGAAGGAGGGGAGGAAGGAAAGTCAGGTTGTAATTGCCAGGCAGACTACATGATTCATTGAGCGCACGTTATATGATAGCGCCGGCGTTATTTTATGGGATGGGATCACTTTTTCTTTCCGGCATGGTTTGCAGGGAGGGGAGGGTGACAAGAGATGGAAAGTAATGATAATGGATGGATTGATGGGATGGAATAGACGAACGATAGACGTTGTAGAAACGAGGAATAAACAGTTCATATTCTCAGGTTGTGAGTATTGTATTATTGTGACTTGCCTACTTGTTCCTCGATCCCTAAGTCTCGTGCTTTAATTTACATTACCCCATCTGCTTCTTGCATTATCTGTATCTGTATCTGTTTCGAAGGAGCGGTAGATGTGGATGGATGATTACGATTTGAGCGCGGCGTGCGTGCGTGGGCTAGCTAGCTGTTGCTTGGAATGAGAAAGGGGATTTGGGTTGGGTTAATGAATGATTAGAGAGGAAGTAGATAGGTAGGTATATGTACTTGAAGCAGGTATAATTGGAATATTTATTAGCCAGGTCAGGTGGGTGTGGGAATTGGAAGTGAAGAGGGATGTCTGCTGGATTTGAGATTTGAGATTTGAGCTTGCGGAGTTGGTTTTCAGTTTCTGTTTTAGTTCTCTTGTTTTCATTCGGCTTTGGGGATTATACTCATTTTCCGTTCTGACTACCTGGGTAAATTTGTTCTTCTCTTTCGGCGTTACTATCACAAGATTCACTGCCACCATCGAGTAGTTATTCTCTTGAACACTTCAACACATTCATTGTTTCGAGCTGGCCCAGAATCTTAAAGTTACTTGTAGGCTATTTCCTGCTCTCATCTTAGCTGGATATTTACTTGCTTCTTGAAACTCAAGACTATATTCTATTCACCACCTCTTTGACGCATCTGATATCACACCTATAGATTTACTCTTTTTAGGTTATATCAAACGAGAACCGTCTAGCACAATCCTCTCAGCAATTCTCAACTCCATTCCAACATCCCTCAACCCAACCATGGACCATCACTTCAGCCCCGTGGTTCCTACCCTCACCATACCACGCTATTCCTCTCCTCCACCAGCAAATACCTTCCCGACACCCCTCCCACCACCCAACCTCCCTCTCCGTCTTCCTCCCCTCTTAGCCGCATCCTCCACCACCTCCCACATCCTCGACCCCGCAGAAGACGAAAACAGAAACCGGGAAGCATGGAACACCCTCACGCTGCACAGGAAAGAACGCATGCCCCTCGTCATAAACTCCAGCGAACGCCTCCACGCTGTCCTGGGCCTTAAAAACGAACAACCCTTCGACCTACCACAAACCCCAGCATCCGTGCTCGCAAAACGGGCCTCCCTACCTCCGACCCAGAGAGCGTTGTACGACATGTCTGATGTTGCTAGCTCAATGGGTCTAGGTCTAGGTCTGGGAATCAGTCTAGATGGTGCAAGAGGGGTAAAGCGGTATCTAGACGGCACGAGTCCGAAAGTCACTATGGCGTCAAGTGTGGAGAGGGAGGTGGAGAAGGAGACGGGAAGGGGGTTGAGGGAGTACTTGTTGCTGAAAGGGAAGGAGGGGGGGGTGCAGAAGAAGATTTCGTGTCGGAGTTTGGAGTTTTATGATTTCACGCCTGGTGATTTGAGGACGAGTAGGCCGAGGAATGTGCTTTTGAGCCGTTATGGCGCGGAGAGGGGAGCGAGGGTGGATTTCTATGAGGTTGAGTTGTATGTCTCCTTTCTACCTCCTGACGTTTTCCATGTACTAGTGCTAATGCTGATGCTGATGGGAATAGACCGGCTACACAAACAGATCCTTATACTGGAGCTGTGATGCAGACCACTGAGACTTGGAACTGGTTCTTGCTCTCTCGACCAATGTTCACTATCTCTACTGCAGACCGAGAAATGAAAATACAAACACCAACACGCCATCCCATCAACCCCACATCCCCCAAGTCAGGCAACACGGAATTCTTTACTCCTTCCACATCAACGCATTCCAGCATTCGGCCACAACCACAGCTGCCACAGCGACAACCTAACCTCCAACACCCAACTCCAACATCATGGCTCGTCTTCGCCCTCCCCAAAGCACATTGCACAATCTACCCAACCCGCACTGAAGAACCGCCCCTGGCGCAAAACACAAACACAAGCACAATCACCAAACGCACCGACCTGGACCTCTCGCATTCCGGCATACCGATCTTCGAATTCTTCCCCAAAGACGCCAAGCAAGAACTCTCCACCTGGTCCAACTACATAGTCGACCTCATAAACACCGTGCACCGCCCACCCAACGCTTCAGCAAAAGAAGCAGACGGTATTACTGCCGAGATCGAGCTTCTGGAACGTCTGTACGAGGATGGGATTAAGGGGAACTGGTTTTCCGTGCAAGGGGGAGTTGGTATTGATTTCAACGCGGGGTTAGCAGCGGAAGTGAGGCAGTGGCAGGAAATCAGGGAGGCGATGGGGAGGGGCAAACTCAGGATTGTGATGAGGTGGACGGAGAGTATATTGCGGGACGATTCGGATGTAGATATGGATATGGATATGGAGGTGGGGGATTTCGAGATCAGTGGAATGGGTATGGGGAATGCAGGACGTGGATCCGGAGGTATTGGCCTGAAACGCACCACGAGGAGCGAAGCACGCAAGCGGAATGGGGGGCGCGGTGCTGGTGCTGGCACTAATGCTGAGAGTTTAATGCCAATGCCAAGCAGCAGCCTGTTACTCGGTATCGGTATGCCTTCTCGAACCCGAGCAAGACCTGCCGGGACTAGCGCTAGCGGGGGCTTGAAGACGAGTATCGCTGGAAGCACCAGTAGACTTGCGGAGAGTACCAGTATAATGAGGGAGGAGGATACCAATGGCGTGCGTTTGGACTCGAAGAGTCCGGGGAAAGAGAAGAAGAAGCAGGGACCACAAGCACAGGGTAAGAAAAAGGGTAAGGGGCGGAAGAGGTAGACTCCTTGCTTGAATCGTAGCTTGATTAATGGCTGGTGGGTAGGGGTATTTAGGGCTTGATATCAAATTTATTCTGATACTGAGCGAGGGTGCGAGAGGTCTTGCTTGTATGTGTATATGTATATATGTGGCTTAGCTTGCGCTCTTTGCTTTAGCAACTGCTTGTTCCTTACCTTGCGATAGCCACTTTCTCGCTATAGCTTATTGCGATAACTTAATAATCGAGCTTTACAGTACATACACATATACTCGGCTCGTATATAAATACACCTAGAAATCCGCTCGTACAGATATAAGGAATTTCCGCTTATCTAACGTGCCTATAGCCACCACATTTCTTTATTCGTTAGTCAACTTCTTTTTTTCGGCGTGGTAATATTGGTGTTGTTTCTGGGGAAAAGGATCCTGAATTGACTGCTGTTCTACAGTGGGAAGTACGCTTTATATGTAGGGCCTGAAGGCCCTAGCATGCCTGCTATGCATTCCAACAATTGGTTAGTATATATACTAGATTTGCTTCCGAAAACCATAAATGGACTTGAGGTACATGCCAAAAGGGTTAGGGATTAAGAAACCTTTATCTTATGTTGGTTTGGTTATAGGAATATGAATAAACGGCTACTAGATCGGACTGCAGGGTAAGTAATGATTCATCACGGCCGAATAAAGTCATTGAAGTGCTACTATAGCACTTTAATAAGCCAACATAATGCCGAGAGACAAATATGAAGATATCTTTATCTTATCAATCACGGTATGGTTTGTTGTAAAGAAATACTAGGTACCTAGGTAAGCAAGAATTTCTTTGTCTTTATGCCTCACTTCTCTTTCTTTATTGCATCCATCACACCATTCACCTTCAGCACACCTACTTTTCATCCCTTCCTCCCGCTCCCGCTCCCGCTCCCCGCTCCCCCTCAACCGGCCCGCTTCCAAGAACCAAACACAGCTAACTTCCATCTCACACTTCCTCCTCCTCATCCACACCCTCCCGCACCACCACCCAAGCAACCCATGCCTCCCACTCAACCAACCGCACGCCCTCCCACCTCACCAACCCAACATCCTCCCACCCCGCATACACCCACACCAAGAAAAAGAAAGCCTACCTCGAAGGCTTCAATCGAAAGATGGGCTCGAGCAATGGAGCTTAAGTACCTGCCCAGAGGAATTCCGGTAAATAAAAGTTCAGGACAAAAGGAAATGCAATAAAGCGAATGGGAGAAGAGACCCAAGTAAGAAACAGCGCTACGTAGTATCAAGAACAACTGACTAACATGGGTCCCACGCAGAGAATTCCAAAGACTTAAGCTCAAAATCAAGTCTAGCTTGAGGAAGGAAAGTGGGGGCAGATGAAAGACAGAAGTCATACTCGCTTTGGCGATTCTCCGGTCGATATGCATTGACTGCGCAGATTTTAAAGATACCGGCAGTGGGGTTCCTGGGTGAGTGAAAGTATAAGAGAGATAAGCAAGAACCTGTGTTGCTCGTTATTGAGCACCCAGTGCCCCATGGGGTCAGTGGATCCGATGTCGTGGGTTGTGGGGTCCCACGAAATTGAGTAGCGGAGTTCATGGGCATCACGTGATGGACGAAGAAAAGAGGGATCATGCAGCATTTGAACAACAAGCAGAGGGAAGGAAGACATGAGAACATTAGGTGTCATTAAAAATTATACTAACCAACGTAAGCTGTTATCCAAGCCCCGAGCCCAACTCCATCGCTATGCAATTCCCGCAGCAAGTATTATCGCGCCCCAGGTACATTGAGCGTATAAGGTAACCCCCCATCCTCGTTCGTCCTGCTGAGTTTGATCACACTGCTTGAAGATCGTAAACTCGAGCTCGAAGAGTCGCACCCCGCATTCCACGTCCTCCTACTCTGCGCAAAGCTGTTCATACTTGGCGACCGTGACACAACGCGCTTTCTACTCCTCGGCGTCGCAGGCGCGGTAGTAAAGTCAGACCGTCTTGTTGACGCAAGAGTGCCTACGCGTCTTGACAGAGCCGTGCGGATGGTGCCTTCGCTTCCACTGAGGCTGGTGAAGCTGCGGGAGGATGCTAGGGAGCGACTCCGTGGGGTCACGGGTGTGCTACTGGGGGACGCATCGTCGTCGACGTCGCTGTCTTCTTCGATATCTAGACTTGACAGGGCGGCGGGACTGAGTGCGGACATAGTGCGAAGGACCTCGGCAAATTGCTTCATCAGGTCGCGGAATTGTTCTTCGTTGAGTGGTCGTCCCCCGAACCTTGCATATTCATACGTGGAGAGGAAGTCTGTGGCTGTCGAAGGCGACGTTAGCACGCCAATGGTTACTAAGTGGCCGATGTAATCTCGAAGGCCCATGGAAGCTGGTCTTTGTAGCAGGTCCACTGCTCTGATGTCGGGTAGTGCTGGCTCGGTAGTTGATTCTGGATCCGGTGGTGCTAAGGAGACAGCCCTTGCTTCTATTAGATGTGGTAATTCTAAGATTACTGCAGTGTATTGTAAGTTTGGTAAGTCAGGCGAGGCGGGCGAGGCCCATCCATTGTGAGCAATGTTTCCCCAAAATGGACTCCGAGGTGGAATAGCGACAGTTGGTTCCTCTTCAGGTTGTGTGAGATGCCTGCGCAAAAAGCCTCGGCCCGTCTTATCTTCGGATTCTGGCTCGGGAGCCTTTACAATCGAATCTCGGGCATCTGGCCCGGAGACCATGGTTGCTGGTTGTGGGGAAACACGAGGCCTGGAGTCCCATGCTATCACAGCACTTCTGGTCAGACTCGCGACAACCATTTTCCTGACGTTCTTCGTCACATCCCCTTTATCCACCGGTATATATGTCTTCGGTATGCCTTCAAGAACTCTTTTGTTGGTATAAAGTCGAGAGGAGTAGAGGAAAATCCCAACAGCAACGGTCATAGCGTAGCCGACCACTATGACGACCGCAATCCATTTTTGACCGTTCTTGATGGCCTGATGGAAGGCATCGGCGGGGGGGACGAACAATAATGCAACTAAAGCGATAGCTAGAGTCACGAAGAATGTGCCGTAGAAGGCTCCGAACAGCGAAGGCGCCTTCATCGTCGCAACATGGTCCGCTGGAGCTCGCAGCTCCAGTAGCAGGTATCAAGCTATGCTGTTCATCGAGGCGTAGGTAGTGTACGGCGTCGATACACGGATCTCTTGCCGCTGCTGCCCCAACCTCTCCTGTGCAGCTATATCTATTCGAATGCTGTGAATATTTTCGTATCGAATGTGGCAATAAGAAGTGATGGATTGGTGATGTGGTTGAAGCAATGATGTTTGCGTGTTGATTGGGCTGAAGTGCATCGCAACCAAATCAGCCACTCTGGCTGACTAAGCAAGAGAGGGGTCGCTAAGCATTAGCTCCAGAAAATAATTATTATATCTTTGGTTTCTTCTTCTATATAGGAATTATCTTAAAAGAACGAAATTATCACGATATATCTTCTCCGCAATCTTAAAGGTGCACCCGTCCGAACCGCCAATTAAGAAGGATTGACTACGAAGTGGCGTGAGAGCAATTTCTGAGTTCTCTTAACTTTCAATGTCAACCTGGATATACAACTGTAACGGTTTTGGAAGACAATACTCCACGGTTATCGTCTTCTTTATCATAATACAGCTTTCCCATGCCCAACCAATAACAATGGATGAACGGAAGGCCAGTTTTTGAAGTGGTACGGAACAGTCTAAATAGCTGCATAGTTACGCAGCATACTAGCACAGGAGCAACTTTACCCACTGGCTCTCACGCTGTTGAAATACAAGCTGTTGAGGGTCATTTTTCATGCATTGTAGAAGTCTAGGGTACAAGAAGGAATGCGTTGCGGGTTTTTATACCTCTAGATTATCGGACACGTACCCGCTCACGAAGGCCACCACCATAATAGGCCTCGGATTGCCCTCAGAATCCTCGAGAGTAGAGTACTGCCATATCCCGACAGCATTTTATATCTCGGAGTCGGTTGCTTCACCCGCGCCCCCGTCAGCTCCTCCCACTTCGCGACCGTCTCACGCATCACGTCTACTCGCCACATGTAATCCTGCCATGAGGCGTCCCGCCATTTATCCGCATGATCATCATTCTTCTCCGGATTCACTTTGCCGGCATTTCGAATGGCCTCATCTCTCTTTTGCTGTTCCGGCCCGTCAAGAAGGTGGAGACTCTTGCCCGTGGCTGCCGCACTTGCTGCAATCTTCTCAGCTCGCTCTTTTCTCACAGCCTCATAAATGCGCAGTGACAACGCGACATCTGAGGTGTAGGTGAAGGCTGTCATGAGTACGGCAGCATCTTCCATAGCATTTGCCGCTCCTTGAGCCACATATGGAAGCATAGGATGGCAAGCATCGCCAATCAGCGCCACGCTACCCTGGACCCATGATGGTAGCGGCGGATACGTATTCAGAGTCCATTCCAGTATCTCGTCGTCGGCATACTCTAGCCACGCGCTGATGGCAGGTGACCAGCTGGAGTAGAAAGCCATCATCTCTTTGCGGCTACCCTTGGTCGTCCATGCGTTGTCCGCGATTTTGGTCGTAGCCTTTGCAGGATGCAAAAGAACTATATTGTAGACTGTATTCCGCATAACGGGATAGGCCATGATGTGTCCACCAGGACCCATATATCGCATTGCTACGTCTTGATCCAACATTTTCAGCAACATTTCATCATGTTGGATCCGCTTCCGGGGGATCAGTAACCGGTAGGCCGCGTTTCCTGTAGGTGTTGGTTGGTCCTTGTGGCCACCTGTTAAGGCCATTTGTTTCCTCAGCGTCGATTGAATGCCATCGGCCGCGAGAACGACATCGTCCAGGAACCAAGAAGTCATCCCCGTTCTGTTGTCTCGGACTTGCAACCGAGGAGAAAAGCTTGAATCCGCGGCCATCACAGTCTGAGATGTCAGAACTTGACACCCGCTCTTCTTAGCAGCAAAGAGGATACGCTGTAAGTCTCCCCGGTGGATGACACCCATCGGTGCCCCATACCGGTCTCCAATAGAGGGCATCAACGGTGCCGAGTTTAGTTCCTCGTCGCTGTCATATCGCCTTAAACACCATGTTATTAGTTGTACTAGTGACACTGGCATAGTAGTACTATTGTGACTTGACTCACCTAATACTGACGCGAGAGAGCACAGAGGTCTCCTTCATTACCTCTTCTAAAATCCCAAGCCTCTGGAGAATACGTGATGCATTAGGCGCCAGTTGTATGCCCGCCCCAATCTCAGCGATTCGGGACACACTCTCTAGTATCGTCACTGAGTGACCGGTTTGCGCGAGTGCCAGCGCAGCTGTCAGTCCCGCGATACCAGCTCCGATGATAATGACATTGAGGTATCGAACAGCCATACGGCCTGTAAAGAAGTCCTCATCATCCCGAAGGTTTCCATGGCTTGAACAAGTGAACTTTACATATAAAAAGAGAAAAACTATACCAGCGTTTTATTCGTTTAAAAGTGTATGTCGAAAACGAAAATATGAGAGGCATCAATTCGGTGGGCGCCTCTAGAGGCCCATGTTTCTTCACCTTGCACCTAGGGAGGCTGGACGGTCTAGAGCACTATCTACACCAGTCAATCAGAGAAGTGCAATCCTTCCGAAATACGCCACATTCTCTATGGCCCTACGGATTCCAACAGTCAGCCAGATTTACAGGTGGGCACCTGAAGACCAAGAATTGCATTCATATCTGCCGCGGCGAAATTCACCGACAATGTGCAAGATTGCGTAAGTAAATACGGCAAGCCTATACACTAACCTATAGGTAACTTATCCACAGGTAAGACATTACGAACAATAACTTGCTAACTTACCATTTACTAAATTTTGGCACGTGAAAGAAACCAAGAGATACTATAACCTCACAAGCTCTACTCTCTCCTCATCTTTTCATTCTGATAGTAGTACATAGTCTTCTAGCAGCATTTTCTACATCCTAAGCTGTGCAATGCCTTCTCTCGATTTTTTCCTTTCCAATCTATCATGGCCAATGACCTTATCTCTAGCCATTGGGTCTATCGTACTATTGGGACTGCATCTTCGGTCACGAAATAGCAAAGGACCTCCTCAGCTCAACGATACCATCCCTTATGTCACCAACACAATTCAGTATTTGACTGATGCTGGAACTTTTATGGATCGAGCGAAGCAAGTAGTTCTATCCATCTCTATAAATATTTTGTGTAATAACCAGAAATTGCCGTAGTGAGATGCTAAATTATACGAAGAGCAATATAATCAAGTTCAATGTCGGGCTCCGATCTGCCTACATAGTGACTGGTACAAAGAATGTACAAAGAGTGTTTGGATCGCCAAATATTCTCGATGGAAACTTCCTTCAATTAATATTAATGGAAAAGCACTGGGACATGTCTAGAGAGGAAATCAGCAAATTCGCCAAAGACGCATCTGGCAGGCAAAAGACTCCAGCACCGGGAGCTGAAAATACTCCCGAAGACCAGCGTTATTGGCTTCAGCATGATCGCCTCTTTGCCGAATATCTTACCAAACGAGAGTACTCTGATGCACTTGCCGAGTCGTTTTGCGACTTCTTTTCAAATCGACTAGACAAACAGAGTAAGGGAGAATGGGCCACGGTTCAGCTTTTCGATATGCTCAAAGCCAACATGGCCGAGAGTGCAATAGCTACGTTATTCGGCTCCGAAATCATCAACTTGAACCCGGGATTTGTCAAAACCTACTGGGAATTTGATGACATCGCAGGTCCACTCGTTTGGGGTCTGCCGAATGTCTTCCAACGCAAATCCATCAGAATCAGAGACAAGCTACATAAGATGACTAGAAAGCATATCGATTCGGCTTGGGAAAATTTCGATTGGAACGGCCCAAATGCCGAGTCGAGATGGGAACCTCATTTTGGCTCAAGATTATCCCGCGAGACTTCAAAATGGCTCCGACAAGGTGGGTTTTCAAACCATGCTGCGGCAGGACAGACTTTGGCTTCACTTTTTGGGTTGGTGCAAGACTACATACCATTCGCTTTCACATACTAATCACTATCCCAGACTCAATGGAAATACTGTTCCTATCACCACATGGGCAATGATAGAATTAATCAAAGACCCTGCTCTTTTCAAGGCAGTGCGAGAGGAGTCGCAGCAGGCCTACGAAATAGATCCTCAAACTAAAGAACGCCGCATCAATGCCCAAAAGCTCATCAACGGGCCACTCATGCAATCTTTATACGTGGAGATTATGCGTATCCACGTATCCTTCAATGTCACCCGCGAAGTCAAGCAACCTCTTGAAGTAGATGGATATCATATTGAGAAGGGAGCACTGCTCCAAACGTGCTCGCAAATTGCTCATTTTGAGGAATCTGTCTGGGGTACTGATGAACATCCTGCATCTGAGTTCTGGGCCTGGAGAAATGTCAAGTATGTGGAGGTTGTGGACGAGTCTACTGGGAAAACTACCCTGCAGCCACAGTTCTCCATGAAGGGTCGACCAAGCTCCTTCTTTCCATACGGTATGTTTCCCAGCTGGTATTCGAGAACCTCTATCTGTCGATTTGATATTCTGATTACATCCTAATTTTGGGTGTGCTTGCGCTAATCATGCTCGCAACGTAGGTGGCGGATATATAATGTGTCCTGGGCGTCACTTTGCAAAGCAAGAGATCCTACTTGCTATCGCCATAATTGTCAACAAGTTTGACATTGAATTTATTGAATGGACTAAGCCTGATGGCACTGTGTCCGAGAAGGAAGCTCAGGACGATAGAAGATTTGCCGGTTTCATTGCTATGGCTCCTGATCGAGATATGAAGATTCGCTGGAAAAGACTTGATTAGAATTATATTATATACAATAGGGTGAAACGCTCCTGAGAGAATTGTCCAATAAATTGTGAAATGTGGGGGGGGGGGGGCCTTTGTGGCTATTTATAGTACAAATTAAAGAGTCTAGTAATGTTCAGGATAATTACAATTTATTTAAAAAAGAAAAAGAAAAAAGATAGATCCACAAACTCTTATTGATTTGTCTTTTCTTGAAGTTAGAACATTGTGATTAAAAGTTAGTTACTATTAGCAATTGTGCTATTCAACTTGTAGATTACTCCGTAAACCTCTTTTTCTCGCGCCACGTGAAATTCATCATGACATGACAGGCAGGTCTTGACGGTGCTATTCTCTCAAACCATTCCGTCACTCTTCTCCAATCTCCCCACTACGAATTTGAATCCAAATCAAGAAGACGAGTACAAGTTGGTGTAAGTCGAACTTGTACTTGCAGCTCTGTGAAGGATTGCCGCAATAAATCATTGATTGACAGACTCGACTTGAGCTTATTGCCGTGGCGTGTATCGGCTGGCTGCCTTATCTCCGCCTGCAACATTTTGTTAATGAACTTGATGGGACGACATCATCTTCACATGCTTCACTCTACGACGATACTGTATCCCGCAAACGCGATTCCTGGCCAAGGTAGTTGAGTCAAATTGTCTGCAGCCATCTGCGGCATCAGAGCGACACGCTGTCGAGGAATCTGTCACTGCGAGATGATTTCGTTACCCGTCAATTGAACATTAATTATCAACGACTCCGTGTCTGGCGGATATATATTTACTTCCATAACGGGACAAAGGGCTTGCTTGTGCTCCATTAGTCTGTTGATTGGAAAATGTTTTCCTATCTGCGACCTCACAAACGCGGATCAACGCCATCCTCCCCTGCGGAGCAACCACATTCTTCCTTCGAACCTCCCTTGCGCCTTGACGACCATGGGCATCCTCAACGATGGCAAGATGTCAGTTCCCCAGAATCTACAACTACGTCATCCCCACCATTCCTCCCTCCCATTCAGCGCGTATCGACCGCTGGGCATGAGCCAGAGCTGCTCGGTGATCCCAGATTGAGAGTCTACGAGGGGGTTTCAAGGACACACAATTGGGACAACTCCCAAGGGAACACACGCTCGCGAGATACGTTCACACACAGCAATCACCAGAGAATACCATTCGGGGGACAACAACGACCAGAGTCGGCAGGAAATGTTGCTCCCTCAAATTATACGGCCTCGCAATATGGAAGAGCACCGACTGCGATGAACCATGAATTCATCTCCAGCCAGAAGTCCCCCGAGTCAGCCCATAGTTTTGGCACATCTTCGGATATACAAGAGCGAGGGAGGGAAACAGGCAGACGACCGACAGGCGCAAGGCTTCCAACTCCTCCGCCTACGGTTGCGAACACCACATCGAGATTCGAGCCGGCCCAGCAGAAATCGGGAAAGACAAGACTCAATCTGCTCAATCCAATGTCACTTCTTGCTCGGAGGAGGACGTCAAACATAGTGCCACAACTTTCCGTGGCTGCGGATAGAGCAGGGCAGACCCCAAATGTTGATTTTCGGATAAAAGGCACAGTTGTTCACGATTTCAGCGCCCCTCGACAGAGAAGGAATGTTTCATACAATGATGTACGCGCAGAAGAAGCCGGTTTTTCTAGGCAGCGAAGTCCCAATCCTCAACACACAGACACGGAAGATAATGCTACTAGTCCATGGAGTGGAGGAAATCATACACCAGTATTTACGGAGAATTTCGAAGAAGAGCAATACCCAGCTGCTGGACCACATGTTCGAAAAGCAAGTGATCTGACAGATTTACCGCTACCGATGCCTCCATATGCCAAAGGCGCGTCGAGACCGATTGAGCCAAATACAACGTCAAAAGGCAATGAGGTGCCACAGAAGCAAGTACAGGCCCAGAGACAGACAAGTGCACGGAAACAAGTTCCTCCCTCTCGTGCGCCGCCTGTACCTCCGATACCAGATGCACCTGTTGAGCAAAGAAGGATCTCGATAGACCCCGCTGTAGGATCACCAAAATATAATTCATCCGCAAGGAAAGGGCGGCCTCGCAATCTCTCAGAAGTATCAGCTAAAGATGCAGCTATCCCGAAACATATGAAGAGCACATCTTCGCGTTTCAGCTTCGATATGATTGGTGCTGCCGAGCAAGAAAGGCTACTAGAAGATAGGCATCGTCAGCGCGCTCTGGAAAAGAAAGCTGAGGATAATGATGCGGATGATGGTGGGGAGTTTGACGATTTTGATTATGATAATATGATGGATGATGATGGGTTGGAGGAAAGGATACCGGGTGTAAATGCTGATCTAGAGGATGATATGGATGAGTATGAGGAGCCGATTCCGGAAATCAATTATGATTTCGAAGAGGAACTTGAAGAATCAATTCCCATGACCAATGTGGATGTCGAGGAATTTGAGGATCCAATTCCGGAGGTTGACCCTGATATGGAGGAAGAGCTTCAAGAGCCCACTCCTGGAGCAACTGCAGAAGGCTTGCCAGAGGACAATGATCGTCTCGGGGGTTTTACTTTCCAGCTGCCTTTAGCTCCTCCATTGAGTCCACACAGCCCTGGCATGGTGGAAACTCCACGTGATGTGAATGGCGAAGTTATTGGGTTTGCCATGACGAAGAATTCGCCGCAGATTCCAGGCACTCTTAACCAGGTCTCGACGATGTCGACGATATCACCTGTCTCTTCAGCATATGGCAATGTAGTTACCGCGGACGACAGAGTGCACGGCTTAGGACTCCAGGGGCTCGACACCCAAAAGGAGGGGAACGAGATCACTTCGCCTGTTCTTGAACTGGACTCGGACTTTCCCGAGGCGTTAGGAATCGACGACGATGATCTATATTTTGACGACGGTATTATTACTGGGACTGGGAATGTGGGTGATGCTATTGAGTTTGATGAATCTGTTTTTGACAACATCGACACCGATCAGTATGGGAGACCCCTGAAGCCATTTTCAACGTTACCTACGCTCTATGCACCTCCAACGCTCGCTCCAGATACTTCACCACCCTTGAAAAAGATTGACGAAAATTCTGCAGTGGATGATATGACTGAAATTATTTCGTCCGCTCTACCCCCTGCTGGAGGGTTGGCTCCCCAACCCTCAGTATCGGAACGCGTCAAACCACAGCAGTCTATCGCATCATTACCCACACACGGCCTGACTGAGAACAGCCTCGCCGCCTATCAGTCAGCTCTATCCGCAGCAGCATTCGCAGCCGCCGCCAACGGAAAATTCCGTCGTGATAGCGCCGTAACAAACCCAACATCTTCCGAACAAGGCGACCCGCACCCTGGCCTCGTAACAGACTCCAGCCACACCTCGCACTACGAGCCCTTCTCCCCATCCTACGAAATAGAAGATGACTTCGACTACGACGATGTCCTCGATGAAGACGACATTATCGCGGCCGCTAACGCCGAAGCTCTCGCCAACGACTGCGATGGATTTTACGGCCAGGAATTTGGCTTCTACTCGGCGCCCGCCGCACAAGAAGCCGAGTATGCCAATGGCGGTTATTTCGGGCCGCGTGGCGTAGAGGGTATCAATCGTTCTCAGAGTGGTCGTGTCGTTTCCAGAGAGCCGAATCTTACCCCTATCACCGAGCGCAGCGAGTACTCGAATCGCAACTCATTCATGTCGCTCAACATGCATGGACCCAGCTCGGTTACTAGCCCCGGTCTCGCGCAGCTGGCTGGTATGATGAGTGCGCAGGAATTCGACGCAGGCGGTGATATGAGTCTCAATGCCCTCCTCAAACTCCGCCGTGGGGCATGGGGTGGCAGCCAGGCGTCGCTGCATAGTAGCAATGGCAGCCCCAAGAGCGCGGGTGGGCCAGATGATACGAGTCCTAGCGGCACACATCCGCCTTGGGCTCAAGGAGGCGCTGTGGGAAATCCTTCTTCAAACCATAGAAGGAAAAACAGCGCGTTCAGCTTAGCAAGTGACACTGAGGATTCTCCTCCGGGCAGTCCGACGCTTACGATGAGTATACCGACCCAGGCAGAGGATGCTACGGGCAAAGAGAATTTTAAGAAACATAAACATAGTGGGAGTACGGGGAGTATCTCTTATCTAAAAGAGGAGCATCCCATTACTGGAGAACGCTGGATACTTGAGCGCAGAAGAACGGGCGAGGATGGCGGGGTGGAAGTACTTGGGCGAGAGGTGGTGAAGGGCGGGAGGATATAATATTGGTATGTCTACTTGGATTGGAATCGGGGAGTTGTATTATATGGGTAGCGGCGTACGTGCCATCGGATACCAGGCTTGTCTTGTGTACGTGGCTTTGGATAACGGTAGCATGAATGAAACCGGTAGTAGGGAATTAAAATAATATTACCACGTGTGTTGCTAAGTCTTGGAATTCTGTTCTTCTGAAGACCAGTCAGTCATTCCGTCGCCATCTGTACATGTCATGTCTTTATAATCTCTTTCCTCTGCGAAAGACAGTACTCAACAGTGATGTTTTCCCCCCCACCACACACACACATATATTCAATCAATTCCCCATCTAAAAGCTAAGAGTATCCTGTGAATCCTATTACCAGCGCGCGCCGCTATCCAGCGATGTACTGCCTACCTACCACCCACAGACACATGGCTTGTCAGTCCTCAATACCTCGATAGGAAATTTCCCAGTTTGCGTTCCTAGCATGTGAATATGATATTTCGAGACCATGATACTGTACGCTGCGAGCGATCGCTTCCTGTAGTACCTTCTTTTCTGTTCTCGACAATACGCACGTTTCAAGAATCGTGAATCTGGAAGGAGATTTCTATGCTCTGATGTATGAGTGTCTGCTAGTTTGCCTGCGCTGGCTTAGCCGCGTGCGTGCGTGCGAGAGTTCAGCGTTTTTCGTTGAGTTTGCTGGGGTTTGCTGGGCTGTGTTT